TATTATTATAAATAATATAATCAATTGACTCAATTTCTTAAATCAAATAATAAAAAATTAATACATATATTTTCTAATACAGTTTTATCTATAGTGCCGACGGGCTATTTGGACAGTTATGATATCTACTATGAAATACTACATAAATACATGATTATCAAATAAAATAAAAAACAGTAAATAAATAGTAGATATAACTGTGAGATCTAATAATAAATAATAGTATAACAGTAACTGTAATAAAATTAATAAAAACAAAACATTTGCCACTTTAGTAACAGAAAAGTTAATATAAAACAAATGCGTTAAAATATATTAAAATTTATAACAATAAGATTGTCTTTAGATTAACAAAAATGGTTAGCTTTTGTTAAAGTTATTAAACAGTATTATTATTTTATTTAATGAATGATAGATAACTGAAAACATTTTTTTAGTCATATTACATACACATAATTTTTTTWAATAAATTTATTGTTATATCGGTTGCAAATGTCCGGCAAACTAAGGTTTTCAGACAAATTTGCTAAACAATACAGTTGTTAGACTTGATATGTGTAGGAGTCTGTCATCAGCAATATATTAGCAAACATTGGTCACACAATTACTAAATTTATAATCACTTATAAGTCACGCAAAATAATAGTTTTAATGAAACTTATAACGATTTGCGAACAACAGTTAATTGAAAATAACATTCAATAGGGTTAGGATAATATAAAGGTTTTGGATTTTTGGTTTGTATTATACTGTATAATATTWATACATATAATACTCATGTAACTGTAATAAGTGTATCAAACATKTTTAAAAACTAATATATATTGGATAATCGAAATTGAATCTAATTGTTAGAAAATGCTTTATTTCTATAATAATATTTGTTTTTTATAAATTAACCAAATAAATTTAGATAAGAAATAAATATTAAATTAAAATATAATATCAAGTYTATATTTATTACACRACATGTATATTTTCGTTAWATTAATGTTTTTGATWCTAAATGGCGCTAAATTTTGTTTTGTATTTCAAAATTTTCATGTATTATACATTGTATTATACAAACATTTTGTCTCTTAAACTTTTATATTGAATTTGTTTGCKATGTAATAGTGAATTATATTCTAAATAAATATAATTACTAAATGTTTTATTTTGTTTTAGCATAAAATAGTATTGAAAATTATATTGAAGTTTTAGTAATTTTTTAGAAATTGAAATATTGTTCACTAAATTTTTGGTAAAAGTTATAAAATTATTATTATGTTGTTAATTATATTTTATTTGTGTAAATAAAAATATTTTAAACTTGAAAATACTATATTTGTGAAAACAAAAATACATATAATTAAAATTATATAGAATTAATCACTTAATGTTATTTCTATGTAAATATGTTTATTATTTAAATTAAAATAATATTGTTTATATTCATCATTACTGAGTAAATATAAAAATATTAATTTATATAAAATTATTTCAAAATATAAAATAATATAAAAACTAAAGTTAAAAATAGAAAAATACTGTAATTATATTTAAAACTTTAAACTAACAAATATCTTAGATATCATAAAATAATTTTAATAAAACTAAATTACAATTACTTTATTATATAAATTATTAATAAAATGAACCAGTTGAGAATGCTAGAAAGCATTTCCAGTCGAACTTATTATCCAACTTAAAAATTAAATTAAATTAAATTAAATAAACTCAACTTAACAGTAAAGTACATTATAATTAAGTATAACAAAATAAATTAAACATTAGTTCTGTAAAGTATCAAATTACTCGCTATAACTAAATAATGAAAGCAATTAGATTGTAATATATTTTATGATTAAATTAAACAAAATAATCTCATGTATAATTGAAAAAATGAATTCCCATATATAGTATTGTTATATAAATTTCATGATCCATACTCAAATCAATAAATTGTTGATTTTAAAACGGTTTCCCTTATATTTTGACAATTAAATAAAAAGTAATCATTATAATTTTCACTGCAATTTTACGCCATTTTACATATGTTCCTGAAGAGATATCAAAATTTTAAAAATTGATCTGACAGACAGACAGACAGACAGACAGACAGACAGACAGACAGACAGACAGACATAAAGATTTCATAAATGTAATCTGAATTCAAATACATAACATTTTGTCAGAATAGTTAGTTTGAACTTTATTTAAAATTTAATTTATTTTCTCAACAAATTTTTATACAGTATATAACTTTTAAATTTATATAATAATGTAAAATGTATTTTACAGTATATTTAATATAATAAAGATATACTGTATATAATATATACAGTATAATGTAATAATGTACAATATTTGTATAACATTATAAAGTATTTTAAATAAAATTGAAAAAATATATATTTTAAATATAGCTTTAGGCAAATGTGAAAAGTTATTATAAATGTTTGGATTTTATTCGATAAATTTATTTTTAAAATATAGATAATTTACTTATATATACTCAAATGAATAAAGTTAAAATAATTTAATTTTATCGATCATTTTAATTATTTAAACATATTTTTTTAAATAAATATACATTTTCTTTTATTTAATCTATTTATCTATTGTAAATTTAATATTTATTATAAATACAATTAGATATACATTATATATTACTGAAGATTTATTAAAAACAAACTAATTAAATAAATTCAAAAAAAAATATATCTATAAAATTGTATAAATAAAATATTAACAAATGGTTTGTGAAATCTCATAAATTTATTATATTTGATATTTTTAAAAAAAGGCTTAGAAATTATTGATAGTACAGTATTTATAAATTATGTAAATTTTTRTTATTAAAGATCAGGATATAATATACAAATAAATGTATAAAGTATTAAGTATTAAATATAGCATTTTTATTTAATATAGTATAATATCATCATTAAATATTTTATTCAAACTTATTTTTATAATTATTTTTATAAAGAAAATTAATCTTATTTCATTTTTAATGATCTATTATAATATTTAAATCTATGTAATAAAAGTTATAATTACGTAATATATAAAAATATACAATATTATAATTTATGATTTTTACATAAAAGATAAATTTGTATACAATATAACTACAATTTGCATTATATTTGCTATATTTTATGTTAGATTATATAATTATGTTTTACATTTCATTTAACTAGTAATGAATAGATACACTAATTTTCAATTGCCATATCAATTAAGATGCCATTGATAATATCTAAATAATAAAATATATAAATTAAATATAGTAAATAAATCAAGATCAAATTTTGCAACATTATAATTTAACAATAATTTATTGAACATATATTATATTATATTTACAGTATATAGTATAGAGTATATTATAATAGATGTTTCATACAGTATTTGTTTTGAATTATTTTATTCATATTTATAGTTATTTTAATAGTCTATTACTATATATTTAAATTTAAATTAACTGTTTTTTATATATAATCTATCATAGACCAATAATTGAAAATAATTGGTAGTATGGTAATTTATTTTAATTTTAAATTATATCAATCTAGACAAATTTGTGACTATGTTATTAAAACAATGTTTATAATTATTTTTAATTTTRTCCAGGTTAATTCGATAAATTTTAATAAAAATTATTTTATTTATATAATTTTAATTTCAATAGCAGTCATCGAGTAATAGCCATATTTACTCATATGTATAATAATTTTTTTAAAATAAGGCACTACTATTTTTACATATTAATGATAAATTAGCTTTTAATATGCAAACATTTTTTTATTTTATTGATGTTATCAATAACTTTCTGATACTTAAATGAAGTAATTATATTAATTATTACTAATATATATATATATATTAATAAATTAAGTTTAATTTATTTCTTAAATAAATGAAAATTTGAATGTATATGTTAAAATTGTAATTATTTTTATGTAAATTAATTTATAGTAATATAAAATATATTAGAAAAATATAGAGTAATAATTTGTATCTCTGGCGCAAAATCTGTAAGTTTTTCTTAACAGTTCACAAAACAGTTTCTATGGTATTACTTATATATTATATATTTTTATATAACAGATATAAATATAATGTCGTATATAAATTATGTAATATAAGTAACTTTGCGTACAAATAGTTTTTATTTTGAAAAAATAATAGTATTTTATATGATAAACACATCTACAGACAGAATATTCTGTATTTATTTTGTATTTGTAGAAAAATGTGTTACAAAAACTTGAAAATAAATGTGACAAATAATAATTATTAACAGTAATTAATTGAAATTAATGTATTTATTTAAAAATATAATACAAATGTTATTAATTTAATCACTTATTGAAACGATTTCTATAAAATTGTATTAAAATATATAAAAAAGTCAACACTTTTGTGTAAACACTTAAAATATTTTTATTCATAAATTTGATCTGTGTTTATATAAACTTGTTTTTAAATTATCTCTCGAAAAATATAAATATTGTTTGTGTATATACCGTATATAATACATGTACTGTATTTGACTATATATTTTGAGTGAWCTTCTCTGTCTATAATAATTAATTTATATATATATTATGAATGAATATTTTTTAAGACACAAAATTTATATCTACAGTATAGCGGTATATCATAGCAATTGTTAAGCATAAACAAGTAAGCTTAAATTAGATATTTAAGATTATATTTAGTYATTGTRATATTTATCTATTTTTCATTTAACAAAAACAATTTTTTTTGACAAATAAAAACTTTAAATATTTATAGTTAGTAACTCATAATAAATAAAACTATTAATAAATATTAATGTATATAATTATTATTTTTCTCATTTAAATTTTGATTATATMACACAATTTAACATTTTTATTGCCATCTTATTTCTGCAGGCATTATGTGAAGTAAAACTCACAGTTTTTGTTCACAATCTATGATTGATATCATTTTCTGGAACTTTATTCAACGTTATCAACATTTTTCATGAAAAATATATTTATTAAAATATCAATCATTTTTGACAAAACATTATAAAATTTGAATATTACCGGCACTTAATGTGTGAAACATTGCCAACAATGAGCAATATTGTCATCAATACCACGTATACCGGCAACGAAAGTAAGTTTTTTTATCACATTTTTATTTATTTATAAAATTTTATAAAACATTATTTTTAGATTAGTTTTTAATAACAGTATTAAGTTAACTATATTATTTTAATATTTTTTAATATAGTATCATTTAATTACTCTAATTTTATAATAATTATATATATAACATACGAGATATAAAATTAATTAAATAAATTGTGTTTAACATAAAAAATRTAAACATATTTATTAGACAGTATTATTAATAACACAAAAACATTAAGTTATGTAAAAAAATGATAAAATATTTATAACGAAATTTTGCATAAAACATTTTTTTATTATTATATTTTAATAATTAAATTTTTGTTAAATTATATTAATAATATTATAATAAAGATAATTCTATATTTACTTAAAAAAAGTTTGTCAATATATTTATGAGTTAATATAAAAAATGTTTAGTTTTTTYATTATTATTACAATATTATTGCCAAAATAAATCAATTTATTAAATAATAGATACAATGTTTATATACATTAATTTTTTTCTCTTTTGATATTATTTTGTCATATAAATAGTTTTGTCTAATTTAATTGCAAACATTAAGTCAATATCATTGTCACCAGACATTTGGTCTCACATTTCACGTTTTGATGAAACTATATTTGAAAAAAATTATTACAAATGTTTGGTTGCAATATATATATTTATATAGTATTATAAATCGGATATTTGTTCATTTCGTTGAATTAATTTTGATTAAACATTTATGTTTTTATATATTTAATGAAATTATTATAATTATTGTTATTAAATTACTATTGTAGTTTATTACTAAATTTTAATAATCAGGTAATAGAAATTAATTTGTTTTTTGTATAGTAATAATATATTTAAGTAAAATTAACTTGCTAATTCAAATAAAATTAGATTATTAAAATAACTTTAACATGAAAGTTTAACAATTTACAAACATTTAGATGACTAAGATTATGTTATTCATAAAAAATGTTATATAAACTAATTTATTTAGATTTAGATCTAATGAGTTTAGATTATATGATTTTGACGACATTAAAACTAATGTAGTTTTAGAAATGATATTCAGTATATATTTAATTAACAACAATATTGAATTATTTTTTTGGTATTTGTTAAAAATTAATCTAGTGTAATATAATATATTATATGAGTAAATTAAAATAATTAAAATAAATTATTATAATAGTTTTTATTAGTGAGTCATTTAGTTGATAAGTAAATGAAAGAAAAAAKAGACAGCACATATTTAGTTAATATAMTCAGTATAAATAGTAAATTCAATTMATTTTTATTAAATTTTATTGTTTTAATATGTTAGAAATATCAATAATTATTTATTTCAATTAAAACCTTATTTTACATAATTAGAAATACAAATTTAGTTCAAATATTAAATAAGTTATAAATTATATCAACAAAATTCTACAAAAAATATAATTAATATTATTTTATGAGTGTCTTATTTTATAGAAATAACATTTAAAAGATAAGTTATTTTTTAAAAAAACATATTAAAATTTTTTCTATCATTACTGTCAGCTGCAGATGAATTGCAGGATTTGATGGCAAGACTCGAGTCCTATATTAATAACAGAGCTCTCGATAATATATCGTTGATCTCATTGATCATCGCCTACGCTATACTAATATTTATCGGCACTTTGGGTAACGGTTTAGTTTGTATAGTAGTGGCCCGTAAACCGAAAATGCGGACTTCGAGGAACCTGTTTATCATCAATCTAGCCATCAGTGATCTGTTGCTCTGTTTTTTTACGATACCATTTTCATTGGTCGAAATATCTGTCAAGTTTTGGCCTTTTGGTGAGTCCAGTCATATATGTTTATGTCATTATAATTAGTCATGTGGTGTGTGTGTGTGTGTGTGTCTGTGTTTGATAAGATATGTTTAATTTATTGACATATTTTTCCAATTATTATCCATTGATGATGATATGTTTTGTATCAATTTTGTAGACACATATATTTACTTTTTTTATATACCGGTACTTATGTATATAATTTATGTAATGCTATATTGCAATAAAATATTTTTATGTAACATAATACAGTATCATAATAATAATAATAATATCATAATTAATGTTTTTTATATAAATTATTTTATTGAGATTATTTGGATGACATACAATCACACACAGACTCACATACATATAAAGCATCTTAAATGAAAATATAATAAATAAAACACTTTTATATTATTGATAATATTTTTTTATAGTTAACGTCTAAAGATTATAGTTAAACAATAGAGTTTGTAAATTTTGAATAATAAATAATTAAATATAAATATATAATTTGGATTAAAAATCATTAATATATAATAGATAATTATAATTTTTTAAATGTTTTTTATATAAATTATRTTCAAAATAATCTATATGTTAATTTTTACAGCTATACTACTTTTATTTTAAATGTATTATTTTTATGAAAATAATAATAATATAATAATAATAATATAATTTTTTAACATTTTTCATTAAAAAACACACACACATACAAACACACTTATAAATACTTAATAGTATTTACATAATCGTTAGTTTTATACATACACTCAAATTTATATTAATATTGACATTAAACTGACAGTTATTAGGCAATAAAAAAATAATAGTATATATATTTTTAGATTTTACTATCGCATTTGCGGTCACCTAAATTATATTATAAATATATTACATAATAAGTTAGCGTAAATTTTATTATATATATTAAATTATTTGTTTTTTGTATAGTTTCGTAATCGTTGTACTAATTTTGACCTCATATTTGATTATTGACAAAAAAACAATAATAGGAAATAACGTTTAATTCATATGAAACATATTATTTTATTAACATTTTTTGCGTAAAAATATTAAAACTATGATTTAAGTAATTATATTATTAATAATATAAATAAATATTATGTTATATGATTAATTCTGAGTATTAGTAGACTTTTAATGGATAAAAATTATGTTTTTAGAAAAATATTTGTTTATTAGTTAGTATTTGTCAATACTTATTATGGATTATATGTAGTSACAAAAACTCTCGGAAAATAAATCAGTTTATTTTAATTATTCAAAAAAGATTAAAATTATAGAAGATAATGTTATAAATTTATAAAAATTATTTTTTAAACATTTTGTATTATATTTTTGCTAATATTACATTTTTGACATTTTGTTGCTTTTTCGAAATGTTTGATTATAAATTAGTATTTTTAATCTTAATTATATATTAATAAATGCAGTAAACAAGTAAAAGTAGTATATATACCATATATATATAGCAGTATTTAATTTATAATAACAATGCGGAGGTTGATTATAAAATTACAGATAAAAATTAATATATAAAAATTTATTTATTTTTTTGTAAAATTAAATTTATATACTTTAGAATCTCAAGATTTWGAATCTAAAGTACATTATGTATTAATTAATGTAAATTTATTTTTAAAATTTAAATTTATGTATTAATAGTAATACTATACTTATTATATAAAYATAGAAAATATGATTTTATTTAAATATAATACAAAATGTGGAAGATTTACAAAGATTTATATTTAAAATTATTATTATTGTTTATGATAATCAATGTTAAAATATATATTAATATATACAAGTATTTGGTAATATATATACAAGTATATACAATGTAAATACTATTTGAATAAAATATAAATCATATATAACATATCTATGATATCTTATATATATATATACTGTATACTTTATTTTCTATAATTTATTGAATTCAAATATTTATTTAATGTTTTTATAATCCGCTGGCTTAAATAACTATTTTATTTTTGTATTAAAAACAATGTAAAAATACATTATATATTTTGTTTCATAACTTTAACTGTTTTTCTTAAGTATAAATATTATGATATTTGCAAAAGTCTATAAATTGTAGAAATAGACAAATAGCTTTTAATATTTTTACTTTTGATTTGTAATGTTTTTATGAGATTTTAATACAATAATACAATGAATTATAAAAATTATTATTTTAAAAATCAAAGAAAGTTAAATTTGTATCTATTAAAAAATATTATTTTTTAACTTAAGTTTATATTATTAAAAATATTAAAGTTCCAAAAATCACAATATATAACAATTAAATGAAATTTTTTATATAATTAATTAACATTTAAATTATAATGAYGTCTAATTATAAAAATAAATACATAAAAATTTAACTAACATTTAAATAGCATTATCTATATTAAGCATAAATTAATTTACTACTTTTAGTTAATTACTTAATATTTAGTTTTTTAAACATATTTTTTAGTTTTATAAATATAATAATATTGATTTAAACTTTCATAATTATGTGTTTGATTATTTTGGTTATAAATTATAATTATTTATCTAACTTTTTATGATTATAATATAATATTATTAATGTATAGGTGTAACAATGTGCAAACTGGTCGTATCATTAGAGGCCACATCGATATTTGTGTCGACAATCAGTATAACGGCCATAGCGTTGGACAGGTATCAAGTAATACTACATTCCGGTGGCGATCATCGCATGTTTGGCTCTATTGTCAAATTGGTTGCCATTTGGATAATGGCTATAATGTTGGCGTTACCGTTGTTTCTCTATAGGACTGTTGAATCGCATGAATTGAGTAAATTGAGTAAATTATTTAATTAAAACTAATAGATATAATAGAAACCCTAAGACTTAACAAAATATTGTTTTTTAATGATATAATTATTTCTATTATAACCAGACCTTCCTTGGCTTAAGTCTGTCAACTATTGTGTGGAGCGGTGGCCAATAGCCCACGGGAGGGGCTATTATTCTGTCTTTTCAATGGTATTTCAGTACGTACTGCCCATACTTATTGTCAGTATAGTCTACACGCGCCTCTGTATGAAACTGCGTACACGTGCTCTAAGAAGGACATCGACAACACAATTGCCAAAATTGAAGTCACGTTTGAAGAAAAGGACCCGAAAGACCAATTCATTGCTTATATCTATTGCATTGATATTCTGTATTTCTTGGTTACCCCTAAACCTCATCAATATTGTCGCCGACTTTTGTTTCCCATTCAAGTCGGACACGACTTTTCGTATAGTGTTCGCCATCTGTCATATGGCAGGTAATAATGTCTATTGATTTATATAATTTCACTATAGATTATATCATTTATATATTATCACAGAATACTATTATTTCAGTTATTTTTAATATTATATACACACAGTATAACACATTTACAAAATCAAGTTGTTTTGTTTGTGAGCTTATACTGTATCTCAATAATAGTATTACTAAATATCATCAAATTTGGTTATCTAAATCTATGACAAAATAGTAGGCACTCGTTTTCTAGCTAAAAGTGTATTAAGAAATTGATTTTATAATATTCTATTACTTAAATAGAACATTATTCATATTAATAATAAATTGCTAGATCAATTATTTTCGGAGATTTTAACATATTTAACTTTCCCATTGTTAATAATTGTACATTCATTGATATAAAAAAAACTAACAGTTTGTAATTAGAAAGTTTATTTATATAAATATCTCCAAAAATAATTGATCGAACAATTAATTATTAATATGAATAATGTTATATTTAGGTTATAAAATATAATAAAATCAATTTCTTAGTACACTTTTTGCTAGAAAACGAGTGCCAACTATTTTGTCATAGATTGTATATTGAGACAAATTATGCAAATTTTATTAAAGATAATAATTATTATTCTGATATATATATAATTATAATTAATATTAGTCTTAAAAATAGTATTAAAAATGATTTAATAAAATATATTGTATGCACAGGTATGTCGAGCGCCTGTTCTAATCCACTTCTGTACGGTTGGCTAAACCAAAACTTTCGTAACGAATTCAAAGAGCTTTACAGTGTTTTCCATTCATTTGTCGGCAAATGTTTTGGCACAAAGTCGGCCATAAATAACAATAATAATACTATTTTGAAAAGCGGTGGTGTCGTCGACCGRCGCCCGTCACACATATACTGTGGACCAACTCATCTATTTGATGACGATCTCGACCACAATGAGATGCGTGTGAATGGACTGACCAGAGAGACAATGGTTTTGGCCACCAGTGCTAATAATATACCGTTGACTGTGTCGTGTGAATACAACTAACATTTTTGTCATATTTTTGTTGTATAAAAAACTTGTATTAATATTACAGATATTATCATTCATATATAATATTATATTAATATATTTAAAATTTAAATGTTACAATTTATTATATATTAATTATATTTAGACTATTTATTATAGTAATTATTTTATTAATTTGTTTAATATATTATTAATTATATAAAACTTATATTTGACCAGTGCTTTAAAACAATGCTAATAGAGATAAGTATTAATTACAAAAATAATWAWATTTTCTAAATATAAACTAAATTATAAATTAACAATTATATTATTATTATCATTTTCATCAGCATTTTAATTTTTTATACATAAATAATAATAATATATAATATCAACTATATTATTAATTATAAATACTGTATTTATGCTAATTTATATTATGTTTTATTTTTATAATTTATCATAATTAAGACAAAATATAATTTTAGTACAATTTATATAATCAATTTTTTTAWATATWATTATTTTAATGTTGACGCCAATATTTATAATTAATAAGGATTTTCAGTCTACATATAGTATTATCCAATTATATTTTAATTTAATTGAATCTCTTTCGTTAAATTACAACAAAAATACACTAAAAGATCACTTTAGGTTTCATATCATCGATATAACTAAAATGTAAATATACTCTAAAAATAAATTTAAAATAAGTGACCTATCATTTATTTATCTTTAATTTATTTTGATAATGTAATTTCAAAATTTATTGTTTGTGTAATAAACAATAATATTTGTTTAATTATTTATTTTTGGTAACATCTAAGTATTTTTGTCCTAAACATTATATTTATTCAGAAAATAACAGTATTTTTCTAAATTGACAAAATTTAAGTTACTTACYATTTACTCATACTATAAAAAATTATAATTTATAAAATAATTTTTTTATTTATATTAAATTATAAATATTTTAATTTTAAAARTTAAATAAAATGTAAATAAATATTGTAAATAAGTTATTTGTAAACAAAATTATGGTGCAATAYTGTATTGTCAATACACAATAAACACAACATTATTAAAATTTATATTATTAATAAATATACACTAATATTAATTAAGGCATTAATTGTAAGCCTATAAAAATAAGAGACAAAAGTGAAAGAAATATCTGTAAATATTTAATATATTTTTGACTAATTTATTTTTTAAACATTATTTAATTTATTTATTGATATTGTAATTATATTGTATATATTTATATTTGCTGTACTCTATTTCTAATTAAATATCATATTATTTCTATTATTTTATTCATTATACTCGTAATATTTAATAGTAAAAAATTTTAATATTCATCTGTAATAATGTAATTTTAATTAAGTCTATAAATTTAAAATTTGTGGTTATCTAAATGTAACTAAATTAATAACTAAGTTTATATTCATTGATATAGTTAAAAGCATATTTATTTCATATATATTATTAAAATTTAAAAATATTAAATAAATTTCAATATTTTACTATAAATAATAACTTATTATTTAAAAAAAACATTTTTAGATTATCATTAATAAAAATTTATAAATAAAATTGTTAAAATAGTGAATGAATAACAGGAAAACTAATTATTAATAAATTGATTTTTTTTATTAATGTTCACATAATTTAATTTCTATGATTTTCTTATTAAACATTCAATTACTAAAAACATAAATAATATCATATTTAAGATTAAGACAATTTTTATATAAAGTATATGCGCTTTATATAGTAAACATGTAGTTATATTTGTAATTATTATAGAAATATCTTTTTCAGTTTAAAATATTAAACAACRTTTATTTGATCTTTATAAAATAATAAATATGTATATAAATATAAATTTTAACAAAATTATTTTTATGAATAAAATATGTTTGCGTTGAAAATCTAATTTTTTTAATATATATAAACACTTGTATTTTTATAACTATGACCTCAAGTATTAGTGATATTGTGTTTTCACTATCGTTTATATTGCTATTAGTTTTAATTATCATATTTATTGCTGTATTATATTTGATGCGGTTTTTTGAGTTAACTGGCAATGACTTGTGGCCCAGTAGTCAACAGACTGATCCAGTGGTGGGCGATATGATCTATCAGAGCACACACTTTATGATAGATATGAATCAACTCTATGTGATTGACTCGGACCGCACCTCACAGGATGTCAAGACATCATCTATTTTTGGTAACATTGAACCCATTTAATGATTATTTAAAAAAACATATTTTAAATAATTTGAAAAATCAAAAATTTAAATAAATCATTTAAATAATGATTCATTTTGATATTGAAATATTATTGTCATAATCTACTAATTAAATGACTTAATAAATCATTGAAAAATTTTAATTTTTTAATAATAAGATTTTTATTAATTAGATATATAAATAAAAATCAAATAAATTAACTAAATATTAATTATAATCTTTTTATAATATTCTATTTATTATAATGCTATCAAATAATCTTAATTATTTTTGTCGACATAAATATCTAAAGTTTTTGTATTGTATTACTGTCATAATGTGTAGTATTTTTATATTAATAATTATATTAAATCAGTTTGAAAACTATACTAACCATCAATTGTTATCACAAAATCATATATCAAATAAATATAATAAAAAACAGTTTATTGTGTTATTGTGGACCAAAAGGTGGGGTAAGGATTGGTATCACAAGATGATGACTAATCCACCCGATTGTGAGTACAGCAACTGTTTATATACCGGTGACCGATATCTGCTTAATATTAGCGATATAGTGATGTTTCACTGGAACGAAGTTAATATTAGTGACCTACCTGTTCGTACATCATCTACCAGTGCCCAGAAATGGGTACTATTCAATTTGGAGTCACCCATCTATTCAAATAGAAAGTACATTAAAAAATTTCAAAAAATAATGGATTGGGTTATGACTTATAGACGTGACGCTGATATCTTTGCACCGTATGGTTGGATAACTCGTTGTCCGCGAGAAAGTTGGTCAACAAAATACAACATCAACAACAAGACTAAAGACTGTGCTTGGATTGTATCCGACTGTAAAAGTGGTTCTAAACGGGAACAGTATGTTCGGGAACTTCAGAAGCATATTGGTGTCGATGTGTACGGCGGGTGCGGTCGCAAGTGTCCACGTGATGGCACATGTATTGCCGATATTGAGCGAAACTACAAGTTTTATTTGTCGTTTGAGAACTCGGTTTGAAAAAAATTATTTTTAATCAATTAATTTTAATATTAGTAATTTATATTTAAAATGATATTTATTAATATTGTGAAATTATTAATTATTAATTAATAAATTTAATTAGATATTTGTTTTGTTTTTTTTATTAAGATATGCAGGGATTATGTGACAGAAAAACTGTTTTATTACATACAATATGATATAATTCCCGTAAGAATTATATAAATTTTATTACGTTATTATGTATTATATATTATAATTTTTGTTTTTTTATTGTAAATTAGGTACTCATGGGTTGGGCCAACTATACAGCACTGATGCCTCAACACTCGTATATCAATGTGTTTGACTACCCGTCGCCTAAACATTTGGCCAGTTATCTCAAASGTGTGTCCAGTGATCAACAATTATATGACTCATATTTTAGATGGAAAGACCAATATTGTGTAGAAACTAATGCCGGACAAAAACACCGGTATTTGTGTGAACTGTGTCGACATCTCAACATCCATGGGCTGTCATATGAATCAAATATAATTCATCGTTTAAATGATTGGTTTGTTAAACAAGCAAACTGTAGATCTTTATTTCAAACTAATATTAAAATTTAGTACCAAATGTTATAAAATATTTGCAATTAATCTAATTATCTACTAATATATTACTAATTAAATACTATATATACTTTCAGATATATTGATACWRTATACAGATATAAATTATGTTATTATAATTATTGAAAAATTATATAATATTTTTATGATTCATAAAATATCTAATTATTTAAAATAAGGTTTTTCTGTATAAATTGTGTAAATAAATTTAACTTTACCTGTATGTAAATATGATACAAAATAGTCTTTATTAATATTAATTAAAATTTATTAATTAATTATGTATAAAATGGAGTTACTGTTAAATTTTAATTTATAAAATTATGTTTTTCTGTTAAGTTTCTARCAAAAAATGCAAATTATTTTTGTTTACATAAACATAATCAACATTTTTCAAAATAAAAATGACTAAATCATCAAAAATATTGTATCAAAATATTGACAACGAAAATGAAAAGAAAATGTTTAACAAACATATATATAATAATATCCGACAAAACAATTTAAACATTAAACGCCATCCCAGAGGCGGCCGGTCGTCATCGATGTCTATAATAATAATTGGTTTTATTGTTATAATAATCATTATAGTTATACTTTTGACCACAACTGGCAACAAATTTAGTGAAGACTATTATTTTGATGATTTAAATCAAACAGTCGGACAACCGGGTGATAGTGAACGCACAGGTGTTGAACCAGTTGTCAATTATATGCCAGAGTTGATGAGTGACGGCGACGCAAAAATCGTTGACTGCGGTATTGTTTTGATTATAATTTTATATAATTTCTTAAATTAGTTTTTAATATCAATATATATCTTAATATTGTATGCAATGACTCACAAATATAATAAATTATTTAAAAATATTTTTTAATAAATAATATACAGTATATTAAAAATATATATTTATTTATATATTCTGTGTATTATTTATTTAAGAATTTTTAATATTAATAATTTATTGTAAACAATATATAGTATAATAAATGTATTTTTTAAATTTATTAAGTCTACGTCATTAAAAAATTTATTACTACTATTGTCTTATAACAACATTATTTTTTCGACATTATTATTAATTGTGTCAAAAATATATAACACTAAAAGTATTATTAAGTTATGAAATAAATATATATTTCTTAAAAGTGTAATTTTGAATTTTTGACACATTTCGYATTTAATATTTTTATAAAATATAAATTATTCAAAAAAAAAAAAAAAGGTAAAACATAAAACATTTGAAATAGAAATAAAAATTGAATTATTTTTTAAGTTAATGTAAAAWTTTTTACATTAAAAAGTTTCTACAATTGAAGTTTGTTTTTAACTGAAATTTAATAACATTTTTTAAACAGTAAATATAATAATAAACTGTAAAAACTAACAAAAATARTATTTTTATAAATCATTAGATTATTAAACTTATTTAAAAGATATTTTTACAATATATTATGATTAACAATCAATATTAATAGTTTAGAATTTGCATATAAATAAATAAATTAAATAAATAATATGAATTTTTCTCAATAAAATATAATTTCTGTTATACAGTAATACCAAAAATTATTAATAATATTACTGTTATTAATACGAATATTAAGTAAAATTGTCAAAAATAGTCTAATTAATAAAAAAATAAACACAAAAATTTTATTACGGTATATGAATTTAATGTTTAGTATATTATTATTTTAAAATATTAATTTACATTTTTATTTATAATATGATTTTAATTGTAATTTAATTGCAAAAATCTTATAAAATAACAATTTGTTTTTATAATTACTGTTATGATTAGGTTTGCCGTCGGACGGCATATATCCCGAAATTTTTACATTGAGTCCGAATCCATTGAATCTGTACTCAAATTGGACGGTAAACTTGCGGTTCAAAATCCGACGACCCGTTCAATGGAATACTAATATTAGGATAAAAGTAGAGAAGCTATTGTTTGGCATCGATTGGCTACGGATACCGATCCCTTGTTTTCTCGATTATTTCGGATCATGTGATTTCAATATTTGTAAAGTACAGCAAATACATTGGGACGAACAGCTATGCGATTACATACAGGAGCAGCAAAACATTAACTGCCATTGTCCCGATATATTCAAATTAGACCATTTGTATCTTGATCAATTTATCTATAAGCCACGCATTGATCGTATAATGAAATATTTTTCGTGGATCGCATCGGTATGTTATGTGCTCTTATGGTGGACAGAGAGAGAGAGAGAGAGAGAGAGAGAGAGAGAGAGAGAGAGAGAGAGAATATTTATAAAATTATTTGTGTTAACTTAGCAAATATATTTGTTTTAATATTTTTATTTTGTTTATAWATATTTTAAATTTATATTATATTTATAGGGTTGGTATAGAGTGACATCAAAAGTGTATAATAAGCGAACCAATTACCAGTACATGTGTCTTATGCATCGAATCAAATTGGATGCATCGGATAATAGTGAAGATAAAAAATAAGTGATATATTATTGACTTAACAAACAAACATCAACTTTATGTTTATATAATATAGAAATTAAAAATTAAAATTAAATTACTAATAAAATAATGTTTGTTATTATTTTATATGTTTTGTCAAATTGTCTAAAAATTATACTTCAATTGGTTTACTCTTTTAAAAAATAGACACTTAATTGATAACAAGTTATAACAATAAATAAATAAAGTTTATATTTGCTAAATAATAATTATCATTTTTATTTTAAACAAATACTGTATAATTATATATATAGAAACTTATATTAAACAGTAAATTTTAATAAAATTTTTGTTAATTTAAGTTTTTAAGATTTTATAAAATATTTTCGTAGTATAATTAGTGTTGGCAAAAAAGAGAAATTTATAAAATAATAGAGAAATTTCTAGAAAGTTTCTAAAAGAAATTTCTATCTATGGGATCCCCATTTTAATTTTGTTATCTCAATATTGCTATCATATAACAATACATTACCGTAAATATTATTATTATTTTAATTATTAATTAAAGTATAGAATTAATTAATTAAACTACAGTATGATATATATAATAAAATGATGAATACAATTTTACAAAATTAATTAATTAAATGTTTAAATAATAAAATTAATCACATTTGTATAGTATTGTACTATACTGTATAGTATAATATTATATCTATAATATTACAATAATTATAAATATGGGGATCCCATAGTATAACAGTAATGTTAAATTTCTATAGAAATTTATTCCTGAGAAATTTTCTAGAAACTTTCTATTTGCCCATCTCTAAGTATAATATATTGAATGAGAATTATGTGATAAAAATATACAAATAAATGTTTTTATGAACAAATTATTACTAGTCATTAAATTGAATTAAAATAAAGTATATCTTTCATTTAATTAAGTAATAAATATTTTATTATTTCTATTAAATGCTTAATTATTAATTAATTTTCCTAATTATCTTAAATAATTAATAATATATTTCTAATTAAATATTTTTTACTTTACTGTCTATCAGAGTGTTTAGTAATCTCATATCTTTAGTAACTATAAATTAGTAGTTTTTAATAACCAAAAAATTAGTTTACTTTTTAAAAATATCTTATTTTAAACAATTTGAGAATAGTTTAATACTACAACACATTTTTAATAATTAATCGTTTAGTGTATGAATTATTATTAAAAAATTAGATATACTCCTACATGTGCTCTACTGATTAATATGATTTAAACCTATAACTAAAAATCTATAATTAGTGACTCTATTAGTAGCAATACTCTAAGTTAAAGTAAATACCTCTCTATATAATTAAATTACATGTTTAATATTAATTACTAATATAAAAGTTATTTTGTTAAATATCATAATTGTCATGTATTAATAAAAAATTACTATTATTTTTCTTATTAATTTGTAGAAAACATAATAAGAAAAAATGTAAAACCCTAACATTTATTTTGTTTGTTGCATATACAGTACAACTACATTAAACAGTAATTAAATTATGTACAATATATGAGTTTATTAGACTTCAAAACTTTTTAGAAGTTTTGTTTATAATTAATAAACCGGAACCGAAATCGGTTTGGTTTTAATCATTATATTTTTGTTTACTGATTTTCGGTCCGGTTTAATAAAAACCGAAAACAAATGAGAAAACATAGAAKAGTACMGGTAAATACAATTACAATMTCTTAATTATTAGATTTAAAATTATGGTATAWAATATGTATAACTAATTTAAAACAATTAATCATTTTTAAACTAATTTAAATATTGGATTTGTTATGTTGTTTGAATATATTTTATAATATAAGGATACTATTTAGGATAATATAATTTTATTAAACAACAAAAATAAAATTATTTAATAATTATTAAATAATATTTCGGTTTGGTTTAAAAATATAGTTTTTTATAATAGACTAATTATATAAATTAGCTTATTTATAAAAATATATATTAAAAGTCATTTATTACTTAAATTCCCAATAATGCCCTTAAGCTTTTCCATAAATACATTTATTAAAAAAACTATATATTTTTATTGATATTGATATAAATTTGTACAATTTAATAAAAACCTTGAATTTGGTAATATTGTTATCAATTATGATAAGTACATAAATAAAAAAATATTGTCTATGCTTTGTACCTAATGTTACAATAGATTATTTAAATATTATTTGATTAATTTGTTATAACCTATACATTTAAAAATAAAATTTTATATAAATATTTAAGATTTACAAATATTTTGCTGTTTTATCTTATCAATAATGTCTACGTTTTTTTAATAAAAACTAAATTTTGCTGGAATAATTTTAATAAAATTATGCAAAATTTATAATAATAATAATAAGGTAATTTCTATGCAAAGAATATTTAATATTACTAATTTTTTAAAATTTATTACTATTTAAAATAACATTTTAATCAATTAGGTTTATTTTTATTGGTAATAAATAATCATTTTTAAAAATMTAAGCTCAATAATATATTTGAATTTTAAAATACTTATAATAAATATTTTTTGAACATTTAATAAATATGGTATAAAATAATTTAATATCTATTAGATTAGTGAATATAAAATATTATATTATATYATTTTTGTACTAAGAAAATAATTAAAAATTAATACGAATTTTCTAGTAAAAAATTATTATATTTTAAATGTATTACAAAATAACTTTTTACAATATTTTAAATATAAAGTTTAATTAAAAATAATTTATTTGCATAAAACTATTTACATAATAAATGATTTATTTTGATAATAAAAATTTATTATAATCAGTTATAAGAAAACAACTAACATTTTTACATATAATATCATGTAATTGATAATTCCGGTCATTAATTAGTATGATTTTTTCAAAATTTTCGGCTTTTATTAAGCCTATTAATATTTAAACTATACAATAAAATATATTATAGATATTGTATGGCAGATAATCACCACAAAAAAAACAATTGGTTAAAAAACAAGTTTATTCACATACAAGTGATTGTGTAATTGGTTTTCACATTGCAATCGACGTAATCCTTTTAAAAGTTGTTTCTCTTATTATTTTCATTATTATTATTATTAGTGATTATACGGTGTTTTTTCAAATGAATCTTACAATGAATAACAAAATATCGTAGAAAATGGTTAACATTGAAAAAGACTAATGGCTTTTATAATATATGATATTATTATATGTTTGCGATTACACAAACATTTACATGTCTTAATATAATGATAATGTAGTCATTTAAGCTAATTTATAAGCATTTAGTTTTCAAATATTTATAGAAATACATAAAAACATATAAATAGTGTTGAAAATTTTAATTCAATCAAATATATAATAATAACTGTCAAGTCAAGTGATTGTTTGCATTTATACAAGAATTATATAATAGTTATTATTTGAATTTTTTAATTTGAAACACTTAGTTAAAGTAATAATGGTATGTTTTATAATTTATTAAAATATAAAAAATTATTAATAATTTATTTAATTAGATGATTAAAGTTATAAATTAATTTTGTGTATAATATGATTTAATTTTAATATTATCCAGAGATACCTAATAACATTGACACTATTATCAATAATAATTGTTCAACAAATTGCCACTTCATTTGCAACGGGATATGGCGGCGGATGGGGTGGTGGTGGCGGTGGAGGCGGAGGAGGAGGAGGTGGCGGTTGGGTTGGAGGAGGTGGTGGCGGCGGTTAGTTTGAATTTTTTTGAAGTGTTAGTTTGTTTTTTTAATTTTTAAAAAACTGGTCAAATGTTACGAATAGGATGTACAACATGTGGTGATGAAGGAGGCTATGAAGTGGTAAAAATAATTAAGAAAAAGAGAATTATAAAACCGGTTAAAACGATTTACGTTGAAAGTGGAGGTTATGGTGGAGACGGCGGAGGAGGCAGTTATGGTCACGGAGGCGGTGGTGGTTATGGTCACGGAGGCGGTGGAGGTTATGGGGGTATTTAGTATTATACAATATTATTAGACATCAATGAATTGTTGATAAAAATATTGTTACAAATCTATAGGCGGTGGTTGTGGTGGCGGCCCTTGTGGTGGTAGTAGTGGCGGATATGGAGGCGGCGGTCACTCCAAAAAGATTATCATAAAAATTGGTGGCGGAGGCAGTGAGTTGTGTTTTTATTGTAAAACTAATTATTTAAACTGAAAAATTAAATTGCTTTATTAAAAATAGTGTTATTATTAGGAGAAAACTTTTTTTTACATTAATTGTATTTTAACAGGTGTTTAGTAAAGTGAATGTCTACAGTATATAATAATATTTTTAGGCGACTATTTTAACGTGTGTTTAGATCTAACTAACGTATTATTGTTTATTTAATGTTGTCAATTATGATATTATTAATTTTATTATCAATATATAAGGCTAATAATTTTTATTATTAATAACATTGACTATTGAAATATTGTTTTCATTTGATTTAAGACTAATACTAACTCAACATTCAACAATTAGTTTAATTATTAATTATTTCAAKCTTTATTAATTTTCAAAAAAAATTATAATACTATTTGATTATACAATACAGTATGTCATGTGTTATGTTAAACAGTGTTTCGGTTTTAGACTCATTAATTACATCAGAGATTATACAAATATGYATTAGTTTTATATTAAGTGATTGATTGTCTAATTAAAGATATTAACACTTTATACTTATACTCATTTGCTTATAATTAAATTAWWTTATTTTTTATTTATTGCTTTTTTAAATGTATATTAAATTTATTTAATYTAATTTTTAATAATTTATTTTTAGTAAATATTTATATAATGCATATTTTATATSATATTAWKTATKAATATATTTTCAATACTGTATATGTATTTAATATATTAATTTTCTAAACAAATTACTTTGATTAATTTAGCATGCTACTTTTATTGGAATGTTATTGTTTCAAATGTCATCACTAATTATTGTTACATTATTTTTAAGCTAAAATATTGAAAAACAATTTATGATATGAAATAACGAATAATATTTAAACATCTATTTAAATAAATAATTTTTGTTTATAGTTGTACACAAAGCTATAAATAAAATAAAAAATTTACTTCATGGTAAGTTATGACATTTAAAAATAATTAATATTTTTTATTAATTGTATATTATTTAAGTTGTAATAAACTAATACACTTATTAGCAAGATTAAATAATAATCTAAAATACTTTATACATAAAGTTAATACAAATATAAATAAATTATTATTTACTTTTAGGGGGCGGTGGCGGTCACTACGGTGGTGGAGGATGTGGTGGTGGGGCTTGTGGTGGATATAGACAAGGAGGTGGTGGTGGATATGGCGGAGGAGGACATAGTGGTAGTGGTGGCGGTTTTCATAAAAGTTTCAGCGCTTCTGGATCTATAAGTGTGTCGGGTTATGGCAGTGGTGGACATAGAGGTGGAAATGGATGGAGTGGTGGCAGCGGTGGATACGGTGGAGGGGGTGGCGGATGTAATAGTGGTTTATGTGGTGACGGCGGCTATGAAAAGAAATAGCAAACATTACTCTACTAATAGTGTTTATTTTGGAYTTAATTTTTCAATTTATAACATTTACAATATAATACAGTATTTAATGTGATTACTGTAGTTCAYTCATTAAATAAGTTTATGTTTCAAAAAAAATAACTTTGAATTAATTTGTTTTTCTAAAAAAAACATAAAATAAAATCTTTAATTTATTTAAYAATATAGTAATTTATTCTAAATTAGCAATATAATTTTATTATTTTATTTAAATAATACTAATATTTATCATTGAATATACWGTAATTTTTTAGATTATTTAATTAAAACTGCATCTTAATTTAAAAAATACAACTMTAAGATTAAWAATTAATTTTTTGAGAAATAATTTTTTAAAACTTAAATAAATTGTCTAAACTTCATGTAAATTAAAAACAGTTTATTTATAGTTTTTAAAGTTAATTAATTTGGAAATTAAGTATTTACTCATAAATATTCAAATAACTATACAGTAATGACTAAATGTGTAAACAAATTCATATACACAGTACATACATATTATACAATACTTGTATAACTTTATGATATAAATTTATATAATATTTAATACGTTAATATTATTAACGTTGTTATGTGAATAATATTTTTGCATTGAATTAGTTTTAAATAGAAAATAATTATTTTTGCAATTCAATAATATGATAGATTAAAGTTTTAAGTAACAAAAAATATACTGTATCTAACAATATATTAAAATAAGTAATTTTTACTGTTTTTAATGTCTTATAAATTTTTCAGAATTTTTCTATTTTTAGAAATATATCAAAAAACATAATTTAAAAATATATTTTATTATCTCAACTYTATATGACTTAAGTTACATAATTACATTTAAAGTATTTATTTTATATAAATTTATATAACTTTTATTGTTAAAAGTAAAGTAAAAAAATAATTTAYATCATATCTTTATTATATACTAATAATTATTAATTTGAATGTATTATACTTTGTATGATAGATTGCACTTTAATGTAATTAATTTTAATGTTTAGTTTATTAAATTCTTGATTATATTTTAATTAAATAATTGTCTAATTAAGCATTCATTCTATTATATATTATTAAAACTATTTTATTTATAATGTGATTATATTAATTAGTTATTTTTTGTTTAAGATTACTTTATATAGGTTATAATATTCTACTTTGTATACTGTAATTATTTTTGATAAGATATAAAGTATTAATATTTTTATGTTTTTTTGAAAGGTTGTTAGACTTTGTCAACAATTAATAAAATTAATGTTTTTAAAGATAATTTTACATAGAAGTTGTTTATGGTATGATTTATTTATATTTATTGTTTATTTTAATTTCATCACATGATTATTGCTTTAAATATTATTTATAAATATTATTATTTTGTTTAAAAATAAACTATAATATGCATCTTAATGTAAAATAGTGATTTTTAATTATACAAAAATAAATTTTGTTCAAAAAAATGCAAAAAATATTTAAATTATATTGCAAAAAATTAAGCTATATTAAAATTTAACAAGGATATTATTTTTTTATAATTGTTATATAAACAAAGTACCAGACAATCAGATTAGATATTTTTAGTTTATTTATTTATTATTTATCTATTATTTAAAAAATATACACAAAGTATAACTTTTATATTATACTGTATTTCTTTAATAAAATCAGAATTTCTAAATAAAAAATCAAACATTTTTAATAAAATTACAAATTATTATTTCATATATACTGTATTACTCTATATACACATAAATAAGATGACAATTAATGGCAAACTGGATATACTATTCATACCGTTTGTAGGCATCGGTCACGTAAACGCCTGCATCGGTATTGCAGAAGTGTTGAGCAATAGTGGACATAGAGTTACGTTTGCCATCAGTGAACAGTTTGAGGGTTTGCTACAGAAGTATGGTTTTCGTGAATTACTGCTACCAGAAGTCGAGGACAGACCTAAAGATGTAGATCCGGGATTAATTTTGGCCGATATTTTCCTTAAATTGGGTAATGTTTTCGCCGATTTGTCGCCATTAGAGAAGATCAGCCAACGAGGAGTGGGTATGAATATGCGTGTCGAGTATTATATCAAATTAGACAAAACCATTGATGGACTGCTAAAGATGAGCAAACCTGATGTCATAATACTGGATCAGCTCATGTCATTGCCGTCGGTAGAAATATCGGGCATACCGTATGTCTGGTGTTGGAGTACTAACCCATTGCTTATGGTTGACGACGAGAGGACACCGCCTTCTGGATCAGGTATTTGTTAATTTGAATCATTAGGTTTACGGTTAATACTTTGTTATGTWTTATTCAATCAAAAGGTTTGTCAGCTTTCGGTGATAGCAATGATTGGAAAGTTTTTCGTGAAATAAGAGACAAAACATTTAGAGACGCCTGGAATCGATTCAACGATTATGTACTATCAAAGGGTTGTTTACCATTAAAACCATACGCTTTTAGCAACAGATCCCAGTGTCTAAACATTTATGGTTATCCTAAAGAGTTGGACTATTTAGATATCAGACCACTGCCTAAAAACTATATACGATTTGATAATCTTAAACGCGAAGACATTCATTCATCGTTTGAAATACCGGTACAATTGAATGGTCGTCCGGGAAGTCTTATCTATTTTTCGTTGGGTTCGATGGGCGGAGTGGACGTCGAAAATATGCAACGATTAGTGTCCATATTAGCTAAATCACCTAATAGGTTTATCATTTCGAAAGGACCCAAACATAACGAGTACACATTGGCTGAAAACATGTGGGGCCAGAAATCGGTGCCACAGATACAGGTGCTGCCAATGGTAGACCTTGTGATTACACACGGCGGCAATAATACCATTACCGAGACTTTCTATTTTGGTAAACCAATGATTGTAATGCCATTGTTTGGGGATCAGTACGACAACGCCCAGAGAGTTGAAGAAATGGGATTTGGTTTCAGACTCGATGTCTACAAATGTACTGAAAAGCAATTGTTAAGYGCTATCGAACAGCTTCTGGAGGACAGGGATCTAAAGGAACGTATGATTCAGATATCAAAAAGAATTCAATCAGAAAGTAGTATCAAACAATTGCCACAAATTATTGAAGATTTTGTTAAAAATTTTCAAAACAATAAAATATTATAAATTTATTAAATATGTATAAAAGTAAAATTTTTTTTAAATCAGTTTATATCATATTGTCAATAATCTTAATTTCGATATATATTTRTAATATTATTATACAATTACAGTATAATCATAATATCAATTTATTTATACTGTACTTTAAATTAATACCGGTATCATTAATTCAATGTTTGTTTCAATATTTTTAGTTTTTAATAAATGATTGAATCAAATTGAATCAAAAAAAACCAAAATTATTTATTTAGAATTGAAAATAATTTTATTAATTCTATATCTTTTAAGATTATACAAATTTATAAAAAAATTACCCCCTTCCTCCCTCCCCTATGTTTGCATGTAGTCATTAAAGTTTTTGGTTATATATATTAACAAATTTTTGTTTGTTTAACATAAAAATGATTGAAAATACAGTTTTTAAGATTTTGAAAATAAAAACTACTTTAGATGGTATAATATTAAYAAATTTTTTCTTAAAGTTATTCATTCATAAATATAAAGCACGAAATGGCTATAAATAATTTTTAAAAATTATATTTAATATCAATAATAATTTATGTGTTAAAGCATTTACTAAATTGCTAGAATCTTATTAATTTTATTTTTTTAAATAAAAAAACCAATTTTTTGAAAGTTTTGTTTTAATTGAATTAATTAAGATTGTATTTTTTAATAAATTAAATTAGACAGTATAGACATTTTATCGTAAGTTATAACATAAAAYAAAATAAATATTAATTATATAGAATAAAWTTTTTTTATATATTATTAAATGTAAATTTTTGATTTCATTTTGTTATTTATTATACAATATAAATGTAAAACTAAATAAATTATTAATATAAGTATTTTGTTTTTATGATCCACAACTTAAATGTAAACAATATACTAAAATAGTACCTTGCGCATTTGGGTTTAATCTATAATTTGTGTCTAAATATTTCTACAAATAAAACTTGAAATGTATGATAATTTAATAAAACATAACTTGTTAAACTTTATACTTTAATTTAATTTTAGTATATTAATGTTTTATCATGATAATATCTKTCTACAGTTATCTAGTTTTTTAACTTAATTTTGTTTTCGTCTTTAATTAATTTAATTTAGTTTCATAGTAATATAGTTTGTTACTATTTATATGAGTAGACTGTACTAAATCAATATATATAATGTGTACTAAAGCAGTATATGTGCTAATATAGCCAAAGTAAAGCAAACAGATTTATAATAATATTTTATTACTGACTCTTATATAAAGTATATATCATTATTTGAGAGCTTTTTCTCGCTATATGTTTGCATAAAATACCGATTTTGCAGAATATTTTGTGCTTTTATTATTATAATTATTATTTATATATATATATATATTTATATACTGCATATATGTATATTTATATACTTAAATTTTAATATAGACTAGTTTATACGGTTTATATATACATATAATAATAATAATAATATATCCACACAAAATTTATGATACAAATTATATGTGAATTAACCATAATTACAAAATATAATATATATTATGTTGTTTTGATATAATATWTTGAATAATTTAAAAATAACGGTAATTATACTATCAATTTACTTGTGAAACTATAGTACTGTATATATTTGATTTAAAAAATTAAATCCCTTTATTACTTACTATCTTTTTATTAAAGTATTGGGTTRTAAATGAACGACAAAATTATGGCTAATATAACAACAACAACAACAACACAAACAGTGACCAGAAATGATAGCGAAATATTTGATATGTTATTMACAAATATGACCACAAATATGATGACAAATATAACTGGAAAACATGACGTACCAGCACTGGCAGCAGTGACCGGTTTCTGGAAACAGTTACTATTGTGTACACTCTATTTGATTACATCTTTGGTTGCCTTTATTGGCAATCTTTTATCAATACTTGTGCTACTAATAGGCAAACGGTCGTCACCTGAGCTCAAAAAATATCTCATATGTCTGTCAGTGTCGGACCTATTGATGGCCTTGTTTTGCATACCGTTTACGTTCACTGACTTTATGTTAGGTCATTGGGTTTTGCCGCACGTTTTGTGTCCATTCGCACAGTTTATCACAATATTTTCGTTGTGCGCTTCGGTAACGACTTTGTCGGCCATTGCCGTTGAACGGTATGTCCATTATTTTCATTAATATAATTTTGATTTTAAACTATCATTTAAATCATTATATTAAAAATAAGTAACTTTCATAAAATATTATATTAGTATTTATTATTTTTTAAAAATAGTTATTTAATTTAAATAAAAATATATATATTAAATCTAATTATTCGATATATTGTATTAATATTGTATAAAGATAATGTACAGCATTTTTATTGGAGATATCTAACTAAAATACTCAAATTTAAATCAATCTAATATAATATAAATTTAAATATCTATTGAATATATAATACAGTAGAAAAACTTTTCTTATGATTTAATATAATACTGCTGTAAAACAATACTAAAAATCATATTCAAAAAATTAATTTATCTAAATCTAATTTAACATAACTCTTATTGAGATTATATTAAATTTTATAATATGTTACACAATATTAGTGTATATATAAAAATTCACAAAATAAATATCAGAATATTCTTGACACACAACCAATAAAGTGTTTGTCATTTATAAATGTTAATTTATATTTAAAAGTTAACAATAATTTCATATAATAGATTGTATTTAAAAAATAATAAAATTTTAAMTTAGTTATTGTCATTACAATATATCAATTAGATAAAGTTATTGAAATCGATGTTATTATTATTAGTTTTTATTGTACGTAAGTATATAATATATAAAAGAATATAGAATAATAAAAAAATAATAACATATATACTACAGTATATATATATATATATATATGTTATTATTATTATTCTTGTTGTTGTGATATGTGTTTTATTTTTTAATATTTATAAAACTTAATACATTAATTATTATGAAACTTTTCCATTAATATATCTTGTTTGCTTTATGTTAATATTATATTGTTTAATATGTTAAGTAATATATAGTTGATAAGTTTGAAAAGTGAGTATCAAATATTTAATTTATAACTTATACTTATAGTACATGTATATGCATTATAATATATTGTATTAATATTATCTTACTGTATAATATTTTTATGATATAAACTTAACAATTTAATTATGATTAATATAATTGTATTGATATAGTTTTGAAACTCTTTGAAATAGAATTGTTAAAACCATATACTGTATTAAAAAATTTAAAAAATTACACTTAAAATGTTAATAATTATATTAATTCATTTTATTATAATTTTTATTATATTAATAATTTGTTTAATATTATAATGTATTAATTATAATAATTATTATAGTAAAAAAATTAGTTAAATAATTGATGATATTATATAATACTTTATAAACAATTTAATAATATTATTTCATAATCATGTTTAAATATTTTATATTAACATAAAATAACAGCATTTTGAATAAATATAATATAAATATATTAATTTATTACTTTAAATAATAATAATAATAGAAATAATATTATAGGAAAATGTATTATACTGTATATTATTTCTACAACCAATATAACACAATTATCTGCAAATAATAATATTATTTGAGTTTCTAATGCATTACTATACCTTTTATCTAATCTAACAGTAGTTAATAAATTTAGAAATTGTAATATTATAAAAATCCCAAAATTSAATACTTATTTTTAGAAAAAAATCAAATTATTTAATATGTTTATTGTATTTCTAAAAGGATATTAAGAGGATTTTTACTTAAATTTTTTATAATCAAATATAGAAAAAATATTATATAAATACTTATTTAATCAATTTATTTCAAATACTGTACATAACAAAAATATAATATAGTATATATTTATTTATATATAATTTATATTATAAATTATATTGATTTTCAAAATTAAATCATTGTGATAATAATTTATAGCATGATTTTTAACTATAACTATAAATAACATATTACAAAAAAATGTAATATTATTAAAGATATAACTTAAGATTACGTTAAGTTTATTATTATTATTATTATTGATAAACGAAATGTTTAACAATATAAATGAATTAAATTGATAACAATTGATATTAAAAATAAAATAGTTTATTGTTTGTTATTTATCACAATAAAGTAGTACACAAAAATTAGTTTACAATATGTGATTTAACTTTACTCTATCGATAATAATTATGAAAATATTAATTATTGATTTTATTAATTATTGTTTTAATAAAATTGATTTTTTATAATTTAATGTTATAATTTTTAAAATTATAATACTTATATATTAATTATTTTTTATTAGCCATATTGAATTATAAAAAATTATTATAATTAATAAAATCAATAATTAATATTTTCATAATTATTACGATAGAGTAAAGTTAAATCACAAATTTTTGTGTCAATTAATTTGTCATGTGATATTAAATAATTTTTTATAATTCTCAACTCTGTAACAATATATATAATTTAATTATTGATAAATTATGTTTGCGGATTTACAGATCCACACTTTCCTAAAAACATCTATTGATAATTATAATGTCACCAAAAAAATTTCATAACATTTGATCTCAGGGACGGGTGTTTTTTTCAAAGTTTGATATTTTTTGTATACCTCCCAATAATAAAAAAATTTAATAACTATAAAATTATTGGTCCGATTGATTTAAAATTTAATATATATATGTAAAATTATATTATTTATTAAAATATATCACTTAAAATATCAATTTCCAAAATTTGCTTAACCGCGCCTGCTACTTTTAAGATACCGTATTTGTTGTGTGTATAATATAAAAGATTTATTTGTAGCACATATTATTTTTATAAAATTTAAAATTACAAAAGATTGTCTATAAAGCCTTGAATCTACAATAATATGTCATATAATTAAAGTTGATTTATTTTTAATGTTGTTGTTGTTTACGTTATATATTGATAGAAACATTACCCTATAGTTAGTAACTAAAAGTTTTGATAAGCATATTTAATTAATAAAATGTTAAATATAATTAATATTTGTATATTGATATATTTTATGCCATTATAATTTATAATTAATTTAGCATTAATTATTTTAATAATAATAAACTTTAGTTATAATTAGCTAATTATATAAATTATTAATTTATACAATTATTGTTAAATAGTTTTAAAATAAATTCTTTGATAAAATGATGACATTATTCAAAAATAAAATAAGACATTTAAATATTTTTTTAATTTGTAGTTTTTAAAGTCAATTTATACAGTTCAATTATTTAAACATTGCTTTTAATAAATTATAATAATACAATTATATTTTAAAAATAAATATTAGATGTTTAACAACATTACTCATAAAAAGTTTTCATTATTTTGTATAATTAAGAATTTATTATTGTATATTACAATTAAATGTAAACATGTTTACAGTATATACATTTTAATTAATTTTTTATAAAAATAATTATSTTAAATTGTATTGCAATTATTGTTTAAATATTAATGATTAAAYTGATTTTATCAAAATAAAGCTGATTTTACRATTTTCATTTAATGCTAAATTAATTAATGTAAAAGAATAGTAAACTTATATAAAAATCTGATATCACTTTTAAAGGATTAAAAATCAAAAATAGTAAATCATTCAAATTAATTTACAACAGTTAAGCTAATAATCGTTTAAAAATTATATAATGAATGTTTAAAATGTTAGGMATTTAAATATAAATTTAAAAAATAATATTTTTTTATTATGTTTTTACGAAAAWAATTGTTTGACAAGATTTACACTCTAATGATYTCAAAAGTTGAGTAAAAGGTTAATTTATTTTAAAAATAGACCATGTAGTTTTTTTTAAAAAATTAATACCAACTATATTATGTCTATTGTTAATGATAATGAATATTTAATATCACAAAATAAACAAGGTAGCCTATTTTTTCAATTAAGTATTAACTCACTTTTGAGATCAGTATATTATATATTTTTAAAATTTATTTAATCCATTAAAGATTTTTTATTTTAAAAAACTRATTATTGATATATAAATTTTTAATCAAATTTTATAAAAATAACCAATGTAAAAAAATATTTTTTTAATGAAATAATAATAATAAATATTTATAAGTAGGGTTAGATCAGATTTCGTCCCTCGTTWTATAWACTAAAAGTTCCTTATGTTCCCTGCTMAATTCATAGGAAATCTACACATTTTATTATAATGTTTGTAAAACAAMTATATTAAAYTGCATTYTAAGTTGTATAGATAAATAGTMTGACTAAAATTATTGAATTTACATTTATTTTTAAATATTTCAATATTTTTTACAAAATATACWAAATWTTGTTACTATTTAATAATTTAATATATATTTTCTCTTGATCAATGGGAGGGAAAATAAAATATTTTTGGGAAAATTGGTGGGATTTTTAGGGAACTTCCCTCCCTGGGAATGTTGATCGAACTCTAGTTATAAGATAAGCTTATATTATATGATATTATACCAGGGTTGCTATAAGGGGGGGTAGGGAGTAAAACGTCTTACCCCCCCCCTGAGATGGAGAAATTTTGGCTTTTACACCCCCCTGGCATGAAGCCAAAAAGTTAGGGGGCCCCCTACCAAGTTTTTTTAAACTAAAATTTTATATTAAACAAAAAAATAAATATTAAATTAATTTTAATATAAATTAATAGCTTATGTATAGAAAATAAATAGATAAAAATACTTAATTATATCAATTTAACATTATTTACACTAGATGGGGCACTCCACAAGGGAAAAAATAAATTCCCACCAATTTTCAAGAAAATTAATGATATTTTATTTTATTTTTTAGCTGTTTATAAAAGATAATATATATTTTATTTCTTATTAAAAGTCGAAAACTAAAATTTTTAGCATAAATTTTAAAATAATTATATTTTAATATTTTTAAACTTTATATTAAAATGTGTTAGTTATGGTTCAATATGAAATACTATATAAAAAATATTCTTAAATTAATTATTTAGTTATTTAATAATTATTTCTGACCATATTACAGTACTATATCATTAATTTTATAATTAAAATCAATTTTTTAAAACTAAATAATTATATTTTTAATTAATTATAATTATAGTTAATTATATTTATGCATTTCTTTATTTTTTATATTTTTAAAAAATGAATATTATAGGGAATATAGTGGGAATTTAGTGGGAATTTAGAATTTTTATATTAAAATGTGTTAGTTATGGTTCAATATAAAATATTATAAAAAGATATATTGTTAAATTAAATTAATTATTTAGAACTAATTAATAATTATTTCTGACAATTTTATTTTTATTATTATTATTATTAAAACGTTATAATAAATACATTACTATATCATTAATTTTTTAATTAATAACTATTTTTTAAAAACTAAATAATATTTTTATTTAATAATTATAATTATAATAGTTATATATATTTATGCAAATCTTAATATTTAGCAAACATTTTGAGTATTTAGAAATTAAGTTGAGAATATTTTTATTAGTTAATTTATTGGGCATTTATAGGGAATTTAGTGGGAATTTAGTGGGAATTTAGTGGGAATTTAGTGGGAATTTAGTGGGAATTTAGTGGGAATTTAGTGGGAATTTAGTGGGAATTTAGTGGGAAATTAGTGGGAATTTAGTGGGAATTTAATGGGAATTTACTCAAATTTGGCAAAAATTGTTATTTAAAAATGCAATAAAAATGTTCACCCCCCTATACCCCCAAGCTTTTTCGAAAATTTTGCCATTTTACCTCCCCCTATACCCCCCCCCTGAAATCGAAAACCTTTAGCAACCCTGATATTATACCTGTATATAATAGAAGTTTATAGAATTATTTGCAATAGAAAATCATGTTCAAATATAAATTACATAACACTATAGWGTATATCTACAGTATATATATTTTATGTTTCATTAATTTTATTTTTTTGATCTAATAATATAAATTTATTTTATATTTATTAGTTAAACCCACTGACTGTTTGCTGTAATACTATTCAATAATAACTGAAGTTTTTTATTTAGTTTGATCTGATCGTAAAGAAAACATTTTATTTACTTGAATTAACAAAACTAAAAACCAATCTTATATTTAGTATATCCACACTCACTCACTCACTCAGTCAGTCCAATAAAATGATTGTTAATTTATTTTGTTATATTATTTATATATGTATTTTTAGAAAATGATAGTTGTATTAATAATACRAAATATAATACAGTATTATACCGTATAATTCATATATTGTAATCATACAGTACTATAATATAAAAATAACTGTATATTGTATTAATATTTRATATACAGCAGCCGTTAACAAAAACATGTACCATGGTATTTTTTGTCAAATCAATATTTTACTTATATTATAGTAATATTATAAAATATAAATTAACCATCAACAAATAAATTATTACTAATAAACTTTRGTTTACTCCCACTTTATATTCAATTATTTTCATATTTTAAGCAAATGTATACTATTTACTGTATTTATTTTACTAATATATTCATACAATTATCAATTTTAGTAAATGTTTTATATGCGTCTCAAAAATTACTTATTTGTAAAACAATTTATAGCTTTTATTGTATTATTTTTAATTAAAGCATTATTACTCTATTAGTTTTAAATAAATTTTTACAAATCTCATTCATCACAGTTTATGTCTATTTTTAAATTATAGAAATCAGTTTCGTAACAATTTTTTCGATGAATTGTATTATATATTTATAATTTTCTGTTGAAACACTGATATAAGATATACAGTATTGCATTGTTTTTAATAATACTGTATAATACTTTATGCAGTATTATTTATTACAAAAAAAAACAAAATATATTTAATTTTAAATAATTTATTAAATAATTTATTAATGTTAAACATATAAGTAAAATCTTATAATACTAATAATATTGTATTTGATAAAAATAATATAGTTTTTTAATAAATAAAACTTAAGTTTACTTAAATATTGAATATTATTATTATTGATAGATATATGGCAATATTACATCCATTGCATATATCATTTAACAAAACTTATCGGTCGATTATAACGTTAATTATCATATGGTTAATGTCGGCATTACTGGCCTCACCGCAACTATACACTACAAAAACCATATCATTTAAATGGGGAAACGATAGCTACTACAAGTGCCGCGAAGTGGCCAGTCGTCAATACAGTACATACTATTCCTTTATTATTTTTATGACCACTTTTATTGTACCGTTTCTCACATTGCTATACGTTTACGGTTGTATTGGCTTCAAAATGTTTCGCCGACGCATACCCGGTATATACATATACTATATACCAATATATAATATAATATTTTCTAACAAATTTTTAATGTTTGATAAATAATCTAAAAAATAAAATAATAATTTTTTTAGGTCTCAATTCACACGAAACAAGTATTACATTTCAAAATAAGCTGAAAGCTGTCAAAATCAGTGCCGTAGTTGTGATGCTATTTATTGTTTGTTGGCTACCAATACAACTATTTAATCTAATTGTTTGGTATAATCCATATCTCATTATGACTTTATTTGATATCCACTCCTATGTTATATTGTTTTTTACTTGTCATTGGATATCCAGTGCTCATGCATTTGGTCAGTAAATACTTTATTTATAAAATGTTTATAATTTTTTTTRAATTTTAAAATGACATAATAACTATTATACTTATATTTATATATCTGTATATTTGAATAGTTAACCCAATTATCTACTGCTTTATGAGCAACAATTTTAATGTAAGTAATTAAATAATTAGAAAATTGTTTGCACTATTAATTTATTGTAAAATATATTATGAATGAATTTTTAAAGCTAGAAATATTGTAAAATTTGTGATTTTCTCAAAAAAATATTGTCTATTTGTTCAAAAAACATATAATTTTATGCTAAAAATTATATAAATATATATAATTTTAATTAATTAAATTATTTTTACAGAAAGATCTTCATCTAATTGTCAGACATATGTTTCAACGAAACCAAAAACATAACACTTATATACAGAGAAATGTGATGATTGTGACACCAACTGAGGAAAACAGTGTATAATTAAGTTTAACATTAATTTGATTAACATTTTTATATATAAATGACATTAGTTTAGACATTATATACTAATCAAAACAGATATCARAAATGATRTCAACTAAAGATATCATAGATTTTTATGTCCGGTCACTGAGTTTTGAAATTTTTGTGTCTAATTTTATTGTTAATTTATATCAAATTATTATTATAATAATAATAATACATTTAAATTCATTCTGTATAACAAATTATAAATATTATTAAATAATTTAGTTTGACAACCAATATAAATAAGTATTTGTTAAACACTTATTTTTTTATATATATTAGTTATTTTAAAGCATATTTAATTACATATTTATTAATAATTTATATTAAAATACTAAGGAAGCATTTTTTGAGTGTCTATTTATTATTAAACAAAATGTCAATAACATGTATCGTTAAAAAATTATTCACATTTTTATAATAATGTGCGATAAAATCAACTTTAGTGTCTATAATTGAAAATATTAATATAATTTATAATATTATTTTCTATCACATACAATATCAGTGTAAACATTATTAATTATTATGTAATTAATTTTAAATATAAATGTTTAACATGTAATATTTATTTTATGTTTTTTAATCATTTAACCTTACTTATATAATAATGTATAAATGTTAATAATACAGTACTTTAAGACATTAGATTACTTTCAAAAGCTAATTATTAAAATATTCAATATAATATTCAATGTTTAATTCAGTATATTTTTGTAAATTAATTACTTTTCAAATAAAGTCAAATATTTTCAAAAATATTTATTTTATTGCATATTAACGGTTGAATACAAGATTTCAAAAAATTATTTTTTATAATTCTTAATTAAATTTTTAAATCATAATTAACCAAGTTTCAAAAAGATTAAAATAATTATTTTTTTAATTTTTAAAATTATAATTTATGATATATATATTAATATTAATTTTTTAGAAATAATTCATATTTATATATGTTAWTTTAAGTTAGCCTTAATAATAAATATTACATTTAATTTTTTTTAGATAAATAGATAAATATTAAGAATACAATACAATTTTCAAAATATTTTTCATTCATATAGATATAAATAGTATTAACTCTCACTCATCAGTGATGATCGCATTTAGAGCAGTCAATGGTGTAGTCGGTGTCGGTATCCACCAAATGGTTGTCCGGATATGACTTCTTGAATCTGATGCCATCCTTTTGGTCGACAAAATTCATAAATTTATTTTTAAGTGCTGGCATATTGTACGCCATAGTGATAATCTTATTCATATAATCCACTTCATCGCGTGATGTGGGCGACTCTATAGGTGGGGGTGTGATGGGAGGGGAGGGTTCAGATGTATTCAATTTATTGAAGAAAATATTTAAAGTTAGTTTATTAGAATACAGTATAATTTATAGTTATTTTGTTAAGTATCTACAATTATTTTAAGATATAATCGTAACTATGTGTTTAATATTTCAAATGTTTTAATCATTTATTATACTGTATGATATACAGTATAATTATTATATATAACACTTTCTGTTAATATATGCATTATTATAGTATTGTTACAGRTATTATAATTATATAATCAAATTTAATGTTCACAGTCAAGATATTTATACTACCAATTATAGCTATTAAAAGCCCACAGTTATTATGCACAWTAGGTTTTGTTTATATTAATAATAATGTTAATTATTTTAACTTTTTAAAAGATCTTTTTAACAAAATTTTTCACAAAATAACAAAAACAAAATGTAGCCGATGATAATTGTGGTAAAAAACAACTAAATAATATTAATTAATATAATTTTAAGTGACCATAATAATAATAATAACATACAATATATATATAATTTAATGTCATTGAAGTATATTACAATTATTTTTTAAAGTTTTAGTAATAGTTTACTAAACAAATAAGTTGTAAATTATTTTTAAAAAACAATTTGATTTGATTACGGTTTGAAGCAAACGATTTCTGTTTAGTTTTGATTTTATTTTTATGATTTCATTTTGGTTCCGGTTTTTTAAGACTCAAATTTCGATAACTAAACTAATTTACTCACTAATAGTATTTTAAATATTTCACAATAATATAATACATTCAATTATTAATGAATTATTACTATCTATCTCTAAAATGATGAACCGCTCAAATAGATCTATGAATATAATACAAATTTTATTATACAATATAAATGTATTGTTTTTCTAGAAAACAGTAAAAATAACATACATATAGACATATATTATAACTTATCACTTACATAATTATAAAGTGTTCTCTAGAAATACAATACATTAATATAAAACCATTATTTATAAAATAATTTCTTATTAAAACATTATTTACTAAAATACATATTTACTACACTATAATAATTATATTATGTATTTTAATGTATAATAATAATAATACTCTACATTTTACTACTGTTATATACAATAGATTAATATAGTACTGTATTTATATCTACTCTACTATAGAAACATTATATTATAGTAATTCAATATGTCTTTAATAAGTTTTCCCGTATTATTTTCTAATATCATAATATTAAATRTAAAATAATCATAAAGAGTCAATATACGTCACCAATTATTAATGACATTATATTTAATAATAAAGTTTTACAAATCAATTTTTGTTAATATTTAATAATTACTTGAAAAAGTATTGATTTTTAACATTCATTTCTATTAAGTATTATAATTACTAATTAGTCAACAAATACTTATAAAATGCTTCAAAAACAATATTTTTAAATAATTTTTATCAATTTTGATATTATTCATAAATAATTAACAAAAATAAATCAGTATTAACATCTATGACTCAAATTTTATGTTCTCATATTATATATAAAATATACCATAAAAAACTAAATATATATATTTAAATTAATTATTTACTTTAAAGTATATAAAACTAATATTTTTTATTATTATTTAAGTTTTAATTAATTAAATAATTAGAGTCCAAACCTCTATTATATCGTCTTTCAATTAGCATTTTTATAGGCAATAAATTCGAGATCTTTTTCAGTTGACTTTCATCCGATGCCAACACTTGACGACTATTAACAGCTAATATAACGACCAATATTTGTAATGTAATAAACATAACAAATAAAATCACTTTTCTATACATTATGTCTGATAAACTAATAATTATTCAATAATTATTTGACAAAACAAGTGTTTGACGATAAAATCTTTAATTTTATTCAACACTATAATTGTATAATAAAGTCAAAGCGTTTTTTACATAGAGAAGCAGCAAATATAAACTGAATTAAGATTTATTTACTGATAATTCAAATCAAACTAAAGTTTATACAAAATATTAACCAATAAATGATTTTGTGAACTGATTTTTATACTAAAATTGTTGCAAATATTTTTTGCTTTGAGTTAAAAAATCTTGAATTCTGCTTAATTTCGATGCAATATCAGTAGTTGCCGTCTAGTGATAAGTTGATGAAAGTACAGTACATAGTATAATGAAGTTTAAGTAAATTTAAAATTGTTTTATTAATGGTCTTATTAAATGTATATTATATTTAGTTAACAAATTTTTAAAATTATTGAATTGTTTCCAACAATAGATAATTAATCCAAAAAAAATTATTTTATGTGAATGACTATTTAACAAAAAAAATTAGTCAATAAGTCACTTATCACTGGATGTTACTCCACTGATATGCACACAGTATTAGATTTGTTGTTTTTTATACACTTGTTGTGTGATTGGAGTTAATAATAAATTCAATTACCGATCCATTTGTCAATTTAACTTTGACTTTGGGCTCACTATTAACATTCAACTATTTTTTTAAATCAAAGGGGAAAGTGTTGTTTCTATGTTAAGGGGGGAGGGATTAGATAGTCATAAGAGTGTAGTATTATTATTATTAGTCAAAATTTTATTTATCAATTACTTTAGTATATGATAAAACTCGCCTTTAATTATATTTTTTTTAAACTTTTGTGACTTTTACCGACATTTATTTTGTTTAAAAATTTATATAAAATATTAGCAGAAATTCAGTTAATATAATATAATACACATACACTTGAATGAAAATTGTAAATATTAATAGACTTTTAACAATAGGTCTAATAAAATATTTTCTAAAATAATAGTAATTATGTTGAAATTGTATGACGTTTGTGAAAAAAATAACAAAATACTTAAATATGAAAATTTTTAAATTGAATTACTTTTCTTTAAAAAATTTAGTTGACATTTATTTTGATTTACAAATTTATTATTTTTGATTTTTATAAATAAAAAGAGTATACAAAAGTATAATAATTTATGAAACAAACAACATTTGTAAATACTATATAATTTTTTGTTTTTCAAGTAAATAAATACAGTAAAAAWCTTTTATCAAACACAATAATCATCAATAGTATCTACAATATACTGTATAGTAAATGTATTGTACTATTTATATCAAAGTTAATACATAACATATGATATTTTATTATGTTTTAGTATTTGACATTTGTATTGTTTAAATATTATAGTGGTTTAGATTACATTATTTATAATAATAATAATAWTATTATTATTATTATAACTAAAACATTGATTCTTCAAATATTTGGACAATGTAATTTATATATAAATTATATATAGTTTATACCGTATAATATAATATATATGATGATCAATATATTTATATTAAAATGATCTCTACTTTAGCTATTTATTTAATAATAACTTATATTTAATTATCTGGAAAAACAAATATATAAGTGAATCATGAAAATTGATGTCAAATGAAATCCATATTATTAATGGCTATATAAGTCCCAAATTGATAATCCTTATGATATGTTAAACAAATATCATTTTTATGACCAATGTTGCAATAATTGCATATTTATAATATAAATTTTATATACATTATTCTATAATTTTACAAATTTTCTTATATAGTAACAAACAGTTACGACATCTATAGCTAAATGTGATAAAAATAAAAATATCTGCAATAAACATATGCAATGTTTAGAGTGAGACGGCGTTATATGTTATACTGTATTATTATAATACAGTCTGTATAGTGTATACTAGAGACTGAAAACTGACCTGATTTTTCAGGTCAGGTCAGGTCAGGTAAAAGTTAGGGCTCAGGTCAGGTCAGGTACGGGTCCGAACACCAAAATTTTTTGGTCAGGTCAGGTCAGGTCCGAAAATTTTTTATTCATTATTTAAACGACAATTATTACAAAATATGACAATCAAACACAAAATTTATTAAATTATTATTTATAAAATATTTGTATAAATTAAACATAAAATATTACAAAAGATGATGGTTTTGATCTAATAAATAATAACATATTAACTTTATTAGAATCTAAGTTAGATCTACTATCAGTTATCGTTAATCCCGAGTAATTAAAGTTAATTTAGAGAAATTTGTTGCGGGTATAGAATAAATAAAATTGTTTTTTGATAAAATTATTTTCGGACCTACATAGTCAGGTCAGGTCAGGTCAGGTAAATTTGTACCCTATGTTAGGTCAGGTCCGAGTCCGAGATTTTAGGTATCAGATCAGGTACGGGTCAGGTACGGGTCCGAAACTTTTCGCTCTCTAGTGTATACTATCAATCAATTCATACAATGATTATCAATATCTTTATCACTTTAATACACACTCTCTCTACTGTATGTTTACAATACATAATATTCTGTGGTCTATTAGTAGGCGTTAAATTGCGGCACCGGTAGATAAAAACATTTTCTGACCACTTATAGTTACTGTGATTTGAACTACAWGTGCACAAATACATTTAGAAACAGTTAGTGTTATTATAATTACAATAATGTGAACAATTAAATATAGTTATACATCAAAAATTATTTATTTATTCATATTATTTATTTATCATGTTAAAAAATATATAATTGTTTATTTAATGTTGCATGATCAATTTGTGTACATTAATGTCAAGACTGTGGTAATTATATTTACATTAATATTGCTATTTTGATAAATGACTATTTATTTATGTTAATATATTTATATACATTTAATTATACATAACTATATAATATATGATATTTATATTTAATAATTTTTAATCACTATTTGGACAGTTATGCAGCACTACAGGAATCTCAAGATTAGATCCGTATTAACAATACTAACAGTGTTCACAGTATTATGTATATTGTTTTCATTGAACAATCACCTGCAGGACAGTCGTCTACAGGACATTCAGGACAGGATCCATGAGCTGGACTGCGGGAGTCACGTGAATCTCACTTTCGACGAGTTTAATCCCGATGTTATAGACGACGGGTCGTACATACCGTCACCGAAACAATTAGTGCCAAATATAGTTCATTATATTTTATTTACTATTCATGAGATCGAGTTCTCACACTTCGTGTCTATTCTGTCGGTACTGAAGAATCAAAAACCAGACATTATTTATATTCATTGCGATTGCCATCAATTGACAGGTGATTACTGGCCACGTGTTCTACGGTTAGCACAGTTGACGGAAACGCGACTTATTGTGCGATCAATTTTCAGACCTTTCGGCATATTTGGCCGCAAATTCAACAAATTGTGGCTCAATTGGCACGCATCAGACATCACCCGAATTCGTGTGCTCCGGGAGTTTGGCGGCATATATCTGGACAGAGATGTATATGTAGTGAGAAGTTTGAATCGCTTTCGCACACATGAGATGACCATCGATTTCGAGGGCAACGGAACAGTGTTGGCCTCGCAGACACTGATAGCACATAAAAACGCACGATTCCTCAAACTATGGCTACTATCCTATTGTGAATATGACTCCAAGTTCTGGTACTATAATACGGGAGTATTGCCAACCAAAGAGATTATTGAGAAGAGACCCGAACTCATACATCGATTGAACGGCGAGTTTGGCGCCGATTCTGTGGCTTTCTGTCCACTTATATATCATTCGTATTATAAGAATTGGAGGCAAAAGTTTTATGCCTTTCATCTACTTATTAGAGGAGATTATCTGTCGCCCAATGGCTGGTGTTTGGGCGGCAATCGGCCAAAGATATCGCAATTCAATGAACAAAATATTCGTCAATTGAACACAACTTTCGGTGAAATGACKCGCGAAGTCTTTGCCTTTGAAACACAATTAGTGAATAAGCATTCAATTCGTTAATTATATTATAATTTATTGAAACATATTGTTATTGAAATTATTTTTAAAATTRTTACTTAAAAAATGTTATCATAAAAAAATATTCTAAGATATATATATATAATTTTATTGCTTAAATTAATGTTATATAAATTATTTTTATTGAATTATTTATTTGACAATCATGTATATATATATATATATATATATATATTTAAATTTATATGAAATATTTATTATAAATTATAAAATAATTGTTGAAATAATTATATTATATTTAGGTTATTAAATAATTATTAATTACTTAAAAATTATTAACAATTTTGTAGTATTGAACACATAATTAACACGTAATTAATTTAATTGATGTCTGCATTATGTGTGCACTCATTGAATGGCGACTGCAATATATAAACAAATGATTACACAATATATTAGATAATCATTTGTTTTAATGGTTTTGGCAGTGATTTTGAATTACAGTCTGTATTGTCGTTATATTTGTCTTCATTGCTGACCATTGATTGAACACTTGRAGACATCACATTAATATTGGATGTGATGGCTGTTCAAGACATGGTTTGCGATGACTTGCAGACAGAAGTGTCGGCACTTCGCGATCAAAGCAATGATCTCATTAAAGAGTTGTTAGTTTACAAACAAGTTGTCCACTCATTGGATCGGATCCGTTGTTTTGCTGTCATTCTCAAGAGTCAATGCAAGTGCGCTCAGACCAAGACATTGATCCGCAAGAATGAGTATCTATTTCGTGAATACGACAGAACCAAACAGCTATTGGTAGACAACACATCCGATGAGGCCATCATGCGATCGATTGCCGATAAATGTCAGTCCAATGAAGACCAGATAGATGTCGATGAAGACGGTCAGCCATTTAAACAAACAATTAGCTGTAAAGTAGTTTTGTTTATATTTWAAAAAAAACTAAAGAATATATTGTTTAGATCGACAATCAATTGATGTCCAGTCGGTGACCAAAAATAAGAAGAAACAAACAAAACGTGTGATACGAGCGATGAAGAGTCAGCCGTTAACCGATAAAAGTGACACTTCWTTTGAAATAAACGCAAAGACATTGCCGACCAACAGGTCAGAAGTTATTGTCACCGGCAACGGCTTCCGATGCGGTTAYGATGACTGTCCATTTGAATGTCGGCGTCGCAACACAATTGAYAAACACATTAAATCTTATCATTTGACTCCCGACGGACGTCCCTATCAGTGTGATGTTGATGATTGTCGCAACGCTTTTCGCACTAAAGAACATTTACGACAACATAAACTATCGCTTCATCCCGAAGTGGTTCCCGACGCCAAATGGATTGAATGCGAATTTCCTGGTTGTCAATACCGGACCAAATCTAGTAACGTATTCTTTAAGCATAAGCGCAGTCATACACTACCATTTGAATGTCATCTCTGCGACCGCCGATTTCCGACACCGCAACCGTTGGAATTGCACATTAAGATGCACTCCGGTGTCAAAGAGCACGTGTGTCCCTACTGTTCTAAAGCGTACGGTCCGCGTAAGAGTTTGTACGCACATATCCAAAGGTGTCACAGCGAYCACGTATACGACTGTGACGTACCCGACTGTGGCAAACAGTTTCAGACCGAAACACAGCTCCGACTGCATCGACAGCGTATGCACGACCCGACATACGAGCGTCCGGTGGCCTGTATTTGGGTGGGTTGTGACCGTCGGTTTGAGACCAATGCTCAGATGGAGGATCATCTGAACAAACATACCGGCGAACGGTTTCATGTATGCAATCACTGTAACCACTCGTTCACAACCAAAAGCGATCTCTACTCTCATATCTCSAATCAACATAAGGACCGGCCGTTTGCCTGCAATTATCCCGACTGTAAATTTAAGGCCGCATTCATGAGCCGACTCCGTACTCATCAAAAACGTCATGAAATACAAAATAAACGGTCAGAAGATTAATGATTGGAAAAGACATTGACTTTAATTCTATTAATAAATGTATTTTGTTTACAATATATAGCATATCATAYAAWATCTGTTATCTTATGTGTWRTATATTATTAATACTCTATAATATAKTTAATTATTAAATAATTTTTATTATAAATTTTATAAAAAGTTTGTGTACTACCGTTTTTAACCACTTAATTAGACATATCAATTTTAAAAATTAATTAAGTGTCAAAAAGGTATGGAACTAATTATCACTAAACCTGCCATACCATGGCAGATAATGCGATAACTAAAATAGTCGAATGGCAGTAAATGTGATAACTGGTATCTACACAATTATAAGTGTTTTAAATATCTATTTAGTTATAATTAATTAAATATATTCAATCAATTAATAAATAAATAATTTAATATATATAATTATAAATAATATAAATAATAAATTAAATTAGCATTAATAATGCATAAATAATAATTAAATAATGAAAAAAATCATGATGGAATGAATTTGATTTAATAAAAACTTATAACATGGCTGGGATTTTGTGCCCTCAAATTTAATTACCACTAAACCTGCCACTTATCGCATTATCTGCCAATGGAAAGGCGTGTGCGCAACAACGGTACTAATTAAAGTATATGATATTTTTATAACTATCATAATTTAATTATTCATTATATCCTATATTGTATATATTTATAAATAATAACACAATTTAAAAAAATTGCATAATTTTGCTTATCAAGATCAATTATTTAAAAATTATCYTGATAATTTTTATCATTGTCACTGAGTATTGTATTTTTATATTTGGTAAAATTAATATACATGTATAAAGTAGTTTACAGTATCTGAAAATAAGATACAGGTGCAAAACTACATGTATTAATATAATASTACATTAATATGAAATTTAATTAATAAATAAAATTTATCCAGATGGTTGATTATGTTGACATAACAAATAAACAAAATTATTTATAATCAACAATAAAAAAARCTACCTGGCAAATTTGATYTATCATTATATTTATTTGTCATATTTTATATTGAATTTATTGTAAACTTTTAATTTTGATAATCCAAACAACAATACCTTAAATTTAATTATTATTTTCTATTAATTAATATTAAATATAGTATTGTATGACATGTTATGCCATCTCTGGACTAATTGAATGTATAGATTGTTTGACCAAATGTAAGGTATCGGTAGTTTGTGTTGTAATTCATATAAAGTATTAATAATATATAACTAACTGTTTGTTTAGTCACAACACATGCGGTCTGTGTTTGTAATGATTGTCAACAACGAAGACAACAAACAATAAGACAGATATCTATCCATTGATTGTATTGCAAATTCAAGTGACAGTATATCACAAGTGATTGACAATATGTGCGACAATTGCGGTGACTTTTACCGGTCACGTGTGGACCAAATGATGGACACAAACGTCAARCTAACAAAAGAGCTGTTGTTGTCTCAACAGCTGATCCACTGTCTCGAGCGTGTCATGTCTTATGCCATTCAGTTGCGCAACACTTGCAAGTGTACGGACAACAAGACGCTGATCCGCAAGAATGACTTCCTCTTCAAAATGTACAAAGAGATCAAAAAACAGTTAACTGATCACAAGTGCAGTCAATCTGCCGGCGATGCGCCGAYAGAGACATCAGTGGTCAGCGATAAGTGTTTGACAAACGGCAACAACAAAGTTGGTATTAATGTCGTGCAGACCAACGATGACATACTGTTAAATGGTAACCAATCTTATGGTAAGTACCGATAATCGATAATTGTTTACCGATTGAAACTAATTTTTTTTGTTTCATTAAGACATGTCTTCAGATGAATCACTGATCGACGAACAGCCGTTAGTGAGACAGCAAATGCCGTCTCCCATCAATTGTTTGTCGGAAATAAGTTTTGATAACTCAGATAAACTGCTGACAACTCCGCCACAGCTATCGAGACGAATGGTTACCAGAAGCAGAAGTCCAGCGATTCCTAAACTCGATAAGATGGTCGAGTTTAGCGATAGGACATCACCACTGCCACCACTTCCACCGCTCATATCWTTTACAAAAACTACAGAAATATCGACACAGACATCGATTATCAGAAAGTCTCCGGAAAAGACACGATCGTTAACCACAAAGTCTCCAGAAAAGCCAATATCGATGACCTCAAAGTTCACAGAAAAGTCAAGATCTTTGACTCCGATATCTACAGAAAAGATACCTCAGATTAATACTATTGTCTCAAATGAKGAAACATCTGCAATGGAGTCAACCGAATACGATATGTCTATCGACGATACGGACAATACGCATAACATCGACAGCAAAAAAACAACATTGATGTACAAGACATCAGTTTTAAGTGCGGCCACAAAGGGTGTCCATTTAGATGTCGCCGCCGCAAGACATTCAACCAACACGTGCTAACGCACCGCAAGTTTACCGATTCTGACCATCCATATCAATGTCAAGTCGGTGATTGTAGCAGTGTTTTCAAATCGAAGATCTATCTCAAGCAACACGAGTTGACATTTCATCCGGAAATATATCCGGAAGCCAAATGGTATACGTGTCACGTGCGCGGYTGCCACTATCGCAGCAAATCGTATCACGTGTTCTTCAAGCATAAACGCCAGCACCGGGAACGGGCTTACGCCTACCCCTGTCCCATATGCAGCCACCGGTTCACTACAAGAAATACACTCAACCGACATATCAAAGACAACTCGTGTGCCAAACGACGAACTGACAGTTCAGAAGCGCCTTAAGATATAAAACACTTCATCAGTCAAATCATTTGTCATTACATTACCGATTCTCTCATAAATTTTTATTGATATTATTAATTAATTTAACAAAAAAATAGTAATTTAATTAAACTTAAAAAAATAATATGAATCATAATRTTATATATTATATTATATTATACTGTAATAATATCAATAATTCATTTCATTATCTGTATATTGAATTATTTTATATTAATTTTATCGTAATTAATATTTAGTTAATCAATAATAAATATAAGCTAAATTAGTCACATTTGTTGATTGATGATTAATAGACACACAATTGTTAATTAATATGAAATTCGTGTATTTTTAATTTCATTGTAATATTAACTTTATTATTCTAATAATAAGTTTTATAATATTTGATAATAAATTGTTTTTTGAATATCAAATGAAATAAAAGTTGTAGAAATATTTTAGTGATATTTTAAAAATATTATTTATTTATGATAAATTTAATTGCGGTAAGTCGAGATATTGAAATTATAATATATAAAAATACAATGTATAATACAGTACATGCAATACAATATAAATTGTATACTGTATTATATAATGCCAAAATTCAAAACATTTCCAACCCTAGTAGTTATCAATAATTATTTTCAATTTCAATTATCACAAAATATAAAACTACAATAGAAAGTATGTACAATAATACATATGGTATACCATATAAATTTGCTCTCTTATGCCAACAATGTTAACAAAATTATCAAATATTAATTTAATATTTTTTAATAAGTTATTAATATTATATTATTAATAATAACAAACAATGTTTTGATATAAATTAATTTTTATAGTATTTTATAATTTTATTTAATAAAATTAAAAACAATAATGCAATAAAAATTTAATTATTTATTTTATGAAAAACCAGAGAATATATACTATAATAACTATAATATATGTAGAATTTATTCAATTTTTATGATTAATTATACAAACTTTTAAATAACTAAAATTTATTACAGTAGTTCACATAAAATAATATTTATAAAACAATTAAAATATTTCTCGTCTATTAAAATAATAAAAATAGTATTTTTTCAAATAAAATAATTGGATATTATTTTAAACATTGTTTTTATCAGAAAAGTACTATTTTTGTAAATAATATCATAAAATTATGACTATTATTATTAAAATAAATTTTTTATTAAATTATGTAAATTGTTAGTATCTAATACTTACTTTAATAAATTTAATATAATATTAATACTTTAACATTGCTTATTTAATATACAATAAATATTATAGAAAAAATTTATTATAAAACATAAACCATAAAAATATAACAATTTAATAAGTATTTTATTTTTAACGATTTTTATCTGAAATATGATTTATTATGTATTTCATAATAAATTGCTTCAAAATATTTATTTTTAGAAAACAAAATCATTATGGTTTATTTAACAATGTTATATTTAATTAGCAATTTAATAAATATATTTATAAAACATAAATATAACAAAATAAWTMATTTAAMTTACTAACTGAAAAATTAAAACGATAAATTAGTAAATTYAGTTATATGATTTATTTTCAATTTTTCCATTATATGATATATTTAATTATCTTTTATATAAAACTATTTTTTAAACTTTAAACTTAAAGATATTTAAGTTTAGTTTAATTAAATTAACAAATACTGTATTAAATTTGCATATATATATAATAATAATAATATAATATATAAATGTACCTATATAATTTATAAAATATATTTTAACTGTTAAATTTTTAAATTAACAATTAACCGAATAATAATTTCTAATTACATTAATTAAATAWATATATAATCTGTTTGTTTTGTAAATAATCTTTAATATAATATAAAAAATACACGATAATAAAAACTTTTTATTAGATTATGATACAAATTGTATAAAGGTATTATTAGATTGTGTAATAACATAATACAATGATAAATTATTAGATTTGATAAGTTTTGATTGATATATTAGCAGATAACTACCGGAAAAAATAAAATTAATCAAAATATTTTATTAGATATTATAATTAAAAATGTCAAATTGATGAGATAAATCAAATGTGTTTACCAAAAAAAATATTAGTGATAAAAAAGTAATTGCAATAAAACAATTGATAAAATTTAATTTTCAGATAATTAGATCGATTTTATTAAAAAATGTTAATAAAATAATATAAMTGTTTATTATATGGTAATATTTTTAAACACGTGTTTATCATTATAATTATCTCATCTATTAAAAAATAAATATATGTGTAATATTTACCTTATAAGACATAAAATTATATATTTATTTGTGTATTTTTTTATTATTATTATCATTATTAATTTTAAGATTTACTTAATATAGACATTAAAGGCGTGACTACATTGCTAAATAAATCTTATTATTATTTTATATCACTTTATGCAATAAAGATAATATATTTTATAATGTAATTAATTAATCATATTATTTGATTAAACAAAAAAAACATTTTTTATGATATTTTTGAACTTTTTATTCAAGCGCATAACCAATGTATAAAAGTATGACTCTTAACTAATTTTACTGTCAATTGTTTGTCGACCTATCGACTGGAAAGGTAGCAAAATATATATATCTTTAGACTCTTTTGTAAATTTCTTATAGTATATAMAGTACACATAAAATATTAAGTGTATATTTGAATCAATGCCCAAAAGAATTATTAATTATCATCGAAATGAAGACAAAAATTATTATCCTTTTAGATGAGTCTCTAAGTATGCGAAAGAAACGCCACGAAGTCATCGGAGGTTTCAATGCCTTTCTTAGAGAACAGAAACGTCTGAAGACTGATTCATCAAAACTGTATTTAATTAAATTTAATACAAACGTCAATATTGTTTATTCAGGTCAGTTGTGTCCCAATAAAGTAGACAATTATATATATAATTTAAACATCTATCTCTCTCCTCTATTTTTATAATATATTTCTAATTAAATAAATTATATTTTATAATATAGGCGATAATGTAAAAGACGTGCCCGACTTGAAACCATCAATGTATACGCCATGTGGTCGGACAGCCCTATTTGATGCCATATCTGAAGGCATATATATTGCTGACGAGGATATGGATGACAGCGAAAATGAGAAAGTAATTTGTGTTATCATTACCGACGGCGAAGAAAACTGTTCAAAGGACACGACCAAAGACCAGGTTCGGCGACTTTTGGCTCAGTACGAGTCCAAAGGCAACTGGGCTTTCGTTTACATCGGCAAAAACCCCGACCGTTGGACCAAAGAGGTCGGTATGTCTGCGGCAATGGGAATCTCATACAACTATAATGAACCGCGCATTACATTCAAACATATCTCTAATACGGTCACCAAATATCGGGTCTCCAAATATAAACTTAARAAAACACTGTTTCAGAGATTTGGATTAAAATGATTTTATTTGTTTTATTTATATTATWAGTTATTTACCTTTAAAATTGTGATAATAAGTTTGAATACTATAATATGAAATACAGMAAATGTGAAWATTGTGTACAAATTAATATATTCGATATAATTATGCTTTAATAAAATATTAAAATTACATRCAATAAATATAATATTGAATAAAATGTAAATATATTAGAAATATATCATTAATATATTATTATTATTTTAATATTAAATTTTTATAAAAATAAARCAATAAAAAATAAATTATAAAAGTTATAAATATTGATATATATAAGTTGATTTTCAAAATTAATTAATTAATATATTYAATAATCTTAAAACAATTATGCGAAATGAATAAAATTAAAATATAATTTTATAATTTCTTTAGTATATACTATATAGAAATTTTCAAAAAAGAATATTATATAAAGTATATATATATATAAGTTATAATATAATTAATTAAATATAAATTATTAAATAATATTAMAGTRTTTGATAACATTAAAATTAWGATTAWAAATTAAWAATATTTAAAATCAAATATCTTGTTTTAAAAKTTTAACAATTAAAAAAATAATACAGTATATTGCTTAAAATAAACATTATAATTATGTTATAATGACTTATTAAAATGATATAAATTTAGTTTATATTACATATGTCATAATTAAAAAAACAATATCAATTTTACATAATTTTTAAAATACCAAATATTATAATTATATATCAGAAACAAATATTAAATAAAATTTTTAAATGATGTGTTTGTAAACAAATTATTGTAAATGAATATCAAATAATAATCAAAATTTAATGATAAATAAATAAATAAAAATTATTTTCAATACAATCACTTAATTTGATAACAAATTGCTGCTCTGTTTAGACAATGATCTGCGGAACTGTGAGACCGCACTGTTGGCCATCATATAGTTACGTCGGGTGTCCACGTGATCATAGTTAGTGGCATTACCACCGGACATACCAGCGTCACGGCTCCATCGGTCCGGGTTTTCACCGATATAAATGAAAGTCCAATCGCCTCTATTCTGATACCCGGTTATGATATCCTTTACCTGTTGTTTGGTTGTCTCGCGGGACGAGTTTTCTTCTCCGTCGGTCATAATAACACATATGACCCGTTCGTCCTCTTTCTTGTCTTTATCGGCAAGTCGTACGCCCTCTGCTATAGCGTCGTACAGTGCGGTCATACCTCCCGGCAAATAGTTATTTGCTGTCAACTCGGGTACGTCGGCTAAGTCTATGCCTAATTTRTAAACAAAATAAATTATCTGTTAATATATWCTGTAAAACATTTTGAAAAAATAGATTTAATACTACATTTAGAGACAAAAAAGAGACATTTCAAAATAATAGACATTTTTGGAAAGTTTCTAAAAGAWATTTCTGTYTATGAGATCCCTTATTAATTCAATTAAKTTGTTGTCTCGATATTTGTTATTTTGAAACAATTCATTAAAACTATAAATATCAACTAAATTTTATTATTAGTATTTTAATTAATATTCAAAGTAAAAAAATAATTCATTTAATTACATTAAACTAAAAATATAATCAATTATGAATAAAAATTTACAAAAAATAYAATTATAATTAGATAATTATATTAATTTTATAAATAAGAATCCCATTAATATAGTAATTTGTAATGTATATTATGTAACATTATTACAGTTTTATAATAGCYATAGATATGGGGATCACATAGTATTATATATTATATAATAACATAAATTATTATAAAATTTCTATTTACCCATCTCTAACTCTAACTACATTAAAAAAATTCTCAAAAATTGAAATAATACATGTAAATAGTATCAATATTATATTGAATATATAAATATATATATATATATTTATTTTTAAAGTAATTCCAAAAATACAATATAAAATATTAGAAATCATAATTTATTGTTTATTGATTACATCATTAACATTAAGCAATTTAACAATACAATATACTGATATATAGATAATTATAGAATTTTAATGATAATCCTTAATTTAGTTTATTATTCTATAAAATAATTATGAAAATCTAAATTTAATTATATAAATTTATATATTTATTAATACATTGTTTATTGATTACATCATTAACATTAAGCAATTTAACAAGTAAGATTAGCGTACATAAATTTAGCAAGTATGATTAGCGTAYATAAATTTATATATTTATTAATAATACTATTATATTATTRTATGATATACAGTACAGTAGATAGATACTGTATTAAATGAATACATCAAAWAATATTATATCAATTGTAAGTTMCAATWTAATAATTTAACACTAATTAGAAATTAATTAGTTAAAAAAAAGTATCACAACTCACCTTTATGTACAATGGAAACTGTAGTATTAAATTTGACCATGTACAATCTAGCATGATCATTTTTGATTTGTTTTTGATCGGACACAAAACTATTGAACCCACCCAATACATCACTCTTTTTGTTTCCCATACTTCCACTTTCATCCAGAATCACTATAATCAATGTTTTTGACATATTTTTGTGTGTTRTGTGAGTAAACAGTTAACAAATTACAATATGTTATATCTTATAAAATATTTATATATATATATATATATATATAGTATTTACTATTAGTATATATAATTTTACTTCTATCTAACTATTCTTTATATACTAATGTAATTTTTATGAATTTCACACATATTGAGTCACGATATTTAAAAATAATAATATTATTATTATTATTAAGTCATTGTAAATATGCAATCGTATATAATATAATTTATATAGTATTGTACTCTTCAAATGTATTTTCTAAATTATTGCACATGCTCATGTATAGTATACATGTGTATATGTGTGTATGTGTATGTGTATGTGTATGTGTATGTGTATGTGTATGTGTATGTGTATGTGTATGTGTATGTGTATGTGTATTATGTGTAYGTGTGTGTGTGTGTGTGTGTGTGTGTGTTATGATAGTGCAGTTGCAATACAATTGCAGTTTACTGTAATTTAAAACAAATGTCAACAATTAAACATAACATTATAGTTATATATCAATATAAAATTATATAGCATTGGCGGTTGTTTTATATTTAATTTAATTTTAAGACAATAAAATACATACAATAAACAAAATTAAATTTTATTATAGATATTRTGTTACATAAATTACTAAATATAAATGAGTAATTTTGAATTTTATAAATATTTTATTGATAGTATAAAAATAAKGATGAAATATGTTTTGTAATGATAGATGAAATGTCTATGAAATATATTGTGTATAAAAGCAATAATTTTTATATAATAAAACAATGAAATCTTTATTTTTGATTTTATAATTAAGAAATGTCATTTTWATGAGTTAATAGCATTTAATATGCAACTAAAATATTAACCATATTTAGACAATTACTTATTGAAAGTTAATTACAAATAAAATAATTTATTTGTATAACTTATTATTATTACTAACAAATTATTATAAATTTTCTATTGTTTTWAATAATTTTAATATGAAATCTATAATAATATTTACATTAATCATTTGTCTAGACATTACTATGATATTAAGGTAAACTAATTATTGTATTTGTGTTATATTGATTAGAGYTAGTTATTAGACTTATTATACTTATAATATTTATGTTTTATTTTAAATGACACTTAATTTATTATATTTGATGTCTGGTCACACACTGTGACACACAGTACCGAATGTCGAGGACAGGTATAAACTTAAATTTCTGTATAATATTGATTGATGTGAACACCATTTATTAGTCTATTTCTCAACAAAACACAAAATTATTTAAATCGTTTTTTGTTAATTAAATTAACACATAGAGACATACAATAATCTTTTTAACACATGTGTCTGATTTATAGTGTAGGTCTAACCATCACTTTAATCAATACACATTATAACATACAATGTTTATACTGTATATAGGGTTATATATTCTATAGTTTAAAACCTTGAGMAGACATAGTAGTTGGTTGTGAGACCACTACTTGTAGTAAATAAATCTATAATTTAAGAGAAAAAATGAAAGAGAAAGAGAGAGAGAGAGAGAGAGAGAGATTTAACTTTTTTATTTGGATCCTTATAAATATCCTTACATTGAMATTAGTTTTCAACGAGATTGGTGTTTAATAAAAAAAAATAATATATTATAATTTATTTAAATATTTTATAATGAATTTTGTTAATTTGTTATATTTATAATATTTAATACACATTTTTATTATATTTGTTAGAYWTTTGTTAGCGTCAAATGAAACGATTTAAGAAATAATTGACATAAATATAGGACTGATATATTTGCAGGTAATTATATCACATATAAAATATACACAAAATAATTATAAATAAATAATAGACAATTATAAATAATAATACAAATATTTTATTTATTCAAAATTATAGTTTAACAATATATAAAAAATAAATTTTAASTATTTTAATCAATACTATGATATAATAAAGAACGAGTGTATTTGAAATGTTTTTAAAAAACAAATAAAAATAGTTTACTAATTGATTGATTGATTTCTACAAATATATGTATAAAACAAACATAAATACAATAATATATATAATATTAAACTGTTTGAAAGTGTAATAGTGATCCGATTGTATTTGAATATATCTACAGGATATAAATTGTTATAAATATTATACATTGTTATTACAATTTGACAAAAATTATAATGCTTTGATGTAAATTTAATCAATTAATAAAATACAACTATAAATAATATGGAAATATAAATAAAACTTTATTTTATATAAATATATATATAATTACAGATTAATTTAATTTAAAATATCTATTTATAATTATAATAATTTTTTCATTATGATAAATGTGGTAATTATTATCAGTATGTATACAATATATAAGTGTATATATATTTAACTATATTTTGGAGAATGTAATGAGTTTTATAGGTTTATTGTAGACATAGAGTAGAGGTTCGGTTGGAAAAGGAATTATACGACAGATAGGAATGGCTGACGGGATGAGGAGCTCAGCAAAACTGAAGGTCTCTCTCTCTAACAACAGGGACTATACAGTTAAGGGAAACGACTGGTAATTTGATACCCATTGGGTATCTTAAAGGGTCTAATGAATGAATGCTTTAAGACCGGAGAGATGACAGAAAAAGTAATGAAAGACTTTAAGAAAGAAAGAGAGAGGAAGAAGAAGGACAGGGAGAGAGAGAGAGAGAGAGAGAGGGAGAGTCGGGACGGTATGGATGGTATGAATCATTAGTTCCGCCATTTGTTTTAGTGGTGTTTCCGTTGAAAAGTCTTAAGAGTTTTGTGTGTTTTGTGAAACAACACATTCAGATGAGATCACAATTCCATTCGCCTTCCATTCTCCAGACACTGAATGCATAGGAGAGCCTCTCATGTGCCACATATGAACAGGCAGTCGACAAACGACTGTCTATTGGCTCCTCTTTCCTTAGCACCTGATCTCAAACAAATACATTGAAAGAGAGGAGAGAGAGAAAAATAGCAGACAATGTTTAATTAATTTACTATAAATGTGTTAAATTTCTATAATACATACAAAACTATTATTATTTTTTGCATTATAAATATATTAATTATTTAATAAAAGTATTAGACATAATGTGTCTGACATATAGTAAAGTGAATTTTTAATAATAATTTTAAATAATTATTGCTTTTAATATTAAKACTTAAAACTTTAAAAYAGAAAATTAAGATAATTATAAAAAAGTTTATTACTTATAAAGCAGACAAACATATGTYACCTCAATATCACATATTATATAACTTATTAATTATGTAATGAATTTTTTTATATGTGTTCAGACAACTACTTATAATTGAATAAAATTAAGATAATAAAGATATTAGATATAAAACTAATAGATAGTTTTTAGATATTATCAAACCTGGTAGAGGAAYTGTATGTAACGGGAGGCCAACTTAAGTGTTTGTATTTTACTGAGTTTATCGGACGGTAGGGTTGGAATGATTTTCCTTAACTGTGTAAATGCCTGATTYAATGACTGTGTCCGCTGCCGTTCCCGAACATTGGCCAGRACACGTTGGTTTTGCATYTCATCAAAATTGACAGACAGGTCAGACATRTCCAACGATGCCGATGATGATGACGGCGATGCATAKGAMTCGTTGACAATCATATTCATAGTGTCGTCACCGTTGCACTGTTGTGTGTAGTGGTTCGGTGACCGACTTACCACCGATGATGATATATGACCTATAGATGATGGCATATCAGTCATACGCTTTTTGGCGCGCGTCATGTCTTCCGATTGGTGTCGATAGCAAACTGCTTTCCGACGCTTACGGAATGGCCTATCGGTGCTGTTGTTACTGCTTTCGTTGCTGTCATTGTTGAACATTAGCTGTGCTTCAATCACATCCATATCATAGGCATTAAAGTCTTTTTTACTTAACTCTCTATATGAGGAGGAATGGGATGCGCTCTGACTTATTCACTACTCACACACACATCTGGTATGACTGTTAAGACAATTATGAGAGACTTTCTTGACTTTTCATCGTCTTTAACATCAATATATATGTACTGTACATACAGTTAAACCGTATAAATATAAAGACATATATTAGTCTCATTAGAGACAATATTGCTTTTGGGGAGTGATCTTGTATTGGACGGCCCTATCTTATAATGGTGTRAAAGCTTCTGTCTCAAAACTACTATATATATTATTATAAGCACTGGTATATAATGGAGTGGCACCTAATTTATACACATTTTTGTTTTAAATACTGTCTATACACTATATGATAATATACTACTATTAAAGTATATAAATATTTATAAATAATTGTCAAATTTTATTTGTGTATTTATGTCTAATTTTGATGTGATTTATACTAAACTGTATGAGACTGTTAAGGTAGTAGTGTTAGTCTCGTCCGGAAACTGGTTGTCCAACAAAAATAATAAATCAATTTTTTGAGTTAAATCTAAATCAACATTAATTAATCTAACTTATAATAATAATAGGATAAAATAATAATAGCTTTACCAATAAAGCCTATTGAAATTATTTATCATATTATTAATGTTTACTGTTATTATTAAAAAATATTTTACATTTTAAAAATAAATTTGATATTACATTTATTCATTTTTTACACAATTAGACAATTTAATATAAATTATTAAAATAATTAGAATWTTATTTATTTATTATTTTATTTCTATAGTAATTTAGTTTYATATTAATTATATATAATATAAWATTATATTATATACTGTATATGATAGTAAAATGTATTAAATTTTTATGACAAATACTGTATTTACATATAATATTTGTGGCTAAAATATTTGATAAAAATGAYTAAAATTTATTAAATTTTTGCAAWTTATTAAGTAATAATATTTCGTAATCCAACACATCTCTAGCCATTTCGCCAAACGTTGTGTTYAATTGACGGATATTGTGTTCATCAAACTGGGATATCGCGGGTCGGTTACCATTGAGACACCAACCGTTTGGCGAAAGATAATCACCTCTAATAAGCAGATGTACCGCATAATAGATTTGTCTCCAATCGTGTCTATACTTATGGTAGAGTTCAGGACAAACGCGATAACCTTCGGCACCAAACTCTCCGTTCAGACCATGAATCAGATTCGGCCGTTTGTTTAGTATCTCTTTGGTCGGTAATTCACCCGTATTGTAGTACCAGAGTTCTGGTCGGTAATCGCAGTAAGACATTAGCCATAGTTTTAAGAACCGGGCGTTTTTATGCGCCAACAATGTCTGCGAAGCTAACACTTTGCTGTCATCCGGTGAACGTTCAAAGTCTAGAGTCATCTCATAGTTGCGAAACTGATTTAAACTTTTCACAACATAAACATCTCTATCCAGATATATACCGCCAAACTCCCGGAGCACACGTATTCGGGTGATGTCCGACGCGTGCCAATTGAGATATTCAGCACTCAATGTGTAACCAAATATCTTAAGTGGTCTTATTATTGGATGGACAATAAGCCGGGTATTGGTTAAGTTGGCTAACTTTACGACACGCGACCAATACTTTCCYATTAATTGTTGACAATCACAGTGAATATAAATACAGTCGGGTCTATGATTTTTAAGCACCGATAATATGGATATAAAATGCGAGTATTGTATTTCATTTATACTAAAAASTATGTAATGTATTAAATTTGGTACTAAATATCCATCACTAGTGTATGACTTGCCATCAAATGTTATCTCAAGTGAAGACAAATTGTAGAGATCCAGACATTCATGTCTTGAGTCAAATACAATCAGATCCTGTTTTTTCGTAATTAAAAATATATAAATAATAACAAATATAACACAACTTAATAAAACAATAAATTTGCATTTATTATTAATAAAAATCATTATTTAAAAAATATATATAATATAATTTAGACTACACATTTTATTAAATTAAATAAATTATAATTGTTTGTAAAATAATCCAGTTGATTTTGTTGGTGTTGTTTTATAGATTTTGATGTGATATTTATGATTATTATTGGTAATAATTATCAAAGATTATAAATTTTTTCACTACTCATTTGTTCATTGAAATTAATTTTTGTAATAATAATAATAWTATAATAATAAAATTCAAATATTATTTATAAAACAATTTTATCAAATATAAGTGAACAATTAGTCAATTTAGCTATAGTTGTTTTATGAATTTTTAATTGAATTTCATATTTTTGTGTATTTTTTCGTAATCTTTTAAATATCACAACTAATCTTTTTTTTAAATATTACGACTAATAAAGTGGAAACTGTTTAATTGTATTAAATACTTTATAATATAATAATATAAACAGTTAAATTCATATATAAATATTGGATTTTTACAATGATTTTTTTGTTGTTGTGATTTATTCGTAACATTTATTTATAATAAAAAAGCCTTGGTAACGCCAGTAGTTTAATGTTATTTTGCTAACAGTATTATTATTATTATTATTATTATTATTGATAGAATTTTTAAACGTTTTATATTAAAAACATATTCAGTTGTTATTATTTATTTATAGAATTTATTATAACTATAAATATATAATAATAATATTATTATAAATACAGGATATAATTTGCTATATAAGGGTATTCAATGATAAATCAACAATTACTGTATATTATAATTCAGTATAAAATGTATTATTTAAAGTTACTATACATCTACAATACCGGTAAATTTTATATACTTGAATAATCATAATATCTATATCTATTTATTCAATAATTTACACAAAAGTGTTTGATTGACACTTGTACATGAATATTACATTATAAATAAATTGTAATTCTATCAATTGAACATGTTCAATTTTATTATTCGATATTATTATAGTTGCAGATAAACCTGTTATTATAAAAATGTTATTAAATATTACTAAAATTAAAAAACAGTTTACATTATGACWGTTTGTCAAATAAAATAAATTATCAATAAAATTAGCATTTTTTACCTCAAAAAATTTTTAAAAATTGTTTTGCCATAAATTCCAAATTTATAATTAAGTGTAAGAATCAAAATTAAATAAAAAATTAAATAATAATTTTATTAATATGTTTAAAACAAACATTTTTTTATATCGATAATTTCAATTATACATCGATTAAAACGTTTATCAGTTTTACAATAGTTATTATTGATATAATTAATTATATAGTCGATAATGTAATTTATATTGAATGTAATATAGTAATAATAATTAATATAATAATAATAACAATAATGATAATATAATAATWGATTTTGATAATTATCATAACTATAATCATAACAATATGTATTATACAAATAAAAATACAATTTAATGAACTTTTCATATAATGATTTTAAAGCATTTTTTAGTGAAAAATTAAATAATATTAATATTAATTGATATAATAGTATTAGCGATAAGTAGTGGTATTTTGAGTGGACATAGATTTTAAGATATACACGAAATGATCGTACAGTGAGTATCAAATGACAACTATTAATAACCGCCGGCGAGTTGAGCTTTGCCTCCGCCGCCGCCGCCACCGTAACCGCCACCTCCACGGCCTCCACCGCCGCCTATAATATATATAAACAAATATTATTATTAGTCAAATATTCTTTATATAAAATATTAATACCATTACCTCCATATCCGCCACCACCGCCTCCTTTACCACCACCACCGCCGCCACCATAGCCGCCGCCTCCGCTGCCTAAACACATGTATTATTAAATTAAATTAGTTTTTATGGCATATTCTTAAATATGTTATTTAATGTTAAAACTAACCGCCATATCCTCCACCACCTGAGCCGCCTCCGCCATAACCTCCACCTCCTTTACCGCCTCCGCCGCCGCCACCATAACCTCCGCCGCCGCGACCACCGCCTCCTAAATATTAAAATAAAATTAATAACAAATTAATTAAACTAAACAGATGACAATACCTCCACCATATCCACCGCCTCCAGATCCTCCGCCACCATATCCACCACTTGAACCGCCTCCTCCATATCCTCCGCCACCTGAACCGCCTCCTCCATATCCTCCACCAGCTGAACTTCCTCCCCCATATCCTCCACCACCTCCTTGTGATGAATAACCTCCGCCACCGCCTCCTTTTCCACCGCCACCTAAGTAAGTGATAAAATAATTAAATATATATTTCTTATTTAATATAAAACTAATTCATTTATATTAAAATTTTGATAACAATATAATTATATTAAAAATTTACTATAATTCAAAATCCATTAAAAACTATTATATAATTTAATTAAATAACTAACCATATCCTCCACCGCCGCCTCCTTTACCGCCCCCACCACCGGAACCTCCATATCCACCGCCGCCACCTCCTGAGCCTCCATATCCTCCACCTCCGAACCACCTCCACCCGATCCGCCATAACCTCCACCGCCTGATCCGCCACCACCATAGCCTCCACCTCCAGATCCTCCGCCACCATAACTTCCACCACCAGAGCCGCCTCCACCATAACCACCACCACTAGAGCCACCGCCACCATAGCCGCCACCTCCTTGACTGCCATAACCTATTTATTTATAATATTTTGTTAAATTAAAAAAATTAAGTTTATTATTTTAGTAATGTTATTATGAAAAATAAATATAAATTTATARACAAATATATTAGAAAAAATAGTTATWTTTTAATTTTAGTGTTAATATTYTTTAATGGTTTTGATGTATCAATTAGCTTAATAAATGTATCTTTTGTGGTGGGGGTTAGGTATGATTTGAGTCGTAGCGTCACATTAGGTATGAGCCACGAAATGTCAATTTCCGCATCTTTTAAATCATATGTTTCTRACTCTAAATAAATCATATTTGCAAACATATGACTAACAAATCAACATTAATTTTTGAGAAATTAAAAAGGATATTAATTTTTAAAATGTTAGAATTTACATACAATTTAAKTATTGTAAYTTTAATTTATAAATATATAAATTTAGATAAAATTATACAAATGCTAACCACTAAATTTATACCCTATTTYGTGCWAATATTTTTATTTTAAATATTTTAATTAATAATATACTAAATTAATTTATTGCTTTTTAGATTATTTTAAATGTATAAATTTTAACCAAAAATTTCAATTAAAAATTAATTATAATTATAAACTTGTTAACTCTTACTTCCACCTCCGGAACCTCCTGAACCTCCATAACCGCCTCCACCGGATCCGCCACCACCATAGCCTCCTCCTCCAGATCCTCCACCCCCATAACCTCCTGATCCGCCGCCACCTGAACCTCCATAGCCTCCGGAACCGCCACCACCCGAACCTCCATAGCCTCCGCCTCCGGAACCGCCGCCTCCGTAACCGCCGCCACCGGAGCCACCGCCTCCATAGCCACCACCTCCGGAGGAACCTCCACCACCATAACTACCGCCGCCTCCTCCTGAGCCTCCTGAGCCTCCATATCCTAAATTAATATTAAAATATTTCAAAAGAAAGTTATAGTTTTAATTGTATACATTTGTTAATAATAAATAAATTCAATAAATATTATTATTATAAAAATATATTAATAAAATGAATTAATAAGCAACTCATGGATCTGATAATGACTGGCCGTTCGGTTACATAATTCCTGAGAATCACTACAACTCCTATCAAGARATTGTATTAATTGTGTTAGTCTTAGCTATTAGTGTTAGTTGTGATTGAAATTATGCTAAAGTTAATCAATATTACTATACTATAAATGTAAAAAAATTATAATCSATTATACTATACATTAGCAAACATTTGAAACATAAATAATAGTTAATATTTTTTTTATTTATATGTTAATACAAATTATTTWAAAAATTTACCTCCTCCGCCACCTCCTTGACTKGCGTAACCTCCTATTGATAAATAAAAATKTAAATTTATAATTGTTTTATAATATTGTATTAACTAAAATTATTTGCATAACAATTTAATTAAAATTTATTATTTGATTTTTTAATTTTAGTAAATTATATTTTAATTTTGTCTTAGATTTTACTTGATTTAAATAAACTTTTTWATATCGATCACTACAATTGACAGCTAAAATAAATATTTTACAATTTTATCTAATTTATTAATAACTACTATTTAGTAAATTAATTAAATTTAAAAAGCGATCAAATTATTAGACATTTTAATCAATAAACTAAAAATATATTTGAATTTATTATTTTTCTGAACATAAGTTGTTTTTTGAAATTTTTAGGAGCAATAAAACTCACCGGACTTTTCTGTAAATAATCCCATTTCAATGTACATAACGTCTACGTTAAAGACATTAAATAATATTCAATTTAAATTTTTTTATAAGTATAATAAAAATGAAATTTTGAACTAATCTTTTCAAAAATAAAAATATAAACTATGAATCTTACTTTTAAAATTATTTRGWCATATTTTTTTGATAAATTATGCGAATTAAATCTWTTCTAAYAATTTAAAACTTGAATTTTAACAAAACTTTAATAGACTAGAATGGGATTCGTTTAATTAGATTTTACTTTTGTTATTAAATTAAATTATATAAATTAAAAAATAATAAAATAAAATTGTAAAATAAATGAAAACAGATATTTGCATACCTCCACCACCGCTACCGCCATAGCCTCCGCCTCCTGAACCTCCCCCACCATAACCACCGGARCCTCCTCCGCCTGAACCTCCGTATCCGCCGCCTCCGGAGCCGCCGCCACCGTAACYGCCGCCTCCGGAGCCACCGCCTCCATAGCCACCACCTCCAGAGCTTCCGCCACCATAGCCTCCTCCACCTGAATTTCCACCGCCGCCATAACCTCCGCCTCCTGAGCCTCCGCCACCATAGCCTTTAGCAAAAATTTAAATATAAATTATTTAAAATTATAGAGTATATCGAATAAATAATTTTGACAAATATAATTCATATTAATTGACTAATTGAAGATAATTTTTTAAAAAAATACAAACCTCCTCCACCTCCTGCGTTACCACCGCCACCATAACCACCTCCTCCTCCTCCACTACCACCATAGCCACCGCCACCACCACCTGATGACCAGCTCGTGTGGACGGCGGCCAAAAGGCACAAACATAATAATGAATATTTCATTTTTTTTTGAAAAAAATGTATAAAATAGTGTTCAAATAAATTTATATCATTAATATATTATACAATTTGATGCACCGTTTGATTACTAAAAATTATTATTATTATAAATAAATAAATAAATAGTTTTTTTTGTATTGCGAGACAAATCACTGGTTAATCACAGAAATCACTGAAACACTACAATCCCAGTGCTCTCTCATCCACTGACTCTCACTTTATCTCTCTTTTTCTGTATCTTTCAATGACTTTCTCTCTCTCCTCTCAGTCCTGAGGTTTTCACTTTCGTTGATATGAAGTGAGAGAGAGATTTGGCATAAAGAGTCACAATTTGTTTTGAAAACTTTTTTTGCCACAAATCGTTGAGTGAATCGAGTTTTTATATGAGAAAAATTTTGTGGCAAACAATAATAATAATAATAATAATCACTGTTTTGTTAAGATAAGGATAGGGAGAGCCTCAACAACAAAAACAACAAGTGCTCTGTAAGCACAAAAAAGTAGGAAAACGTGAAGGAGGAGTAGTTCCAGTTCACTATCCAGTGGTTGCAGTGTCCGACCAACACTTCCCAAACACCTCTCTCATCCACAGTGAAAGTATAAGGAAGGGTATGTATTATATATATATATGCCAAACAATTGTGTGAACATTACATATAATAATAATAATAAAAATAACAAAAATAATAATAATCACATAATGCCACAAATGGGATCAAATCTGTACTCTCACTTTGGCCATAAAGGAAAGGGAGAAAWAAAAAGTTAACTGTGCGCACAATAAATAATTTTTTTTATATAWAWATTTATATGACTTAATATATATAAAAGTAAACAATGGATATTAAAACTGTTTAAAAATACAATTAAAATTTATTGAAGAAATAAAATTTTWTATTTTTAAAAAACAAAAACATTAAATTTAACATTATTTGATATTATAGTATTTAGTTTTAAATACTTTTATTAACTTATATAATCAGATTTAAATACATTGTAATAATTTTAATTGAATAGTTAAATATTATAGTATTTATAGATGAAATATTATTTTTTTATCAACGAATTAACTTTTCATATAAAAAACACAATATATAATTAATTTATTAAATTACAATTCAAAATTGTGTGATGTCAAGGTTGATTATGGTAAATTGATTTTCTAAATAGACATTAGATTTCATAATTTTATTAAAATAAWATAAAATAAAATTTTCTACAATTATTAGTAGAGTTACATAACTAMTGCATAATGTTTTGAAATTTTTGTAAGATTTTTTGAAATGAGTGTATTTATATAATATTTAGTGACAGATTTAAATATATAGTATAAATAGTAAACTTATAATATATATTAGTATAAAAATAAAACTGATTTATTTAGAGTTTAAAATCCAGTCTCTTATCAAATATAGAAAACTTTTTTATGCAAGTAATTCATAAGTAACTAAATATATGAGATATTTATATAACGATTTAGATTTTATTTTTAAGTTTTATTTATATAAATAGAAATTTATAATATCATTAAATACTATTTATTACTAATATTTGAGGAAATTTTATTTTGTAATATATATATATATATATAATACTAATAATATTTTTCTAACTATACTATTTGTATTAATAATAGTTAATTGTATTTTATTGTAAATCATTGTAACAATTTAATATAATGTTAGATCAAATTTTAAATAAAATTACATTGCTATATTTTATGTAATTTAAATATATTTAAGTATTTGAATTTTATAATTAATAAAAATTAATTTTAAATTGATAATTTAATTTAATAAAGTTATAATTACACATATCTAATTTTAAGTTGAAATTTTTAAATTAATAATAATAATAATAATAAATATATTTTATTTTAAAATATTAAAATCTTTTGATAAYCATAAATTACAAAAACGTAAAAATATAATTATTATATATTATATATTAACATTAAAAACGAATATAAATTAAAAGTCTATTGTTTAAAAAATCTTTAAAAATAATATTTATGTTTATTTGAAAAAATCAATTAAAGTTTGCATAAATAAATATTCCTACAGTTTTAATATTAATAATTTTAATTTTATAAGTCAAATAATTTAATGAAATATAAGCTTGTATTCTAAATTATAATATTTTATTGTAATTATTTGGTTAGATTAATAATAGTTATATTTTTAATATTATATGATTGTRATATTTATTTTACAAAATAAGTTTTCAATAAATGYTAATATCAATAAACAGWTTTAGTTATAAAAATAATAATCAATAAAATTTKTACTAAAGTTATATCAGACAATATATTTTAACTTTGCAATYGCAGTATTATTTGCAGTTTGTAAAATTATATTTATATATAAATTTACACTATTTAAAAATATATTTACAATAAATAATTTTAAGGCTCAAGGCATTTGTGGTCTCACCTAAAACTAAATTTGTTTTTATTATTTGAACTAATATAAGAGTTAGGACTCTCCTATTTAGAGGGCATTGAAATGYGTTGACTTTTTTAGGGTATATTTTTAATACTATATATTAATAAAATAAAATTAATACGATATGTTATGTTATGTTATGTTATCTTGGTCACTGAAACATTTGATCATAATCTCATACAGCATRTGATAGAATAGGATATACAATATTTTAATATTATTTACTTTTCTATACAATTTTTATGATTATTAATTAAACAATGTAATAAAATTTAGATTTTTTAAAAATCTATATACAGTGTAAACCCATTTTAAAAGTGAGGAAAAGGAGACAAAATGATTGAACAGATATTGTATTTTAATTATATTTTTAAAATATATTCATACATATTGTGTATATACTGTATATAATGCATAGACTAAAGTATTAATACATTGTTAGCAAATATGTGATAGACTTGTGGCCCATTTGCGGACCAGTTTGTGGTTATTATTGTTAATATTAATGCATATTATTATATAATAAACTTATTATAACCAGTGAATCATTCATCATCTAATGTAATGAATCGCATAATGAAATGATAAACACAATGTAATGAAATGAAATTGTTATCATTACTCAAAAAAAATTGTTACACATATTTAACAATTCAACTAAAAAAAATAAATCGCAAAATTAAGAAATTATTTTATGAAAAATGAAAGTTAGCCAACAAAAAAATTATTATTTATCAAAAATCTTATTATCTGTTAATATGTCGATTAAATTTCTATCTCATTTTCTCAACAAAAACAAAAATATATTAAGTAAATACTATTTTCATTTAATAATTTATTTTATTTTTTAATAATATCTTAAAGACATTGTCTAATACTAAGCAGTTATTATATGCTGTCAATAGGATAATGGAAATTCAGGTGAAAATAGTTATTAATAATATTAAAATAACACTAAGAAAAACTCAAATGTAATATTATATTCGGCAATGAAAGGCAAATAACCTGAAATGAAAAAATATATTTTATTATTAACAATAATATTAACAATAATAATCATAAGAGAAAGTAATATAAGATTAAATAATATAAAGAAAATTATGAATTAAAATAAATTAAAATATTATCAAAAAAAACATAAATAAATAAATAAATGTTAATATTTTTCTTGTTTGTTTTGTATTATTTGTAAGCAATGTTTTTTATTTAATTATTTTTAATTTTAAATTGATTTTATATATATACAGAGTGACAGCTAAAAGTAATATTTTATTATACAATATTCATATTATACAAAATGCATATAAATTAGTAAATACTTTCATAATCATTTTATATAATTACAATATGCTTATTATATTTAAAAAATTTTTAACGAATTATTTATATTAATTTAAAAGATATATAATTAATCGTAATATTTAAATATCATTATATAATATTATAAATTCACTATTATTAAATAAGATTTAATTTACTATTATATACAGGTCACTTTCAGTTTTTTATTGTTATTTTTGCTAAAAGTAAATAAATAATTATTTAATTAAAACAAATGTGATTTATTTAATTATTTTTTCAAGTCATTCATTAAATTATAAGACATATTTGTTCCGCAAATCTTTAATACATTATTCCAATGMATAAAATTTATTACATTTAAAAAATAAATGTATTATTATATAATAGTTTTTCTTACTCATGTAATAAAATATTACATACATATGTTTTATAAATATGAAAACAATAAAATTTATTAGATTAATCATTTGATATGTCATTATTGTCGTGTTTGTTGTCAAAAATACATAGAAAATGTATTGTAAATARTTTTAAATTATCTAAACAATGATTTACTTAGTTTTTACTACAGTATTACAAACACATARATTAATAATTTATTAAAACAATTACTAAACATAATCATCAATATTTAATCATATGTTACTACTAATAGATATTTATATATTTTGCTTACAAATATTAATAATTATTAATTAATATTTTAAAATWAATTAAAATAATGTATAATAAAAAATATTWAATTTTGCATTTTAAAATACATAATAACAAGTTATGTTTAACACTATTATTATTTTGGTTTTTAATTACACACAGAATTAATTAATCTATTATTGTATTTAATAATTATTTTAGAAATTAGCTACATAATTATTATTATTTAATAAATAAATAAAATAATGATTAYTGTTATATACAAATTGAAAATAATTAATCAAAACATACACACATACATACATACAATGACTCATTTAATTTTTAATTGTGTAAATAAAATGATATGAAAACGTTTGAACATTGGTTTGGTCACAGAGTCATTCAATCTTTTTTGATTACAATTTAGGTTAAAGTTTAGATAATAAAAAATAAAATTATTATCATTGCTTATAACAATGTTTACTATTAAAAATCGGCACATTTTATTATGTATATAAATAAAATATTGATTCTCCTTATAAAGTATCTAATAAAAAATAAAATTTATTTATTTATTAAGAATCTATAAAATAAAATAAAGAAAAATAATTTCACAAATATTAGACAAATATTTTTTGTTTTTTATTTTATTTTTTTAAATTCATTTAATATTCAATTCATTTAAAAATTTATCATTACATAATTATAATTCAATTATTTAATTTTTATTTTGTTTTTTATTTAAATAGTAAATWATTATTGATGAAAAAACTATGTAATATTTTAATCATTTTAATCATTAATAATCATTAAGTTTGAAAAAATAGTTTTACTATTATAAAGTTTGTTAATTTAGTAGATTACGAAACAAAATTTAAAATTTACAAAATAGGTAATCCTTTATTATTATATAACAATTTAATAGACACTTTTGTGCTAAATAGTGCTTTTAGTACAAAATTTTGAAACTTTTAATTATATTTACATTTTTATTTGTATAATTTTTTAATAAAAATAGATAATCAGTACAAAACAATGTTTTATATTATAGTGATTTACACATGTTTKTAAAAATTTATTTATTGTTAAATATAATAACAAAAATAATTGTTAAATTTAAAGAAATGTGTATTCACATGTTTTATTTAAAATAATTATTTATCATTTGAAAAATTTTAACAAACATTTGATTTAATCTTATTATATTTTKCATAATCAACAAATATAAAAATTATTTTATAATATTGTACAWTGTATAAAAACTATTGGATTTATTTATTAATATTAATTTATAAGATTAAYATTTAATAGGAAACACAAATTTAAATTTTTTTTTGAAATATATTATTAATTAATGAATTAAATAAAAATTKAAATTAAGTACAAATAAATAAYAAATAAAATTAGTAAATTGTCTGATTTTAAGTCTATGCAAAATTATAATTAATAGTAGTTTCCTGTTGTGCATCAAAATAAAAACTTTAATTAAACATTTATAACATTGTTTTCGTGCAAACTTATCATTGTTAACAAAATTTTGTAAAAATTATTATAAAATAATATTATATAAAACAGTATAACATTATGATGTGAACTATCACTAAATATCACACAATAAGTAATATTAAATTTTAAACTAAATAAACTGTAAATTTGTGTAATATACTAATAATATAAAAGTTTTACTTTAAATTTTATTTTTAATGTTATTTTTTTTGTTTTACTATATTTTTTATTTTTATTTTATATAGACTTTAATTTTCATTTATGCTATAATATTATGAGAATTAAGAAAAGAAAGTATTTATAATTAGAAAATTTGACATTTAATTATTAAAATTTTTAAWATGTGTTTAAACTTTATATTATTAAATTTATTTTTAAATTTGTTTTTAATAAAACATCGTTATTCGTGCGAACAATAAAATTTTAAACTTATTATTTAGTAAAAATAGTTTTTTATATAAAAATTATATTTTGTTAGGAAAATTATTTTAAAAATAAATAATTAATAATATTAACATCAAATTGTCTTATTTATAGATATTAATTAGTTATAATAATAATTTTTATTATTAGTTTTTTATCATTTGACATAATTTGAAATATAATCAATAAATTAGCTAATATACCAGTATAACTTATATAATTGATAAAATATACAAACAATATTTATTTTATTTTAATTGCTTAATTATTTTTAGTAATTAAAGGATTGTCAATTTAGTTATCAAATAAATTATAAATAAAGATTAAGTATATTTATTATAACATTTTTTATTTAAAAGAATTATTAAGATTACTACTATTTTACGAAAATATTAATTTGTTTTTTATTATTATTAATTAATTTTATAAAATGTTTACGACTATTAATATGAGATTTATAATACAATGTGAGAAATTGTTTTATTAATCATATAATTTTATTTAAATTAATTTTATTGTTACAATCGTTTACATATATCATATTGTTTTAATATATTTTTTATTTTGTAACATAATTTTAGTAATTTGTAAATAATTATAATTCCTATTATGTTTTTATTTAACTTTTTACAAATTAAGAAAAAGAAATTTTTATCATAATTTCTTTTATAATCTTAAAAATATAAAAAATGATTTGTGATTTCAAAATTGCCAACAAAAGAGTTTAAACTTATAGTAATATACTTATAATCTTATTATCTATATATTAGATGAAAATTCAATTTGACAGCAAATAAATGAATTTATGTATAAAATTTAGTAATATAACTTATAACCTATAATTATTTATTTTACTTATTTATATTTAAGAATTTTTATTTGTTTATATTTTGAAATATTTCAATTAACATACAATATATTTTCAGTACAAACATTAAAGTAATCCAAAATAAATACATATTATATTTTAGAAATATTAAACACAGGAAAAAATAAATATTTATTTATATATTTTATATGTTTAAATCAATTACAATAGAAATACTTAAAGTTATAAACATTTTTGGAAATATAATAAAAACTTTTTGTTTTTTCTTTATAGGTTTGCTTTTTGTTTTGTCTGTCCCTTATATATKGAGCGACAGTAATAATACTGTATGTCCCGARTCGTCGACCATAAAGCCCTGTATTTGTGACCACAAAAATTTACAGATCATTTGCACCGGTGATAAACAATTTATTTTGTCACAAGTATTTAAATCTATCCGTGCCAATGGGGGACACCATTTCAATAGATTTATTTTAACTAACAGTGCCATCACCTCAATAGATGATAATGTAAATATCAATTATCAAATGTTCAAAAAAAATATAAGTATCTCTCATTAGTGGCACAGTTGTGAGCACTCAAAACAACAATAAATATATAAATCAAAGAAAATACAACATTTTTAGCAAATATTAGATAATGTTTTTTATTTTAAAAAATATCAAAAAACAACAAAAACATTACTTTCGATTTCACTTGAAATCAYTATTTAACAAAAAAGTTTATTCAATAATATTATGATAAAAATAATACTTAATGTGTTTGTTTAGAAAGCTTTAATCTTTTAAAATAAATTTAGTTTAAGTAATGTTTAAAATACAACAATAATATATTAATTGTTTTAAACTTTATTACTGTTTAATATTTACATTATTGTGTTTACAGGCATTTTMTGGCATTTCATTTAACAGTATTACGATTACAGGCGCTTACGCCCTGAGCCGTGTCGGCAAATGGGCGCTCAATGGATCAGCTTATACWCTGGAGGAGTTCAAACAAATTGGCGACAACTCACTGGACGACCGATACAGTGATGACCTCTTCCATGCCTTGAGTACATTGGTTGTCGTCAACAGAATATTCCTCGACTTAACTAAAATGAAGTCAATTCCCGACAATGCCTTTCGTATAGTTAATGGCAAACAAATTAATTTAAACTCAATTCATCTCAATTATATCGGCGGACGGTATGGTAGTCTAGAAGTGATTGGTGGCCGAAGTTTCTATTATTTGGATAATTTACGAGACTTATCRCTCGCCAATCAACCCATCAGACTCTTAAAAAGGCATTCATTTGACTTTGAGTTAACCCAAAGTCAAGATTTGGACCTCCATTTGGATGCCACTGCTATTACAGGTAACACACATACATAATACACGTTATATAAATTCATATACAAAAAAATATAATTTRTTATAATATACTATAGTAAATGACTGAAAATTTAACTAAATTATTAKTAAAGTATAGGTAAAATAATAATAATAAAAGTTATAATCTTAAGTCACGTATACTAAAAAAAGAATAAAATGATAATATTTAAAAATAACTTTATTTTAGGATTTTTAAATTACTATATTTTAAAAATATCTCAAATGTTTTATTTTTTATAATAATAGATTTTTTGACTACAAAAATATATTATACTGTTTTATTTATTGTAATTTAAAAATAATAATTTAAGGGTTGGTCATGTTTAAAGTACATTAAATTAGTATTGTTATAAATCTAAAAATTGYTTATAATTTATAAATGTATTTTATTGTTAAATTTGCATACAATATGACATTTTACTCAATTTGTCTGCATTTAGTACAAAAACACTATATTGTATTACATAGTATCATATATATACAGAAGGGTTAAGTAAGGAGAGTATGGGAGGTCAAGCCAAATGACCCCTCCCTAAGATTGTAATTTGACCCCCAGACTTTTTTGACCAAATCAAAACTATAATCATAAAATAATCACACAATTTGTTAAATGTTWGAAAAATAACWAATTTTTATTATATTATCAATAATAATATTATACTAATTTCATAGGCGATAGCTTTGAATCGGGAATATTCCTGGACTCTAAACGTCCGATTACTGTTGAGGCATCCAATGTCAATATAACCTACTTTAGGGAAAGTGTATTTAGGCCGGTGTTTGAGTTRCCCGACTCAAAAATGATCACTTTTTTGGTGGAAAACAATCCATTACAATGTGATTGTACTGTCTATTGGATGTTCAGGGAAAGGGAGCGCTTGCAGTATCGGGTAATAGAGCCGACGTGTGCCGGAACTGATGGAAAATCATTGTGGACTTTGACTGATGAAGACTTCAAAAATTGYTAAACAAATTATTTTTTAATTAAAATGTAAAGATTAATATTTTYTAACATAATGTTTAAATAAAGCAATTAATAATCCAAATCTTTATTATGTATTTGAGTCAATTTCTTGGATTATAAAAGTAAATTATTATTATTATTATTTATTTTTCTTATTAAATAATTTATGAATAAATGRAAAATTTTTATTTTATTAAAACATGTTTAATTATTTTTTAATATTTACATTTAAAATAATACAATCTAAACATGCAAACAAATATTGTAATTACAGGAAATAAATTTTGTAAATATAATTTTTTTTAGATTTTTCCAAAAATATATATTTACATTAGTTTATATTACTGTACATATTTTTAGTGATATGCATATAAATAACAAACAATAATGTATGCATAATTATTTTTATTATTTTAACATAATTAATTTAGATTCTATTAATAAAAATYCAATATTATTAATTTATATAATTTATTTTAAATATTTAAAAAATTGGGTCTAAATGTGAACAAATATTACACATAACACAGTAATACATATTTGGAAATAAAGTTATTAACAGATAAATAAAAAAATGTTAATTTATTGTTATGATTACATGTATTTGAATTACTAATATATATTTTACTATAATCTCAATTACATAACATTTTTATATTAGTAAAGAAAATGCATTAAAAATATGTATTGTTTTATGAGAGGTACGGAAGTATTAGGGTTTCAATTATTGTTAATATTAATAACAATACAATATTGTAAATGTCTTCAACAACAATAACTACAAAGTTTACAACACTTTTTATTGCATTAATAAGTTTTATTAATTTATTGGATTTAATTAATTGCCAGAGAATTATAATTCGAAATAGAAATAAAGGTAAATAATAATAAAATATTTAAATTTTCAATTTTTTATTTATCATATACAGTACAGTGTATTGTTTTTGTTATTATTATTTTAATTTTAATTTTTGTTTATTATTTTTTTCATTAACTTTTTAAAAACATAATAGAAATAATAATATAAAAAAAGTAATTATAATTACAGTATGTTTGTCGAAAAAAATAAATAAAGTTTAGGAAWAAGCGCTCAACAAATTTTTAAAAGTTAATATAAAATGTTTTGACAAAATTAAAATTAATTATCTTTTTATTTATTAAATTTTGTGGTTAAATATTGTTTAATACAAATTTATAAAATAATAAAATAAGTAAATTAAATATTTTATTTTATTTAATGATCATCATAATAATAATTACTATTATTTTTATTAATTTTAAGAAAACCCACACACCTTTACTATAATTGTTTTTAATAAATAGTTTTTTGCAACAAATTGTTATACAGTATAATTACATTATTTAATTAATTGTTGAATTATTATTTGCACGAAAATAAATTTCAAGTTAAAATCTATTTTGTTATAAAGATATACGATTTAAATAAAAAATTGGGGTATTGTATAGTATAGCTGCCACTTGTTGTTCACGCGATTAATATTTAATACAATTTTAAAGATAAATATATGAATGTCTCGTGAATTACTATTAATTTTATTGTAAATTAGAGAATATTTTCTTTGTTAAGTTTTTCTTGAAAGTTATGTTTCTTTTGAAAGCTATGACTTAAATTTAGTGAACAAAATGATTAATCTAAAGACATTATTTAGACTAATACTTGTCTCACAGGAGACAATGATTAACTGGTGTATAACAATGGGTTTATTATTAGCAACTAAAAAGTGTCCCATTTGTGACAACGAAATGGTAAATAATTAATTTGCAAAAAAATACATTAAAAAATTATTTTCATAGAAGATAATTGTCAAACAATTATCGTACCGGTGCCACCAAAAGCATGGACAACCTCATGATTATAGACTAAGTGCTTTGAATAATACGTGGTTTTCTGGATCAAAGTTTAGCATTGAAAACATAATAATCTTGACGTACCTGTTTTCGGTCGGCACAACAAAATATGAGGACATTAAACGAGAAACAAGTGATTTAACTAAAACAACATCTCATAACACTATAAGTGATTGGCTTAACTTTTGTCGAGAAGTGGTATTTGATTGGGTCGAAAAATATCAATCAGTTGATCTCTTAGGAGGAGAAGGTAGTATATGATACATATTTAATTATGCACGTTACCTAAACCTAATTATAATGGTAATACCAAACTGATAGTGTATTAGTGTTTGCTCTGTTACCTAACCTGGAGTTCCGACCGCAACCTAAACCTAATTATAATGATAATACCAAACTCATAGTGTATTAGTGTTTGCTCTGTTACCTAACCTGGAGTTCCGACCGCAACCTAAACCTAATTATAATGGTAATACCAAACTGATAGTGTATTAGTGTTTGCTCTGTTACCTAACCTGGAGTTCCGACCGCAACCTAAACCTAATTATAATGATAATACCAAACTCATAGTGTATTAGTGTTTGCTCTGTTACCTAACCTGGAGTTCCGACCGCAACCTAAACCTAATTATAATGGTAATACCAAACTCATAGTGTATTAGTGTTTGCTCTGTTACCTAACCTGGAGTTCCGACCGCAACCTAAACCTAATTATAATGGTAATACCAAACTCATAGTGTATTAGTGTTTGCTCTGTTACCTAACCTGGAGTTCCGACCGCAACCTAAACCTAATTATAATGGTAATACCAAACTCATAGTGTATTAGTGTTTTCTCTGTTACCTAACCTGGAGTTCCGACCGCAACCTAAACCTAATTATAATGGTAATACCAAACTCATAGTGTATTAGTGTTTGCTCTGTTACCTAACCTGGAGTTCCGACCGCAACCTAAACCTAATTATAATGATAATATTTTGATAACTTTTAATTCAGGAGTTGTCGTAGAAATTGACGAAACAAAAGTTGGTAAAAGAAAGTACAATAGAGGTCGACTAGTTGATGGGACGTGGATTTTAGGTTTAGTTGAGATTCAAATAGGAGCTAATTGTCGACGTGGAGGTAGATTTCGTTTAGAAATATGTCCCCTAAATAAAAGAGATGCCGACACTCTTTTACCTTTGATACGTAAGCATGTAAAAATTGGGACAACTATTGTGTCTGACTGTTGGGCTGGATATTATAGACTAACAGACAATGGTATAAATGATAGATAAAACATATTATTAAGTTAATTAATTTTTTAATTTTTAGGTTTTGTCCATTTTACTGTGAATCATTCGAAAGAGTTTGTCAATTCACATACCGGTGCAAACACACAGACCATTGAATCTCAATGGAGAGCTATGAAACGCAATCTTTTAAGAGGGGGTATACCACAAGATAACCTTTATCTACATTTAGCCGAATATCTTTGGCGCCGACACGTACTTCACAACAATTTAGATAATTTTATTTTTTTTATTGATTGTATAAAACAATTATACAACCCTTTAATTTAATTTTAATTACAGTATATACAGGTATATATATTAATTTGCAATGTAAAATATTATTTCATAATAATATATTTATATTTAATAAAATCTATTGTAATTAACGCGATATTTGTATATTTAACTTTAAAATTGTATTAAATATTAATCGCGTGAACAACAAGTGGCAGCTATACTATACAACAGCCAAAAATTGTACATTTATAATAATCACATAATCAATTATTAAACAGTTAGTCGAAAATGTATATTATTATTTAATAATGAGTTTAAGTTAAAATAAATTATTGTTTATATTTTTTCTCATAAAAGTTTAAAATACCTATTAAATTATTAAATTTTCTAAAATAATTATATATTTACAGTATATATATATATATAAATATATATATATATTATTTAATAATATACAGTAGTATATAATGTCTGTATAATAATAATTTAGTTAATTAAAATTTCAATAYAATTTTTATTTAGGTCAAAATGACGGTACTTTACGACCAGTAGCTATAACATTGATGACCACTTCGGGACCAATAATTATTGACCAGCGAAACACTCGKCGACCGCGTCGTGAGATGGCATTTATGACCACTATTGTCCAGCGGCGCAAAGTTACCGAAATTATTAATATTAATGTCAAAGTCAAAGATAGACCGCAATCGCAAAATAACCGAAACAACAGACGACGTGGACAACAGAGACGCCGTCGGAATCGATCGCGAAATCAAAGGCCACCGAATTTTTTTGAWAGAATGCGACTATTTTTTGGTCGCAATCCTCTCGGTCTGAGTCCAGGAATGCAACGATTGTTTCGGCCCTTGGATTACAACAACAATAATAATAATTTTTATTTTAATAGATTTCCCAATAGAGGTGGTGGTCGACGACAAGGACAGAGACGGCCWTTGAATTGATTTTATAAGTTATGATTATTATTATTATTATTTTTAAACTAAATAAAAAATATAATGATATTGAATTAAGATTTTTGTATTTTTAATTTTTATTATACAATATGCAATACTGTATGCAATATTTTAATAATATAATGATTACTCGTATAAATATATAAATTAAAAACAAAATTTATATTTGTATAGAAAAAATGCATACTAAATTTTAAAATATACCTGTAGCAATTTTATTTTCAAAAAACTTAAACTTTAWTGTATTACTKTATAAATATTTRGTTATRCTATAATTATTTATAGATACAGTTAATAATTACTTTAATTAGATTATGTTAATTACATAATTTAAATTTTGTTTATTTTTCAAGTAAACTTCAAGTAATTTATAAACAATAGAMTTTCTAATTTTAATATAAGCTATTTTAAAAATTACTTTATTTATTAATATCTGTATAATACTATATATTGTAGTATTCCTRAGCTATTAATATATAGTATATCTATATCTCTATAGTATATATATTATGTAACTATTAAAATATAATAATTTTTACTTATTATTATCTGCAAATTGCAATAATGCCGGACATTGCATTTAATACAGTATGTGATAACCAATTGATGTAATTATATGATATAATCTGATGATAAATTTATATACACATAAAAACAATAAAAATTAAATGCTGAACAAATATAGTATGAAACACAAAATAAATGGTTCACTCAATTACACTAAACTATAATATTGAGAGTAAATTATATAATTAAGCAAAAACAACAAAATAAATTAAAATAGTTTTCATACATAAAAATGATTGTTTTGATTATATTATTATTTTTATATTAAATAAATAAAACCATTTTCAAAAAATTAATAGTAAAAATGAGTAAAAAAAACTTCCGCATAATCTATTTATCAGAGATAATGATGCGTCCAATATGGGAATGGGAGGACATGTATTGCAATAATTGTCTTTTTATTATTTCGATGTCATATTGATTGTTGCCATCAAACAAACAAAAAAATCATGAGATATGGATTAACATTAATTGTGTTAATACTGTTTGTGTGCAATGGTTTAGCAGTCAAACGTCAGTCACGACAATCACCACAAAACAAGACTCCAATAAATCTGAATCCCAGGAAACAGGAGTTATTTAAATTGAAAAATTATTGGGTTTGGGACTATTAGGTGGACCCGGTATGTCATGTTTGGGAATAACACAATACTTTTATAATATATGTTTTATTTAAATTYAATTTTTAAAATAAAATCTAATTTATAATACAATAGTTTTATAAATTAATTTTTTTAAGTAATAATTTTATACATTTTTATAATAAATATTTTATGRTATATTTATAATAATTAATTGAGGCTTTATCGGCACAACCGGAGTCTATTTGGCCGGAACTACAGCCAATCCAAACACAGCGTCAACCAATCCAGCGACCAGTGCTCCGCCAACAGACGGGTAATTTATATACACTGTATATATCGGATATTTATTTCAATAAATGCCAATTATTAACATTGCATTAAATTATTAGTTTTCAATTACATAATTTAATTATAAATATTTTTTAATATATACTAAATTAAATTTATGTCTTTATTTAGTGGAAACCCTTCGACACAACGGTCTAATCGTCGTCGCAGAGGTCGTCGAAATGGTAAGAAAGGCAGAGCTGGTCGACAGCGAAGACTATTGAGACAAATGAGTAGAAGAAAAGGTAGACAACGTGTTAGTCGTTTGAATTTGGTTTTAGAAAGACAACACTTCCAGAAGTACTATAAAAAGGCGATTAGAGTTAAACATAAACGAAGACCTAAACGGAAAAGAAGGACAACAACRACGAAAAGGTCTAAAATTGAACTCAAAAAGTCTATCGAAAGAAAAAATAAAAATGCAATAAAATCGGTGACTAATAATAATAATAATAATAATAATAAACGCAACAATAATTAAAATAATTAATTAAAAATTGTAGACAAATAAATTTTTTWAACTAATGTTAATTACTATAGTYAATGTTAAGTGTTCACAATTTAATATTAACAAAAATAAATTTAGTATTAAATGCTAATTTACTAACAAACTCGTGATTAGGAACAACTATTTCTGCAAATAGTAATTATAACAAATTATTTTTGAAAATATATAATATTATATATTCCCACTGCTGTAAGTTATCTAACGTATGAAAAAATTTATTATTGTTATATATTATTATTTAAAATTGTATCATTWTATATATATATATATATATAAACTTATATATATTATATAATTTGCACAGATTTTTGTATGATTAACAACTAAATATAAAGATATAATACATGCCATCGTAACAAAAAATATTAACAATTGAGAGATAACTTTCATTTTATATAAATACAGTATAACAGTATATTATAGATACCAGTTTTCATTATTCAAAATATAAATATATATAAATATATATATTAAAATATGAGACTTTTTTAAAACTTTTATTTTTGTTATTTTGATTGATTATTAACTCTCTCTCTCTCTCTCTCTCTCTCTCTCTCTCTCTCTCTCTCTCTCTCTCTCTCTCTCTCTCTCTCTCTCTCTCTCTCTCTCTCTCTCTCTCTCTCATTTATTTTCTTATTTTAGAGCAATAGGTGTGTCATTCAATTGTTTGTATAATAGAGAGCCCTTTCCTCTTAAGAAACTAGTTATACCTTATCTCTACATTTCTATTCATCCCAAACTCTATATATAAATATATAAATATATGGTATGATCTGATCTGTTATATTTTAGTTACGATTATATAGTATAATTCAAATTGGGTCACATTTTTTATTTATTTTATTACCTGTAGTACTAATGATATATCTTGTTATATAACAAATTGTAAATATAATGTTAATCTGTCTGTCATTAGCCTTCAATAAACTGTTTTTTATATTTTAGTATTTTATTTTGTTGGACACTATTTATAGCCCTGTGATTTGAATCAAACAAATTTTATTTAAACTTAAATTCACTAAAAATAAAATGTACAATAAATAAACTTATTTTGTATAAATACACATTTGATTATAATCGTAACTAATTTCAATAATACTAAACTTTTCTTTTTTCTAATATTTAATTTTAGTTTTTAATTACAAAAAAAAATCCTAAAAATATTTATGCACTATAATATTATAATTAATCAATAATTAMTATAAATTTGAACAATAATTAGAATTGTTGAAAAATTACATCAATTTTTTTTTATATACTTACTACTGATATAATCATTTATAATTTATAAAAAATTACTAAATAATTAAATATAAACTTTTATCGATTAATTTTTAAAAATTTATTAATTATTTAATAAGTCAAATGTAATGACATATATATACAGTATATATATACATGTAGCTCCAGTAAATAAATGTAATTTAAATACATGTAAATAAATTTATAAATATCTAAACATAAATTTAAATTACCGGTAATTATATAGATATAAAATCATATCTATTGCAACAAATTTAATTATGACAATAAATATATATAATTATCGTAATTATACTATTTTATAATTGTATTTACTATAAATAAAATATAATAAAATAAAAGTATTGGTAATCTAAAAATTTAAATAAATACTGTATTTTGTTAATTTTTACTAACTTCAAACTAAAAATTTAATTAACAATATCTATAGACAGTACTATAAAGTATCATAATTATGGTAAATATTAATTTATCGGTAACATTTTGAAGGCACGAATATATCAGATTTGGAGCTAATAATAATAATAATAATAATACATATTTTAAGCCTAAACATAACAATTGTATAAATAATTATAAGTACAACAAATACTGTTTTGCGATATTAATAATATAAATATTATAGTAATACAATGTTATTACCGAAAATAACAATCACAATAAAAATCAAATAAATAACAGTTTCTTCAATAATAACAATAACTTTAATATTGTTGATCAAACAAAATCTCATCAAATAAATTGAATCTAAATTTCTTCGGTTTCCTTATATTTATTTAACTATTCACACGAATGGCCACAAAACCGATGATTGTTTTTATTATTTCATCGCTGTATCCGTATCTTCACTGAACGTTTTGATTAAAATCTGCAAAAATAATAATAAACAAAACGAATGAATAATTTTAATATATAAATTCAAAAATAAAATATTCAGTAAAACATGAAAATAATAACATAAAAGTATTATTTTAAAAAACAAAATAAGTGTCAATAGTTTTTTGACAGTAATGTAGGGATTGCACACAACAATGATGTATTGCATTCATTAAAATAGCATATAATAAGCAAATACTGAAACATTTTTGAAATACAAATTATATTGTACAGTATATAAGCAAACAATTTACATATATGGTAATGGTTTAAAAAACAAGTATAATATACCTCATTAATGATAACCCATCGATCAGAGTCAGCAGTTATACTAATCCTCAATTGTTTGACCGGACTTATTAAGTGCGGGACATAGCCGTTRGCCATCCCTTTCATGACTTTGAAACCTCCGATTCTAATATAGCCGTCTGGTGTAACACTCAGATGGTTGGGTATTGACAAAAGTTTGCTAACGGGTAGGACTTCGACAGTGGCGTCTATTAGTTTGTCTTCGGGATGCTCTGAATTGGATGTACGTATAAAATACCTAAAAAATAAATAAAWAAAAGTTTAATTAAAGTTCAATTAATAAGTTTATTAATATAAAATAAATTACGGTAATCACAAATATATATATAAATTTAATTGTTAATTTGTTTATTAATATCCAGGGTGCATTCTAGACGTATTTATTTTATTTATTGAAAAATTTTCTATTAGTTATTTASTATATTTCTAAAAATTAAATCAATATCAAAATTAAATKAATTTTATATSTATTTGTTATGAACCTACAGATTCTCTAATAAATASTATGTATTAATAATACTTATTATTTAAATCATTAGATTTTATTATAATAGAATTAAAACCAAAAGCGTACAAAAATTTTTWAATTAAGTCATTTAAAAATATAATATAAATTTCAAATAATTCAGGATATGCTTTAAAATGCCAGATAAAGACTAACGTTTATAATCTATACATTATATTGTTATAAAGAGTATTCAAATATTATAATAATTTCTAGATATTGAATAGAAATGACTGATCAAAATAATACGATAACAAGTAGTTGGCTATAAAATAATGATAAATTGGTTAAATTTATACTATTGACAAAATATAAAAACAAAATTTATAGTAAAACCAATAATTTATAAAATCATATTCAATCTCATAAATATAGTTTTTTTCTATCAAATCATAATGTTATGCRTGTGGATAAAATATATAATTGTATAAAATATAAATAAACAAGAAAACTAAAAATAAAGTATATATTAATATTTAACTATAATAGGATCCATAATAATAATACCTTTCCAATGAAATGGGTGGATCAAACGTAAAAGTTATATTATCGCCAGCTTTGGGTGTAAGTGCCCAGAAAAATGTATCACCAAAATAACACCGCTCTATGTTATGTCCCTTATAGTGCGTCAATGTTGTGGCCACTATGGCATTGGGATTGTCTTTATGTGGGTAATAGAGAGACARTTTGCCGAATCCCCGGTCCCTGAGTTTCTGGACTTTTCCTTTGAGACTGGAATGGGTGCCAATGTGTTGGAAMAGTGAAGGCTTGTGGTGCAGCCATACCAACTCTTTCTGTTTCTTACAGTCTTTGACATCTCTGTCAAACCGACATAACTTTGTTTGGATCAGATGTTCCAGAAGCCAGTCAACAGGTTTGTCGTTATGGAAAATAACGAAAAATATTATAAACATCGATAGATCTACCGATTTAAACACTTTTCCTGTAATTATATAAAAATATGTCAAAATAAATCTACAGATAATTTTTTTAATTAATTAATTAACAATAAAATACTTTAAATGTTATTAATTTTAATATACTATATGTAATTTAACATATATTTACGGTAGTAGAAAATAAAWTTCATTTACAGTACCGGTAAGTATATATATATCAATTTAGACTTTACATAAACAATATATTYACAAATAATAATATTATTAACCGATAAATCCTAGACTACAGAAGTCGAGAATCAGCCATTGCTTCTTCTGCAGAGATGTCTTGACTATAAAATTCTTCATTTTTGTTAAATATGACGGCTTAGTGAGTATGTCGTCCTCTAATTGCACATAATATGTCCCCTTTGGCTGACAGTACATCATTAAATAGCCTTAACATAGAAAGAAAAAAATGTTATCAATTATATATTGTATATATTATATATATAAAAWCAAACCATAATCTAAGTTTTGTTTTGTTCGCCACCGAACCCTATCAATTGGATCACCTAATGTTTGTCTCAAATTAGTCATATTAGGATAATAGGAAGCGGGAGGCGATATAATCTCCAGTAGACCTGAGTCCAAGTGATCACCAAATTGTGATTCTAAATCATTAGCCGTTTTTGTCACGAAATCTAAATCAGTCTGTTTTTTATGTAACAAAAAAAAAAAATAAAATGTAATTAAATTGTCATTAAATTAATAACTGATATTATCAATAAATTTTATAAACCATAAAAATGCCATTTCCTTAAAAATTATGTCAAGAACTAATACCTCAGCTATGAAGACAACTATAACTGTTTCATTGCGTTCATCGACCGACATATTGTCGATGAGGTTATGCAGTGTTGATACCAGATATGACTCGACCTCACGCTTAACTGTGGGCACACCCAACACCATTGTCGCAGAGTTTCGTTCATTTCTGGTCAGACGAAATGCCGGCCTAAGAGAATCGCTCGACGATAGCAAATGTGGTAAAAAATGGTGAATAGATGGCAACTGTAGTACATCTGATGATAGTCTAGACGAACCAAATCTACGGCCTAAGAATCCATTTAAAAATCAGTAATGAGTTTTCAGTGACAGTTAAGACAGTCATCAAAAAATACAGATAAAAAATAAGGAAAAATACAAACAAACAAAAATTATATATTAATAACATAATTCATGAGTTAATGGGTTTACTATAAATATAATAAAGTGTGGGTTAGGTTTGMATAAAAAAATAACATAACAATCACTCATTTGGTGACAACTTAATGACATCTCACAACATAACAGTCACCACTATCTTCAACTAACAACCTACTACTACTGCAAGTACTTCTTGTTTTTTATTGATAATATGAGAAAAAATTACACCWAAAAAAATTATGACAAGAATTGAATCGAAATTTAATTTTGTTGATAATGTAAGAAAAAGTATCTTTTAATGGTATTGCCATTTGATGTGAACCGTTAATATTAACGTTAATATTAAGGTGATAGTTATTAGCGGTTTATTTATATATTTTTTATTTGTTTAGGAAAAATATGTCTCCAATTTCCTCAATATTTTTTTGTGGTGAAAAACAATTTAAGACAGTTATCATTTAGAAATAAAATTTACAATTTTTTTGACAATTTTGGTTATAAATTATCCGATAATGATTTTCAAATAACTCACAAATGGTATACCAGTATATCTTATATACCGATATACAGTATATAATAGCATTTCAACAAAAAAGTTAATATTTATTTAATATAGTCGGCAATCAATTTATGTTTCTTAAAAAGTATTATTTTATGTAGCAATGGGTTGAATGGACTGTAATTAAATTGTTGTCTGTCTTGTAATTGTCTGGACTATAACATTGAACCACAAAAATTAAATGCTAATCAATGTACATATACTGTAATACCTGGAAGTGAGAAACTAACTGCTTATTACAAAAAATWCAGTATTTTATATACTGGGTGTCAGTCATTAAAAACATAACAAAAATCTAAATAAAACAAATCCTTGAATCAAATATACAGAAAAATAAATAAATTTTGTATTAATAAAAAAAACTAAGTATAATAGTAACAACAAAAATTGCTTATAATATAAATGAAACTTTCAAATTATTCTCGGATAACTAAAATAAACATCAGATTATAAGTTAAATGTGAAAAAGGATATATGAAACAGTGCTGCAAAAAATAATAAGTGATAAATAGCTATGTTTTACAAAAAAGAATTATAATAYAGTATATATTGTATATTATATAATGTATATATAATTTATACTGAATATGCAATTTACTGTAGTTTAATAAGTACTGTATATGCATATTGCCATTTAATGGTACAGTACAAACACAATGGGCGTATGGCATTAAGTTGACCCTATAAATAAATACAGTATATTGCAAATATAATATATAAAGTGTTCAGGTCATATTAAGCTAGTTTATTTTGGATCCACTTAATATGTTTAATATCATTAATGTGTATCGATATAACATCAATTGATTTTATATTAGCTAATTTTGTACAATAATTATATATAGATATAATGTGATATTTAAGCCATTATTATTTTTGGGGTGTATTTCATTTATATCATAAATGAAATTTTTGTATTTTATTACTTAATAAAAAATACAATTTTGTTTAATTAATAATGGTCAACAATTTATTATTGTAAAAAATTCAATACATGTTACCTACTGTAGCTATTGATTATTATTTGTGTATGTGTGTTATGTTATGTAACTTATGTTTAATAACATAAAACAATAATCACATTAAGATTTTATAAACTATAATAAAATTCAAATATAAAAGCAATAATTCTGGTATACAGTAGAGTAGTGTATATTATACACTGTATAATATAAATATAACTGTTGTTGTGCTGAACATTGTTTTTAAGCCAATGAATAACTAGTCTATGGTTTTGTTTCATTTGACAGCAAATCACTTGTGTTTTACCGCTTAAAAACTCTCTAAACCGTGCGTTAAAAACATACAATTATCAAAATATATTGTTATTACAATTTTATTATTATTTATCACAACTGCATCACTGAATTAACATTATAATAATAAACTAAAAGTTGAGGTCAAAAAACTTGCAATTTTTTAACAATTACTCTCTCTCTCTCTCTCTCTTCTATCTATCTCTGTCTCATATTACTAAAAATTTAAGGTTTTAGATATGAAAACCATAGCTATTTTTTGGCTAAACATAAAAAGCCAATCAAAATCACTATTAAATGAACATTTTATGGGGGAAATGGAGACAAACCACAAACCAGATTCATTCATACATTTATCAAATATACTTAACATTAGACATAACATTTGCTTTGGGTATTGTTTATTTGTTTGAAATATTATAACATTAATAAAACTACAAACAGATAAATATTATTTTTTTTAAAAAACAATTCTCTTGACTAATGGAAACCAATTTTAAAAATAAAATTTTTATCTCATTATATTTTACTATTATTTTATGTAATATATACAGAATTTTCATTATTATTATTAAATAACATCAAAAATATACTAAATATGTATTGTATATTATATATTTAAATATAATATATTTATAAAAGAATCTTTAGTTATTTATTGAATCCTTTAGTGATAAAAATGTCAAAAAACGGATAAATGTTTTTAAGATGATATTATTAAGATATATATATATATATAGTACAGTATATATTACTATCTAATCGATATATACTTTATATATCTACCCATTAAACATATAATCGATTTATACATTAAAAATCTCGGTTGACATCATCAGTGTTACTGAGATATACAGATAAACAAAATTGATTTTTCAGATATAAATTATATTAGCGAGAAATACATTTGCAAATAAATAATAAATAAGTTTATACTATAATATATAAATTATTTTAGTTAATCTGTATACTACTATATTTTCATTTTACTACTTATAGATATTATATTATAATTTAGTCGGTAAATCTAAATGATATGGGAAACTATACATTGAATTAATGTAGAAAATAGCAAAATATATATATACAAACAACAACAACAAAAATCTATATAATAAAMAACAATTTTTTATTATGCAATACCTTATTGTTTGGTCATAAATTAATGTCCGTAAATGACAGATACATCATAATCAACTCAACTTAATTATCATTAAAGATACCAATCATTTTATATTTATTCATTAAACATATCGACATTAATAATATAATAGACAAACAACTACAACAACAATAACATCAAAAGTTAATTTCAAATTCAAGTTTGAAAAACAACATTAAATCATATAATAATTTATTATAATTAACACATTGTGTATTATACTTGCAATTTGTTTCTAAGGTTAGCAAAACACAACTTATTTTTTTAATAGTAAATAATTTGCAAATATTATAATTAAAATTATATTAAATAAAAAATAGTTTCTATTTGCAATGAAAAAATATAATATTCATAAAATATCTTAGAGTTAGGCACWAACTATACCATTGTACTGTATCTTAATATAAATTATTAAAATAAAAGATTTGYAAAAACTTGTCTAATAAAAAAATATTCGCAATAATGTATATAATAAATCTAAATTATTTTTATTATTATTATAATATGACTTAAAATTCTATATATAAACTAAATATTCAAACTTATTCATCAAATGTAATTTATTCAATCATTTTAATTATCAATTTTTCATAGAAATATTAAAATTTGTCTATTTATTATATCGTAAATAATTGCCTATAAATAGTGGTTATTAAATTCAACAATATATTAATTTATGGTTTATTAAAAAAAACTATAGTTCTATAAACTCATAAATAATATTACATAAAACGTTATAATTTCAATTAACATCAAATCACTATAAATAATTTTCGTGTAATACATAATAAAATACTTATATAAGTCGATAAAAATACTTCCGACATATTCAAGTTAACTAACTATTAAAAAAATAAACTAACAATTGTTAGTATTGTATGCATTGAATATGTATAAAGTGTAGGAAAACTATTGATTTAAATTTTTGAATTATAACTATTTTATTGCACAATATACTATATAYACGSTATATGTTGAATAATTGAATAAATTTGGTTAAAAATAAATTTGTTATATAAAGATTATCCACAAAAATTYAGGTAAAACACATAAAATTACAATTAATTTTACATTCATTTAAACAAAACAAAAAATATACCGCATATAAAAATTAAATAATATTTACAGTATATTTAATAACTAATTTATTTTCTATTATTTTTAATCGCATTGATTTTTTATTTTAAATAGAGAGTATTTACAACTTGTATTTTTATAAAAACTTAAAACATTTATGATAATCATCACAACCACCCAAACATTATTAAAAAATATTTGATTGAACAATGGCMTAAATTATAACATTTTTAAATATACAAATAATTAAAGACAATGCCTTGAATGACATATATTTATTATTTTWAACATTCATTAAAATCTCAATTCAATTAAAATGATTGATTTTGTGTCACACAAATTAACTAAAAAATTATTATAATTGATTCAATTGTTTTAAATTGTTAAACAAAAATAAAATAAGTAATAAAATTAAGACAACAAAAYATTTCGCACAAAATACTAATGAAATTAAACTAAAATGAAAAATAATAAAAAATATTTCATATATTAATGCAATTTTAAAAATATAATTATCTTATGATAAATTTTCGTCTCTAATCAGGTCTGAACATTATTTTAAGATATCAGTTAAGTAATGGTAGAAATAACCAACAATTTCTAACCCAACAGTAGTAACAATATAATTAACTATCAAACAAACAATAAGATTACAATCAAACAAACAGTAGTCACATATAATGAATACAAAATTAATTTTTTATAACACAATTATAAAGCAATCGGCAAATGAAAAAAGATTACACTTTAAATATTTACTAAATATTATAATAATAATAATTTTTATGATAAAATGCATTCACAAAATGTATGTCACAAACAAATGGTTAATAATATTATTTAAGTAATGATTGTTTCAAGAGATGATGTTTCAAATTAGTATTAATTATAGACACAAATTAGTCGTTTAAATAATAAAACGCAAAAAAGTCATTAAAATACCTGTACTTTCAAGTCTATCAATCAATTGGCGGACATTAGTGTCATTTGCGGCCATTAACCGTTGGCGGTCATCGGCGGTGYCATGCGATTGGACACCATTACCAGTGTTAATCCAATTGGTCAGTTTGATGGCGTCCCGCAATTGYTGAATATCTTGTTTCAGTCCATTGATGTCCCGTTTGCGGTCAGTGGACAGCATCTGTGTGTGCTTTAGTCGATCGGACAGTTCAATCAACCGATGGGTTAACTGTTGCTCAATCGGTAATCCATTGTTAGCCGCTTTCTGTACCGACATATAATGGTGACCAGTTGTTGTACCACCGATTAGTGATTGGTCGTCGTCGGCGCCGTCAAACAGGTATACCGTTATCAATGGTATGAATACCATCAATAGGATCACATAAAACAATACCTGTATTAACTTCATGGCCACCAATTAGTTGACCACTTGKCAAATGMCCACAAATTAGTTAACATTTTTTGGTTCAATCAATAAAATTTAGAAAAAAACAAACAAATGTCTCGTTTTTAAAAATTAATTAATTCATATTAAGTATAAATAATTTGTTAATAATATAAAAATTTCAGTTTTTAAATAARTAAATAAAATAATAAAATAATTACTTTAATAAATACACTGAAAAAACAATAACAATAACTTTTGACACAAATATTAAATAAATATCATATCTTATTATTATTATTATCACATTTTGATTGCAATTTGTAAACAACAATAAATTAATTAATTAATTTTTATCGGTCATTATATTACCGCATATTAGTGGCCAGCAATAGATAGTGACCAGTGGTGTACCGATTATTTGGACGATAACCTCAATAAAAATGTAATCAATTGATGCTATAAATAGAGAGACACACTATTGACTTATATTAATGTTTACTATAAATACTATTGCATTGCATTTAATGTTGATTTCAATGGYTTTTAATACCATATCATGTAATGCAATGGCATTCAAGTGTTATTCGCTTTTTTCAAAGCAAAATGTTTTTTCAAAAAATACAAAAAGTATTTAGCAATCAATGCATTGAAGCGATTGTGCGCTCCTATGCTTACAAATTATTGGTACTATTTTATCTAAGAATTTTATCTATCGTATACACTCTCTGTTTACTTATATTAAAACAGTCCAAATGTTCGGGTAATAATTTTTAATGTTTAAAACTTTTCATATAAAACGTGTTCAAATATTATGTAAATGTATTTTACTGTACARTATTAAAGGTATAGTAATTTTATAAATTAATATTATTGTAGAATAGAGTAAGTAATGTATAATTAATGGATTTTTATTAAATAATTATTTTATATATTTTAATAAATACAAAATATATCGTACATTGTTTTGCATTATATTTGAAAATATAGAAATATAAAAGCATTATAATCTATGAATATTAATGTCTAGGGCCATATCACGCTGAAAGCACCGGTTCTCGTTCGATCACCGAAGTTAAGCAGCGTCGAGCCCGGTTAGTACTTGGGAGGGAGACCACCTGGGAATACCGGGTGTCCTAGACATTTTTTTTGCATACATTTTACTTTTATTTTTTTCAAGTTTACTAAATACCTATAGTAATAATAATATCTAAATTGTAATTTACTTTATAATAAAATAAAATCATTTAATTTATGTATAATTTAGTAAAATAATGTTTTTCTCAATTGTTTTCATTGGTTATTATTAGAATAGTTTGAATCATAAAAATAAAATAACAATAAAATAACAATAAAATAATAATTTACAAATTTAGAGCTTATCATTGCATATAATATTATAAGAAATTGTTTGTACAAACATTTCATTAAATTTTCTAAACATTAAATATAACTCAAAGTTAATAATTATTATAACGTTTATTACTAATAAATGGCTACCAGTTCTCAATAATCTTGAGATATTAAACATTTTGATTGAAACTTATTTGAAAAAACTTATAATTATTTTTTTTATGATAAAAAGTTTTCTATAATTTTTAAATAATTTTTGCATTAGATTTTAAAAGACTAGTATTTACACTATTTATTTATTTATCGTACAATTTTGAATTTAATGTAAAAATATTATTTTAGAAATTAATATAAACAACAAAAAACTATATAAAATTAATTTTTAAGTTTAAGCCATTCATATTGTAAGACATCTCTAATATTAGGTCTGCTATCATAGTAACGGCTCATCATTTTTTCAATCAATCCCTTAATTGACTGATCCTTAATATCGTCGGCAAATGTTTTGTCGTTAAAATAGGCAAAAACTCCGAGTTGTCTGCTAGTCATTAGGTATTTCTTTGAATCTCCGTTCAACAAAATCACTAAAACAATAGCCAAACTATAGATATCGCTGGACATTACGTTTTTAAACTGTGTGTCCGGACTGGACATTACACTAATAGTATCCCTACCGGTGCACACATTACTCAAATTGGGAAATAACATAGAGATTCCACAGTCGCCAAGTTTGATATCGTATGGTATCTTATTTTCAGACATCTAATTAAAGTAATTATAGAAATTACTACTAATTTTTTTGTTGAGAAATTAGTGTCATATAATACCTGAGTTTTAGTAAATAAAAGTATATTTTCGGGTTTAATATTTTGATGCGAAACTTGGTATGTGTTATGCAAACAATCAACCGCTTCGCAGATATGTCTGAACCAAACACGAGCCCAGTCTTCATCGTCCAAACCGTTGGGCTTCTGATGAAGTATGAAATCATTTAAATTAGTTTCTGCCATCTCTGACACCACAAACAAACGGCTGATTTCATTATTTTTCACAAATGTTTCCAATATTTTCTCTATTTTGACAATTCGTTGATGACTTATCTTCTTTAATATGTTTAACGAATTATTGAAAACTGTGGCCAATTCGTCATTATTGTCGATATTATTGATTTGACTTAAAATTTTGTGATACTTGCGGACATCAATTGCTTTAATGGCCACAGATTGTACTTTCTGTGTGACTGTGGATCTATGATATGCTTTATATACCGACCCGTAATAACCACTACTCACGTCATCTTCGGTAACATTGAAGCCATTGTCTGACAACAGTTTTCTATCTCCAGTACTTAATCTGACATTTGTCGAGATTGTATTATTTCTAGACTTCAAATGGATTAAAGATGTCAACAAAGAGTTGCAAAAAAGTATTGCGTTTGCAATTAGTTCAACACAAGTGATAGTAAAAATAGTAATTAATAATCGTTTAATTATTTTCAATACTGACATAACTATTGTATTTATAGTTATTCAATGATAACACTAATTATGATAATTGAGAAGAGAAGTTGAAATAAAAATATAACTACAAAAAAATCATTTGAATTTTAAGAAAATAGTTTCCAAACTTAAAGTGCGAGACATTTCTTCAATTGTTGGGTTTCGTATAAAAAGTAAAGTTTCGGTTAAATTCAAATCATTTCAAAAAAAAACCATTCAATTAGTTTAGAAATTCAAATTCAAAAATCACAAATCAAACTGAAAATGAAATCCATTGCTGTCGACGTTGAGTCTGAAGAGAAGACACTTTCTTCTAGAGGTTCCGGAGGAGAGGTAGTGGAAGCCAGACGTCGCAGAAAGCATTCGGGAGGCGGAAGAAGCAGAAGGCGTTCCCGATCCAGAAAAGGCCGATCGTGATCTGGTGGCCGAAAGGGTGGTCACCGTCGCAGACGAAGAAGAAGCCGAAAGAGTTGTGACGATGAGTGAAGAGAAAAGAAAGAAAAAGAAGAGTAAAGTGTGTCTCAGATATCAACTGAAGAGTCAATGAATTAATTTTTGTCAAAATTCTTGTTTTTCTATTATTTATATTTCAAATAAAACACTTTAAAATTGAATTATATTTGTATTATAGTATCATAACTAACTAATAAGTAAAAAATTTTTGCTTAATATTTGTCTTAAATTATCATTGAAATGGTAACTGAAGAGATTTTACCGTTAATTTCTTATTAAAAAAAATCATTAATTTTATTGATTTGATTAAAACCGTTATAAATTTAAATTTAAATTAATTGTAAATTTTTATAACTGCGAGAAAAGTAATTGATTGTGTGACACAAATATATCATATATAACTAAATTACATTTATTGAAAAACATTTAAAAATTATATTATATAGATTTCAATTATTTAATTTAGCAAAATAATATTATTTTTTTTATTGATTATTTTCAATTCGAGGCATTACAATAAAAAAATAATTATAATTGTTTGGAAAACAAATTTAATCAAAGTTTTTTATTTTATTATTATGTCTCAAACTATGTTAATATAAACCAATCAAGAAAACAAAATTTTTGCAAAAGTAAATTGAATTAAATTACTGGTAAGTAAATTACAATATAGACAGTAAATGTGTAAACAATAAAAATAGCAATAAAAGTTACAAAAAATGTATAGAACAACCTCTACACAAGTACTTTTCTAAGTAATATGAACCTAGACATTAGCACAGGGAGGTTAAACGCTTATCATATTTATTAGTAATAAATTATTACATTAATTTCAACAACAAAAAACAACATTTTAACACTAAWTATCTTAAAATTAAAAGTATATTATATTCAGTTATTATTTTATATTTTTAGTCTAAAATGTTATATTTTTTTTAAATATATATTTATAGGAATATCATACTGTTTTCTAAAATAAAAATTATATAAACTATAATATTAAACATATTTAATAACAATTGCTAATTGAGATCCAATAAACCAAATTGTATTAACCGTTGCATTGGTGTATGTCTTCCGTCGGCAGTTTGTCTCCTGTCTCTCACCCGATCAGTCCTTAAGTTGGCTTCACTGGTCAGATCCGAGTATTGCAATTTGCGTTCATATTTGAACCGTAGTTTCGGTAACAAAGTCATACCTCTGTATTCATCGCCCGTCTCTTTTGACTTGAACTCGATTCGCGGCTCGCAATCAGTCGGATGTTTGAATTGAATCCATGGATGTTCTTCAATGTCACTAAATGTGAACCGTTTATTATAATCCGTTATAAATATCCCTTTGAATAGATTAAGCAACAGTTTATCCGTTAATATGATATCCGGATAGCGAATAAAGTTATACGAATTCTTATTGAAAATGTCTTCACCATTCGTAAGGAACGGATAGCTATTGGTTACCAATCGGAACAACAGTACACCAGTAGACCAGATGTCAAATTTGGAGCCACTAGTGATGATAATTATATCAACAATTGACTAGTTTTTAGAGAACTATTAAATCACAAACAATATACCTTATCAATGGTAGATCTGTTTGGAGCTCAGGTGGATTATAATAGGGTGATCCCTGTATTTCATTATAAATCAGATCAGTGGCGGAGAAATCTTCGACCACATAACTGACACCAAAGTCTATGATTTTGATGTCATGCGAATTGTTGACCAACAGATTGTCTTCTTTAATGTCCCGATGATATACTCCTTTTGAATGCAGATATTTGAGTCCATCGATCACTTGAACAAAATAATGATGACATTGCCATTTGGGTAATCCTTGAGGAAGGGCTTCTTTAAGGATATCACTGAGTGGTCCGACACAATACTCCATAAATATATAGATATCGATAAACGTTTCGAAGACATCGATAAATTTGATGACATTTTTGTGTTGCAATTTAAATACCAAATCAATCTCACGTCTGATCAGTCCTTTGCTATCCTTTTTGATGACTCCACGACCGATAACTTTGGCCACTCGGCGCACGAGTGTCCGTTTGTCAACAAACTCGTAGACAACGGCAAAACTACCTGAGCCTAACATTTCACCCTTAATGTAGTCATTGATCTCTTCATATTCAATGGCTGGAGTGTCTGACGAAATGTCAATCAGTAGACAATTAGTTGACGTTTGGTTCAGCGATTGTGTGGTCGACGGATCAATTGATTGATGTTTATTTGATTCATTGATTTTATTGCATTTATCATCACTTTCAACATAATTATCATCATATTTGTTGTCCATTATTTAGTTAAAAAAAATTTAGTTCAATTTATAACAGTATTTATTCACAAATAAACTCTCAATTCAATTACAATACAATTGTTTCTTGAAATTTGAAAAACGCGAGAAAAGTTAAATATATTTAGAATTAAAGTAATATTAATGAAGTATTGAAATTTGAAAAACTAAAAAAAATTATATCATTCTCTTCTCTATAAACTCTAAATATTTTAACTGATTTTTGATTATCTATTAAAAAGTGTTAGTTTTAAATAGCTGTTAGGATCAGGACATACAAATGGGTGGTAAAACAGTGGAGACATATTTGAGAATTTTTTTCGTAGTTAACGGAGCTATTGGTGGTATAGCTTTTTACTTGACAATGAAGGCCTGCTTCGGTATTAGAGGTTGGGATGTCATCACATTTGTATCGTCTCTATTGACATTATTTTTGGCTTTATTTACGATTACGGCTTTCTGTATGAATAATCCTACACTGATTAATATATCGTTTGTGTTGACCATCGTTGGTGTCGCCGTTTGGCTAATTAGTCTTCTCTTGTATACATTGCGTAAGCAATAACCGACTGATCTTATCTTTAATTTAACTTTTTTATGTAATCAGTGGACAAGTACTGTGACAGTCGTGCCATTTGCAATATGGGGGGCTGTGTTCAGCTCTCACTGTTATGTTTGTCTTGTGTACTGCACTGGTGTTTGGGTGCCCGCACTCCGGCTGCACTCACACCCAAACCGGCCGTTTCGCCGCCAAAAGAATCATCCAAAGCGTGAAGTGATGTCCCATTGCTGTCAAGTCATCCATTCATTTCTTTATTTTTCAGTTATTTTTCAATTTATATCATTTTATTAAATATTTTAGATATTTTACAAAAATTAATTGCTATTTATCATATCTATTCTCGTATAAAGTTTTAATTATTTCAATTTTATTAATGCAACAACTTTTTTATGTAAGGAGTAATTAAATCTAAATATAAATTCATTTTTATCACAATAATTATCATAAAAACTATTTCATGTCTTATATTAATTTAAATCATTATTATTTAAACAACTTATACTGAAGTGCTATAAATATAAGTATAGACTGTAAGTACCGGTAATTAAAATCTTTATCATATAAAAAGTAATATAATAATCATAAGATTAATGATATCATTTAAATAACAATTTAATCTTAATTATTAAAAAAATATTTAATAAACTAGATTATAGTTAAACAACAAAATAATATAATAAAATTTAAAATAACAACAATTATTTATACAAATATATATACAGTTACACAAAAATAGAGAATCTGTTTACAACAAGTGATCAATCGGTGATGTCTTTGAGTAAGAGATAACACTGCAAAACAACGGGAATTTTTAACTCACTTAAGACTAGTTCAACGCTATGATCACCACATTTCTGGCGAAATGCTAATCTCGACAAACACTTTAGTGACGGCGGCTCTTGTCTGGTATCCAACCAATGGATAAAATCATCGAAAGCTGCGATGTCTTTGTCGCGATTGTAGTGATGCGGCGGAAGACGTATTTGTCCGCCGAGACAAAAGTCACTCCAATCTAATGGTTTGATTCGTGACATGARTTCAATAGTCAATTGTAATCCACTGTAATATAATATCTTAAGTCCAGTAGATGTTAGACGAGTAAAGCGAAAGTCTTTGAAATCAATTTGTGTGACAATATTTGGCTTATAATTCACTAAAAGTCTTAATACATCTGTAAAGCCATTCTGAAGGGCCGACAAACAGACATTTGTGTCGATTTGTGCGCCACGACTGAGAAGCGCTGCTGTGGTCTCCATATTGTTAACTTCGACAGCACTGGTCAACGGTGTGGCGCCCATCGAGTCTTTGGTGTTGACCACCGATCCGTAGTTCATTAAAGAGTCGATCATATGTTTAGTGCCCGTTTGTGCGGCAAAATGTAGCGCTGTTTGTCTTAGTGGACATGTCATCAAAAGTGGTCCGAACTCGAGCAACAAATCTACACACTCTTCGTTGCCATTGATTGCCGCCAAGTGAAGAGCCGTTAGACCGTTGACATCGCGTTTGTTAATGTTGTGTCCGTTATGGATGAGTTGCCGAAGGCGTGGACAGTCGTTGGCGTCGACCGCCGCAAATATCAACGGCTGTTTCGTCGCGACTTCATATTTACGGCCCAACGCTGACAACGGCCGCTGTCGGCCAGTGGTTGGCCAGAAAATACGGTCTTCTGTGGCGACAGTGAACGACTTCTGACCAATTGACTGTTGGCCACCCATTACTACGTGTGATCATCAATGATATGGACGACAAAGTTGTGGACATTTAACTAATATATAGTCAAACAGTCAATTGATTTCATACTTTCACTGCAAACGCATTCAATCACTGATTAAGTGATTGAATAACACTTTAATACACTTTTTGGTTGTCATTATTGTGTCGACACCTGTCGTGATATACAATCACATGACTAACTCATTGACAACAAGTGATGCAATTGATTATCAAACTTGTCATCAATTTATTGCTTATTATCATTAGTCTGTCTATTCATATGATTGTATGTATTAAAAGTATATACTTTTTATAACATTTATAATTTATTCAAATATTTTATTATATACCGATATAATTGCTTTATGTGTTACGCATACAATATTTTTTAACGACATGTCAATAGGTTATACATATATTAATACATAATGAGAGTAAGTGTATGGAAACTACTGTACTTTTAAAATGTAAGCACTGATACAGTGCTATACATTGTGCTAATAATAAAATTATTATTAAATTAAGTTAATATAATGAATATCACATTAGTTTATACTTTATTTATAATTTACTTATGAAGTATATTATAGTAAATTCATTTGTGATGTAATAATAAAATTATTATTTTTGACAATTTTATTAAATTATAATTAATAGAAATTAAGTCTGAATATGCAGAAATTGTTACAATTATTTTAATATTTTTTCTATTATTCTGATATATTTTTATAAAATTTATATATTCCATAATTATTATGTTATAATACATATTTTAAAAATTATATTCAATATAATTACTTTTTATATTTATAACAAAAATTGAACATGAGAAAAATAATATAAATTATCATCAATTTTATAATACATTTAATGATTTATAAATGTTTGCAAAATATATTTATAAAATAAAATCTTTTAGATAACTAAGTTTTTCCAATGAGATAACATATTACTAAAAATTAATTTTTAAAAATCTGTATTAATATAATTGTGATAATGAATACACAACTTTATCAATTAAATAACAAAATATAATCAATGAAAATATAACATTTGTTCAGTGAATCATACTTTACTGTAGTTTGTATATAAATAGTAAAATATTTATTAGTATTATAAAAAATATCAATCAAAATACAATACAGTATTATTAAAATTCTAATCGTTTAAGTTTTTAAAATATATAATTAAAAATACTATGTTATTGAATACAATTTTAATAGTTTTACTAACAAATTTAGTATATAATTATGAAAATGATTTTAATAATAACAATAGTTTGGTTGATGTATACACAACTTCGGGTACAGTAAGAGGACACAGTATATCGGTTTTGGATCAAACTATCAATGAATTTCTTGCCATACCTTACGCTGAGCCACCAGTGGGTGGACTCAGATTTGATAAACCGAAAGCAATGGAAAAGCCATTAAAAGTAAAGTATTTTCCGATTTATATTTGACTAAATTAAACTAATTAATAATAAATAGACATTAATATTTGTTTATTTTTTAAGCATATAATAAATGCAACTGTACCAGGTTATTCATGTATGCAACCAAATTTTAAATTTTGGCCAGACCAAATAGATTTGGTACCCAATGAGGATTGTTTAGTATTGAACATATGGGCACCGGGCAAATTAGACACTCCAGCTATTTTAATCAAACCACATAAGCCAGTAATGGTATGGTTCTATGGGGGAGCATTTACTATTGGATCCATATTTCAATTGCCTCAATATAACGGATCTGTTTTGGCCACTCATGATGTGGTTATAGTTGCTGTCAATTATAGAGTCAATGCTTTTGGTTTTATCTATACGACCGATCCATCGGCGTCGGGAAATGTAGGCTTTTATGACCAATTATTGGCATTAAAATGGGTATTAATTTATTTTATATAATATACTGTATAGTATAAAATACACAATATTTTTATTATATTATTAAAAATAAAAATATAAAATTTATATAAAATAATAGGTTAAAGAAAATATCGCAAAATTTGGCGGAGACTCTAATCAAGTAACTATATTTGGCGAAAGCGCAGGTAGTTGGTCGGTATCACTACACATACTGTCCCCGTTGTCAAAGGGTTTATTTCATAGAGCTATTTTAGAAAGTGCATCAGCACTGGGAGATAAAAAGAGACCAATTGTTACCAAAATGGATGCGCTTAGCGTTACTAGAGATTTAGCCAAAYATTTTAATTGTGGAGATGATAGCAAACAATGGGTATATTGTTTGAGACGAGTGGACGCTAAAGAGATATTAAAATTTCAAAGCTATTCAACTAAAATTGCATATTTTTGGAATGCTATTTATGAAACCGATATATTTCCATATACAGCTCAGGTAGCTTTTGATAAACAACAATTTAATAAAGGTGTTAAGTATTGAAGCTTATCTTCTATTATTGTACTATTTTTTATAATTTAATTTACTGTATTTGTTTTTATTAGACATAGATATCATAGTCGGTGCCACTGAACTGGAAGGTTCAAGTTTGGCTTATTATGTATTTCCTATATTACAAACAGATAACGTCACCAAAGATGTATTCGTGGATTTAGTCAAACAAACAAAATTGACATTTCAGTCAATAAATGTCTCAAATATTATTGAATATTACTTGAGTGGTGTCGACATCAATAACTCGAGTGCCGTCAGACATAAATTCTTTGAATATTACGGCGATGTACTCATCACTTGTCCGGTATATCTATTTGGTGAGACATTTGCTAGTAAAGCACCGATAGATAAAAATGTATATATCTATCAATGGAATTATGGCTCATCTGATGGTGCTATTGATGAGATAATGGGTGTCACCCACGGAGCAGACCTACGCTATGTATTCGGTCGTCCGTTGGTTGAGAAAAACAAAAACTTTACAAAAACAGACATTAAGTTTAGTAGATATGCTATGAAAGTGTGGACTGATTTTGCAAAATATGGGTAAAGATATTAGTTAAATATAATTTTGTTGAAATATACATTTTTTTTAAAATTTATTAATTTAATTTAAAGCAAACCCGAATCACGTGATAAATGGGCGCCAATTGATGTGAATAAAGGCATAATTGGTATCAAAGAAATGAATCCAATAACTGGTAGTCATATGCTTAAGAAAAATCCATTTGCCGTCTCTTGTGATCAATTCTGGAGAAATTACTATTTATAGGATTCAATGTTTTGATCATTTACTCAATCAAAATTTGATCAAAATTACTAATCATTTTAATAATATTTGCAACAAAACTATGATTATGTTTGATGAAAATATCAGTAATTTTATCTAATTTATATTTCTTAAATATTAAAAAGAAACATTTCATCTAAACTACTAAATACATCAATTTTTAAACTAAATTATGAATAAATAACTAAATAAACAAAATAATAAAATAAATAAATATAAATTATACTGGCAATATTAAATATAAACATTATTTTAGCAAAAATGTATACTTTACTAGCTTTAATACAAAATATTTATATACTGTGATTTACAACATTAATGATTTATTTATAAGTTTGTAATAATCATACAGTACTGTATATTAAATATACTATACTATATACTATTCAAATAAATCAATTTTATACATATAATAATTTATACATATATTTTCTTCAATATTTGTGATTTACTTATTTTTGTGTTTTGATAAAAACAATTTTATTATTGACTGTATGTCTAATCCGGTATAACATTGTTATCGACAGAACTGTGCGTACAATTGATAAAATTTTCTGAGTTATCGATGACTAACCCATTACTATATGTCGTTTCATATATTGTATTAACTGTCGATAAAATTTGCAAAAACCATTGATTACGACAATATTGAAGTGAATGTTGGCTCTAATATAACCATTATTAGTGATAATGTGTTTATAGAAAAATTGGATTAAATATGGAAAACACATTTCGTCTTCTATTAGATAATACTAAAAATATTTGTCAGTAATCCCTAATGTTGTCGAAAGCACCGTTGGCTATACTATTGGGTGTTAGTTTGGTGTTTCCCAAATCAGTAATATTATTATTATAATACATTAAAATTATTTTTGAAATAATGTTATCACAATTTATAGTATTTTATTTTATATTTTTAGTGCAAATTAAGATTAAAGTACAAACTGTAAGAATTGATCTTATAGTCAATGAATATTTATTTTGAAATATAATATCCAATTGCTATTAATGGTAATATGTGTACAGTAGTTATCATTAGTGTAGTGCAATCCACACTTAATTTCTTGTAGACATTGATTTTATATGTCATTAATGGCCACAACTGTAACGTCCAACGTGTMATTTGTCATAATTTAATATATTTGAGTTCAATAACAAATGTCTCATACAATTTGCTGATGGCTAAACTAAATTTCCATATATTCATAGAAAGATAGAAAGAAAGAGAGAGAGAGAGAGAGAGAGAGAGAGAGAGAGAGAGAGAGAGAGTACTATAATTTAAAATTTATAAATACAATCAGTAAATATGTTTTTTAGTTTATAGATTTTGGATATTGATCTATATATTGTAAGTTTGTTGTAAACCACAATTTTGAGTTCAACATTAAACAAGTATTACAAATGAAAATCAATGTCAGATAATAATTGAATAATAATTTTATTTTTTTAAGTTTATCTAAAAAATAATTTTTTTTAAAAATATTTATATCGTATTTGTAGTTTTGTATTACAGTTGAAATATTATAACTTTTATTATTGTTTAATAAAAATTGGGTTTGTAATTATTAATATCACATATTATTTATCAAATATACGGTATATTATAATTTTTTAAAATAATAAAAGATGATAATATAAATAATAACATCATCTGCTACTGTATTTAATGTTAATTTTTATTAGAAAAATAATATGAAACTTTTTTCATATTATAATATCTATTAAATTTTATCAATAATTTAATATGTAAATAAAATTATTATTATAAATGTTTGTAAAACTTTTTTATTATTTCTGAAACTATACTTTTTATTAAAAAATATTTAGAAAATATAAAATATATTTTATTTATTACAAATTTATAAATTATAAGTACAGCATACATATGTGACAAATAACATATAAATATCTTATGAAATTTTATAGTTTTTAACTACAAAGTAAAAAATATACAGTATGTTGAAAATACAATTATTAATTTTAATTTAAATATGTAATAATTATATCATAGTATAAATCATAAAGTATAACATTTTATTGTATTTTTGTTGTCTAAATTACTTAAGTATAAGGAAATTGAATCAAATAATTATAACATTGTGTGTATTTGTTACGGATAATTGATTTTCGCTTTTCTTATGCTAACAAATTAATGATAAAAAATTTATAAATTACGAAATATTTATTAATATAGAGAGCAAAACACAGATCATTTATTGTCATTATTAATAAGWTTAATGAGAAATTAATTAACACTACATATAATAACAAAGATTTTTTTGAGACATTTATTCCTCCGAAACAAAGAGGAATGAGAACAGACTTAATATGTATTTAGAGATAGCATTGTCTCCAAGTTTGGCCTTTCCTTTGCCGGTACGGGACTTGACTTTACTACAGACGGAGCCATCAGTGGGGAACAAATCCAATGGACACATCATATTAGTCAAGACACCGAAGTTGTCGTTTAGGAAGGACTTGAACACCTGYTGGCCCTTTGAGCCACACTTATCGCTTACCATTGTTGTCGTACAGTTGTCCCAAATGTTATAACCACAGCATAGAGTGCTATGGATTTCGTCGACATTTACTTTTGATGTCTCAATTTGATTGACTCTTTGCAGAAATTTGTTGTTACAGTCAGACTTGTGTTCATTAGTACTGAAGACCTTCTGGTGAAAACAGGGAGATTGGGTCAGGAATGCTAATGTGTGGTGTCATCAGCACAGGCAGGTTAGGTACCGGTAAATGTAAATTGTAATGAAAAAACAAAAAATAACAATTATTCATAAAAGGTATTATAATTATAATTAATTATTAATATCCTTCTATTATAATGGATATTATGCAATAACTAAATTAAAAAATTTGCAATATTTTAAACTAAATACAAGTTTTTATTTTGTGGTTTTTTAATTTATTTAAATATTATTAATATAAATATATTGATTATATAAACTCAATTAATCATTTTTCTATAGCATTACCTAGACCTTTTTGTAATCTACATTGATTTATTTTTTGTGAAAACTATTTAAGCATTAAGATAACAATATATTGTTAACAAAATGATAATATTTAAATAACCTTAAAAGTTAAGCATAACTAACAACTTTTTTTGCATAACTGTGAAAAAACTTGAAAATTTTCATACATATATGATATAACATAAATTAGTTTTCCTCTTTAAATAACAGTACCAAAAAAATTAGTTGTCTATTATGTAAACTATATGGTGTGTAGTTTGCATATAATTTGCAATTCAGTGACAAATTAATGAAAAAAATTGAATAATTATTTACTAAACACAGCAAAACTTTCCCAAATAAAAAATGAATATAAATTTTTAATGAAATCGTTAAAAAAATTAGAGCAAAACCATTGACTTTCCTGTTGATTGTTTCACTCATTTTTGTATTGATTGTAAATTTTATGTTTTTCTTCAATTATTAGATATTTTAAATATATATATAACTTACTTGACTTCTTGTCTTTATCTCCGCAAAATCGGTTGATCCTGAAGTCCACCTGATCTATGATTAGGTCACTTATCTCCCGATGCAAAGGTGTTCCGCACTTTTTGAAATAGTTTTTCAGACATTTCAATGTATCGTCTCTTATAGTTCTGTAAATCACAAATAATTTATAGATAATCGATGATAACATTTGTTTATAAGGATAGGACACACAATAGGTTAGGTATAGGTATGTAAAGGGCATACTTGCAGACGCGGTTAAGGCCGGCCTCTGAGGCGATGACAGCAGTCGGGTCTTTGCCTTTTCCCATATCAACCATTTTGTTCATACATTTTTCGGCCTCTTTTTGATGACAGAGATCGCTCTTTGATCGGCCCTTTGACTTGTTTTTGGTACGACTTCGGCGTCTTTGGCCATCAATTTGATTAGCAATGAGTAGCAATAAAATTGTTACAAAAATTACTGCAGAATTAAAATTTATAAATATATTTTCATTGAAAAAATACAAAATATTTATTTATAAATCATAATAAAAAAATACTTACTGTTAGTCACCGATAATTTCATTTTTTTCAAAAAATACAGTAAATAGCAAAACTTGTAATGTATTAAATAATTATCGACACAATCTTTATTTTTTTGTGTCACTAATGAACAATAATTTTAAATAATACTAATTTTAATGACAATACTATTAATAAATGATCACTTAAATTAATGATAAAAAATATGAAAATTAATTTTTGTTAAATTATACAAACAAATACATACAAAAAAATCTTAACCACAATATAAAGATTATTAAAAAAAATTTAAACAAATAAAAACTATTGTTTTCTTGTGGTTAGACAGACACTGTTTGGATAACTTTTCACAACTTTCTCTCTAACTTTTTGTTTGAAAGATAGAAAGGCATTCATTCAGTCAATACATATGTTAGGACTGAGCGCTGTTTTGATAGGTTTTCCTTATAGTTTGCTTTACAAGAGAAATACGGTTGAACTTTGTGTTTGATTTTTCCTAAACACACAAAAAATAAAAATTGAGGCCAAATATGAATGAAATATCATATTATTATTTTATGTGTATTTTTGTGTATTGCTAATTGAATTTGAAATATTTTGAAATTAGAGTTTTCATATTTAATATTTTTGTAACCAAACCGAAACCAAAATCTWTGAAGTATTAAATGTTTAATCAAAAATCAGAATATTATTAATAAAATAAATAATTATGATTATACAAGTTTATCAATATTATATAATTAATTTATATTAAACATCTAATATACATTTTTTATATATACATTTAATTTAATTCATATTTAATCTGGGTTAATTTATGTTTATTAATGACTTAATAATTGTATGAATCTAAACAAATTCTATAMTATAATTTTTAAATTTAAAATTTAAAAAAGCATTAATTTATTTAATAATATATAATAGTAATTTAAAATATACACCAAAATTTAATTTTAAAATCATTAATATTGAAACCGTTTTAAATCTCTAATTTACATTATATTATTATTATTACTTTATTATACTGTATTTAAATAGAGTACATTGGTAAAAACTTGATTTTTAATGTCACCAAAACATTAAAAATAAAAATATCAATAGATGATTAATTATAATTTTATGTTTTATTGAAAATATATTGTATAGATTTTAGATAAGATCTTTATAAACAATATTAAAAATATGACAATCAATTGTTGAAACAAACCTTGTAAACAAGTTTTTCTTATTAATAATGTGTATATAAGTTAATAATTAATTAATCTTAAATTTTTAATAATTACTTGTCTAAACTAATCAAATTAAATGTTTAAAAATAATAACAGTAAATTTGTATTTTTAAAATATATTTTTTTATTGAGTTTTCAATTAATTTTGATAGACTTCAGTTGAGAAGATATCTAACAACAATAGTGAATAAATATTTTAATTTATAGTACTGTATATTAATTTAATTTACTATTATTATAATATATTTATAATAAATATAAAATAAATAAAATTATCAAAATCAAAGTCAAAATCAAAATCAAAATTTTAAAAAATGAATTTTTGTAAACATATAATTTGCAAATAATTAAAAATGCCACCAAAAAAATTGACAATATTTGTTATAAAACAATAAATCATATGTTTTTAAATTAAGTTCATTACCAAATAAATATGAATTGAAATTATTTTGTATTAATCAAATTCATCGATAGTATACAAAATACTAAATATAAAAACTATGAATAATAAAAAAATATAAATTTATTTAAAAAATAAATAAATTTAAGTTTTAAAAAAATATTTATAAAAAATACATGATAAAACATAGATTAAAATACTAGATTGTATAAATAATGTTGTTTGCAAGGTTAATAATTGACAATAAATTTAAATTTTAGACAATTTATCAACAAATAAAAATCTCATAATGAATTCTTTCATATATTTGTCATAAGTTTTTTCCCAAATATAAATATTTTCAAAATTATTATTATTTATACAATTTTGACAATTAAATATAAAAAACTACGTATAAATTAGAAATTATAAAAATGATAAATAATAGAAAAAATAATTTAGAAATAAAACTATATTGTGCTGTCTTTTAAGTGTTAATTTGATATTTAATTAAAATTAAAATTAACATTGTTAATTTTATAACACGATAATTATATGTTAGTTATGTTAAAATTACTTAATTTATGTAATCTATTGCTCAATTTTATAAAATATTTTAATTATTAAATAATAAACCTTTCTTTTTTAAACAGTTTAATAGCTATTTAGTATTTTATATGAATTATGATGTAATATATTATATTATTTAATTGTATTGATTTAAATTAACTAAAAAAGATAGTGAAATTTCATTGTGCGAATCATTTAATAAATATAATAATGATTCAAATGACACAAATTATAAAAAAGTAGTTTTATTTTTCTGAAAAAACTTGTTTTTAATCCCATAAATTGTGCAAATCATATCCATATTAATTATTAATAATATAATTAGATTTTAATATTTCTACAATTTATAAATTAAATAATTTTTACGATATATTATATATTGCTTTAATTTAAAATACAATACAAATATTTTTCATGTAAAAAAAATAATAATGTATAATTGATTTTATAATTTCTTAAATAAAATATTTTTAAAATATTTATTTCATATTTTTGTCTAAATAATGATTAATATATAGTGTTTTTTATTGTTATTATTAAATGTATATATATAATTATAATTATAATTATAATTTTCATAATCTTAATATCAATCAAATTCAAAATGATAGACAACTTGATTAATATCGCATTTGCCGTCGGCTTCTCTGTGTCGAGACTAACCCGTCAGCTGCTGGCAAACCAATGGTCACACCATGACATGGTTGGCCCAATTAACCACTAATCACATGTAACCGAAAATTGATTACCCGTATAATTGTCTTTAAAAAATTATATAACTTAATATTACATATTGTTGCCAATAGATAGAGTAATTTGTTTAATAAAACTTTTAGTTTAGTTCAATTCATATACAGTTTAATATTGAAACGTTTTTCAGTTGATAATTAATATAAAATATTAGATTAATGTTAGTATCACTTTCAATAGATTGTATATAATCAATAATTTATAAATTATATTAATAAATATTAAATTTCGCAAATGTTAACTTATCAATCAAATATTAATTTTAAAAACATCAAAATAAATATAAACTTTTAAAAAATCTTTTTATTATCTTTGTCTAACATTTAAATTATCAAAATACAAAATATCACTTAACGTGAATTATTAAATAATGTTTTTAATTTCTAAATATAAAAACTATTTTGTTATTTTATTAATTTTTTAGATAACTAAATAAATATAAATATAAATTTTTTATTGTATAATATTTATAGATATAAAATGTGTTAATCTGGTAAACACTTTGTTAGATTTACCACAAATTGATGGAATTTTTTTATATAATAACCTTTTAATATGATGTCAAAAATTAATATAATAAAAAAATTAAGCAAAAAACATGTCATAACATTATAATAATTTGTCAAAAAACGTTATAATGTTTAGTCATATTTGAGAAATAGATATTTTTATAATATTTTTTGACGACATTTTTCTCTCTCACTTAGTCTTCAGATTCTTCTTCATCTGACGAAAGTTTGTCCGTCTTTTCATAGATTCTTTCAAAGCCTACTTCGTTGACAACACCCGTCACCCGAATGGTTCCGTCCGGACGAAAGTCGCGTACAATTGTCACTGTATTTGAGTCTCCGACCTGTTTTTGGATCCATTTGTTGCCATTCCTGGTGATGGTTGAGTTAACTGTTGCGCCATCCATACGACTTTCTTCAAATGGTTCGCCAAATTTGAATGTAATCTCTGATGTCTTAAACTCGGAGACAGTTTTCAATGTATACGAGTCGTCATCATTTTGGGTGATGTGATAGTCGGGATGCGCTCGRCTGGCGATAGCTCTGAGGACAAACCCGACGCCCAATTCTTCGAGAAAATTGCCAAAGTTTTCCGATTTTGTCATTTTGTATTTTCCCGTAAACTCAACCGTTTGACTATTATTGTCATCTTTGAGCTTATTGTTGGTCTCCAGGTTCACGATATTCACTAACTCTTTGCTGGAAAAATCACATGAATTACCCGATGGGTTCAACCATTGCAAAGTCAGTACTGTTAGGCCCACACCAACCAACACTACATACAAATGTAAAAATAGTAAATAGTTTTCAATAATAAAAATTATTTTAATATTATTAATTTAGAAATAATTTAATTTAGTAATTTAATTGAATTTATAATTATTTGTAATTATTTGTAATTATTTGTAATACATACCAAAGATAAATGCATAAACTATGAGAAACAGTATCCGTAATGGTCTCGATCTCGTCTCCATTGTATTAATTTCTGATATTTTTGGCAACAATTATAATAAATAAATGACTAATTTTAGTGAAAAGTTAGTGAAAATACTTTTATATTTWAGTATCAAATTTTATCACTTATCAAATTTTATTAACAATCTATAGTAAACTTTATACAGTATATGTCATTATTTTTATACAAACATGAGATATAGATTATATTAATTCTTGATATAAAATTACAGTTATTTTTGCTACTGATTTCCAATTAATATATTTAATAAATTAAAATAAATTGTACTTTGATATTACATATAAATATTTTTATCATAACTATATTTTTTTGATGAACTATCATTAAATTATTGGATATTTAATTTCATCATTTCTCATATATGCATAAAAAAATATTATTATCACATATAATTATGAAACATAAAATCATATATAGTAATTAAAAGGAAAAATTATTTATTAGATGACAAATAATATTTGTCAATAATTATTTTTAAAAACCTTTAAAAGTAAAAATATTACAAAATTATAAAACAATATAGAAATGAAATAAAAATTAAATTAATAATAATAATTACTGTATTTCATGTATTAAAACACATATACCACACATACATATGGCAAATGTGTGATAACTAAAAAAATATTTGAACCGCAAATAGACACACACACTCACTAATATATAACTTTATATATATATATATACAGTATATCTAATGATACTTATATTTTATTTTTAACACTCAAACACTTATATATTATATATTATAAACTTTCACTTTTTTCTGAAATATCTATTTCTGGGACATAACATAAAGAATCGCACGTCTGTAATAAAAAACAAAAATTTTTATTTCAAATTCAAAACTTTTTATTTATTTTGTTGGATTTCACAGATTAGATTTTTTTTAAATTTAGTAGATATTAATTTATTTATTAATCATTWTATATAATACATTAAAATTATTAAATTATAATTAAAAACAAACTGTTAAATTACTGAACTATTTATACTTTTTATTTGTTTAGTAAAAAATTAATAAATTCAAAAATTAATATTCATTTRTAAACTCTTTTGTACTCAACCATCACTCAATCAATTGATGATAAAAACATTTGTTATTATTATACTTTAGTGCTTTAGTACTTCAATAATATGGAAAAAATTGTTTTCCAACTATTAAAAAACTTTTTTGATTTTTTCAAGTTTATACTTTTATGAAAAATTTGTTTTAATAAGCGTTTTAACTTTCATAAGTATCGATACTTTAATATTATTATAATATCATTATATCATGCAAAATAATAGAAAAATAAATTATTATATATATATATATATATATATATATTTAAAAATTAAATAACACAAATCGCTGATAAAATAATTATTAGTAAAATCCTATTAAATAACATAACATAAATTATATACAACACAACCAACAAAGTATTAAAAACTATTATATAATATGAATACTACGATATTATGCTTTCAAAATGATGTCCACAATGACCTTCACTTAAATTTTTTAGAGATTAATGAAATGTAAACTTATTATTTAAGAAATTATTTAATTGTGTGTATATTTTTTTAATTTTGAATTTAAACTAAACAAAATTACTTGAAATTTTCACATAAAACATTTTTAAAAGGAAATAATACTATTATATATCTTATGAATATGTATATATATATATATATATATATATATATATTTAAATATTTTATATAAACTTATTTACTTATTATAAGTGTCTTCGAAATATTTATAAGATTATCATAAGATAATTATCGATACAAAATATGTACAAAACTTTAATATATTTTTAATAAGTTGTAATCTTTTGTAATCTTTTAAAAAAATTTCACTTTTATTTTAAATAAAATATTTAAAATATAATATTTGGGCGATTATTAAGATCATAAATTTTACTACTCTGTATACTGTACTTAATGTTTATGCCATACTTTAAGTTATAACAATACTCAACATCCCTGTGCCTGACAATATACGGTATATTATATACCTGTGCTTAATCTTTTTGTTTACTATTTATTTTTAATTGAATTGTATATATTAATCATATAAATTAAATATATCAATTTTATATAATTAAATCAAATAACTGAAAAATGTTTTTTTAAATATACAACTACTGAAAGAAAAATCAAGGTTTGCTATGAAATCCTTATAATTTTCAATAATAATATTGTAATCGTTTTTTTCAATTTTTATGAAGTCTTTTTAAAGTTTATTTATTACATTATTATAGATTCAATTAATTAGTAAAACAATTTTTATGTCCGATAATCAATGAGATAGCAATATATATATACATTATATTTATTTGTTATCATTTGTATTGCTATCTCATTTAGTTAGTCACTGTCGACCTCATCTCTAATATACTGTTAACCAAAAGATATATAGATWTCTAATATATCTAAAACTAATAAATAAAAAATTTGTCTTTTATTGATATATTATATATTTAATTTAATTAATTTAGTATATATTATTATGAAATTTAAACTAATTTACAACAAATGTTATATAATATATTTTTCAATTATGAAATATAAGATTATTAATATTGTAAATTATATATACTGTATATTTATTGATTGTTATTTATTATATTTAGAGTTGGAGCAAATTTCCCAGAGAGAAAAGTTCCCTAATAAAATCCTTCGAATTTTTTTCGGAAAATATGGAAAATATTATGTTTTCCTTCCATCGTTAGAAATGGAAAATATATTTTATATTATTAAAATAAATAGTACCAAAACTTAGATATTTTACAAAAAAATATTGAAATATTTAAAACAAAATTTTAATTCAATAAACTTAGTGATACTATTTATTAATATCACTCAAAAAACAGTTTAATATAATATTAGTTTTTCAAACATCATAATAAAATGTGTTGTTTAGGGTTAATAGATGATAGAACAAGGAAATGAATTCCCAGAAAGAAGGGAATATAAGGAACATTTGGAAAATAAAACGAGGGATGAAATTTGATCGAACACTAACTATATTATACAAACAATGTATAATAAATATATAATTAATTCATTTGTATTATATAAATATAATAAACTAACTTAAATCATTTATCTCTAATTAACAATTTTTAAATAATTATTAATTACACATAAACACAATGTTATAATTATTTTTATTATCATTAAAAAAAACAAATTTTTAAATAAAAAGCATTTTGAAAAATTATATTTTATTGTTAATTGTATTGTCATTAAGTAGTTCATATGTATTAAAAATCATATGATGTAATATATTCAAGTATTATATAAGTATAATAAAAATAATTGTGATTTATATTTAAWATAATCAGATTTATTTTTATTGATTAAAATTAATATGTCATTGAAAAATTTATTTCACTTAATTTAGCAATTCATACATCAATAAACTTTTTTCTACACATTAGGACATTAAGTTTAATAGCCTTAGTTAATRTAAAGTACGGTATATTAAATTTACTAAATTAATTTAGTACTGTATATACTCTACTAATATATATATACATAAATATATGGTATCAGATAAATAAAATACAATTATTGTATAATTCAAATATAAATTTATTATTATTTAATTGGTTTGATTTAATTTAATTATTTTGAAACTATAATTACATAACAATCTGAATTTTGATAAAATTAATAAAATTAGATACTGTAATATTAATTATTTAAAAAAATATCTTCTAAAAATACATATATTTTCAATTTTTTTAACTTGTTTTAATATCAAATTGTTATAGATATCAAAAAAGCATAAATGTTCATGATCAAAAAAGTTATATTACAATATTAAGAACATTATATTATAGTTTAAAATTTTATTTTAATTTTTTAAAATAGTTTTAAATTAGAAATTACATATTTTATTATATTATGATTTTTCTATATTATAATCTATAACTTATATACTATTATATAACACAATTCAATAATACTAGACTATAACACATTTGACTTTATATTTGTTTAAAAGATTAAAACAAATAAATAACACATAAAACATGTTTAATATAAAAGTATGTGAATCTTGTGATACAAATTTGTAATCCAGTATTGCTTTGATAATCAAATTGAAAACATTGTTGTTTTTGAATTATTTAGTGTTTTTAAAAATAATACATTAATTCATTTATATTAAATTTGTATAATTATTACAAAAATCGAATCATATATATATATATATTATATATGCTATTAATTATGTTAGTAATGTAAATATTTTAAATAAATTATATTTAAACTTATATTAATTATTTAACAATTTATTAATTGATAGTTGACTTACAAACAGCACAACTGTCAACAAAATGAATACAGGATTTGGTAAAGCATTTGAAAATTTTAAAGTCGACCAATCGATCCGTCCATCAGATGATAATAAACCGATTTTTAATGAAGATTTGGTCCGAGAATTGTATTTAATTACTCTTAAAGATATCAACTTTTGCATAAAGAAAGGAAAACTTCATTGTATTAAATGTAATAAAGTTTTGACAATTAGAGACCCGAAAAATGTTAAATATAGATATGATTCACACGTTAGCAAAACTAATCATCAAAAATTAATTATTTAAAATAATATATATATTTAGTTAACTAATTAAAAGTTAATCAGAAATAATTTTAAATTTCAAAAATTAATATTAMATGAATTGATTAATAATTTATCAATAGATGGTGTGCTAACAACTACTAGTAATAATAAAATTAATATTAAATTTATACATTTATTATGATTTTTTAATAAATTATTTAATAAAATAAAAGTTGTTTAAAAATACGGTATTTATTCAATAAAATTATTTATTTAGTTATTTTTATAACAAAAAAATAACAGTTTCGAGTCAAATATATTTATGAAATTTTGTTATTTATTATTTGAAAAACAAGAGACATTGTGACGATAATAATTTMAATAAAAATATACTTATTATAAGAGGTTTGATAATAAAAATAAATATTTAAATAACACTAACAAACAATAAATTTACTCAAATTTCATTAACAAATTTTATTTACCACTTCATAGTTGTTGCTAACATAGCAATGAATTTTTAGTAATAAATGTTTTCATTTTTTTTATTATGAATTATATAAACATTTTTTTAATGACAAACTTTTTTTTAAAAAAAAATCTTATTAATGTAAAAATATTATTTTTGTTTGCCATATTGTAATGACATAATTATAGACATATTAAATTAAATACGAATAAAATTGTAATTATAATATAATTTATTTTTTTCAAAATTAAGCTAATGAATTGTAAATAACTTTAAAATTAAAAAAATAAAACATTTATAATTATTATAATAATTATAATTAATATATAAATATAATATTTTTATTTATTATATAGAAAATAATTTATTGAGAAATATTTTACTTTTGTCTTCATTTACTTTACTGTATATTAATTAATATACATTAAGTATATTGTATTTAAAATTCTTTTACTTAAATTCATATTATTATCAATATTTAAAAAACTATTAATAATTTAATTTTTTATATTAAATATATTGGAAAATGTTTGAAATAAAAATTTAATTACAAAATAAAAATTCTTTGAAAAAATTATTTATTGCTTATTTAAAAATTATAAAATGATTAATAAATACAATGCGCGCGCGATTTAATAATACAAATATATATTATATATATTATATATAATACAGCCATCCATACAATAATTAAAATACAAAAATAACAATAATAATAATAATAATAATAATTGATTCATTAAAAATCAATAAAAGCCATGAATTAATTTCTCTCAAAAAGTGTTTTCAATGCTTCAATAAAAAAATGAAAAATAATAGTTATATACAGATTTAGGGGAAAAAACAGTCGTAAAGTTGTTTATCAAAGTTTTTGTCGGATTTTCATTTTCGATACAAAATTTTTTGGGTCTTTATTTAGGATATAACAACTGTCYGGATTTGATCACTCGTTTATCTGGTGGTAACTTCTTTGATCTCTTCGGTCTCATCAGTGATAAACATAAACGAGAAAAGAGATGTCACGTATTTGGTCAGTGCGTTGTCGCCAATCTTTCCCTTGGCTTTGGTTCCGGGCACTGGTTTCAGTTTCTGGCACTGGTCTGATTCAGCCGGGAACAGATCAACGGGACAGGCCATGTTGGTCAGTGTGCCGAACACTCCGCCCATAAACTTGCCGTAGTTTTTGATGGCCAGATCGCCGCACTTATCTTTAATCATTTTGGTAGTACAGTCGTACCAAACGGAATAACCGCAACACATACGAGAGTGACTATCATCCGCCTGGCCTGTGATCTCATCGTCCACCTGATCAACAGTGGCCAAGAAGTTGTTATTACAGCCCTTCTTGTACTCCTCAGTGCTCAACACCTTCTGGTGAATACATGGGCTCTCCTTCAAGAAATCTAACGGAAGTTAATGTGTTATTATAGAGAAATAAAATTAAGGTTTTCATTAAAATCTATATATTTAACAAAAACATACCTTTTCTGTCAGGATTGTCGGCCTTACAGAACACATTGAGACGACCAGTAATCTGATCGACCACCAGATCCATTACTTCCCTGTGCAACGGTGTACCACATTTCTTACCGTATGCCTTAATACACTTTATGGTGTCCTCACGTATTGTACTAAATAGGAAAATAAAATTTTTGTTTTATTATATTTTCAAAACACCAATTGATTGTACGTTAAATTATTAATTACAATACAATTCAATTTCCTGTGAAACAAAATTATCGCATATTATTAGTTAATTAAATAAAATAAAACTCAATGACAATGATTTTGAAACACAAAAAAAATCAATTGTTGACATACTTGCAGATCTTGTCGAGACCTTCTGCTGTTGCGATCAGTGAAGTCGGATCTTTTCCTTTGCCTAATGATTGCATTTTATTAAGACAAGTCTCCATTTCTTTGAGATGGCACTGATCCGTCTTTTTGTTACGATTTCGGTTACGCCGTTGGTTCTTGTTTTGGGCTTCCGATTGGCCAACCAATAGTGCCACCAACACTACCAAACTTAACACAACTGTGCAAATAGTTTATAAAAAATATATATATATTAATTATTATATATTATATATTATCGATAATTTATTTTAGTTAAAAATTATAGTTTAATAAAAAACAATATTAACTCACATTTGATATTCATGTTAACTGATGTTTTAATTTTTGTGGACTCAAGTCGTCTAAAATTGAATTACTGGTTATATTGTTATAATCGACAAACACTATTGCTATTTGACAGATAAGTCTGTCTCCCGGAGCTACTCTTAAACGACTGGCCAAAGTATCAGCGATACGCTTCAAATAAATAACTCTTGTTTGAGGGGGAAAGGTATATGTATTAGGTATGACTAGGGGTTGGTATGATATCACTCGATGAATGAGTGGTTCAGTGAAAATGTCTTTTTTTGTTGTTGTTGTTGATGTCGTAGTTTCATACGATTGACTGATGCTTTTACTTTCACCAGATTTTTCCCCCGAAGTCATTGATAATTATTAATACATTAAATATCATTACATTTGCTTACATATTGAGAGACACAACCTTTTGCTTTACTAAATGAAATCACACTTTGCTTTTGAAGGTCAGTATATCACTTAACTCAATGGTATTACTATTAGAAGAGGATAATTGCCAACCATTTGGTATGATAATGAACCCCTGATTGTTGTAGATTTTTATGACATAGCAAACCAGGCATACCTGGCCTACCTGTGCAGGGGATGTCATATATACTTTTTCTAACTGTTGTAGCCAAGTTGAATAAATAACTAATAGTTTACTATATTATCCTATAGTACTATTTATATTTTTTAATTTTAATATTACCAAGGTTATATGTAAAGTAATATTGCCTATCTTGCTTATTATTCACCATACAATCTACGTAATAGAGATTTAATATACCTGTGCTATTGAGAAATATATACTGTATATAATTATAAGGTATTATTATTTTATTTATTGTTTTATTTTGTGTTTTGAAAGTAACTCTTTTTATTCCTATTTTTATAATTTGTTTCAAACAAAACAAAAAATAAGTGATTCACTATATGTTTTGACAGATCTCCCTCTCAAACCCAGTGAACCACTTCAGATACTCTCTAAAAATAATCTCTCTCTCTCTCTCTCTCTCTCTCTCTCTCTCAAGATTATGATTGATTAATTTAATGGCAATAACAAAATTCAACAGAAAAAATAAGTTAATAACTAAAAAAAAYTATACTTCAAATAACTTTGTATATATATATATATAGCGTATATTATAATATACTATATTTTCAATGATAACTTTACTTTAATGCTATCAATTAAAATTCATAAAATCCTAAAATATAAAAATAAATTATTCACACAATAGTCTGATGTTAATTTTATTTTACATTACAATATAATAATACATTATATTTGGAAATAAGTTTCGCAAAAAAGAGCCTGAACTCCTTCCGATAAAATAAATTCCCTCCCAATCACTGAATTATTTTTTTTGTTACGGGTCGTTTCATAAAATATATTATCAATATGTTAAATAATACAATATAATTAATTATAATAGATCATACAGTACTACCATTCAATATTTGTGATTAAAAAATATACTGTATATATAAATTATAATTGCGTTTATTAAAGCAAAAAAAAAGACAGTCAAATAAAAATATTAAATAATTTATTTTATTTGAAAACTAACAATTAATCTACGAAACAAACAAATTATTTAATCATTAATTTAATGTTTTTTTTAATAAAAAAAGTATAATTTCTATTTATCTAATGGAAAAAATATATTATTCTGAGAAACTTTTTTAAGAAAGTATATATTTGGTAACTTTCCTTTAATTGGAAATTTGCCCATTTCTCTAATTATATATTCAGTACTAAAGCATAGCATAAAAAATTATGAACAACATTATCAACATTGAAAACACATATATAATTACTGGAAATATATATAAACCAATTGAGAGTTCAAAAAAAATATTAATGTATTTTGCAATTATTTCTCTTGTATTTGTCGTTTCATGAGAAGTGATCAATAAAACAAAAAATATTTGTCAATAATAATAATTATAGCGAAAGTAATGTTGAATTTCTAGTTTTGTTTTGTTTGTCCATTTGCTTCAACAACAAACTATATCAATGTTTTGCGTTAATTTTAATTACATTAAAAACCAGTACCCATAACGAAACAAATTCAATATATAGGTATACAATATACTAAGTTATATACAGTATATGTATATCATATCTCTAGCAATCAGTTGATGTCATTTACATTCACATACTGTCACCGCAAACAAGACATCCCTGAGTTTATGTCATTTCCTAAGAAACAAATCTTTTGAGTAAATCTTAACATAAAACCAGTTGTTAACAAAATTTAATTATTTTCATTTTTAAAAATTTAGAAAAAAAAATTTATTCAATAAATGTTTTATTTAACATATTTAAATTACAATATTASTTTCAATGAGTTTTAAAAAATTAAATTTGAAAAATTACAATGAAAGTTTAAATTTATTTAAATCCAAGTTTGTATTATTATTATTAAAATATATAAGAAATTATTAATATTTATGAAGTTAATACTCAAAATAACTTATTGACATTGAAAAATGCTTTCCTCAAACACTAATAAAATAATGTAACAAAATATTGAAAAATTATCATTAAATATAGTAAATGTAAATTAACAAACATGACATTTATGTGTGTATGTGTATATATATAATCAAAATTGCACGAATAAAGTTATCTTTATAATAATTATTTGAGTTAACCATAATCTTAAGCAAACAATAAATCTGATATCACATTGTCTTTTTAAAAATGTATAAAAAATTGTCAAAAATATTTATAAAGGTAATGTCATAGAAAAAATAATTATTATATAATATCAAACATTACGTCAATCATTATGACCATTTCAATGATCAAATTAAAATCTTACTATTATTTTTATAATCTATCTATAATTTTAAGATCGATAAAAACTTAACATTCAATTATAAGAAACTTTATATCATATGATTAGTTTAAAAAATTCAAAAAAAAAGAAATAATAGAAATAATGACTCGTAATAATAGACGCAATTTGTACGATAATCACTGCTTTTGACTAAATATTTGTAATAATTAATATAACGTTTCACTGCTGACCAAACAAATCAAAATTATTTCAATTTAATGCAATCAATTTGTGATCACCGTTGAACAGTATCTCAATACTAAAATTGTGGTTAGTTTTGGACATTACGTGATCGATAATACATTGTTTGGCGGTCTCGACATTTGATCCGAGGCCAGTTATCCTAAACGACGACGAATTGTCCACCATTTTCGGTGTTTCAATATATGTTTCTGTCAGCTTCTGGATATTTCGTATGGTATTACCATTGCGGCCAACAATCAAACCGATAAGCGATGAKGGGATGAGTAGATTCAGTGAAACAGAGCCTATATATTAAACAAAATTATAGTCAATGATTAAATTTTGGTAAACAATTGATTATTATAAGGAAAAATTCATAGGAAATAAAACCCTTTCATATGAATCATCTTATCCTCAATGAGTTATCTGTAGTAAAAACCACTATTCAAACTCATTAATAGTTGTTATAAGACTACTAAACGACTATTAAACTACACTTTCTATAGTCTAACTGATGTGATTCGTGTCACACATACCGGGAATATCAGAGTTTCTTTTGAACTTCAATTTTCTCTCTTCGCTGACAAACGTGAAGTGTTCAGAAGCTGACAGTATCTCAGTCTTGACTTTGAGGACATCTTCGCGACGACCAGTAATGATAAATACCGGTTCTTCACCCGTAACCGGCGTCTGGATATATGTCCGCGATTTAGCTCTCAATAACTTAATTTTTGATCCTAAAAAATCATAAAAAAATAAAATATTAACAATTATCGGTAATACAAAAAACAAATAATTACTAAAAAAAAATAAAATTAAATGCAATCTTAAGATATGATACATACCTTGTTTGCCGACTATCTGAGCCACGTGTGTGGATGACGGAACTGATACCACTTCGCAGTAATTCTTGTCCTGAGGACAGTTGTCCAGTTCAGAGTACATGCGATTCACATCGAAGTTGGTGTCCAATAGTGAAACACATTTGTCGACATAAGCGTTGCCCGTCAACTCCATTTCGGCCAATTGTCGGGCAATTTCGTAGAGACGGTCAACCGATAAGGGATTAGTAGGTGATGGTGTGTCCCGACCTGTGTGTGGCATGTATTCAATACTGTTATACCGGTGTCTTAGATTGTTTGGAGCCATTGACTGAGTCAATCAAGATTTTCAATAATGAGATAATGGGGTAATCAATGTATGAATAAGTAACCAAATTTCGGAAACAGTTATTACTGATAGGTATGGGTTATGAGATTATTAGTGTAATAGTTGTAATCAATTTAACGTTTGAATTACATATATAATGACATATGATTTGATTACTTATGAGTTTCTTATGATTGCATTAAAAAAAGTTTCAGTTTTTAAAAACTTTACGAGTAATTAAAAAACGTGTGAATCACGTGATGTAAAAACTTGATATAAAACTTATAAAACTAAATATCAAATTATTAAATAGTTAATTATTAATTAAAAGTTTTTATTTAAAATGTTTTGCATTTAGTTTTATTATATTATGTTTGGGTTAACAGTTTAGTAGTCGATGGATATTAAGTCATTACTAACCCGATATTGACTAAATAATTAACTATTTATACTTTCATATACCACATACCAGTGCTCTCTTATTAGATTATATTACTGTATATATTAATAGTTTATTTTTGCCACAATATATGTAAATGTCTTGTGAATGGATTCTTTGAAATTAATCTTTATATCAAATAATCAGAAAACGGATTAATAAAACCTATCTAATAGTTCATATTAATATACAGTATATATGCATATGATTTGAATTTTTCAGGTACATATGCCAGCATAGCCTATAACATTAATCCCTGTGCTCTTATCAGACATCAATGTCAACTGTTTATGTGATAGTTATCACAAAACAATTAATATATAATATAACACAAGTTGTCTGATTGGATGTAAATATTGTTGTCTTGCAAATAGTTTACCTTAAAACTAAAAAATAGTATTCATAATAAGTTTTGTTTTGTGTTTCATAATTAGATACAATATATTTAAATACATAATTAATATATTCATAAGTTAATAACTGTTTGGTAAATACTGATTAAGTAATTTTAAATTGATTTAATATTGAAATAATTCACACTTTTACTTTAATGTATTTAAAAAAATATTTATTTTATAAAAACTATATTTTTAATATCATAGTATGGAAAGTTACTTGAAACTTGCTAATTGATAGTTCATATTAAATATATTCCATTTATAATATGAATATCAATTAGTAAAATTGAGTACCTTTTCCATAGAGTTGGAAATTAATTTCGAGAAAAAATATTTTATGTTAACTCAGAAACTTATATTATTAGTAATAATTAAATATTCATAATAATCAAAGACCTATAAAAGATTAATGTATTATTTTTTTAAATATCAACTTTAAGTAAATTTTTCAAAAATGAGTTAATCATTGATAAAAGTTTTATTCAAAATTTATTTTAAAAACTTTCTGTTTTAGTTAACGAAACAAATTAATTACATTATTATTAAATTATTTATAAATATTCATACAGTAATAATAATTATCATTATTTTTTATAATTTATTTGCTTTTCTGTAAATTGTGTAAATTATAGTTTTTATCATTTWATTTTTTTTTTAAAATGTCACTGAATTTTTAGACTTAATACATTAAACAATTTGTTCTCATAATACCCCCTCATAAATGTGATCAACAAAATTACAGACAATTTTTTTATTAATAATTACACTCAGCGTTAGTTTTATGGCAAAAATGACTAGAAGTTTATGTCAAAAATTTACAGAATATTACGCTTCAAAAGTGAGTTATTTTTTGTATCAAGCAATGAAATTTTAATTAATTAATATTTTTAAAAATAATTGTTTTCAAAAGTGATACTATAATTATAATAGTAATTTATAATAATAATAAAGTTTGAGCATTATTTGTTTGATCATATACTGTACCATATGATTATAAATTATAAACATAAAATTATTATTTTGTATTTGAAATTGTTAGCAATTTTGTAAAGTTTTAAAAAAATTTATATGCTTTAAAATGTTATGCTATTCATTTAATTATCTTATTTTGTCAAATAAATAATTTTTTAACTGTAATTGTTAATAAAAGAGAAATTATATACAATTCAAAATAATTCAAAACATATAAAAGTATCAAAATATTTAAAAATTATAAATAAATAAAATCATCAAAAATAATAACTTTAAAAAACATAATATAACAACCAAATTGTTTTTTGAATTTTGTTTTAATGCAAGTTTCAATAATTACCGTAACAATACCCGAAAACAATTTTTTAAATAATTGATTGTCTTTTAGTCTATTGTTATTATACATAATATATAATAGTATTGTAAAAAATTGACAGTTTTTGTTTGTCAAATAAATTTATATTTAAAAAACGTTTTGATTAAATTTAATTCAATTTAAATAAAAATAATTGCCATGTTAAATTAATTTCAACAAGCTAAATCAATAAATGATTAAAATGACAAATATGAATATGAAATTTAAAATAATATACTGTATTGTAATGATGTAAAAACAATATTATAAAAATCAAAAATTGATGATAAATACAGTATWATTTATATATTTATGTAAAAATCATATAATATGACGACTGGCTCAGGTATTAGAAATGGTAATTATCGAAACAATGTCTATAATGTGTCCTATAATTGAATAATTCAATAAATTATTAATTATTATGATTTTATTTTTTTTGTTACTTTTGAAACAATTCTCACTTAACTAGTATTTTAATATACCGTAATTATGTAATAATAAAATTTACTTAAAAGTATTTTATAAATGCTAATGATTTATAGTAAAACAACTATTTTAAAAATCAATGATTTGACTGAAATATATATCTCTTTTCTTAGAGTATGTCAGTCTCAAAGATCTTTTGATTGACCGAATCGTTGACCACACCATTGGTTGTAGTCGTGGTGTGCGACACGATATCCCTAAGCGATCCGTGAACTGTACTCATGTTTAGAGACGTCTTCGACACAATATTGCTCTCTGAACCGGTTTTCTTAAGGTCGTTGAGTAGACCCCGTGGTATCTGTCCTCTGCTCAACTGCTGAAGTCTAGTGTACTGTTCCTGGAGTAGGCGTTGCTTTTTGAGCAGCTCCTGGTGCCTCTGTTCCAACAGTTCTTGTCGAGATTGGGCAAAACGTTTTTCAACAACCGAGCCCTGACTGCTCACTGAAGACAAGGATGTGATCGATGATGAAGGAGGGACTAGAATGTCGTCGCCATCCATAACACCTAAACAAAAGTATTAGAATAACAAAATGTATGTCAATTAATATACGATATATATATTGTAAACAAATTAAGTAATATTATGGTTTCATACCTTCCGGAGGTGTGGAACGGGGTCTGTTTGCTGCCGATGGTTCTGAATTTGATCTGAGCGCTGATGCCGGCGGCCGGGCTGCAAATGACGGCAAAACTACAGGATTAATACGTGATGACGATCGAGGTGGCGGTGCGGGTATTGTCGACCCGATGGGACCTATTGTTTTGCGGGACAATTGACATTTCGGCCGTTAATTCGGTTCAAGAGTTCTAATCTGTTACTACTGCCGTCTCGGGCACTACCGGGTGGTTCGACATTAGTTTATATATTATTTTAGTCATTAATTAATTCATTATAACTTACGGTATTTAAATTTACTAATTGTATATCAATATTTGTTTTATTAATTAAAATTATTTATTGCAGATTTTTCAAATCACTTCTACTTATTTAAATTTTMAGAATAACATTATTTTTTTTAATTTATAAATAACACATTAACTAAAATCAAAATATATTTTGTTTGTTAAATTAAATAATAAATTTATAATAGTTAATAAATCAAATTTAACTAAACACAATTCAAAATAATATTATAACAAAAAAATAATAACATGATATGTCATTTTTAAATTTAAAATTATTTCTTACTCTAAATTATATTAAAATAACGATAAATAAAAGATTACATAATTTTTAAAAATAGATAAATTAAAAAAACAAATATCATGATTATTTTATCAAAGTTAACAAGCAAAAATAGCAATAATTATAAAATATTATAATTCAAGCAAAATAATATTTAAATAATACATAATTTGGTAAAAAAATATTACCGGTAAAGCAATTAACACAATATACACAATACATAATACGTTTTCAGTCAATTAAAATCAATAAATAATAATTAAAAAAATAATATATATTGTGAATTTCAGTTTTGATTATCAATAGTCACAGTAGTAATAAAATTTCAAATATTAATGTTTGTTGCGTTTAATATTTATATAACAATTAGTCAAACAACTTATCATAAAATAGATAATCAATTAATCATATAATCCAATCACCTTTTTTAGTGACGGTTGAGTCCACCGAACCGATTGATTGAAGCAATTTCTTAGCTGTCGATGTCTGACCACTGGTTGTCGATGTGATCGTCGAAGTGTTAGTTGTCGTCGGCTTCGAGAAAGTTTGCAATTCATCCAGAAGTGAGTCCAATACATTGGTTTTCGACGCATCCGATGGTAACGGTGTAGCCGGTGTTACCTGTATTATGGTGTGCGGCTCCATATCGCTGTCATACATCTATGTGATTGGGAACAGATATTCAATAGAAAATTAGACATAAATCATCAATGGGTTAATTACACATATAAACACTTATATGGTTAACCTTAAAAGTACTGTTTATATAAATTACATAAATTTTTATACACAAAAATTATTATCTTATTTCTCTAAGAGATAATTTTAAATACAATAAAAGTTATTTTTAAATATATTAGTAAAATTAAAATTAATAAAGATAATAATAATATTAGTTATCAAATGATTGGTATAATTATCTGGTGGTAATGGTTTTTGTGTGTTAATAAATGAGAATTTTTGGATCAAACACATTATATGATAAAAACTTATGACATGAATTAGTAATTATATGGATGAGAGATCAGGTTGTATATGATATGATAAATGGATGAATTTAAAAAATGGACAGAAAGTTATAAAATTGATAAAAACTTGTTGACTGAGATACAGAAAAACGGACGGACCTGCTGTTGCTGCTCATTGTGCTCTGGCATTGTAGGCATCGATGCGAATCCCCGCCATAGACTGCATTTGATTTTTTATTATTGGTTTTTATTTTTTACGCAAAAAACATAAATGACTTTCAATAAGAAAATCAAATTATCTTAAATATGATATTAGAAAAATGTTTAAATAATTTCTTAAAATACACCTAATTTTTTATGCAAAATGGTTACCAAAATTGCATGCATTGTACATAGTTTAAGATAATTATATGCAGGAATTGTATTATCATCAGCGGACAGGTAGCTTTTGATCATTAAATATCGGTAAATGCTTTTCAAACAATGCAGTCTATATGGGATTGCATACATGCTATCAGTTATTGTGTGAAATGGGATTTGTCATTAAATAACATCATTGAGTCTAAGTTTATCATCAAATGATTATTATTATTATTTTTAAAGGTCTTAAAACATTACGAACACAGGATTATTGGTTTTAAATTTTTTAAAATTAATTATCAATCGGGATATAAAAATACATTATTAGGCATTGAAAAATGCAATAATTTTTAGTATTAAATAGTATTTTAGTTATAATATACAGTTAAATGTTAATATTATAATTATTATTAACAGTTATAATATTAGTATTTGTTATTCACAACATTATTTTATAAACATTTAAATAAATAAAGAAAATAACAAATTTTAAATGTTTAATATTTAACTGTATATTATAATTTTTATTCTTACTTCAATAATAATTAAAAATTAACAACTTTGATAATTATTTAGTTTAAAAACTTTTTAACAAATAACTCAATAAATAAACGACAGGGAAAAGTATTTATAAATGATTGAAAATTTTTTAAATATAGTTATATTAAAAACTTTGAAATCTAAATCATGAAAACAAATTACTCGATTTTGTGATTATTAACATTATCTCGAAAGTTAGGGCTCCGGCGCCACGATTGCATACGTTTGGCCTGAATTTTAATCACAATTATATCAATAAATTAACAATTTAATTAATAAATCAATATATTTGATGTTTAAATTTGTCTCATTGTTAATAATTTTTCTGCTAATAATAATTGTTATGAAATTTGTGAATAATGTAAATTACTTTTTTTTCTAGACATTACGGTAATATAAGTTATGTGACCAACATATTAATCTATTTTAACTTAATTTTTAGATTAAAAAAATAAATAAATAATATTTAATTGTCATACTCTGGAGCCGTCAGCGCTATCAGTTGAGGCCGACTGAAGTAACTGTGATGATGGCGATGAACTGTTGGCATTGGTGGTCGACCTCTGCTCTTGAACTGATGCCAACCTATTATATCAATTCATTTTATTAGTAGTTTGACATTATTATAGATAATTATTAAACAATAAATACCTTTTAAGTGTAACCAGAGTTCCGGTCAACTTTTTACACCTTTTGAGTGCCATTTCTAACCTTTCGGGCTCATCCTTCAGAAATCTTATGATAAATCAATGAAACAATCATTTGATTAAATCGTTTAAAAACAATTGATTGAATGTTATACTTCTCTTCGTGAACACAACACTCCATTTCCTGACTCATGACTGTCTTCATTGTTTGGCTAAGCGGTGGGAATCGACCTTTAAGATCGGCCACAGTCTTGGAAGCGCGTGATAGCACCAGAGCCATGGTCTCCACGTGTGACATATTCACTCGACACCTCCTGTTTATCACATTAGACCGGAGCTCTTCCACTTGAGTCTCGAGCTCGTGTAGGTCTTTATCAAGTCTACCGGAGTCGTGTCCGTATATATCTCTATCTTGTGACAACCGAAGTCTTTCCAATCTGAACTGGCAGTCAGTGGATCCCGAAAGAAAAGACAGCGTTTGTTTGATTTTAGCACATGTGTCGCGAAGCGTCTCTTTAGCAGAATTGGTCTGTTGTAGAGCCAGACGTCTCAACGACCGAACCTCTCCTCTCAAATCTTTAGTCTTCTTTCGGATTTGTTTTAACTGAGACAACACGTCTATTGTGAGATGAAACGGCAGTTCCCCTCTATAGCCTACCAGTGCCGCTGGTTTTGGTGGTGGTGCCGGTTTCCCTGATTTATCTGTTATTAAAATTTACAGTAAAATTAATAAAAAAAAATAATTAATTAAAAATACAATTATGTCTCACATGTGTCCCAATTTAAAGTACGGTAACAATAAAATTAATATCAACTTATATTTAGTAAAATATTTCAATATAATTGCTATAATTAGTTCAATCTTTAAAAATGGTGTTTATCAGCATTTATTATAATAATCAGTGCAAAAATAAGCATTAGTTTACTATACCGTATATTATAATTTTAAGGTATATATATATAATAATTTTTATTAAAAAAATAATAAATTTATAGTCTCAAAACCTGAGTATGTTATGGCTGTCCGCAACTTAATTGCCGACTTTGCGGGTCTTTTGGCTACAAAATAATCATTCAAAGAGATAGTAATCAACAAATAGGCGTAAAAAAATATAACATTTAACGTAATTCAAGCACACAAACAAATCAATAATAATAATAATAACAATAATAAGGATAATAAGTAGAAAATATTAAATAATTTCAAATCATTCAATTTATATAGTAAAATAAAAATACAATTATCATTGGGCAATATCAAGGGTCAACTAATAGATAACCAAACAAAATTTGGGTCACTTTTTTGGGTAAAATTTATTATTAGAGATGAAGACCTGCGCGCTGTGGGGTATGTATCAACTGATCCGAATCTGATGTCTCCTCAGAAAATGATACCGATTTTTCTTCTGTATAATTATCACCAACAAGTAATTCATAAGAAATATCATAAATCAGTCAATCGATCAATTAAATTAAGTAAAAATTATCATTAAAAAAACGAAAATAAAAATTAACAATAATTATTCAAAGCAATAATAATAATAATCAACAAAACAATTATAAGCAAAACTTAAATTTCGTTTTGAAATTAACTTTGAAATTAAGGACTTTAAATATATATATATATATATATATAATAAACAATATTTATATATAGGTTTTGCTACCTTTKAAGTGTTGTCTCTGGATTTGAGCATTTGTTAAATTGGACTCAATTTCATTACTGTCTACATCTGAATCTTCATCTGCAACAATAAAATTACAGAAAAACACCGCAAATGATTACAAGCATTTTAAAACTAATAATCAATACACTAAAAAAAATTTAAGCTAAAAATAAATATTGTATATCATTACAAAGCAATATATAATATATCAGATAAAACGCTAATTGCATGCTTCAAGTGATTGACTGATTTAAAGATAACACAAAATAATGTGATTGTAAAAATGCACAATAAAATAGATGAAAAAAGCGCAAACAAAAATAAATAATATTTATATTTTGTTTATAAAATAACATACATTTATAAATTGCATTGATATATATATAAAACCAAATTGAATCAATTCAGCTAAATTCAATTGTATATCAATCGATATACTTTATGTGTGTTATAAATGTAAAACTTAAAAAGTAGTTTAACATAGAATTTGAATTTAAAATTTTTTCCGATAATGAAATTCAAATGAGATGTAGTTTTTATACGATTTGGAAACAAATGTGAGAAAAATAGTCCAAAATATTCTGTATATTTATCATACTGTATATACAGTTAATACTGTTTATACTGTATTACGTATATTGATTTGAACTGTATATTGTAGTTGTATTCATATATGTTATACAAACTTATAAATTATAACAAACAAAACTAACCTGATTTTGGACCAGTAGTAGGTGTTAGTACTTTTGATACAACATTTGTTAGACTTTGAATTTGTCTTTCCATTTGTTGCATCCGTACTCTGGCCTCTTCATCGATAACAGGTGTGGCGGCACCCGAACGCATGCCATACATGCCGTACGGATCTTCAAATTGCATCGATGATGGATAGCCTGAAAATGATGCCCTCACATGTGTCTGAGTCTCTTGAGGCATACGTCGTTCGGGTGACGAAAGATAACCGGAGAAGTCCTGTCCATAATTACGGCCCATATCGGGTGATGGGTAATGACCGGCCACCGAATAAGGTCTGTCTGGAAGAGGACGATTTTGAGGATGATACTGAGGGCCAACCAATTGCGGTGAGGTTAAAGGTTGAGTGGGAGGTAGACCGGTACGGCCGGCAAATGATCGCTGAGGTTTAGGTGGCGGACCCGATGACATCATTTGAACTGATTTTGAACAATATTCAATAAATTAATAAAAATAAATAATTTCTTTTATATATATAATTAGTAAAATATTGATTAACCCATTGAATTATCTTTAGGTCTGGCCTTTTGTAGCAAATCGGGTGAAACGGCGCGTTGCGTAGGCAACTGCACCCCTACAACACCGGCCATCACTTGACTTTGGTTTTGATTAGTTTGGTTAGTATTAGCATCGTTGGTATTACTGTACAATGGCACCATATGGGCGTTTCGGGGGAGGGTTTGGGAATAACCTTAAAGATAGTGTTAACATAACAAGAAATGTTAGATTAGTGTTATATTAAAAATGTTAATCGGATGAAAAGCAATAAATAAAACGATTCATTAATTACCTGGAAACGGTTTGTTTCGCTCGGGTGGCTGCGGTGGGTGTCCGGCACCGTATGGTTGTCGACCTGTCATTGTCTGCGAACGATATTGAGGTGGAAGTATAATAGTACCGTAATATTGTGATTGACCGCCCGTTAATGGCAATGGTTTATCAGGAACTCCGCGTTTGCTTCGGTGAATGTGTTGCGACTGATACTCGGATTCGAATTCAGGTTCGGAAAAATAGCCGAACTGATCGGCATCGGACCACGTGTTTGGCATATTTGCCGGTCCGCCCACTGGTTGCGGACCATTGGCTCCGTGTTCGTAGATTCTTAGTACACAACGATCACGAATGTCCCTAAAATCCTCCAACTCGTAGAACATGTCTTTGCTCGGGTCATGGATATAGATCCGAATCACTGGACAATCCAAGTATTCCATCGACAGTTGCCGTGGAAATGATCTAAAGGATATTTTTTGCATTTTATTATTTAAATAAATTAAATTCAACTTAATATAAATGCAAATATCTTATATGATGTGCACAACAAATAAAATAAAATCATAAATAATCAGAACATATACTATATTATAGTAACTATAATATAAAGTAGATTATAATATATTCACAAAAAATGCTCTCAATTTAAAACACACTAACTCTAAGCACAAAATTTTATACAGTATTATATCATTTGAGAGATCAATACAAAACTATTTTATTTATTTTGTTGGTTAATAAAAATAGCAGTAAATTTATATTTATATATTTTTTATAACTAACAGTTAAGCTAATTGTTAAAATAAACTCAAAAATAAAACAAACAAAGTGAGTAACATTTTTAAAATATATAAATTGTTTTATTATTATTATATAATGTGATTAAAGATAGATATATTGATAAGTGAAAAACAAAAACAATATTTTGAAATCTAAACATCAATTAGTTTACAACTTTACAAACAAATTAAACAATAAAACGGTTGACAAGTTTTTTACTGTAGAGATGGCTTATCAGTAGAAATGATAAATACATTACATAATGACATAATAGTGATAATCAATGGGAATGAGTCAAACATACCGCACAAACAATGCCTTAACGGTGTCGAGTGATGTAATTTCATTGGGAAGGAGTGCCCGTTTGGTCTCAGATCGGAACTGTAGAAACACGAGTCCAAGTGACCGGTCCTGGGTTTTAGATGGCGTACGTACTATCGGTAAAGAGGAGCGCACTTTATTGCCGCGACGGAAACCGGTGGCCGACGTCTCAATCTCCGACATAATACCCGGATCGTCGTCGAACAGAGCCGATGAAGGATGATATCCCGCCAATCGGTCCAATGGTGTCGTACTGGCCGGTCGTTGCGGTTGTTGATGATGTTGTTGTTGCTGTTGTTGTAGTTGATGATGATGTGACTGGTGGTGCGGTAGACTTGGATGTGTAGGTTGCGGGCCTTGACCTTGTTTGACAYCCGACGACACCTGCGGCTGCTGGCTATTCATACGTCGGGGCGCTTGTGGTGGTGGTGGCTGTCCTCCCGCACCGCCTATTATTTTGTGGACACAAACAACAACAACAAAATGTGTGTTAGTATTGGTTTTGTATAACAATTATAATAACAAATTAATTAATAATAATGTAATTAAAAAACTAAAATATAATAAAACAAATCAAAACATACAACAAAACAATTTCATTTAAATTGCTTCTCACGGATCACGTGACAACATCTCTATTATTATCGGTGTGTTTGAGAGCACTGGTATGTTATGTATAGTCAATGGGAGCACACAGTCGTCAGTCAATAAATAATAGGGATTTACTTCACTGACTCTCTCTTTCTTTCCCACACACAGACCGGCATCACTTCTCTCTCTCTYTCTCTYTCTCTCTCTCTCTCTCCCGGTGTGAGTGAGAGTGTGTCAGTGCGCGCGCACATACATTACATATCCCGGGCCAGGGGTGAGACCAGTCAGTCAGTTAAAAGTAGTACCAAAATATTTATTACTCATACAATTGGCATAATAACACAATTGGTATTATATATACTGTAATATGAAAACAAGTCTATAACCACTTGGAGAGTGAACCCTCCCTGACCTCAACCAGCACTTACTGTTAGTGTACTGACTGTGCGGGTAAACAATACACAAGTGTTGTTACATTTGGCATTATATATACAGGTTTTTACATAATATATGAGTTTTTAATGGACACATATAGTTGTTTGCAACAAAATAATATATATATATAATATTGTATAATACTATATACAACACTGAGATTTCTCATACAATAGGAGAAAGTCCTAAAAAACATAACAACGATATGATTACAGTGTATAACAAACAATATCTATAAATAATATTTATATAATATATGTTACAATAAATTATCTGATGATAACATTTTCGCACCAAATTTTTGAACTATATTTCCCATACTGTCATAAAAGTGCCAAATATTTATTATAAATTTTAATATAATAATAACTTTATTTTATTCATTCAATGTATTATTATATTTCAGTTTCATAACTAACATATTATTAAATATATGAACTAAATTTTATTAAAAAATAATAAAATAAAATATTATTTTTTAATATTCATATATTTGTCATTTCAAATACAATACATTATACAGTATTTAATCTATAAGAGCTAACAACAAAATTTTATTATAATAAAATTTTTTAAATAAATGGTGATGGGTAAAATTCATTAAAATAGCAATCTTATTTTATTAATTGAATGTGTGGGATGATTATCTTTATAATTTGTCATAAAGTATCTATTTTTTAAAAAAAATAATGACTAACAAGAAAAACACAATAAATAATTAAGTAATAAATTTATATAAATATTTATACAAAAAAATATTTATTTATTTTTTGAAAGTATAATCATATTTAATATATATATTTTAATTTAATTAGAATTATAGTCATTTTATCTATTATTTTAATAATTTTTTCACATTCTTTAAGGCTATATAGTATATACATATAATAATATAATTATTATTATTATTATAACAGTTTTATGTAATACAGTGTATAATAACTGTATTTTTATATAAGATTTAGAAATATCAGTGATATTATTAAAAAAAAACTGTACTATTGAAATGTCAAGCATCTAATGTGTTGTATACTACAGTTGTTATAATTATGTATATCATCCAAAAAATTGTAACAACAAAAATGTTGAGTTTGCTTAATCGTTAAATCTCTCTCTCTCTCTCTCTCTCTCTCTCTCTCTCTCTCTCTCTCTCTCTCTCTCTCTCTCTCTCTCTCTCTCTCTCATACTTTSTCTCTATTAATGTTTATTTTATAATATTGTTAGTTTTGCGCTTTAAGTAATTTATATAAAACTTAATGAAAGCGAGTGTATGACATACAGTGTATGTCTATTAGTGAAACACATGGCTCAACATCACACATATGATAGTATCATACATATTATGATACATAATAATAATAATAATAATAATAATAATAATAATAATAATAATAATAATAATAATAATAATAATAATAATAATAATAATAATAATAATAATAATAATAATAATAATAATAATAATAATAATAATAATAATAATAATAATAATAATAATAATAATAATAATAATAATAATAATAATAATAATAATAATAATAATAATAATAATAATAATAATAATAATAATAATAATATTAATAATAATAATAATAATAATAATAATAATAATAATAATAATAATAATAATGGAAAGCAACAGAGCCAAGCTCTACTGGGATAAAGAAATAAGAACAGATAAGACTGTGGCCCACAACCGCCCAGATATAGTACTAGTAGACAAACATCAAGATAAGGCGTACATAATAGACATAGCGGTCCCACTAACACACAAACTACAGGACACGCATAGTGAGAAACGCCGAAAATATACAGACTTGGCCTATGAGATCAATAAGATGTGGCGCATTAAGAAAGTTGAAATCATACCTATAATCCTGTCATCAATGGCCGTAATACCGAAAAATCTGGCCCTAAGTTTGGAATCACTGGAAATCAGAAAAACTAAGATCTATGAAATGCAAAAAGCAGTGATACTTCAGAGTTGTAGAACAGTCAGAAAAGTACTAGACTTGAGTTGAGTCTAACCAGTCGTGTCTCTGCCMCCAAAAAGTGGCCGACACAACTGTGATCACACCGGAACAACCGTGATATACAAAGATAATAATAATAATAATAATAATAATAATAATAATAATAATAATAATAATAATAATAATAATAATAATAATAATAATAATAATAATAATAATAATAATAATAATAATAATAATAATAATAATAATAATAATAATAATAATAATAATAATAATAATAATAATAATAATATCATATACAGTACTAACTCTAATAATATATAGTAGTGTTTTGCTTGCAATTTATTTCATAATTTCGACTAATGTTATGTTTAAATCTAATTTTAGCATTAATTTAAACATAGGATCAAACATATACACCACAAAGTATTTAACTTATGTTCCCCACACTTGTATCACTCATTTATAGTTTTTCAGTACCAGTATATATATTTTTATAGACATAAATATAATGTGTRTATATATATATGAATATATATATATATTATACAATTAATGCAATTTTCAGATTACATGCTGTGTTTATTTATAATTCACTTTATTTACTGTCACTATACCATCATTAAGAAATTTTTTTTTTTTTAAATATTTATCTTAACTAATTAAATCATTATAAAAAATTTCTGATTAAGCTTAATAAGTTTTTTAGTATAAAATATAATTAATAAAATTACATTATTAATATATTTCTAATAGAATAATGATTTATTAATGACTTAACCAACAAAAATAAATAGAGATTTATCTAAACATTGATTTTTTTAGATTTTAATTAAATAAATTCTACAAATGTCATAAATAATTTTGTTAATGAATATTTCAATAATTTGTCTTCATAAACATTATTAGTCAATAAATTAAATATATGACAATTTAATTACTGTAATAAACATAAAATTTGATACTTTTATATAAACTTTTATAATTAGTTTTAATTAGCTTATTTAATATTATATTATAGACTCCTATTATCTGTGTTATGATTTGTGAGCTATATATTTCTAATATTGATACATTAGATAATCAACAATTTTATTTTAAATTAATTGCATTTATTATACTGTATATAATTTTTATTTGTTAGACATTTAATGGTTGAATATGTCATATTGATGTGGTTGTCAATCATCATAATTTAATATAATGCACTCTATAAATATTTAATTAGCAAAACAATAATATTATTTCCATATTTTAATCTATTATATGATAATTATAAGAATTATTAGATAAATTAATATACTATCARGAATTCAAACAATTTATTATTAATAATATGAATAAATATTTATTTTTATTATGATATTAGTGTTAATGAAAAATATTGAATATTATTTTTTAGTTAATTATGAATTAATTTATACTTAACTATACGTCTATTAATATAATATATAAATTATGTAAATTTTTTACAAATAATCTATTTAATAGAGTAAATGATAATTGGATATAATTTATTATTTAAAATTGTATCATATTTAATAAAATAAATATTTTTAGAAATTTTAATTAAATATTTTTATATATTAAGGAACAGTTGTTTTTCATACACATATCTGTTGACGGCTATAGAAAATTGTGACCAAATTTGATTAGACTTTGACTTGAATTAAGTGTGAATTTATCGATGTTTGCAAATATAACAAACATGTCTTATTAAATAATACCAGTCAAGTGGTATAACAGTATATATATAGTGGAGTGAGTATTATGGATTACTCGCTACCAGTGCACAGCAGGAATTATCTGTGTGTGTGTTTGTGCAAAGCACAGGGAGATAAATAAAGTAAAGAGCGAGAGCTCTCTGAGATGATATCAATAAACATTAAAACAAGATTTTTGATTCAAATTAATGATTTTGTTGGGTTGGAGATTAAATCTCTTAATATTGTGGACTTAGTAGTTATTTGTGAACTATATATTTAAATATTTTGCAACAAACTATTAAACTCTCTCTCTCTCTCTCTCTCTCTCTCTCAAAGAATATTCTGTGTTTGAAAAGAGTATAATATATGATAGAATCTTTAGAAATAATTTCACTTATAGTGTATTTATCTTAAAAGAGCAATAATTTAAATGAAATGTTAATAATGATTATACTGATTGTTGAATCTCTAAATCTTTTTAACTAAAAAAATATTTTTGCATTCAATTCATTAATTAACATCTTTGCTAATGAAAATAAATGTTTGAAAGATTGTTAATATCTTGAATTAAACGCAATTATTAAGCAAAAAAATTACTTACCATTGGATCCGCCACTCTTGAGAAGAGCAATGTTTGGCATTTGTTGTGTCATTCGTGATATCGCTTGTTGTTGTTGGTGTTGKTGTTGTTGTTGTTGTTGCTGCTGCTGTTGTTGTTGGTGTTGTTGCTGTTGTTGGTGTTGTTGKTGTTGTTGCTGTTGCTGTTGCTGTTGCTGTTGCTGGTGTTGTAGTGGCAAAAGATGTGGTTGTTGTAGATGAAGTATATGGTGTTGAGGATGACGTGGACCAGTTGATTGTGGCGGATGTTGTAACGATTGCTGTTGATGTCCATTAGTAGGTCTGATAAGTGTTAGTACTCTTCGCTGCGCTATCTGACCAGTGCTTCCTCTTCGAACATCTTCGGCATCACTATAATAGCCGCTCCTATGAATGTCTTGTTGTTGTTGAAATAGTTGCAGTTGTTGTAAACTCCGTGGCGGTGCCGAATGCGGTCCTGTTTTTGACCATCGAATCGGTAAAGTATTGATAACTTTATATTAATTTAAAATAAAGTTTTTGTTTTTTTAGTGATCATAAAATATAACAATAAATTTAATGTTTTGGTAATGCTTTTTTGTTATTTACAAATAAACATAATTCACTCACWCAGACATTAAATGCTTTAAAATTATATATTTGAACTTAATTTGCTTTTAATTTAAGTTTTGGATAAGAGAGAGARAGAAAGAAAGAAAGAGAGAGAGAGAGAGAGAGAGAAAGAAAAAAGAAATTGATAATCAATCAAATATATTGTGTGAATAGTGAAAGAGTTTGGGAAAATGTTTGATAAAAGTAAAACACGAATTGCATTTAACACACTATTAATTAGATTTATAGATAGGCCAACAAATTAAAATTATTTTTGACCCCATTTTTGTATATATAGGTATATGCAAAACAATAATTTTGTTAAAAATTAATTTTTTATTTAATAATAATTTGATATTTCATACAATTTTTTGTTAAATTTTGTATTCTTTGTATTCATATATACCTTTCATTGAATTAAAATGTGTTATTAACGGTGTATTCAATAATTGAATTATACAAGTAATTATAATTACTATTTTGTTGTTAAATTCAACGCAATTCTTTTAAATTCATAAAATAATAATAATACTAAAATTTGATTTAAAATTTTAAAACAACGTTCAAATTAAAACATAACTTATTGTATGTTAAATAAATTGTGAATGATATGATATAAATTGTATAATTATATACTTAAAAATTCTAATTAAACTACATTTGTTTATTATTATTACAATGAATAATATTAAATGTAATATACACTATATTATTTACAAAACAAATGGCATCATAAAGATATACATATATAGTTATATTTTATATAATTTATATAATTTATATGTATACAATAATATAATGTCTGCATTTCCTGTTTATTAAAAGTATATAACTTTTGATATGCAGTATTTATTGTACAAATGGGTTGTCCATCTAATATTTTAGCTCATAAAATAGACCGGGGCAGTCCTCACATTAATATACAATACAGTATTATTACAATAATGTATATAATATACTACATTAAATTTATATAAATAAAATACATAACTTATATAACATAAGTGACTATCAAATAAATGTATTGCTAATTTAGAAAATAATTTTATTGGTATATTAAATATTGTTTTTCATTTGAGTTTATACTATACCGTACGGTTTATTATACTGTATAATATAATACAATACCTGTATATTGTTAATACTATATATATATATATTATAATGGTAATTATGGTTACATATATTACTATTTTGTGCGAGAGAAGTGGATCTTAAAATTTATAGCAAAAGTCATGAATAAAATAAAATAAAATATTATAATTATTAGCGATAAAATTTAATAAATATGATATGTAAAAATTTATGCAAAATATATGCAAAATATTGATTATATGCGAAACAAAAATCAATAATTGTAAAACGTGTCCAAAATATTTATGCATTACAGTATGTTTTCAAATAAAAACTTTAAACAATACATATATTTCAGCCGAAACCCGGGTTTTAATACTTTTATTTAAAAAAATTAAAAACTATTAATCAATAAAACAATTTTTAAAAATAGGAAGTAAAGTGAGAGAGAATAGGTTAAAACAAAACAAAAAATATATAAAAATCAATTTTTCAAGATTTTTATCTATAAAAAGGATTATATACTGTAATACTATAATATATTAAGGTTTTCACAAACATAAAGGAAAACATAGTTATGTCAATTCTAAGAGTTTATAAAAAATAATAATAAAAAAAATAGTATTTGAATATTTTATGATATATACATTTTTATAAATATAAAACATATTAATATAATTTGATAGACAATACTGTATTGGACAGGTATACAAACATTAATAAAATGTATGTATTGTATGTATTGTATACTAAATAGTATAAATTTATATTGTTTGAATTTTTGACATATACGTGACAGGTCTAACCATTTTGATTACATTAGCTGATTCAGTAAAAACGACTATATGTATAATCAATTGAATTATGAAAGATGAGTCGTGACGGGTGCTAATAACAACATCATCAATACAATCAAATAGGAAATATTTATTATCTCTAAGATCATGTATATACTGATCAGATACTGTATATATATATATATATAATGATCAGAGATTCAAAATGCAATAATTAGAGTACATGAAAGGATAGGATTTGTGTAAACATATTGTAATTATCAAAATTTCATTATTTTTCTGTACTGGACCTGAATTGTTGTCATTAACTAATTTACGTTAAGTGATAGAGGAAGAGTACAGTTATGTGGGTGAAAGCTAACTAAGCCTACCATCTCATCACATCCAAACTACATACACATACAGATGTTATAAACAAAGCACACAACTATCTCTTATTATCTAAAAAAATATATGCTTTTAAATGATAAATGTGCTCTTTATCTAAGCGTACTGTCCAGTGGACCATACAGTTCACGGATAATTCAAATTCATGACATGCTATGCCTTTAAAATGAACTGAAACAACTGTTTTGAAGACATCCATTACTAATTGAAAGTGTAGGCACAGGGATGACATATATTTGATGTGCAATTTAATTCGGTATAATCAATATAAATTTATAAATTCACACATATGCCTAAATCAAATAAACATAATCATTTAGGAGTTATCTTTGTATTTTGTTTATTTAAATATATCACTTATACACTTATATACCAAAAACATAACTATTTAATGTTTATATAAATTATATTATTGGGAAAATGGCTTAAATTTATCAATTATGTATCAGTTGGTCGATACTAATTATATTTAATGTTATTTCTGACTATTGTATAGCAATACTATATACAGTATATAAATAACTGAATTCACTAACATATTGCCTATCATTAAGAGTTAGACTATGTGTTAGAAATTGATGAGAGAAACGGACTTATTATGTTTATCGAAGCAATCATTAAATCATATTTTTCTATATTTTCTCCTACATATCATATTTATTGGATGTATATTATAATAAATATAATCATATATTCAAAAACAAAAATGTTTAACACAAAAAACAGATTTAACAATAATTGAAAAAAGAGAGATATAAATATGCAGTATTTTACTTATCAATAGCACTCAAATATTAGATCATAATAATTAATGCATTGGCAAATCAATTATTGGTGTCATACATAATATTTAACATGTATAACATTATTATAATTGATTATTAAAACTTTATATCTAAAACGATTTTATACATTCAAAATAATAATATAAATAATAACAACAATAAAGAAATAAAATTATAATTAATGAGAAAAAGTGAGACAATATTATACAATAATATACAACTTATATAATACAAGATTGTAATCTTTTTATTGGCAAAAGTGATGACTCGTTGGTTGAAAATCTTTATTATACTAATAATATTATTACAGTATTATTATTAATAAACTTATTGATAATAAACGCTTGAAATTGTCTCTTCATAAGACATGGTCATACATAAAAGTGTCAAAAAATAAAGTAATATAATAGTTCATAAATATATCTTATATTTATATACAACTTTTGTATTTATATAATGTGTATACAGTATTACAGTATATCATAGAAGTAAAAGCAAAAGTTGTATTATATTATGTAATATTTATTTTTATTTATTGTGAGTGTTATAGACTTATAGTTATCATTATAAAAATTTTATAMGTCTATCGGTCTTTCTCTCTTTGTCTCTGTTTAKGTAAACGTAAATTAATTAATTAAAATAAATAAATTTAAAATTATTTTGGAAATTAAAGTTCAGGTTTTTATAATAAAATCATTAATAACTTTTGTACTCAACTTTTTTTTTAATTAAATTGGTAAACATTTTTTAAAACTCTTGTTTCAATTTTTTAAAAATGTTTTCTATAAAAGCTTAGGAAATTCAATATTTGTTCACAAAAAAAATGTTTTCGACATAATCAACAAAATGATAGACATTTAATATTAATATATATATATATATATCAGTAAACATAGATGTAAAGTTTTAAAATTTTTAAGGTTTTGATAAATCAAATTTGTTACACTAAAATAAGTTTAAGATTATAATAAAAAATATTTAAATTTATGGATATTTAAATGCATAATAGATATTTCAAAAATTTGAAGCAAAATGTCAAATATATTAACTAAAAAAGTCTAACACAAGTGTCAATTGATAGGTTGCAGTGATTGACAATATATTAAATATATAAAAACTTACAGACTATTTCAATTACAAAAAACAATTAATTATTTGTTATATTACATAATATTGTATATATTTTTTAAACAAAAAAACATAAGTCTATTATTTATCTGATAAAAATGTTATATTATATACACCCATATCTATAAATATAATCAATTTCACGATTGATTTATTATCATGATTTTTTTTTTGTTGAACTAAACATATTTATTTTATAGTAAAACAATTTAGTATTCAATTATTCATGCAATTGAATGCAATCATATAATTTTTATGTTGTTGGTTGCAATACTATATAATTTGATAATTAAACATAAATGTATTGGCAAGACATTAATATTAAGGTTAGAGTTCATAAATACTAAATTTTCTTTTGAAATTTTTCGATACATTAGGCTTACAAACATGTATATATATATWTATATATACCTATTCATTATCGCATGTTATTATGATATATATTAATATACAGTATTGTATAAATATATATGTATGTTAAATAAAAGTGCAAAAACATACAAAAATAAAATTATTAGTGATTTATTGTTGAGAATAGTAACAACAGTCAGTCATTCTTAATATTATCAAACAGTATAATGTCTACTAAAAAGGTTTGTTAAAAGGCATCCAAATAAATGATAAATACAGTACTCTATAGTTAAATATATAGTATAGATATATAGAGGAATGTGATTAATTGAATTAGCGGTCAAACAACCAAACAAACCTAAACCCAAACAATGCGGGTCTAAGAGTGAGAGTGAATGAGTGAACAATAATTTATTTATCAAAAAAATGTAATTACCCTGAGGCTGATCAATGGGAATGGGATTAGAAATAGTTAACTGTCCACCGAGTCGTCTAATTTCTGCAGAATCTATAGATCGCGAACCAGATATCTGTGGTAATCGTTGCTTATTAGGTGGTGATTGAGAGGACGACATGTTTGACGAAGAGGATGGCTGATCTTTGCCCGATTTACTCGATTTCTTGTTGGACTTGTTTTCATCATTGTTGGCACCGACACTACCACTGCCGTGATGTTTGTTTTTGTTGGGCATTGATGTGCTTCGGTGAAGTTGTGTCAACTTTTTTATATTGAATGGCATTGTTGTTGGTGTTAGTGRTGATATCRGCAAATGACTCTCCGGTTAATCAATTTCATCAATTATACAATCAATTGGATAATAAATGCACTTTAATTATGCATCACATATACAGTGTATTATAACTTATATACATGTATACTATGCGGCAAATATACTGTATATATGAGATTTACTTAAATTGAATAATTTTTAGATTATTAGTATAATTATATACAATATCATCACAAAAAAATCAAAGCTTAAAAATATTTTATTTATTATTATTAGTTTTATTATTAGCAGTACTTATTATTATTATTATTTAACTATAATATTAAGTTTAACACACATTCAATGTGCAGTACAAATACAGTATATACAGTAATAATATTTTTTATATAATGAAGATTACACACATTACTTATATAAACTAAAAGATAACTAAATAATTGACAAAATATTTGTCAAAATTAAATATATGAAACAATAAATGATTTTTTTGTCAAGTAAAACAATAATTGAAATTTAAAACCCAATGACAATAATATATATATATATATATATATGAGTGAATTGGTTGAGCATTGAGTGTCACTAATGTCTACCATCTATGTATCGATTCCTAGCAATTCATTTCCATCCATCCATTGCACTCACACTTAAGGAACAGTATGTATGTATATATACAGAGAGAGAGAGAGAGAGAGTGTAGGTATATATCAAAAATGTATAGTAAAGTATATAATGCTCTCTGCACTGTCAATGCACTGATGCTAAATCACCATGGTTACTTGTAGAGGGGATAGAGAGCTTTTAGAGTCAAACTACTAGTGCCCGATATAGTCATTACAGTGTGCGCACACTGTGTATGTATATTAAGTTTGAATGAGACAATCGGGATAAAACATTTCTACTCTAGATTTGATATATTAATATTAAAAGGACAGGGATCAAAAAACAATTGAGTCGTATATTTTAATTATATATTTTTAGCTAAAAAATCAATATATTAAATACAGGTATTGTATATTTAATTTTTAACTGATATACTGTAGATTTTTTTAGTTAAACTGTCAAATATTCAATTAATTTTTTTAAAATTTAAATCAATTGAAAAATATTTGATGCAATTTTGATGGCTTTAATATACTGTACAGTATTTTTTTTAASTTAAAATATAGTTTTTTTCAATGCAATACAATAGTGTAATGCAGTACAACATTACTGGCAAAACATTTCAATCAAGTATTTGATCGTTATTTGTGTTTTGAATTAAATTCAGTCAACATTACAGTAGAGACTCATTGAATACAATAATCACTCAAATTGTTTGTGATTTTTTGAAATACAAACTAAATATTAATACCAAATGAAAATAAAATCAAAACAAACAATGTTTTCATAAAAACAAAAAATAATTTATTAATTGTGAAATCAATTGATGAGACAATTGTATGGACACATACACGACATGGAATGGACGCAGACCACTGACCACTGACCACTGACCACTGACCACTTTACCGATGATTATTTTAGTGGTTAAATAATTTTGATACGAAATGGTCATCGACGGCCAATTTTATTATTATCTAACGTTGAATTGTTTGGCCAACAATTAATCGGACGCCGCAATGGTTCCGTTGGCCAGAAATCGGGTTCGACTGACCCGATGTGTACATCCGATGGCCGCTATTATCATCTTTTTGTTACTATTTTTATGTCTTTTATCCCATTATTATATCAATTCGGTTCAATCGATGCAAGGATTGGATTCGTTAGTCAAACACTTAAACTCAATCAATGGTAACTCAAGAATTGATAGCAACAACAACTTTGATGATCTTCTAAATGGCCATAAAAATAGTGCCGAAGAAGACAACGACATTACATCAGAAGACAAAATCTTATTACATCTTAAAGGTAGCACTTTTAATGTCATTATTATTCACAACTTAAGACATTGTTTTTTATTAATTTTTAGCCACAGATATGGAGCACAGAGTCCGAGATCTGCTTAAAATTCGGGCTTCAGTTCGCAATGAGTTACGCGAACTGGAGTCCCGTCGGCGGACAGTAATGCAAGAGCTATCAGAGGCGCAAAACAAGTTAGAGGTCATGCAATCACAACTCATTAAGAAACAACAAGAGATGGATCGGATTAACCTATCGCTGAAACAGACAAAATATGCTCAGAAAGAGGTCCAGTTGAGGTCAAACTCACTATTAGTACCACCACTGCAACTGTTGCCGTCGGCTCCTCAAACTAATGGTATAACTATTTGAAATGATTTTCAAAACAAATTTTATATGATTTCATTTTCATTACAGATATCCAAATCAACAATGACTTAACCATTGGAAGGAATGGTCAGACAAATGGACGATCATATCATTGGTGTCGAATGCATAACTGTTTCGACTATTCCCGGTGTTCACTGTTTTCGCCATTTTTACTCTATTTCTATCATCCCGAAGATGTCGAAGATATCGATGATGTCAAGAATATAGACGCCAAAGACGAACACAAACTTGACGATGAATTTCATAAAATTCGGACACAAATTTTAGACATTTTTAATGGCAATATTCACGTGACCTTTGACCCAACTATAGCATGTGTTTATGTGGTAATTCTGTTCAAGAATAGTGACCACCAATTGTTAACAAAAGACTATTATAATCAATACTTACATTCACTACCTTATTGGGCCGGTAATGCAGACTTGACTTTATTTTTTACGGTATATACGATGATACTAATGATTTGATGGTTTGTCTCCGGAATAGGTGACGGTCGCAATCATATCATAATCAATACATTTACTGATTTGGATCTTCAATCTACTGATGGCATTGATTTGCAAAAAGCAAGTTTAGTGCAAACAAATTTTAATTTACACACTTTTCGACCTAATTTTGATATAATATTACCGCAAATAAATAAAAAGACGCCATTAAAGTATGAACGAACTGAAGACAACACTGTCTCTATGGTTCCCTCGCGACGCAAATATTTAGTTACATATTTAGGATCAATAGATAGCAATAATTATATACACAAACAAATTATGACAACATTATTAAAAGTGTCATCACATCTATCAACTAATAATGAATTTTTGTTAGACTTTGTTTGCGATGAAAAAACAAAACGTTTGTGTGATAATCAAACACTTGTGTTAAGACAATCAACATTTGCATTAATATTACCACCAATTGATAACCATATGATATTTACTACTAATATGTCAATAAGTTTGGTAAATATTTTGTCTTCAGGTATGTCGATGTGATATATACCGTAATTATGATCTATGATAACAATACAATAATTATAGATTTTAATTGTATTTTATAATTTAGGCTCAATTCCTGTTATTATTGGTGGCGATTATCTTAGATTACCATTTGATGAAGTAATAGATTGGCGTTTAGCTACCATTTCGATACCGATCGCCCGAATTACCGAATTACACTTTTTGTTGCGCACCTATAGTGACGCTGATATCATAGAAATGAGACGTTTTGGACAACTATTTCTCGATAGACATCTGATTTCTGTTAACGGAATCATTAGTACAATCTTATCACTTGTTAGACAATCACGACTTCAGATTCCTTCTCCCGTCGCTCGTGAGGAGCCCTCGCAAACACTTTTCAATGAGACAAATCCAATGAAGTTTTTTGATGCCACATCTGGTTTAGTCCTAATCGATACTAACCCAGAAATTGATGAAAATTTGGGACCTATTGAACCATCATTTCCATCACAAGTATATCAACGCAATTATTCATTGGTCATATCAAATGGATACCGAATTTGGAACGATCATCGTTTTGATCCATTCCTTACTTTCCCGGCCACACCGTTTGATCCGTTGCTTTCATCAGATGCCAAATATATTGGCAGCTCATATGGGTTTCGGCCAATCGGGGGCGGAACGGGAGGATCTGGTAAAGAGTTTAGCGAATCATTGGGTGGTAATGTGCCAAAAGAACAGTTCACTATTGTTATACTAACATACGAAAGAGAGGCCGTACTCATCGATTCCCTCCAAAGATTAAAAGTATAACATTTATATTTATTAATATGAATCTATAAATTGTTTGTCCTGTTTTAGGGTCTGCCATATCTAAATAAAGTTCTAGTCATATGGAACTCTCCTCGTGCGCCATCCATTGACCTCCGGTGGCCAGAGTTGGGCGCACCCATACGTGTTATCCGAGCCAAACGCAATTCACTCAACAATCGTTTCTTGCCTTACGCTGACATCGAGACAGAGGCAGTCCTATCGATGGACGACGACGCACACCTCAGACACGACGAAATTATATTTGGATTTAGGTTTGTTTATTCACTTTTCAGATCAATATATTTAGCTGTTTTGTTTATTAACTAATTTATTAATTTAATGTTAATATATTATTAAGGGTTTGGCGCGAAGCTCGCGATCGAATTGTAGGCTTTCCGGGCCGTTATCACGCTTGGGATGATATGCACACTAATTTTCTTTATAATTCCAACTACTCGTGCGAGTTATCCATGGTTTTAACCGGCGCTGCCTTTTTTCATAAAGTAATTATTTTGGTTTAATTGATATTATAATTTTTACATTTATTTTGATTGCAATCCATATACAGTACATATTGTTTTTTATCCATAGTATTACAGCTATTTATACACTTATTCGATGCCAAAAGCAATTCGTGATAAAGTCGATGAATATATGAATTGCGAGGACATTGCTATGAATTATCTGGTCTCACATATCACAAGACAACCGCCTATTAAAGTGACCTCTCGCTGGACATTCAGGTAAAGTACCGTACTTTGAATAATTACCTATAATTGGATATTTATATAATTTTAATACTAAATTGGTCATCTAATTGGTTATGTTAGGTGTCCCGGTTGTCCAGTAAGTTTATCGGAGGATGACTCGCATTTCAATGAACGTCATAAATGTATCAACTATTTCATACAGATCTACGGTTATATGCCTTTACTTAATACTCAATTTAGAGCCGATTCCGTACTGTTTAAAACACGTATTCCTCACGATAAACAAAAATGTTTTAAATTTATTTAACAAATTATCATAAATATTTATCAAAATATTTAAAAAGTTATATTTTTATTTATAATATATTTTAAGACATTATTTTAATTTAAAAAATACGTTTAATTTAATATTGATTATGTATTATATGATTTATGTTCATAATAATTGCCAAATGAATTTTTATACTTATTTTTTAAAATAATCTAATCAATTAATGTTTGGTTGTACTACTATAACATAGATATTAATATATATTTTGTTTTTTAATTGTAATTTTTAATCAATATATATATATATATATATAAATTTTAAATATGTATTAATAACCATTGATATCCATATATAGTCAATTCATAAACACAATCAATGAGTTTTTGAAAAAGCTCTTTAACTAATAATCATTACAATCAAACATAATATGTATAAAATAGTTAGTATTTAGATTTATTGTTATGAATTGTTATCTTTAAAAAATAGTATTATTGTAATCATATGTAATTTTATTGAAAAAATTGTTAATAAAAATTATGCAATTATTACGTGTGAGATATGAGTTTGAATATTTTTGTTATTTACAAACAACTTACGTAATAATTTTTTTGCGATTAAAATTTTAAATATAAATAACTTTTGTGACGTTCAAAATTACCGGTAACTGTAATGAGATTCAAAATACGGATAATTTTTAATCAAATAATTTTTAAAAATACTTTTAACAATTCTAATACTTCTTTTTGATTCATAAATTTATAATTTTATATACATATAATTTTACTGTAAGGCAATTTAGCAAAACATTGTTTCGTAATATTACACTGATTATTTGTAGTAAAAAACAAGTATTTACTGCATTAAAAAATTATAGACAAAAATACATAATTTTTATTAGTAATTTTCAAAAATTTAAATAGTTTTACCAGATCAGTTAAATAAAATGTATGAACTAATTATATTATTTTATGAGAGATTAATATGTATTAGACTATATATACAGTATATATATATATTTATGTACCGGTACCAATATTTAAATATACAACTTTTATGAATAAACAAAATCATAAAATCAATTGTAATTAAATGTAATGTTGATTAAAATAATTGAATACTTATTTTCTTCCTTTTGTTTGACGTCTCAAACCATATCTGGTTTTTGTATTGGATTTTTCACGTCTGTTATCAACTTTTTTATTGTTGTTTTGGGTTTTATTTTTAGTTTTATTACTGGATTTGTCGCTCTTTTTATTGCTTTCGACTTTAGTTTCATTAATGGTCTCATCATTTGAATCATCTAAATATGAAACAAAAAATGCCTTTAAATGATATTACAGTTTAATGCCAACTAAAAAAATATCTTTACCTAATACGGGTGTTATAGTAGTGGTTGGCATCGGTTGGTGGTCGTTGTCGGTCAAGTGCTCGTCAAACACTTGCTTATCAATTGTGATGTAATTACAGTTACGACACAAATATGTGGTCAACGGTTTGGCTACAAAATCATCAAAAATTCAGTGAAAATCATCAATTAATGGATAATTCAGTTATGAATTATGATATTTGATTTACCATATGATTTAATGGTGATGTCGGGGACATAAAGTAAAGGTTTTACACTTTGTCGGCCACTCTTGCGGTGCCGGCGATAGATTGTTGTTGGCATTGATGCCAACTTGTCATCAATTGTGCCACTCTTTGCACGTTTGGGACGACTTTTAGTGCCCAAAGTGACGGTCATAGGTTTGGCCTCTTTTGGTTTGGGTTTGTATGGCCTAATACGTCCTTTTAGGTGATCGTTGACCTCCAGATGTTTATCGTAAATGCTTTGATCGACAGTCCGATAATCACATGAACCACAATAGTAGCCGTCGACTATTAACCCGATATTACAATTAACCCGAAAAATATTAGATAAACATTTCATTGGCCGTCATATATATATTATATACCTTTGCAACGGCCGTCGTATTCTTCGTCATCTGAATCTAAACTGTCTTCGGCTAACACACTCTCAATGTCTGACATGACTGACACACAAATACACAACTGTTTCGTAAATTACAGACAATTTAATTAACAAATATTTGACATACAATTCATTCAAACAAACAGTACATATGTGTCACTAATTTTTGTTTTTATTTATTTATTATTATTACTTATATACGCAATGTTTACTGTTATTACACACAGAGAGACATCTATTGTATAATTTTTTGGATAACATTATGAAACTAATGGGTAAGTGTTATGTAATATATTTATTATTTGATAAAAATCAATAAATTGCTGTCAAATACTATTATATTATAACATAAAGATATCAAATTTATGTTTTAAAAAATATTATTTTCATATTTATGACATTAAATTATATTTAAAAATCATTTTTCATAATTTTTTAACTTAAAAGATAAAGTATCTATACTGTACTCTAAGTTTTTTTATATTTGTTTTAATTTTAAATTAATAACTAGAGTTTATTAAACTTTTATTGAACTACTTTACTATAATTATTGATAAATAGATAATTTGTTAATTAAAAATTATTGAATAAAATTTGATTATTTTTTCTAAGATATTTAAACATGTAAATTAATTTTATTATGTATATAATATAAAAATTAATCAATAAATTTGACATAATAACTAATGATAGTAAATAATAATAATTTATCTCAAATCTAATAATTTAGTTGTTATATTATAGTAGTAGTTATTTGATAACATATTATCTTATAAATAAATAATTATCAAAATAAACTGAAAACTATATTTTAAACATTGTTTTCAAATATGCTCTCCGTTTGTCCTAATTTTCTGTTTATATATAATAATCATTCAAAATGTCTCTTAATTTATTTATTTAATTAATTTAATTTTTTTAAACTTTTTCCCAATTATTGTGTTAAACGTATAACTTATCGTCACATTTAGCATAACGTGTTGTTGTCTGTGTATGTGTTGTGTGTTATTAATAATATGTATTATAATGTATTGCATTAGTGATTGCATTGCAAAAGGGATTCTCTTAAAAATTTATTAGAAATTTCATAGAAAGACATAATCATTGAATAATACATTACATTAAATGGCATTTCGTTTGCAATGTTTTTATGTTTTTCTATTCAATTCAATCACTCAATCAAAGTGTTATAATAACTGATTGACTATCGATTACCACAACAAGTCTTCAATGATTTGACAATTAAATCCATAGCTTAGACACAAACACACACTAAATGACATACCATTGTATGATCATTTGGATCAGTTAACAATTGTTATTCATATTAAAGGCAATATCACATCACGAGTCTTATAGACCATCGATTAGTATTTTTTTAATCGTAATCTTAACCACAACAACAACAACAACAACAAAATCATTGTCAACAACAGAGAATCTGATTGTAATCACATTTTTTGGTGATATTGTCGACCGACGATGTCGTTGAAGCCAAAGCACGTGGAGTTTGAGTCGACTTGGAGTCAGATCAGGTCAACCGTCGAAAAGGTGATTGTCTTAAAGCACGTCCAGAGAAGTGAATGGAACGACAGGTTTCCCGACTTGTATCAGCTTTGCGTCGCTTTTCCCGGTATTTGTGACCATTTGGCGATAAGACGAGAGAATCACTGATTAACCTGACTGTCTGTCTGTCTGTATTACAGAACCGTTGGGCGATCGGGTCTACAACGAGACCAAAGCGTTTCTCGACCAACACGTTAAACAACTTTACGATACTGTTGTGAAATCATCTCACGAAGAATTGCTGTCCGCATACCATCAACAATGGCTTATATATAGAGAGGGTGTGACTAATGATAATTTGATTGATTAACACAATTATTTAATTTCTTTAATTTATATCATATATCATATGAAAAGGTGTCACATACTTGAATATATTATACATGTATCTAAACACTCAGCACATTAAGAAACATAAGTACACTGARGCCGACCTAAGCTACGGATGTGTCGACGCCAGCGAACAGATGCTCGAAATCGGCGAACTCGGTCTACATCTGTGGAGAGTTAATATGATTGAACCGCTCAAAGAAAGTCTTGTTCAACTGCTTCTGGAGGCCATTGAAAAGTAAATATTATTTTGTTTTGTTTAAAATAATTGTTGGAACAGTTGGAAAATGACAATTTGCTTATATTGATTACAGTGACCGCATGGGTATCCCTCAAAACAAAAGTGTAGTTCAAGGTGTCATACTATCACTGGTTCACGTGGAAGAGTACAAAAAGAAAGGATCACTTGATTTATACCAGAATTTATTTGAGAGTCGGTTCCTGAGGTCGACCGGCGAGTATTATCGGCGCGAAGCCGAAGAGTTGCTCCAATCGTGTTATTGTTCAACTTATATGGAGAAAGTGTTGGCCAAATTAGATGCCGAGAATCTCCGATCGCGTAGTTTTTTGCATTCATCATCTTATCCTCGCGTGACCGCTGAATGCGAGTCACGTATGGTTGGCGATCATTTAAGTTTCTTGCAGTCCGAGTGTCGGTCAATGGTTCAGAATGAGGCCCGAAGAGACTTACAGAATATGTATAGATTACTTAAACCCATCGATTCTGGACTCCAGGCACTCATCAGTGAAATTCAGGTAAATTATTATTTAATATTTTGTATGCATTTAAAAAATACATGTATTTAATTTCATATGACTTTAGGAACACATCACTAATAAAGGATTGGAATCTATTTCAAGTATCAACTCTCTGAGCTCTGATAAGACGCCACGAGATGATAATATTCCGCAATTATTTGTCGAGAATTTACTACAGGTTCATAAACAACATTTAAATTTAATTAAAGAAGTGTTTAATGGGGATCAATCGTTTATTGGTGCACTGGACAAGGCTTGTGCTGCCGTTATTAATCATCGGTTAAACCTAAAGCTTCCGTGTCGTTCACCCGAACTGTTAGCTCGTTATTGTGACGGTCTATTGAAAAAGTCTGTTAAAGGTAAGACTTACCTATTGTTACTGTGTTTCTAATAATTTTTAATTTTTCATAATTTTTAATTTGCATATTTCAGGCAACACTGAATCGGAAATTGATGACAAACTAAGCGCCTGTATAACAATATTCAAATATATCGATGACAAGGATGTATTTCAAAAGTTTTACTCAAAAATGTTGGCCAAACGGCTAATACACTCGCAATCGGTTTCGATGGACGCCGAAGAGTCGATGATTAATAAACTGAAACAGGCGTGTGGTTATGAATTTACTTCAAAATTGCACCGTATGTTTACAGATATTAAAGGTATGTCTAATTTAACTTACGATATAATAATTTTGTTGTATTAATGGTTTAATGGTTATAATTGTTTATACAAACCCACAGTTAGCGATGATTTAAATAACAATTTTAATGATTACGTTCGCAATAACCGAATCGAGTTGGGTATCAATTTTAACATATATGTTCTTCAGGCGGGCGCCTGGCCTCTCAATCAGTCAGCACTGTCCCCATTCGCTATACCGCAAGCACTGGAAAAAAGTGTGTCCTCTTTTGAGAAGTTCTATGCGTCCAAATTTAATGGTCGTAAGTTGACATGGTTGCACCATCTGTGCCAATGCGAGATCAAGTTCGGGTTCACTAAACGCGCCTATTCGGTAGTGATGGGCACCTATCATATGGCCGTATTATTGCTTTTTGAGTCAACCGATCAATTGACTTATCACGAGTTGCAGGTATTGTATTCAATAAATATGTTATTTTTCGATGAAATTACATTATATCTAAAACTTTTATATTCAAACTGTGATTTTATTTTAGGAAAACACGAAACTCACAGACGAACAATTGCAACGGCATTTGCAGTCATTGATTGACCATAAGATACTGTTAGTCGACGGCAATACCAGTAGTAAATCAAATGAATCTACAGATGAGGAGCTGAGTAATACAGCGACGTCGAGCACATTCCCCACTCAATCACAACAGTCACCCGAAACTGTCTACACATTGAACTTAAATTATAGCAATAAACGGATGAAGTTTAAGATAACAGCCGTTCAACAAAAAGAAGTGCAACAAGTAATGGTTAGATTGTTATATTGTGTTTTGTAATTGAATTTATTGATTTGTTTTCATTTTTTGATAGCAACAAGAGGTGGAACAGACTCACGCATCAGTAGATGAAGACAGAAAGCTCTATCTTCAGGCAGCGATCGTACGGATAATGAAAGATCGGAAAGTGTTGAAACACAATCAACTCATTGAACAAGTGATCAATCAGTCGAAGAATAGGTTTACGCCAAGTGTTCAGATGATCAAGAAGTGCATCGAAGCGCTGATGGAGAAGCAGTATTTGGAAAGGAATACCAGCAATACTGACGAGTATTCATATATAGCTTGAAAAATATGCCGACCATTGCTGACCTTTTTAATTATCGTTTTAGTCTTGCAATTGTCAACAAATAGTCTCTTTTTATTTTCAATTAAATTATTTAATATATTTGATTTATAATATATCCATTTTGAAATATTATTATTTTGTGATTTAAAAAAAATTAATGATAAATATAGCTAATATTTTAGGAATTTATTATACTTCATTTTAATGCATGAATTGATTTTATTGATAAATATTATTTATATATACAGATTAAAAATTTTATCTAGATTATTATCATATAATATCATATATAGTAATAGTTTTTTTTTTATAAAATATATTGTATTATTACTCTGACAAATACGGTAATAGTTTTCAATGATTAAACAAAAAACAATTTTGTGTTTTTGATGCTTTCATCCAAAAATGTGTTACTTAAAAAAAAGTTTATACTATATATTGTACTGTATATCAAAGCAAGTAATTGTATATATTATTTATATATAAAAAACAGTTTTTGTATGAAACAAGACATTTGTTATTAAAATTTAATTAAAACTAACAAAAATTATTGAACTAAAATTTTAAGCAATTTTAAAATAATGAAAATCAAAGTTATTATTACTTTTCAATTGACCAGTCGATGATAATTTCATAAAAATGACTTAAAACAAAATGTTAACATAAATATTGTAATGATATTTGCAAATAAATAACAATTAGTTTAAAAATTAATGGTTAAAATTCATAATAACCTATTGTTACACTCCATCAACAGTTCCGCCTTTCCTATAGTCAGAATTGGCATATAGTTTGCCATTATTTTTGGCGATGGCCATAATAATGGCACCCCTATCATTATCACCTAACCGTTCCACTGTATGACCCTTTTTCTTTAACCCACACAATATTTCCTTTGGGAAACACTTTTCATAAATTACTTTATCGGGAAACAACTGATGATGAACTCTCTGGCCATCGATGGCCAACTGTATGTCTTCACCGAAGAATAAGTTTCTTATAGCAACCGATGCCACTGTTGTCGTTATCTTTGGTCCTCCACTTCCTCCAATCACAAGACGTAAACCTATTGATAAATATTTTGATGATTAAAAATTTTTTGATTTAATAAATGAATTAGTATTACCAGTTTGATCAGTAAAAACCGACGGACACATTGAGGACAGGGGTCGTCGACCAGGTTTTACTTTATTAGATTTTGACGGAGGAATACCAAAATCATTGGTATCGCCGGTATTAAAGTCGTCCATTTCATTGTTTAACAGAATACCCGTTCGCGGAGACATCACTTTTGAACCAAAACTTTAGATTTTTTAGACAAAATATAATAATTATATAATTATTATATTATAGTTTTAAATATAAATTATAATAGTTTTTTGTCGTAATTTTAAAATAATAAAATTTCAAATGTCTTACTATGAGTTAATAGTAGCAGTAACTGCTACGGCGTTTCCCTGGGAATCGACTACCGAGACGTGAGCTGTTCCGTGATCGTCATCAATGTTAGCCTATAAATAATTAAGACAGGTAATATTAAATAGTAATAATAGTAATATTTTTTTCAAACACTAGAAAAACATACCAAATCTTTATCGTAATGACCAGATTTGCTCGCATAAGTTATTTCATCATTAATTAATTTATTGATATTTTTGGCGAATGCATCGCTTCTCAACATTTTTATCACTTTTGTCACATTTGGATCCAAAGGATTGTCTTCCAGATGTGTTCTCTGAGCGAACGCATACTTATAGGTCTCAACTAATCGGTGGTAGAAAAGCGTTGAATTGTCCGTAGAGTTGGCAGCCGTGGGATAAAAGCCATTATATCTTTGCATTACATTTATCATGAATGACAGTAAATCCCCACTTCCTGGATATTTAGTAAAAATAGCAAAATTTTTAATCAATAAAATTGTTTTTTTAATTAGTCTTAAGAAACAACAGACCAGGCAATGGAAATGAATGAAGAGTTATGTTATTTAAATCAAATTTAGTGATCACTGAATTATTGTTAACAGATTTATAGTTTTTAAAGTCATCGACAGTTATAATTGGTTCGTTGTTATCCCAATCTTTCGCAGCATTTTTAATATCTTCGATAATAATTTTGGACAAAATGTGGTAATAATAATGTATTGGATCTTCTTGTTTAGAGATATTCTTCAATGTTTGTCCCAAAATCGGTTGTTTCATCACTTGTCCTTCTTTATACAAGTCGTTGGTTACGGGGTTAATATAGATGTCCCGCAAGGACTTGTGTTTCTCTATAAAACTCCTTTTTTGTTGGAGAGCTGTCTCCAAGTGTTCGCTTACATTGAATCCATTTTCGCACAAATCGATAGCTTTTTCAAACAACTGTTCCCATTTGACATTTTTGCTGCCATATTTCTCAAACATAGTCCAATATCCATACAATTCTCCGGGAACTGCTATGGCTTTTGGACCGTCTACCGAATGTTTGTGATTGTCATCAAACATGTTTTCAGTGGCGGCCGCCGGCGCCACTTCTCGGGCATCGATAGTATACGTTTTGTCTTCAGTGGCTAAAGTAAATGAAATTAATCAATACATATATATATACAAATTTGAAAGTATTATATATCTGATATTTAATGTTAAATACCATTATAGATAAGAATCAGAGCTCCTCCGCCTAATCCCAACGACTCGGGTATCGTTACTCCCATACATAACAGCACTGATATTATTGAATCCACAGCATTGCCATTGTATTCATCAATGATTTTTCTAAACAATTCATAACTTGTGTATGTATTGGTCACCAGCTATTAGTTGTTATAACACATACCTACCAATGCTGGCACAGGGCTCCGAGTCTGTACTAATTGCAAACTTGTTATATATACCTAACTTTGTTTTGGAACAGTAGTTTCCAAGTGAACTCTGGTGTTGACAGTAGGGACAGTCGGTCTCAACGCTTATATTATCGCAAATATCTTTACGAACTCCATAGTAGACGCCGACGCCAATGGCCACAGCAATGACCACAATAACGACAACAGTAATCAAAATGACTTTTAATAACTTTTTGCTAACGGAATCATTAGAGGAATAATTTGATAAATCTTTAAAAATATTATCATCTAATAGATGGGCACTGCTATCGGTATCATCGCGTATATTACCCGACATTTTTTTCGTAAAATTTCAACAAATTAACAATTATTTACAAACTATTTGCACTAATTATAAATATAATATATAATTTCCAAAATATTAAAAATAATTACTGTATTTATGTCTTATCATGCTTATTTGTCAATAGTTTCAATATATATATATATATATAATGCTTAATAAGTATACAATGTCAATAGCATATTATTAGCTAGCATAATTAGTAAAATAAAATATATTTTATCTTACATAATAATTAATAGGACTATGTTTGGGTTTAAAAACACACACAATATTGATTAAAAATTGTCCATGATAATTATACCATATAAGATATTACAGTATATAATATTTGTTGCATTTTGTTTATTTCAATTTCATTTATATTACAGGAATATAAATAAGTAAAATATTTGACAAATAAAGCGCTTCATTCAAATACACTAATAATTTCATAGTATTATACTGTAAATACAGTATTTATATGGATTTTACCTGAATATAGTGTACAGGTATGCAATTTATTTATATCGGTATATTTACAATATAATTATGTATAGCTTACTATATACTATAAATTATAACCATCATATAATTAACAATAATATACAATATTAATATTTTAAGTGAAAATTTAAAAAATAATTTGATACCATAATTAATTATACATAACTTACCGTATTTTCATTTTATTAACTAATTATAAAGTTATCCTTTTTAAATACAAAATTTATATTTTTAAGTGAACTTTTAAAAATAAATTATAACATTTTAAACTTGAAAATCTAATTTCTTAAAATTATTGATAACTTAATAAAAATTTATTTCAATTTTATAAACATTGTTATCAGAAAAGTGTTTTTAGTCAAAAATTAAAATATGGCATAACATCAATCAAATAATATTATTGATAGTCATGAAATAAGTAAAAATAAATATTGTAAAATATTTTAATACTTAAATACTAAGCACAAACAAAATAATAATAATAATTTACAAATGGGTCACATTTTCTAAACAGATAAATCATTTTTTTAAAGTAATTTAATATTTTAGACGACTTCTGGAAATTTAAAACATCTAAACACTAGTGATGTCTAAAAATAGTCTTCAATATTGAGGAGTGGTTATTGAATTAGTGATAAATTCTTGGAAAATTTACTGAAATATTGTTTTAATTAACAAAAATAAATTAACACTTTAGCAAAACTTAATATCCATACTTGACTATTAGGGTTTCAATTATGTTTTTTATTTAAATTTCAAAGTCATTTGAGTTGTTTCAATTTATTAACAATTCATACAAATAGTATTAACATTATATAAATAATTGTTAATTATTGTTTTAAAAAATAAAATTGTAGAATGATTTATTTGTGATAGATATTTTAGCTACAATATACTAAAATTTAAATAACAATATAAATTAAATACAATTAAGTTGGTATATACTAAATAACAAAAAATATTCAAATAAAATTCAAAATGATATTTAACTTTCAAGAAAATGAGAGCTAAGTCATTATACTATATTATAGTTATTTATAAGTAAATATGAAAAACTTACTTTTTATTTTTATAATCCAGTTTCTCGTTTTTACCCATTTATGATATTTTAGATTTTATCTTAACATTTAATCCAATTTCGTATAAATAATTTAATTAATTTGAAAACATTAAATATAATAAAAATTTAACGTTAATAATTTTACAAACTTTACCAATAATATGACAATTATATTAAAATTAAGTTAGTTGATGCTACTGTTTATTATGTTAATTGTATTAATAATATAATGTGCAAATAAAGTGATGCTATATTACACTTAATATTAAATATGAAGAACAATAAAAAATTATTTGTAATAAAATATCATAACATTTTAACATTCAATTAATTTTTATAACATAAAAGAAGTTTTAAATAGAATGTATAAAAAAATTTGATGCATTTTATCGATAACAATAAAAATATAATAATAACATAAATGTAGATTTTTTTTCACAAACAATTTTTACTTTATATTTATAATAAATAAATAATAATTTTTTAACTGATTAAATAAATGAAAGAAAATATAACATATAGAAATTTATTAAATTAAATATTATTGATTCATAAGATATTATTACAAAATTTGTAATACAAATACATTTTAAAAACAAATATTACAATTGTTAACTAAAAATGATAAGTAATAAAATGTTATATTATTTAATACAATCATTTGAAAGTATAGTAAATTAATGATATTTGTTATTACAATAAATAACAATATGAACACTACTTGTAGTGTAATAATTATTTTTTAATTATTTTATGCCAGAATATAAAATAATAAAAAATGTTTATTTGATAATTATTTGTACTAATTTTGTACTTTTATGGATTACATTACAAAATATTTTATATCTAATTAATAATTTAGTAAAATAATACTTAATTGACCTAAACAAATTTAATTTTTAAATTGCCGATAAATTGGGATACTTATTGAATATACATAAATAAAATTAAACGACATCATTACATTACATTTTGGTTTAATTATGTAGAAATAATTTTTGTTATACAGTAATAATTCATTGCATTCATAGCACAAAAATATATTATAATAAAAACAATAGTATTATATTTAATTATGTATTACTACAGTATATTTAGAATATACTAAACATTGTTAATATGTTTTATACGTAGAGTACAATTCAAGTACAGAAATTAATTTTAAAAATATTGAGACAAATTTACTATAACTTAATATTAAACCGTATATTACATAAGCTAACAGTACAACATTTATGCATATCATAATTACATATCATAATAATATTATGAATAATTAAATATTTATAACAATTTGTCATTGAATACAACTTAGATAATCTAATCATTGCTAACTTTTACTTAACTAAATGGCAAACTGTATATATAATAATACATTGTTTGTGATTCATATGAAACAAATTATCGTCCAGTGATCTCATGATTACCAATTCATACAAACCATTCAACAAGAAGTTTACAATATTATCATCAATTTTCTGACTTTAAATCTTTAAAAAGTTTTAATTAACTGAAATACATGAGATTTTTTTCACAACACTGTATTTACGAGATTTGAATAAACAAATTAAATAAATTATTTTTAATTTTTAAAAGCATTATTACAGTACTATAAAGCACACTTGTGTCTGTCTATCTATTTATAAATAATATGTGAAAGATATTAAATCTGTAAAAATAATTTGTTTTTTTTTTGGAGATAAATAACTAATACAAAAGTTCTAAAATGTAAATTCCTGTTAATAATATTTTTTGGCAAAATTTATTATCATATATTGTAAATATTATAATATCTATAAAGTTCAAACATATGTTAGTAAAAAAATTATTAGATAATAATAATAAAAATAAAGCTACTTTTAGCATTTATTGATTAAAACTGATTTATATTTTATTTTAAATTATTATTTATTAAAATGATTTTAGTAATTGATATTTAAACGTTCAAAACACTATAGAATTTAAATTAGAAAAATAAATATATCTTTAACTTAATATTAATAATGTTTTTAAGTATTGATTAAACTTTTAAAAATTACTAAAATATTACATTAAAAGTTATCGTAGAAAATAATAATTACCAATTATTGGTAAAAAAAAGTCTATTAGCTCTATAATATCATTTTATTCATCATCATATAAACATTTTGTTATTTAGCTTAAATTGTTTTTTTAAATTATAAATTAACTAATATGTATTAAATTAATAGTCGTCATTGTAGTAAGAAATTTATTATTAAAGTACTTATAAAAATAATGATAAAATGATATTAATATCATTTTGTAAATTAATAAATTTTAAATAACATTAATATAATTCAATCATTGTTTTGATAAGTATTTTAAAGACAAATTTTTGATGGCATTAATTAGTAATTACAAAATATGTACCAGTATAAAAATTTTAGAATTAACCATGATCAATAATTAATAAATAACCTATTAATATGTACAGTACTAATATGCAAATATAATATTAGTACAAATATTGGTATAGAAATTACAAACCATTTTACATCGCATGTCATGAAGTCTGACACTTTAGAAGTGATTTATTTCAAAATTTGGATCAAAAAAGTATATAAACAATAAAAACCAATTTAAATGTTATATTATAAAAGTTTAATAAGATTTTTAATAATTAATATCATTTAATATTAATTTATAAAATTATTTGATATCAATAGATATGATTTCGCCGATAGTGCATAATATCACTACTGTATGTGCGCTCACAGCGTTTTTATCATCAGATATAGTTCCCGATGCGCTTAACACTTGTCCAAAATCAGCGGCTAAGGTATGTTTTGGTGATTATGACTATTAAATTTTCATAACAAATAAAATCAATATCTATAAATATTGATAAATTTACAATCAATTTTTTAGGTCATATTCCCAACTGGTGTTTCAGCACAGTTGGGTAATATAGTGATTCCACACCGAGTTCGCGAACAGCCTACCATTACCTGGAATGCCTCGGATGACAGTCTCTACACATTGGGAATGATGGATATGGATGTCTACAGTCGAAAGTTTCATATATTCCGTCAGGAATTGCATTGGATTGTTATGAATATTCCCGGAACTAATGTGTCGGCCGGCGATCTCGTCCGCGAATTTCTACCGTCACTACCGATCTTTGGTGGCGGTTATCATCGATATCTGTTTGTAATCTACAAACAGGCCGGTCGTGTTAAAGCACCTGAACTGGACTCTTGTATAATCAGTAGTTTTGCTTTTGATTGGTCAGAGTTTGTGTCAAAGTACCAATTGGGTGATCCCATTGCCGCTAACTTTTACTACGCTAAGTGGGAACAGGTATACAATGACAGTTGGATATTGGCTCACTTGAAGCATTTGATCGACCAGTGCGCTGATCAACGCAAACCTATACAAACCGCTCAACAAGAGATACGCAATATTATCAAGAATTTAATGACTTCTTATTAATGATTTGTTTTTGACAATTATTGTTAATAATACTTGATTTGAATTTTATTAAATTATTAAATAAAATACAGTATTTAAAATTTATTTAAACAGTTATACAATATATCAACTTTCAATTCATAGTCAATAAAGCTCAGACATACCAATTAATCAATAAATTCAATATATTATCAACAATTTGTTGATTTTAACTGTAAGATTAAAATTTGTTAAAGTAATTAACATAAATCTAAAATTAAACAATCAATTAACGCGCTGACAACAAACGTGTGCCATCGGCACAAATCGATGTTTTCCTTTGGTGACAAAACAGTGCCATTGGCACAGAGCCAATTGACCAATCAAAATGAATCGAACAAAAAATTAAATATTATTGAATTTTAATTTTATCTTTAAGTTATTAAGAATTAAATTTATGTATGTCTTATAATAAGTGATGCTCACATATAGTGGTTTTTATCATCTAATGGTAAAAATAGTTGAAGATAGTGATAATTAGATCCAATTATCATCTAATGGTAAAAATGGCTGAAGATTGTGATAATTAGATCCAATTATCATCTAATGGTAAAAATGGCTGAAGATTGTGATAATTAGATCCAATTATCATCTAATGGTAAAAATGGCTGAAGATTGTGATAATTAGATCCAATTATCATCTAATGGTAAAAATGGCTGAAGATTGTGATAATTAGATCCAATTATCATCTAATGGTAAAAATGGCTGAAGATTGTGATAATTAGATCCAATTATCATCTAATGGTAAAAATGGCTGAAGATTGTGATAATTAGATCCAATTATCATCTAATGGTAAAAATGGCTGAAGATTGTGATAATTAGATCCAATTATCATCTAATGGTAAAAATGGCTGAAGATTGTGATAATTAGATCCAATTATCATCTAATGGTAAAAATGGCTGAAGATTGTGATAATTAGATCCAATTATCATCTAATGGTAAAAATGGCTGAAGATTGTGATAATTAGATCCAATTATCATCTAATGGTAAAAATGGCTGAAGATAGTGATAATTAGATCCAATTATCATCTAATGGTAAAAATGGCTGAAGATTGTGATAATTAGATCCAATTATCATCTAATGGTAAAAATGGCTGAAGATTGTGATAATTAGATCCAATTATCATCTAATGGTAAAAATGGCTGAAGACTGTGATAATTAGATCCAATTATCATCTAATGGTAAAAATGACTGAAGATTGTGATAATTAGATCCAATTATCATCTAATGGTAAAAATGGCTGAAGATTGTGATAATTAGATCCAATTATCATCTAATGGTAAAAATAACTGAAGATTGTGATAATTAGATCCAATTATCATCTAATGGTAAAAATGACTGAAAAATAAATGAAATATTTGACATATTCCTCAACTTCTTCAGTAAATATTACCATTATATGATAATATGACCTATTCCTCAACTTCTTCAGTAAATAAAGCTGATTACCATTATATGATAATATGACCTATTCCTCAACTTCTTCAGTAAATATTACCATTATATGATAATATGACCTATTCCTCAACTTCTTCAGTAAATATTACCATTATATGATAATATGACCTATTTCTCAACTTCTTCAGTAAATATTACCATTATACGATATAATCATACATTTATAGGTTTAGCTAGTATATGTTAATATATTTGTAATTATTCTAAAACCGTTGAAAACTTAATAATAGATTAAATTCTGATTGGTCTAAAATTAATTTAATAACACGCGCCATAACAATCTGGTCACTTAAGGTAAAAATAGCTAAATTTGAATGACTTCAGAGCGTTAAACATACAAATAAAACTATTGAATTATTAAATTTTAATATTAAATATTGATTCAAAAAAAACAATTGTCAATAATAAAATAAATTCAATATACCGTAACTAAATTGTAATTGAAACAAATTTATTGTTTATGTTATCATAAAAGATATACAATTTAAGATTAATGTTTTAATTTAAAATCTAAATTATAAATTAATCATTATAAACTATTATATAAGAGTACATTACTGTAATACTGTACTGTATTAATTAAACCACAGTATGAATTACATGATTTAAATTAAGAAAATTTATTTTATTTAAATTAATAATATATAAAATGCAAAAACAATAAAATATAAAATAAATCATTGAGAATAAGTAAATGAAATCAAAATAAGTAATAGTTATCTTCAAAGTTAGTCATCATTGGTCTCGTCGATCACATCAAAGCCATCCAACTCGTCGTCGACGTCATTATCAGCGAYACAGTCGACCGATTCATCAATTGAGTTATGTTTAGCCAACCGTTGTTCAAATCCCGCGATGTCGTCGTCAATCTCAAGCAATAATGTCTGTGAACCACATTTTGTTTTCAAACTACTGCTACCTATTTCTGTCTTATTTGACTCATTGTTTTTAACATCTTCAGCTGAGATGACTTTATCCACAATTATATCGTCGTCATCATCGATATAAGGCATAGCCATATCTTCACAATTTATTGTATCAATTGTTGATTTTACGGCTTTACAATCAGATTCCACATTATAAACAGTTTTAATATCTTCTTTTGATTCAACAATAGTCTGATCACCAGAATTAGTGGTAACAGTAATTTCATCATTAGTTTTATATTCATTGATAGCATTTAATTGTAATAATTCTTGATTAACAAAACCACTCGAAAGTTCATCGTTTGTCTTACTTTGAGGACTAACTTTATCACTGTCTTGATTGTCATGTATTTTATAAACAATATCTTTGATTTGTGTCTTATCAACAATTTGTTCATTAATTTTATTATTATTATCCTTTTTGATATCGTTTTCATTCAATATAATTGAATTATCATTAAATCCATCTATAGTTGATTTTTTTGTATCTTTTAGTAGTTCATCGCCAGAATTTTTACCATCACTTTTAATATCAAGCAATTTATTTTCATCAATATCTTTGTTATTATCATTTTCATCATTCGAGTCCATATTAAGAAGTTTATTTTCATCGATATCTTCATCTATTCCCTCTCTTGAATCACAATTAACTTCATCGACAACAAACATATCTTCAAGTTCTTCGGGTGTCTTATCCTTTGTTATCGTATGACTTTCTGTCATAACTTTTGTTTCATCCTTTGATTCCTTAGACATCTCAGTGCTTGGTTTGACCACATTATCAACATTTGAATTTGATTTATCTTCTTTAGTAACCTTTTTAACACTATTATCACCTTTTTCTGGTGTCTTAGACTTACTTGAAGTCGGACTCTTAGCTTTAGCTTTATTATTGGATTCACTTTTATTTGAATTTAGATTAAGACGTATTTTAGGAGAAGCTGTACTTTTATCATTGGTTTTATCAACTAATTTATYACTATCTTTATGATCGTCTAACTCATTGACGACCTTCTTGGCCACATTCATGGCCTTAATCCTATCTTTCACTTCCTTATCCTTACGTTTGACCTCTTCCTCCAATCGTTTACGTTCTTTAGCCTTTTCATCCTTTTCTTTAGTCAACTTTTCCCTTTCAGTCTCCCGTTCCTTACGTTTAAGGTCAGTAAAAGCCCGGTCCCTTTCGGACCTCCATTTATGTTCAAAGTCATTGTGCTCTAATGTATATCGCTATGTTTGTAGTTATATAACAATTTATTAATTAAAATTAATCAATTAATTGATTTAAAATATTTTTTAATCTAATTGTCTAATTGCAGACACCAACTGATTAAATGTCTAAAATTGTAAATTTGCTAAAATAAACTTTATATGGAATTTAAAAGTTAAATTTATAACCGAAATRAGTCTTTTAATTATTATTTCATTAATTTGTATACAAACTTTTTTGGAAAGATAAAGTAATTTAAACAAATAATATATCGACATTACTGTATAATTCCTATTGTGTTTAGCCGTTAGGAAATGGTTGTTTGCCTCATACGTGTCCTTAAGGAAAGTCGTACATAAATCACAGTAAAATCCTTGTGTCGGATAAATGAATTGAATGCCTGTAAACACAATCAAATTAAATTGTTTTTTTTGTTGAGAATTTGACATTAAATAGTAAAATTTCTAGAAAGTTTGTACAAAATTTGTTGTTTATCTAAAATTAGATAATATGACAAACCTTTAGATGCAATAACCAATTTGTCTTTTCTTGTTTGAAAACATTTGTTATGACTATTCATTTCCTGTTCTTTGATATACTCTTTTGTTATCCATGGCGTGCGTTCCGATACTTTCTGTTTGTTTAAATGTTCTTTGGTGTGGATGTGTTGAAAGTAGTGTTTAATGTTACTCATAAACTGATCGCAACATTTACACCAATGAGGACCCGAATCAAAGTACTGAAAGCGACAATTTTTCTCTTCGTCTTCTGTGTCGTCAATAGTAATCACGACCTCTTTGTCCATATCTTTAGGCAACTCTTTATCCACTTTTTTCGATTTTTCATTAATCGGTGCCTTAGGTTTAAGTTCTGTTTTTGATATATCACCGGTTACTTTAAGATTTTCAGTAAACTCTTTAGCCTAAAAAACAATATAAACTTAAATCATTACACAAATGGTTGTCCCAAATGATATCCAAACCTTAGTCTTTGATTTCTGGATATCATTGACGAGATTGAAGTTTTTGGTTAGTTTTGAATGAGTCGAATCCATGACAATTCTTAACTCTTTTAATGCTTTGTCTATTTGTTTGTAAGCGTAACTATCTTTAGAACCGTTATCTTTAGAAATCACCAAATTTTGTTCCTCAAGTTTCCTATCGTATTGTCGCTTTAAAGAAGTCAATTCTTCACGAAGTTTACTTCTCTCCTAATTTGAAAAATAAAAACAAATAAACCAAAAAAGACTTTGAAATTACGGATCAAAACATACAGCCATTAACAGATCGGTTGGATTAATCAATTTATCATCTTTTAGAAGATTATTATTATCCTTCTTGTTTGATGACTGACTACTTGATGATCTATCAATTGGAACACTTTTGATATTAGCTGATGGTTTATGTGGTTGAACAATGCCATCATATAACATGGCATTCAATGGTAGCATCATTCGCGGCATAATTCCTCCCATAATAGTGGGTCTTATCATATGATATGGCATATCATATCCAAATGGTACCATTGGTTGCATTGGATTCAAACTGGCGTTAAGAGTATTTTTTGATCGGTTTGGTGTCAAACTACGCCTTCTTTCAAGCGACCGATTAACGCAAAGTCGACGTTCTCTATCAGATGTACTACGACTTCTCGAACGACGAGATCGATCACGACTTCTACTTGAACTACGCCGTCGTCTCTTATATTGTGGTGATATTGATCTTCGTCGCGGACTTTTTGATCGCTTTCTGTCACGACTCGGATGTCTCCGTCTAGGACTTAATGATGGACTTCTTTTCCTTAAACGTTTAGGACTTATTTCAGGAGACCATTCATTGTTTTTCCCATATGAAGAACGTCTGATTTACAAAAGATATATCAATATAATTCTTTTAAAAATATTTYAAATTTATATTTAAAATAAATATTACATATTTGATGGACTCTTTTCTCGTCTTCTTCCTGTATCCTTAAGAATTCCCATCTCAATGGCCGCCATTTGTTGAATACGAAGTCTTTCCAATTCGAGTGGATCTTCTTGAGGACTAGGATTCATATGTTGTCTGTATTGTCTTCTATACAGCTCATGCTCTTCATCCCATTCTCTGGTTCGCTCCTCTTCTTCAACTATGAAAATAATTATTATTAATATTTAATAATAATATAATTTATGTATTATTTTATTGTTTTGTTACATCTCTGACTTTGCTGCCATTCGTTGTCATCATCGGTGAGATCAATAAATTGGCGATTTTTGTCTCTATTTTCTAACTCTTTCTTCAGACGCATAGAAATTGGTGATAAACAACGTTCGGGTGATAACCGGTCTCTTCTATCCTCTCGGAGTACAATACCTGGAGGTAGACTTGTATTCGACGGTTTCATTGAAACAATACCCGGCGGTAGAGTCGCTCCTTTTGATCGGGAAGTAGATGTTGAGCCATAAATGTAAATATCTTCGTCACTATATTGAGATTTGGTGCCACTATATGGTGATCGACTGTTTGACGATAATTTAAGTGTCATATCATCCAAAAGTTGCGATTTATTTTGCGCCGCCGATGAATTGTTGGTCATTTGATTTATAAAACTCCGATCGGGTCGAGAATAAAGTGATTTATTGCCGTAATCGATGACTCGGCGTTCCGGTATCTGTCCACTCGGTAAAGATTGTGTCGACACTCCCGTTATTACTGCAGTGTCTGTGCGATGGTCACTGAAAGACACATTTTGCTCAAATGAATTGACTGAAATGAAAATTATAATTAAGAAAACAATAAAAATAATATTAAATAAATTGATTGTATGACTGACTCGATTGTATCGCATTTTGATTGGCATTATTGCCATAAATTGTCCGCAAAGAGTTGGCTGCCATTAACAGCTGATTTGTGTCCACCGATGAAATGATTGATGCATTTAATGGCTGCGGATGTCTGCCTCCGACGTTGAGGTTATAGTTGTTGTTTGGATACATGACTGGGATGTCTATGTCTTAGAGTTTGGTTACCAATTCTTGAGACTCTTTGGTCCCGATTTGTCGTTACATTTGTGTCTTTCTCTATACAACTCATGAGTTGTTTATTCAAAATATATAAACAATTATTTACAACAAATTTATTGTCAAAATCATTGACTCAATACTGTTGTTGTTTATAAACAGTGAACGCATGCGCTGTTATAGTGTCATGTATTTTGAATGTATTGATTGGCGCCAAAAATGGTTACCAATTATTATAGGGCCTATAATATAGGCTATTATATAATTTATAGCCATAACTATTAATAGAGTTATATTACATATAATAATCTCAAATAACATTTATTTTTAACACATAATCATAATTTTGCCAAATATTTCTCTATACAGTAGTATAGGTATATAATTACAATAACTGTAAAATATAGTCAAATTATCTAAATATAAATATTTAATAAAAAATAGCATCTAAAATAAGCATGAAAATTAAACAATTAGATGATCAATTATATATTAAATTTTTCTATAATACAAAATATATAAATAGTAAAAATACTATTAAGTATAAAATAGTTGATAATAATTTATTATTAATAATTTTTATATAATTATTATTACTAAATAGTAATTACATACTGTAGATTATTTATTAAATTGTCTATAATATATAAAAATATTATATAAAAATAATATATAAAATTGCTAAACAAAAATAATATAACCCATAATAATAATTAAAAAAAGTTTATCATGTTTTACTACATTGTACAGTAAAATACTGTATTGTAATTAATCAGTACTTGTAATATAGTTTATGTACTAAGTATTAAGTAATAATTGATTATAAGTTTATTATCTATAAATATATTATTTTTAAAATAAAATTATAATTTATTTTCTAATCATTTATAATAGATAATAACTAATTATTTATATATTTTATCACTCATAGAAATAATTACAGTATATAAAAGTTATAAAGATTTATAAAAACCAGTACCATAAACATTACAGAAATATAATTTATATTATTATATTACAAATACAATCACATAATTAGAAACCAGTTTAATACAAAGTTTACAATATTTTATAGTATTAAAAATAGATCTATAACTGATATTAATATCTAGTATTAAAAGTTAATTTTATTAATGTTTTTAAAAAACTTTTTACAAAAATCATAAAAGTACTCAAGTATTTCTTTGTAAATTTTTATTTGATACTGATTTAAGTGATATTAAATATTTGCTTTTAATCAACAAAATAGTGTCAAATGTTATAAACATGTTAATATTAATATACACAAATTAATATTACAATATTTATTATAATTTATAAAGTAATTGCCTRAACAATACAGTATTYTAAATAAAATAATATCTAATATTTTAGAAACAAAAAATTTATTTTGAATCAAATTTGTCCAGTATYTATTATTCTATTAAAAATAAGTTAATAATTTTAATAGCCAGTTTAACATTTTAATTTTTGTATTATAATATAAATATGATATATTTATATTAATATAATTATTCTAGTACTATTATGATTAAAATAAAATAGGTCTGTCTAAAAATATAGATTATTTAGTGAAATTCAATAATTTTCAATTTTACATAAATATAAATTGTTTATTATATTTAGGCTATTTCATAATAATTCATCAAAAACATTGTTCACATTTGACATAATGTTATAAAATAATAAAATAAGTTCTCACAAACAAACAAAAAATTATTAATTATAAAATTTTTGTGATTTAAATAATAAATTAAACTCTTTTTTAGATTAGAAATCTATTATAAATGACAGCTTTATGAGTTTAATAGTGTATTATAAATTATTTTTTTTATATGTGCGTTAGAGTAAATTTTCTGTAATTTTAATACTAATGTAGTGTATATAAAAGCCAAACTAATCCAGGTATATTATTGTCACAATTATAATAATCAAAATGTACAAAATACTAGTCGTTTGTAGTATTATWGGGTTAACTGTTGCCGAAAATCATCCACTCTGTGGTCAACAGTGTAAGGATAATAATAAAATTATTTTAAACTTTTAACAGTAAATTATATTCAAAAATAAATTATTTAGTGAACTTAGCTATAAGTAAAGATCAATCTCCTTATGTTGTGGGAGGTGTCGACGCCAAACCAAATGAGTTTCCCTGGCAGGTATAACAGTGGACTTTTGTAATTATTAAATTAATAATTATTTTAAAAAATTAGGTATCACTTGAATATAACAGTGATCAGGTCGGATGGTACCATACATGTGGTTAGTATTTGATAGTTAATGTAAACTTTAATATATAAGTAAATAAATTATTATATCTAAATCTATTAAATATGTAATTTTCTTCTTTAGGTGGATCTGTTATATCCGATAACTGGGTCTTAACTGCAGCCCATTGTGTTGACCGTAGTCTCGACGGAAGTATGTATCGAGTAGTGGTCGGTGAACACGATCGCACCAAACCTGAGGGTAAAGAAGCTATTATCGAAGTCACAAAGGTTTGTCATTTAAGTTTGCAATTAAATTCAATATAATTTATTTTTTAAATTAAATATAAAAATCTACATTTATTCAACTAATAAACAAATTTAATTTTATGATCATCTATAGGTTATACAACATCCTCAATGGGACACTAATAAAATTGTGAATGATGTGGCACTACTGAAATTGGCCCGAAATATCAATTTTAATGGCAATGAAAGTCATGTCAGACCCGTTTGTTTGCCCGACAATGAAGCCGTCGACGCTATAGTTGATACTCAGTGTTGGGCAACTGGTTGGGGACATACCCAATGGCGTATGGCTAGTAAAAATTATATCATATTTTCCATAACAATATATGTATCTATATTATAGAGGGTCAAGTGGCACCAGTATTACAAAAAGTATTGATAAATATAGTCAAACAATCCACGTGTCGCAGCAAATACCTGTTTGTGACCACTATTACAGACGCACACATTTGTTTCGGTGAAAACGGTAAGGGCACCTGTCAGGGGGACAGTGGTGGACCACTCAACTGTCCCGTTAACGGTAAATATTATTCGTATGGCGCAACATCTTTTGGTGTTCAATGTGCCGGCAGTTACCCGTCGGTCAGTGCCCGTGTGGCCACTTTCTCATCTTGGATTTGGCAAACTGCCGCTAATAACTAATCAATTTTGTGTATTACGTAATAATACAGTTTTTAGATTTAAAATAAACATTAATAATACTATAAGACAGAAATAAAATGATAGCATCCATAAATGTATTTATTGTTTTATGTAATACAACAACAATTATAATTAATTATGAGTTATAAGTATTTTTTAATTTTAAACTAATACTATTACCAATTAAATCAATTTTTTTTATTAAAGATTCAATATATATTATTGTTATATAATGATATAATTTGCAATATAAAAACATAATTAGATATAAAAATAAAGTTTAGTTATAATTACGCTAATACTACAACATTATTACTACTGTATTCAATATGAAAAACCTATTCAAAATAATTAAATGTTATAATTAAAGTTAAAGCAGTTTAATACTATAATATTATATATTTCCTGAATTTATCTATCTATCTATTACTACATTCTAATCAAATCATATAAAAAATTAACTCATATTTCATGAATATACAGTACTGTCAAATAAATATAAATTTATTTAATTATAACATTTAATAATAAATATTAAAATTTATTGAAAAGTCGTGTCATTTATRTTAGCCGTTGGTAATGACCTACTTATTATGCATACAGTAAGTTAGGTATAAAGTAATTATTACATGAATTTAATTTATATAAAAACAAATTTAGTTTCACTTCATAATTTCTATTTTTGTTTTTGTTGTTGAATATATCATTATTGCTAAAATAGTTTAATGACCCGTAGTATAATTAAAGCTATAAATTAAATTTTTACTTTTATAAGGCATAAGCTAGTTTTTGTTTTTTTAAATAAATACATATTTTTAAATAAAATTAAGTACCTATCAAAAATAAAAATAAATTCATATTCAATTTATTGAATTCATGAATGAATTATCACATAATACTTATTATTGATATGTCATAAATATTTACTTTTGTTTAAATTTGACAGCTATTTGACCCCAAAATATAGCTATTTTGTTGAATTGTAAACCAATTATCAATTGATAAAAGCAAATAAAAACAAAAATTTCAAATTAARTACAATTATTATATATTATCTTTTTGTTTGTTTGCTTATTATTATGTCATAAATTTTCTTGTCTTAAGCGGAAATCTCGTGTCTAAACTCCAGAAGTATATCTCTAAAGATCTTTTTATGGGAAGTGTTTCGTCATTTYATATCCAGTTTTATATTAAAAGTTGTTTTTGTATTGAAGACCGGTATGAGAAAGTGTTTTACATATCGTACTTATCATTATATGATATATAAAAAATAATTTATAAGACATCTATAATTTAAATATTCAATTCAAGTTTTTTGATTATAAGTCTGTATTTATAACTGTATTAATTATTAAATTAAGGAAGCAGTTATATTATGATATATAAGATATAACTTTTAAATAATATTTTATTTTCACAAAATGTTGATGTATTATAAAATGTATATGAAAATTTAAATTATTATTATTTGCTTTTAATTATAAGCCGCAAAATTTACTATTTATAATGAATAAAATAATTACTATTTGTATTGTCTTTACATTATTTAATTGTTTATATTGTAATCCCAAATCTGGTAATTATTGTCTTTATAAAAATTTAATTGTCTTTAATTTATTATTATTTAAAAAATACATAAATTATATTAATATTTTTTCTTTATATTAATAATTTTTTAGAGTACGATGACAATTCAGAATCAAGTAATAGTAAAATCTACTGTAATTTTTAAAATAATTATTAAATATTAATATATTAATTGTAATTAAACATTAGCTCATTTTGGGATGACTTTGGATGTGGATAAAAAAGATGTTTATTTAAAAAAAGGTATGTTTTTYAATAATTTTTTAATATATTATTTACATGAAATCATAATGATATATAATCAACACAAATTACAATGATGTAAAATATTAACAATATAATTATCAAAATAAATTAATCAATATTATATACTTAAATATTTTAAAACTTACAGATCCGGCTCAATTGGTTTTCCAATTTGGAGAATCTCCCGAACCAAACCAAGGTTATAAAAAGGACAGTTATCACAGCAATAGTGGATATAAAAAAGATAATGACAATAATTATTACCAAAAACAAGACAAAGACAGTGGATATAAAACGTATGAAACAGCAGATTATGGAGAATACAAAGATAWCGGTGCCGGTTATAGGGGTGATCTGGGATATGGAGCACAAACAGTCTATGCGACCGATCATTATCCGGGACGTGTGGGCGATAGTTATGACAGTCAGAAATATGATGAACCGGAATATAAAATTATAGATTATGGAGCCGTTTATCCGAGTAATGTATATGAAAATAAAGTTTACAGCGAACAACCCGGRCATGGGTTAGCCAATAATGGTTACGGTTATGATGTCAAAGGTTATGACAGRAAAAGCTATGAAGGACCCATTGGGCATCAAAATAATGGATATGGCGAGAAAAAATATAAAGACCAAAGCTATATTAGCCAGTCGTATAATGGCAAACAGTCACCTCAATTGGGTTACCATAAAATTATGAGTTATGGTAAGGGCTATCAAATGTATGATCAGCCCAAATATGTACCCAATAGAAAATCATATCCAATAAATAGTAATGGATATCAAGAAAAGTTATACGAAGTTAAATCACATGGATATGGAAATAAAGATACAAATAGTGGTTATAGTAGTAGACCTCTTGTACATGGAGTTCATGAAAGACCAGTATATAAAGATATGTCAAAAAGCTATGACTCCAGTGAGGGTTATACGAAAAATCAAGAAGTCGTGCCATCAAATAGTGGAAAATATGACGACAGCAACATTTCTGTGTCTACCGGCAAATACATGGGTCCGGGAGAGTATCAGTCAGCACATGTAGGTCATCAGTATGATCACCAAAGAGCTGGCGATACGCACAGTGATAGACATTATGTGAGACACGATTCCGATATGCATTACACTCATCCTTCACACAATTATCATCCCATTAATCAACAACACTATCATTAGTATTAAAAGTTATAACTTATAAACTTGTTTTCAAACTTTGTGTTATTTATATAGTTTTATAGTTGTTTTATTAAATTTATTGTTAGATATAGCCAAATATTTAAAATTGTTTAGTAATGTTTATTTATATATAATATATTAAAAATAATTAAAATGTTTAACTTTAAATAAAATTTTATAACTTTAAATAAAATTTTATATTTTTAAATTATTTATCACAATTGGTTTTTCAAATTTCTCTTTACATTATATAATAGATTTATGGAACTAAAGTTRYATATAATTTATTTAATATTTAAATAATTATTTTGTCTACTATTCTATTAGATTAAAAAAAATATTTAAAAATTATATTTATAAGTTGTATTAATCGGTATGAAATGTTAAAACATTTGTTTGATTGCCGCGAATGAACAAAAATTCTGGCATTTCTGTGGACAACATATCCAACCAATACATGAATACATAAGCACTTAGACTATCTTTTTTAGGGATCTCTAAAGTCCTAAAGTTTTAAATAAAAATATTCAAAATAATTTAATTGTCCATGTTCAAATAATTAGTTAAATAAACTAACATAACAATTAATGTTGAATTCTGTGAATTTTCAATTAATAAGTCTCTTAATTGGAAATATTTGTTTGTCTACAATAAAAATATCATAAGTTAGCAAATAATTTTTAGTTTACATTAAATACTTTTGTTTTATGAATGGCCAAACTATCCAAAATTTTTTGTCTGGTAATTAAATCACTAATTGTCAAAACATGTTTATCAGTTTGCAACCAATCAGTTGAACTATTAATATAATTATAAAAATTTATTGTTACATAAAATTACAAAAATTAAAAACAATAACTTTTTACCCGTTTGTTTGATAATTATCATCTAACTTGAGGACAGTTATCTCATGACAATCTATTCTAAACAATTCAACTAACTTTGTCACACTATATAATAGATAAATATTTTAATAAACTAATTTATTATAATTAAAATCAAATTTATATAAACAATTTATATACCTTTCATTATTTAACTTATTGTCATCCGACTGATTGTCGATTACAACAAATACTCTTATTTTACAACATTTCCACTTCTTTTTCTGTGACAGTATGTACGGCACAAGTAGTGTGAGTCCTCCGTCATCATAGAGCCAATAGACATCAATAAGAGGTAAGGTTTGACTAGTTTTGACAGTTGTCTTAAGTTCAATGCTATCAAATGATCTAACTGTGCATTTGCTTAATGTATCAGAATTTAATGTTTTCTCAAATTTCATGCCTTTTACTTTATTTTTATTTTTTACATATTTATCACTTTTTATTATATTATTATTGATTTGATTTGTATTATTATTATTATTATTAGTTATTGAATTATCACAATCATACTTGCGGTAAATAATTAATGACTTGTGCAATTCAAATGTGTTACTAAAATTAAAATATAAAAATTAGATAAATATTATTTAACTATAATTAAATATAACTTATTTACTGAATAATATTAAAATAATCTTCAATTAAATCATAAGATAACTGTTTCCACGAATCCCTAAATCCAATCATCACTATATTAGGACTCAAATTAGATCCAAAGCCACTGCACTATAATTATAAATTAGATTAAAACTTATAATAAAACTATTTTTTTGTTATTAAAATCATATTTAWATGATAATTATATTTGAATACCTGTATTAGCATATTTGAACCAATGTTAAAATTATCAGCCGTAACCAACTTATAAAAACATTTAATATTGTGATCCATAAACCATTTGGTCCACAATTGTTTTAAATTTAGGCGATCTTCATATAGGCTATCGGTGCACATTATGTCACCAACAATAAGCATACCCTTATGTCGAGTAATATTGTTGGCCATCTTTAGTAGATTCATATATTTTTTAGATACACCTGATAATAGTAATATGGATGGTCTATAATTTTTTACATGTTCACTGCTATTATTTAATTTATGTGCAAATTGGACAGTTGTTTTAAATAATTGTCCATCTGGTGTCTGTCCCCAATTGACCTCTTAATTTAAAAGTTAATTATAGTATTATAATTAGTAATTTTAAAATAAGTTTTTTTTTATGAGACATACTTTTTCTATAATAGATTACAATACCGAAACTAATACAACAGAAGCCTAGAAATGCAAGTGTGATGTACCAGGAAATGGCAAACATAAAGACAAAACAGAAGAAACAGTTAAACAAACTGAACCATTTGTTATAGTATTTGAAGGACGGCCGCCAACTGACTGTCCGCACGTAATCACAATGAAAACAACAGAAATTAATGAGAGCCCACGACAGTAGGTAACAGATAGTGGCGATTGTACTTAAAATATCATAATCGGAAATAGCTATAAATATAATTGTTATCAAAAATGTTAGACCATATCCTCGACGGGGATCGGCGTGTGGGCCGTAAGGCTTGGAGAACCAACTAATACCGGGTAATAGATTATCAAAACCTAATGACTAAATAAATCATAAATTAATTTATAAATCAGTTTTTTGTTAATATAATTTATGTAATGTACTGTACCTGTAATATTCTGGGTGCTGTTATAAAAGAGCTTAGGGATGATGACAGTGCCTGAGCCAACAGTCCGGATGCATATATGGGTTCAATGTAATGCATTCTATCGCCAATCAAAGTTAGTGCAGACATTATAGACATCATAAACTCGTTATTACTGATACCACTTTCACAGTTCTCTTGTATATCGCACGTGTAGTTACCGTATTGATAGTCAGTTAAGTTTCCAGTAGCGTACCGATTGCCAGCGCATGCAAACAATATAATTTGTATAGTATATATAATCTGTGAGGTAAACACTGCTAATAATGAACCCTTAGGTATGGCTACCTTGGCTATGGATTTAATTAAGTATTTAAATAATATATTAGCAAAAATAAAGTAAATATATTTACTTTTAAATATAATAATTACGATTTTTAAGACTCGACGACATTGTGACTCCTGTGAAATCACCGCAAAGTGCAGACATATATATACCAAATATACTTAAAAAGTGGTAACCATTCCATTGCGGCAATAGATTAGTAAAACTTATTTTGGCATTAAATCCAATAAAACCGTTAACTTTTTGATAAGGAGTGGTCGGTAGGAATGTGCCCACAAAGAAGTCCAGTAATGATAGCATTGTTATAAAAAATAAAATCCATTGTGTCTAACAATAGATAATACAAATATAATTTTAATTGATTAGCACAGAGATTATTATATATATTATTATTATTGTCATAAATTTATTAAATGTGTTTATTATGTGTATAAAGTAAAATAGTTTACTTTTGCTTCGAGGTCCAGACTAATAAACGGTATGACAGCAATAATTACTAAACATATTAATCCTACAATTCTCTGATCATTTATACCCGAAGGATATTCAACTATTCCAGTATTAAATACCTTTGAATTAAATTTTAAAAACATTTAATTTACTGTCTAATTATGTGAATGTATTAAATATTAATGTACAGTACCTGTAGTATATATTGTATTTCACTGCAAATACCGCTTATATTTTGTGAAACCAATACTGCATTTGTTATGAAATAGATGAGTCCAAATACGGCCCCGATTTCTGGTCCCAAATTTCGGGAAATCAGATAATAGAAACCACCGCAACCTATATCTCCATTAGTACATAGGGCTGAAAGTGATAGCACTGTACCAACCAATATAATGGTACCAATGATTATTTGTAATAAACTTAAAACTTTTTTTTAAAGAAGAAAATAATAGAAAAATAATTATTATAAATAATTTTTATGTCAAATCAAACTAACTTATGCCCGCCTGTCCGGCCATTATGCCCATCCGTAAGTAAAGAGTACCGCCCAATAAGTTCATAAATGTTGGTATCTTTTATTTAAATTATTATAACTTTTAGAAATTGTTTTATTTTTACTATTATTATTATTAACATTAATTAAATTAATTAATTAACAAAATATCTTACATAGACCATGGTAAAGTAGCCAAATTTATCATTGTTATTTATGTGAATATAATTTTCACTTTTAAGTTCAGTATTTTTCAAACTTTCGGAATCATCACTCTTTAAATTTTTAATTTATTTTCAGTAAAAAAACATTTTTAAATTATATAATATTTTTAGATAATTACTTACAATATTGGAATTTACAGAATTTTGATGCAATTGTTGAAGTGTTGGTCGCTTTTTGTGATTAAAATCAAATGTTTTGAGATAATGTTCCACTTTAGGTGTCACTTCAGGAGGAGTGTATGTATCAATAGCACTGTCCAATGAGTCAAAACGGTTTAGCTCATGTACCTCAAGTTTTAGCACATTTTTGGTCATTTTTATTGATTTTTATGTGATAAATAAATAGTAATACAAAATTTATAAAACATTAAATATATAAAAATATAAAATAAATATAATTTTATATCTTTATTGAAATCAATAACAACTATTAAATACTAAAACAATATGCAATATATTTATATATAATTATTTTTTCAAAACAATTATGTGGTAATTATAGAATCCTTAATTTATATCATTTATGATACAATCAAACTTCAAAAAATAATTGCATTATCATTATTATACTTATAATCTCTTTAAATCCTAGAAAATTAAGTACCTCGATATTTAGGAAACTTATATCATAAATTAATCATAAAATTTTAAGGGTATACTTTTATAATTTTAATATTCATTGTTTATAATTTATGTGAGAATTTGTTCTTATGTTTTACTAAATTAATTGATTTAGTTATCCAAAAATATTTAGAGATTTATTAGAAAATTTTTAATATTACTACTAAATGTTGTTTAAATTGCAATTTATTTCGCAATTATTATAGATAATTAATAAATATAATTTTAATATTAGTAATAATAATAAAATGTCTTATCATTTTAACATAATATACAGTATTATTATAATATTTATTAATTATTAAATAATTAACTTATTTATTAATCAATTTATAAAATGCAACAAACATTAGAATTTATTATTGGCTATAAAAATTTAATTAATATACAGATCTTATATATTCTAAAATAAGTGTCAGGTAAAATTTGTTAATAATAAATTAATATTAATATATAATTTCAATCTTTTATAATTCAAAAAAATTATAATCTATTTAATACAGATTATCAAAAAAATCAATAAAAAGGAGTTTATTGTTAAAGTCAGCACTAAAATAATATTTAAATTTATTGGATTTTAATTAAAAATTTACTTTGGATAAGGAGTTCGTATGGAAATGCTTTCTAGAATTGTCAGTTGGTTTAAACTATATTTGTTTAAATATTTAGTTTATTTTCAAATTCATTGACATAATGTTATTACAAACAATTGTTAACCGAGTAATAAAACTTCGAATAATGTCTACAAATGTATAACAATATCAATCATTTACATATTTATTGATATAATGACATTAGAAATAATTATTGTTCAATATATTTATATGAATGAACTATTGAATCATTTTAAAAAAATATATAATAAGTTATATTATATTATTTCATTTGAAGGGTATTTTCTACATTTTGAGGTAAAAATTCAAAAAATTTTATATTTATAATAATTAAAAAATTGCATTTGTCATCGAATCGATTATTTCCAGATATTATATATTTTAGACATTTTTAATAAAATAGTTTTCTATATATTAATATATCCTAAATATAAATTTATGTTTTATTTCATAAATATTTGTTGATATTTTTACATTGAAAATATGTATTACTATAATATATATTCAAATCATGAGTCGGGAGTCTAATGCGGGTCTCATATTAAGATAGAGTCTTGTTATCAAATAATAATAGTATCATTAAATTTACTGAATTTAAACTATTTTCAATATTTCAATGAATTATTTTCAATAAATATTTGAATATTGGTTAGGGTTGGAAAAATACAAGGTTTTGAATTGCATAATAAACTAATGATATAATGAATACTAAAAAAACTGATATATATTTATAAATAATATTTAATGACAATAAAAATTATTTTTATATTAATTGTTGTTTTCTAAGAATAAAAATAAAACAAATTAAGAAAAAAGATATAAAATAAAAAATATATTTATTATAAAATATGTTTATTTTTACTTAAATCAATGGTTTTGATAATATGTGACTAACTTTTGTTTTGTAGGACAATATTAGTCATGTATTATAAAGTATTACAATATCTTGTCTCGTCTTGTTTTAAATAAGAACATAAACATTAAAAATAGTAATAAATTAAAAATTATTATTATTTATTATAAATAAATATTTTAATAAATAATAAATAAAATTTAAACAATTTATTAAAATCGTATATAAGTAGGATTTTGCAAGACGTGACAAAACGTGATGTGATTGACTTTAAAACATACAATACGTGACGGGACAAGACGTGACGGGACARGACGTGACGGGACARGACGTGACGGGACAAGACGTGACGGGACAAGACGTGACGGGACAAGACGTGACGGGACAAGACGTGACGGGACAGGACGTGACGGGACAGGACGTGACGGGACAGGACGTGACGGGACAAGACGATAACACGTCTTGCCAAAACGGGATTTTGGGCAAATGTTACACTACTAATGTACGTGTGTATGATTATAATTAAAGTTATATTTAAATAAATTATTTATAATTTTTTAAACTTATAAAAATATTGTACTGTATTTTTGTAACTATAATTGTRGGGATCGGTATATATATACAGTATATATAATTTATGGATTATAAGATATGACAAACATTTTTTTAATCGATATATATTGTTAAACAGTTTGTTTGATTTCCGCGAATAAAGAGAAATTCAGGCATTTCTATGGACAACATATCCAACCAATACATAAATATATGAGCACTCAGGTTGTCCTTACGTGGGATTTCTATTGTCCTGTTATAATAAAATTAAATAATTAAAAAATTTAAATATTATTTAAAAATTGTTTTAAATAAATTACATGACAATTAATTGTGAATATTTTGAATGTTCTTCCAATAGCTCTCTTAAAGCCACATATTTGTTGGTCTAAGAAAAACAATGATTCAAAATTAAATATACAATAATATAACTAATAGATAGTATAACTTACAGAATCTTGATATTGTTGAAAACTTATGGCCAATTCATTAGTATCACTACTTGATGAACACAAGTCATGGGATAGCGATTCAATAATATCTTCAATTCTATCGGTATTTTAATAAAGAATAAATAAAGTTATATAATTAATAATAAATTATTAAATATTTTATAATACCTTCTATAATAAGATTTTTCTGGCAATTCTAATACAATAATATCGTAATACTCGACACGAAATTTCTCTAATAACTCTGAAACACTAAATTAATAATAATAAAAATGATAAACATTTGTATCACTTTATTTATTTAATAAAATCTTAATTCAACAAACTTTTGTTCTGTAATAACAGTTTCATTTGACATTTTATCGATTATGACAAACACCCGAAGCTGAAAGTTTTTCCACCTTTTTCTCTGTGACAGTATGTATGGCACAAGTAGTGTAAGTCCGCCGTCATCATAGAGCCAATAGATATCAATAAAATGCAATTTAGACACTTGTCTTACTGTAATCATATGATTAACATTTTCAATATTTTTAATTTTTAGCTGATATGACATTCTGGGTGCTAACGGATCCTTTAATTTGCTATCAATTTCCTGTTTTTCTTTTTCAATACTATATTTAGTTGATTTATAATCTCTATATATAATTAATGATTTGTTCAGCTCAAACACATTGCTAAAAAAATATTTTTATATTAATATTAATTTTTTTGAATAATACTTTTCAATGATAATTGCTTACTGAATAGTATTGAAATAATCATTAATATCATCACTGGAACACTGTTTCCAAGAATTACGGAATCCAATCATCACTATATTGGGGCTCAGGTATGAACTAAAACCACAACACTATCAAAGTTAAAGTTAGAATTTATTTTTATTAACAAAAAATAAAATAAATATATTTTTAAGATAAACAGCAAACTAAATCATACAGATAAGCACCTGAATTAACATATCTGAGCCATTGCTTAGAGATTGAGATGATATTAATTTATAAAAACATTTAATTTTGTGACTTTTAAACCATTTATTCCACTCTTCACTTGTTTTTATTCGACTTTCAAACGGTATTCGTTGACTAATAATATCGCCAATGAATAGCATTCCTCTGTGTCTCGTTATCTGGTCAGCCATTGACACTAAATTCATGTGATTATTAGCTTCTGTACACAACAACAATATGGATGGTCTGTAATTTTTTTCGTGTTGATTAACTGTATTCAACTTATGTGCCAATGAAACGGCTGTTTTATATATTTGTGCATTACTTGATTGTCCCCAATTGAGATCTATAATAATTTGCTATTATTATTATTACTATTTTAAAACAATTTTTAACTAATCTGTTTAAATAAATCAAATAAATAAATATTTTATACCAGACTTCCAAATACTTATTTTGAAAACATAGACAAATATCATAATAGCTACCAAAATGACACCGATATACCATTTGGTTATAAATATAACWACTATACAAAGCAAACCAATTATAAGACTAAGCCATTTATTATAATATTTAAATGTTGGCCTCCAGTTAGCTGAGGCCACATAATCGGTATGAAAACAGCTCATATTGATGAGAAACCAGGCGCACAGATAGCATAGAGTGGTGGTAACGGCCAATGGTGTAAAGTCACTTATTGACACAAATATTGCAGATACAAAAAATGTCAATATATAAGCTCGTCTGGGATCACCATGTCGTCCATATGGTTTAGAAAACCATTTACTGTATGGCAATAGTCCGTCGAAACCCAACGATTGAATAACTCGGGGCGCAGTTATATATGCTATCAGTGCCGATGATATTGATTGCGATAATACTCCAGCTGTGAATATTGGTTCAATATAATTAGTATTTTCACCCACATGTGTCAAAGCCGACATCACTGACATAATATATTCATTATTGCTGAGACCACTTGAACAGTCGGGTTGTTGGTTAGTGCAGCTATAGTTACCAAATTTATAGTCATCTAACTTACCCGTTGCGTATCGTATGACTGAACAGCTATAAAATATTATTTGTATTATATAAATGATTTGTGATGTGATTATAGCTAATAGTGTTCCCAAAGGTATTGCTTTTTTAGCTGTAATAGTATTAATTAAAAAAAAGATTATATTATTAAAACAATATTATAACACATGTATATCATAATGACAATACAGGTACTGCACTTCTACATAAATGTAATAATACATACAGTAAAATACTGTAAATCAATATTAATATACATTACAACATAACTGTTGTTTACTTACGATTTTTGAGATGTTCAGCCATTGTAACGCCAGTAAAATCACCGCACAGTCCCGACATATAGATTGAAAACATTGCAAAAAAGTCAATACCACTTTCCCAAACAGGAATTAAGTTGTCTTTACTCGCCCGAGCACTCCATCCCACAAAACCGTTTACTTTCTGGTACGGTGTCGGCGGTATAAAAGCTCCGATAATAAAATCAATTATTGCCAACAATACAAATGCAAATAAAAACCATTGAGTCTACCAGTAATTAAGCAATAAAAAAAAACAATGAAAACTTTGCTAATAGTTATAAAGGTTTTGTTGAATCAAACATTTTTAACACACAGTTTGCATATTTTTTGCATACCTTTGCTTGAAAGTCTAGTCCAAAAAATGGTATTAAGGCTATTATAAATAGACAAATAAAGCCAACAATTCGTTGATCATTCAAACCGGATGGTTCTTCAGATATACCTGTGTTAAAGTCCTTATAAAATCAAATAAATTTAGTTATTTAATTAAATAGGATATAAAGTTAAATCAATTTGTAGCACCTGTAGTATTTGTTGTATTTGATTGGTAATGCCGGCAATACTGTACGATACCATAACAGCGTTAGTTAGAAAATAGATGACACCGAACACTGCGCCCACTTCAGGACCCAAGTTTCGTGATACTAAATAATAGAGACCACCACAACCTACCCGTCCATTTGAACATAAAGCCGATATTGATAAAACAGTGCCGCATAAAATTATGGTTCCCAACAGTATTTCAACTAATGCTAAAACTAGTAATAAAAATTTAATTATATAACATTATAACTTATCTGAAAAATATTTAACAATTAATTTAAAATTACTAACAAAGACCCGAATTAGCCGTAACCAAACCCATCCTTATAAACAGTGACGGACCCAATAAATTCATAAAAGTTGGAATCTATTATTTATTAATTATATATTTTTTTTGTAATAAAATTAATATAATATTAACTCTTTACTCCATATTAATCTACATATACTATAACTGTTTTTATTAAAATTGTATTAATAAAAAATTGTTATTAAAAATCTGCTAAACAYTATCTAGATAATCTAGGATTATATAATTATTAAATATAAGTCAAAGAAAATGTGATTAAATCAGCGCAAATTAAAAAATAATTATTAAAAATCTATACAGTATATTAATTATTATAAATATATTGAATTATCTAATTGAAGAAAATACTGATTTACGATTTAAAATAATTAAAATAATTACTCAGTTGTGACTATGACTTAAACAATGATAGCATTTCGCAAATCATAGCAAAAATTAGTCGCCAATAAAGTTTGATAACTAAAAAYTTAAATAACTAAAAAATAATTTTTGTAATAAATAAGATCTATTTGCAGTTTATTTTATAATAATACTATAGAATTCTAAATAAATCAATAATACTATTAAATATTATTCATACATTATATACAGTACATATTGGATCCCAAGTGGAAGTGCTATAAGTTATGTTATTATAAATTTCAGGTTTTGTAAAATTTTATTTATAGTTCAAATATTTATAATAGATTAATAATTACATTTTTTTTAAAAACCTATTAAAATTTTTTAATCAATTTTCTAAATTGTGATTTATAATAATGTTAAATATACTTAGTTAATAATTTCAGTTTATTACTATAATAGAAAACAAATTAAAATAAGATCCCAATAAACGATTTTTTAGAAACTTTCTAAGAATTTTTTTTGTAAGATCTGATGATTAATTCCTATTTATTATGCAAAATATCAATTCATGTGTTGATAAAACTTTTTAATAGATTATTGCGCCAAAAGAGTAACTAAGATTTGATTCTCACCGGACGTCAAACAGTCAGCAAATTCTTTATAGATTTTTATAAATCAATAATATCTTTATTGTTATAACGTTTTTCTTATGACTTTAACTTAAATCTATTGTCAGAATGACGAGAACAAAAAATAGATATTTTGATAATTTATAAAAACTTTCTTTTATATGACACATAATTATAGTATTTTATAAAAATAAAAAACAGTAAACAACATCATATGGATATTTTTTAATAGATATTTTTGTTTAAACTAATTTTATAAGTAGATTAATGTATAGAGTAAATGAGTTATTTAAAAAAAATATAACTAAATACCCACGTAGACCATTGAAATAAAACCAAATTTATTGCTTTCATCAATGTTTAAGTACTTATTTGGACAACTTTTGTCATTAAAAAGATCCTTAATGTTATGTGAAATCTATATATAAAATTAGTAATAAGTTTTTTAACTGAGCAATTACAATTTGTTAAAATTAAAAGATGAAATAAAATATATTAATGTAATAAGTTAGCAATAATAGTAAATGGAAATTATTGGTATACAGTATTAACATTAATATTAATAAAACAAATTAAGCATGGAAATGTTTTTTCTTTTATTATAAAAAGTGCATTTACACTTTTTTAATGTTATTATGATTCATAATAATTATAAAATAGTATTATTTATATTAAAATAAGTTATGTACATGTAGTACATAAATATATAAATTTGTATAAATAATTTGGGTTTAATTATTTATTTTAACGTTTTATATACATTAATTATACATAAAATAAAATTATTAATAACATTACATGATTTTCGTGCAGTTGTCTGATACTCGGTCGGGGCATATATTTGGTGTCATTTTTCTTTAAATAATGTGTGATATGCGGTATGACATCAGCACTGGACGTTTGATTACTTTCTGATGACAGGACTTCACTGTCTGACAAGTTTTTGTGCAATTGWGCGGCACTTATGTCCAGTTTTAGAGAATCTTCAGTCATTGTAATTTGAAAACCAGAAATATTGTAATTTTCTATATACAGTATACCATATATATATACAAAATTACATGTACTATATATTAACACACACACACACACACACACATATATATATATATATATATAAATTTTTTATATATTTATATACCAAATATTTATAACCTTTTAAAAAAAAAAAATTATATTATTCACAAAAATATCAACACTTTTGTGTTATTATTTTTTACGTTTCATATTCATAGACTCTTAGAAAATAAATATTATGTTTCGATACAATTTTGCTGAATCTTCTAATCTCCTGTCTATAGTAATAATGTATTTTATTAAATGATTTAATTAATAACTTAACTGCTGTATCATTGGCAATGTGTCATTAAATTCAATTGTATTATGTATTTATACATTTTATTAAAAAACTAACATATTATTGATATTGACTGTCAATGCTAACTAAAATAATTTTTATACTAAATATTATTAAAATTATGTTTCTGTTATACTAAACTTGTAATTTATAGAATAAAGTTTTAATTAAATTATGAGATATGAATTATAATAAATGTTTAAATTAAAATTTTTACCTAATATACAGATAATAATATTTTAATGATATTATTATATTAAAATTTATGATTTACTAAATTGTAACAGAATAATAGTAATAGTAATAGTAATAGTAATAGTAATAGTAATAGTAATAGTAATAGTAATAGTAATAGTAATAGTAATAGTAATAGTAATAGTAATAGTAATAGTAATAGTAATAGTAATAGTAATAGTAATAGTAATAGTAATAGTAATAGTAATAGTAATAGTAATAGTAATAGTAATAGTAATAGTAATAGTAATAGTAATAGTAATAGTAATAGTAATAGTAATAGTAATAGTAATAGTAATAGTAATAGTAATAGTAATAGTAATAGTAATAGTAATAGTAATAGTAATAGTAATAGTAATAGTAATAGTAATAGTAATAGTAATAGTAATAGTAATAGTAATAGTAATAGTAATAGTAATAGTAATAGTAATAGTAATAGTAATAGTAATAGTAATAGTAATAGTAATAGTAATATTAAATAAAATATTAATACATAATTATTAGCATTTTGTATCTAAATTTGTAAAAACTATTTTATTGACAATTAAATTTTTACTGTAACAATTATTTTTATTATTTTTACAAAAGCAGTTATAATATACTGTACCGTATATGCAATATATAGTAATTAAACAGAAATCAATTCATAAAAATTGCTAATTAATTAATGTTATATTTTCTTAAGAAATTATAGTCCATTTACAATGACTTGTAATTATATAATACAGAAAATGTTTTTTAATTTCTTAATAGTTTAGTTTGTTTTCAAACTAGAATCAATAGAAAAATTATTTTACAAAAAAAATTAATACAATATCTTTATAGTTAATAGATTAATACATAAACCTTTAATACAATACTGTAGACTTTTAATACAATACTGATATTTTTAAATAAATAATTTTATATGTTCATCTTAGAGGATTTATTAATTAAATATATTTTTAAATTATAAAACAAGTTATGAATTATTAATGTTTTGTTGTACTAAATTTTATGATTAATCAAATTGAATGATAATATATAGTTAGCTATTATTCATATATCACATCCTTATTCCCACAATCAATGCAATATTAGATTTATAATAAGTTTACAATTATCTGATAATTTTTCAGAAAACTTGTTTTTTAAATTTATCAAATATTTATTGTTCTATCTATTCTGTTTGATATATAACTTTATAAAAAACTTATTTTATCTGTAATTTCATATCAAGTATTGAAAATGTTTTATTTGTTATTATTTTATAAAAGTAATGTAAATTAATACATATTTATTAATTATCCATATGGTGCATGTTTTCAAAAAATATATAATTATTGTGTAAACATTTAGTTCAGAATAAGTTGTGTATTATTCGTATAATAAACTTTAAAACACAAACAAATATAATGTATATAAAAAATTATTTACAAATTGTTATCAAATTAATTTGTTTGACAAACATTTTATGTGATAATGTTGTTACAGTAAATACAACACACGGTTTGATTAATGGTTTTACTGAATCATATAACGACAAGCGGTTACACGTGTTCCTCGGTATACCCTATGCTAAGCCACCGGTTAAAAGATTGAGGTTTTTAAAACCTCGACCAATGATACCGTGGACAAAGGCCAGGGATGCAATCAAATGGCCAAACAATTGCTATCAAACTGAATTGCTATCAAATAATAGTAATAAAAATAATAATTTTAGCGAAGATTGTCTTTATCTAAACATATGGACACCAAATACCAGTGCTGTAAATGCAGATGATTTAAAGTCTGTTATCATTTATATTCACGGGGGAGCTCTATATGTTGGTTCTTCTAGTATTGATATACACGATGGCAAAGTATTAGCAGCACTGGGAGATATTGTTGTTATTACACTAAACTATAGGTTTACTATATTTTTTTACTAATAAAATAAATTTATTAAAATTATTTTTTGTTTACTAATTTATATAAAAAAAGATTAGATGCCTTTGGCTTTTTATATGCCGATTCATGGGAAGCACCGGGCAATATGGGACTCTGGGATCAAGCTATGGCCATGGAATGGATTTACAATAATATTAAATATTTTGGTGGCGATTCTGATCGTATAACGCTTATGGGTCACAATGCTGGTGGTTGGTCGGTCAGCTTACACATGTTATCACCAGTTAGTCACCATCTCTTTCGAAATGCTATACTTATGTCGGGTGCAGTATATAACCATCCTATTGAAAGAGATGCGGAAAGCATTAAACAGTTTTGGTTGAATGCCGCCATTGAAGAAGGCTGTGTCGATGATCAGGATTATGTATATTTGGATTTTACACCAAAAATTTTAAAATGCTTGCGTCAACTCACTCCCCAAAAAGTACTTGAGCTGACCCAACACCACGGACTATTGACACCGAAATTGGGTTGGCATAGACTTGTGGTCATTGACGGCAAGTTTTTGCCGAACAAACCGATCAATTTGTTGAAAAACAATCGCTATAATAGTACACATAATGTGTTGATTGGGACTGTCGAGGACGAGGGCAGCCTTTTGCTGAACTCTATGATCGATCCCAATCTGTATGACTTAAAAAAGCCTCGAAATCTGACAGTAGAGGAAGCAATAGACGAGTTGGCGCACAAATCGTCGTTTTTCTACTCCAACTATCAGGTCAATGGTCTGGATGTCGCACAGGTATACTTTCATGGATTATCCGATCAAACGTCGTCACATGAGATCATATCGAGAATCGGTATGGCTTTCGGCGATTTTTATATTGTCTGTCCAACCATAAGATTTGCCGAAATGTTTTTATTGGCAAATGATAATTACGTAAATGTTTATCAATATTACTTCACGGCTTACAATGATAGCGGCTTTTGTCCCAATTGGATGAAAGCGTGTCATTCGTTAGATTTGATTAACATTTTTGGTGTACCACTGGTAACACCATCGACACAAAGATTTAAGCAAATATCTCAATCTATGATTCATATGGTATCGCATTTTGCTAAATTAGGGTTAGTTTTTAACAATATATATATAATTTTATTTTATATAAACTATTTCATATATAATAATAATTTTATGAATTATTGCTRAAGTCTTTTTCATATTTATTAAGATATCCAAACACTAATGCTGGTGATCTGACAGCGTTTTATAAGTTGAACAATAAAATAGTCAAACCATACTACCAGTTCAGAGATCAACCGCATCCTATCAGTGACTTTGGTCTGGGAGTCAAAACGTTTGAATGTGAATATCTTTGGAATGACTACTTAGATGCTGAATGACTATCCTATTGAATGACTATTCAAATGATATTCAAAAGTTAATGAATGACTATTTTTATTGGAAATTTATAAATGTTACAAATATTACATCTATTAGTTTTCTATTGTATAATATTATATAATGTACAATATGTAGTGCATTTGAAAAACACTAATTTTATAGCTTAAAAATAAATATTCACAAATAATTAATTAAAATTGTCTAATTATTTTTGATATAATTTATTAATATATTATCAAAATTATTATATATTTTATCATTATAGCTTTTTAGTTAAAATTTAATTTTTGTATTTATATAAATTAATTTTAAATTATAAAATACTTAATATTTAATTAATATTATCAAAAACTTAAAATATAATATTTACAATTAATTTATTTAAATAACTCATGTGAATGTGTTTTGCTGTTAATTCTAAACTATACTATACTTTAAATAATGCTAATCTATATATTATGAACTTCTATAAAAACAATAAATTATTTTATTTATAACTAAAGATAAATATTTGAAGTGGAAAGTTATACGAGGGTCACTGTTATTGGGGATAGGGAGGCATTAAAGACAAACATAAAGTTTTTAGATAAAACATCTATAATAGAAATATTTAATTAACATTATATGTATTTTAATAGTATAATACAATTTTATTATAAGAGAAATAATTTGATTAATTTGTCTATTTTTAACAGGATTTTAAAAGGATTAGACATACAGTGTATGAATAGGCAGAGAATAGATATGCAAATTACAATAAGTCTGTTTGAATTAGACAATTGGCATATTTTTATACAGTATATATTGTAAGCTTAATTTTTTATAATTATTTAAACATAATTGCAAATTATTTTCTAATGTGTGATATAAAATTATTACATTGTTTTTAAAAATAGCAATGGCGCTGAAAAATAAAAACAACTGTCCCCATTGTGCTCAGGCTAATTGATATGTAAATATATTCTAAAATATATAAAACTATATATTATATTAGTATTGATAATACTGTAAACTTAAAAATTTATAATAATGCTAACAATATTGATAAATAAAATCTTATGTGCGGATCTTTACTAAATAATCTTAATAATTAATGATATTTAAACTTTAAATAATTGAATAATATTTATATTACAGCATATGACACAACCAATTAGTATTAAACATCTTATTTTATAAAATAATTGAGTCAATCGATGACCAATGGATAACCTATTTGTTTGGACATATCTTGAATCCAATCCAAAAACATGGGAACATTTGTATATATTCCTGTTTACATACAAATTATAAATGAATTTATCAAACATGATATTAATATTATAGTATTAATAACAAATGCTAACTATAAATACCGGGTAGTTCTGGTTGAGCGCAGTTAATACCCCAACTGACAACACCGGCCACAAACCAATTGTGGTGTTCATTGCGACAAAGGAGTGGACCCCCACTGTCCCCCTGACACGCGTCCTTTCGGCCCGACTCATAGCCGGCGCACAGCATTGTCTGTGGTATATAGACATCCTGTCGGGCGTACCATTCAGCGCAACGATTGTGGTCAACAATCGGTACTTCAACCTCATGGATGGCAGACAAATAGTCGGCGTCGTCATCGTGAATGGTTTTACCCCAACCAATGACTGTGCAACGGGTGCCTAATATAGATATATAACAAAAAAAATCAATGATTTTCTTAAAACAAACAATAGTTTAGTTTAATACCAGTAGGTATGCGTGTTGTAGGACTGGGAGGCAAACAGATAGGCCTTAAAAACTCATCAAAATCAACAGAACTATCCAACAAAATGAGTGCGATATCACTGGAGTACATATTAGCACTGGGATTAAACCCCGGATGCTTTATTAGACTCAATACTTTGCGCTTTCGCACAGAAAATGGCGACGCCGTACGTCGGGTGATACCTAAATTGACAGTCCATCCGCTGACATCAGTTTGACTAAATGTAATAATTGTTTAATATTTAAAAACAATTTAAACAATTTTTATTATTATTGAAACTATTATTTAAATAATATTACTTTCCAATACAGTGAGCGGCAGTTAATACCCATCTTTCCGATATGAGAACACCACCACAAAAGAAAACTTCTTCGGGTCCGCCGTGAAGGGCCACAAGCCATGGCCACTGACCCGGATGTGATTCAGTTCCACCAACTATACGACGATGACGTTTACGACGTTTTAGGTTTGTATACGACTTTCCACACTCTAATTGGTTTTCATTGATGATATAAAAAACAATTTATATTATATTTTTTAATGTTTGACTTAAGAAAACATTGTGTTTATACCGAAATGATTGCACTTTAAGTGAACCGTCATATTCTTGCCATTCCTACAGCCTTTGTTACGCGATTTATCAAACAATACCTTCATCTGTGTCTGTCTATTAATAGCCGTTCCGATCCTATTATACAACTCCATCGACTGAGTAGTCGTCTCATCTCTAATTCGGGTCTCATTTAAGCTCTGATAGCCTAACAGTCTACAAGCCGTTTCACTTTGATAACTGGTATTCCAGTGCTCTCCGCACACAGCCATCCATATGTTGGTCTCGACATTCCAGGCCTCGAGTCTACCCTCACCCGTCTCTTTCATTGATTTATTTAATCTTACTAAAAGAAAATTGAAATATATGTTAACTGTTTAAAAAAAATTCAAACAAAATATTCTATAATTATTATTAACAAATGTGTTATTTTACAGCACTGTCTCTCATCCCTGCCATCCGGACAGTCCTTAATTCCGTCACATATTTCTCCCTTTGATATGCAAACCTTATTTCCGCAATGAAACTGTTTGTCTGTACAGTTATTGCAGTCATTTTCATCGGAAAAGTCTCGACAATCGGCAAATCCATCGCATCTCCATTGAGATGGTATACAACGCGATGAATCGCATCGGAAACCATTGCCATCGCAATCTATACCAATGTTTTATTGATTTTAATAACATAATTATGGGTTATAAACCATATCGGTATATATATATATATATATCATATGAGGTATTGGTATATAAAATTAAGGTATTATAAGATATAACTAACTCGTCATATATTGCATACAAAGCAATACATCAAATATCTATGAGTACCATATAATTCAATTCAATTCAAAGCATCGGTAATTAAATAAATACATTGCTATCACTAATATGATACTATACTTAAGTGAAGCACTAAAACAGTTTCGCTAATTCAATGTTAAGCTGAGCTTAATATCACTCACTGAACTCGCCTTTGCCATCAAATATTATATATTAATATTATGCTTATTTCAAATTCATGTATTGAATTATGATATACTGATATCAAATACTATTTACGGTATAGTAAATAATATCATACTATACATAGCTATACATATACAGTATATTATAAAGTATAGCATAGTGTTATGTAAGAATTATAAAGAATAAAATCATTTTTAGTTACATATCTCAATAACACAATTTTTAATATATCGTTAGATAAACTTGTCATGTTTGATATATTTAAATATTTATTTTTTAACTATATAAATGTGCTAACATACAATATATTTTATAAATTAAATAAATTGTTTTAATTAAAATATGTAAATTTATTGATTTTCTACATTTTAATAGCAATACAATTTATCAGATAAATTATGTATACTAATTACTACTATATAGAGGTATTTAAAAATTAAAAGTATGCAACACAATTATTATTATTATCATTTATTTTTATATTTTTATATACAGACTTTTGTTATAATTACTATTATTGTAATAATTATATTAAAATACTGCAACTCCATATAATAGTACTCAAAATAATAAATTGTTAGATTTTGTTATTTCATAATTTGCATATAAATTTTTATATTTAATTATATATTTCATAATATTGAAAGCATGAGAGAACATACCAGTTTAATATATTTTTTTAATATTTTGTCATTTTTTTAAAATAAAAAAATATATTTATTATAATCAGTAAAGTAAATGCAAATCAATAAAATTGTATGTATACTATACTACATAAACATTATATTATTAGTAAAAAATATTAATGAGAAATACAAAAATCGAAACATAAATATTTTATAAACAATATAATGATACAAATAACATATTTAATTAATTAATAATATTATAACTAAAATACTTAAAATTATTTTCCTAATATTATAAGTCGTTGTCTAAAAAATAGAAAATTAAGTGCATATAAAATGCTTGAAATATTATTTTTCTTTTAAAATATCTACTAATATTTATTTAATTTATTTAAATAAATCATATATTTAAATATTATATAATAAAATCACATTATAATAAAACGTAAGTGTTCACTTAAATTAATGTCTTTATACTATTTAATATAGTTTTTTAAAATTAAAAACAAATAAAAACATAAACTTAACTAAAAAATAAAAACAATTTTTATCTAATACAGTAAACTAATCGTATTATAGAAAATCCCAAAATATAGTTAAGTAAATATGTCTACATTTTAATGCAATTATCATAAAAATATAATATTTTTTTAGTTTTTAATAAAAAATTATTCAAACATGATATAATTGAATTAAAACGTTAAATTTTTGCTATTTCTTTATATGTTATTATTCAATTATTATTATTATTATATATATATATAATTTATATATTTAATACACTTTTATCATTAACACGTTTAAATAGTGAATGACATTGTATAAAACATCATTATAAAAAAATAGAAAAACTATTATATTAATTGTTAATGGATAAATGATAAAATTAATTTATTTATCGGTTAAGTTTAAATAGTATATAAATTAAATATTGATATATATTTTTATATCGTGCTTAATATAATAATACAATGTTATGATATTTCATATGTAGTGTACATTAGTTATTGTGAACAAAATGTATAACACACACAAATAATATTAATAATATTAATAATAATCTACTATTGAATCATTAAGTAAGTAATCAATAATAGTTTAATACTATTTCTCAAATTAAAGACAATATTGATAAACTCACTAAAACAGAGTACATATTTAATAAATTTCTGTTTTTCTTTAAAATTTTAAAATTTTGATTTTAGATTTGAATATTTAATATAAATAATAAAATTGTAATAATGTAAACATGTATAATGTTTAAAAATGTTATAAATGATTACTAATTTTACTTTTTTTTATTTCTTGATTACATAGTATTTTTAAAAAAAATAGTTTATTATTATTATTGTCTTTTAATACTAAATTTTATTTAATAAAATGTTTCTGGAATTGTATTTTCAAACTTCTAAGTTTTACTTTTTTTAATTTTACTATTTTTTCTCATTTTAACTAAAATTTACTATTTTAACTAATTATGTATATAACAAATGCTATAACAATTAAAAATTTGATTAGTATTTTAATGCCTTATAAATACAACATATACTGCAGTAACTATTTATACTAATTTACATACTGTACAGTAAATTTGAATACTAGTTTATAATAAAAAGTTAGTTATAAAATTAAGTTTATAAACTAAAAGGAATTAATTGTTTTTTAATTTTTATATTTTTAAGCATTAGATATCAAATATTTATATTTTAAGATGTAATTTAATTATTTTGCTAAACATTTAAATAAAATATTGTAATTGTTTATAACAATAACTACAGTATAAACTATAATGTAATAAATTATATACTGTATTTTAGTTTCAAATTATTATTTTTTGTCTGCATTATCACTAAATTTTTATTATTCAATATTTAAGAAACTGTAAAATCTCAGTTATAATAATTTAATTAAAATTAATAAGGATATAATTTAGCAAAAATAAATCTAATAGAAAATATCAAACAATTAGTTAAACTTTTATAGTAAATATCCTTAATAAATGTCTATTCAATTATATTAGCATTTATTTATTTAAAGTTTCTATGAATGTTTATTATTATTAGTAGTAGTAGTATTAAACTACTTAACACGTGTTATTATAACCACAATTAATTTTATTTTTAAAATTTATGGTTGTATAAGTTAAATGTTTATTATAAAATTAATAATAAAATTTTTACATACTCATGTACAGTACAATTAGAGTTGGCAATAAAAAGAGAAATATCTAAAATAATAGAGAAAGTTTCTAAAAGAAATTTCTGTCTATGGGATCCCTATATTACTTTCATTTTTTATATTAATATTTGTTATACTGAAATAATACATTATAATTATAAATAATAACTAAAGATAAGTATTATTTTAATTAATATTCAAAGTAATAAATTAATCCATTTATGATAATTACAATTAACTAAAAATAACATTGTAATTGTAAATAAAATTTTACAAAAATTATAAGTATAATTAGATTATTATATTAATTATATATATATAGAGATCTCATTTGTATASTAATGTAGAGTATAATTAATACAGTATTACAATAGTTATAGATATGGGAATCCCATAGTATAATAATAAAGAAAGTTTTCTATAGAAATTTATTTCTGAGAAATATTCTCAGACAAATCTATTAGAAATTTCTATTTATATATCTCTAAGTACAATACAATATTTTTTGTATAAAACATTAAGAAAATTTTAACAAGAACAATTTTTAAAATAATTTGCTAATATAACATAGTTTAAAACACCAGAACTCAAATTATATTAATAAATAATTCATTGAGTATTAAATAACTTTATTTTTACACTAAATATTATGTATAATAAATTTTTATATTAATAAAAATAAATTTATTTTTTAAATTTGTATTTACAACACTAGCAAAATTAAAAAATAAATTTCTATATCATACTAATGTTAAATTTATTGTACAGTATATAGTATATACTGTACWAATATACTSTATTATTCCCACACATTATTAATGTTATTAAATTATATTATAAATATATTTATAAATGTAATTATAGTTCTCATACTGTCATTTTATTGTTATAATTATTTTTATTAAAATAAATCAAACAATATTAACCTTGAATCGCATACTACAGAAAAATTTGAATAATTTTTTTATATTACATAATCTTTAAAAAATAAATTACATAAAAATAACAATGTTTATTTTTAAAATAAACAGTTAAATAATATATATAGATAAATAAAAAATGTTTAATTTATGCAGATTATAATTTATAATATAAATAAATAATATTTGATAAATTTTAACTATTTTAACTATTTTAAAAATTGTATTGTTAAATTTGTATTATTATTCAATACTGTACTATGCAGTGACTAATGTGTGCAATATCTATATTATACAAACAATTAAGTGTTTTGGATTTATTTGCAAAATTACCTAATTTTTTCAATAATAAATATAATAAAAAAAATAATTTATATATACTGTAGATATAACATAAATTTTATGTAAATAATTCTTAATCCATTTCATACAATAATTGTTATATTWTTATTATTTATTCTCTGATTAATTACTATAATTATAATATAATAACAATACAATAAAAATATTTATTATTTTTTAAATAATTAAATCAATTAAAAATTTTATTAAACTAATATCATTTAAATAATATTGATCTATCTAATAAATTTAAATTATCAAATCATTAAAAATTATAGTTTCAGAGATATAGCACATCCTTGTCTCAAATATATTTACAAAACAAGTTTATCATTAGAATTGACCAAAAAAATCATTAGTTAAAAATGTTTAATTTTAGATTATCTACTTATTTCTACTTATTTATAGAAAAAACCACTTACAGGTATTTTGTTAATAATTTTATTTTGCCTTTAATTTCATTTATCTATTTATTAATTATTTTTGTAATTTTTAAATACACAAAGAAAAATTTAATAATAATATCTTATATATAATAATTATAATAATAATAATAATATAAATAATATATAATTTATATACTATGTGTTTAATTATATCAGATAAATCTATAAGATATAAAATTGCATTTCTCATTTTATTTGTCAGTTTTAATCGATGAACAGATAATTTATTGGAGTAGTTATAGTAATTAAAGTGTATTATTATTATTATGGATCAAAAAAGCGCTGTTTCAACACATTAGTAGTTAAAACAAATAATTGTGTTGAACATTGAATTTTATTATATTACACAAACACATACACTACATACCATTTTGAGCGTTATATTGATTTAAATAAAAATACAAGTAATAATCAATTCAAAGACTTAATTATGCAAATCATGTCTCAATTAATAAAACAGAAAAATATAACAATTTTCTCAAACTGATAATAAGTATAAAAAATATATAATTATCTTTAACTGAACGCTAACTTGAATTATTATTTTGATTTTATATTTAGTTATTTTTATAACATTCAATCATATAACTTAGCACACAAACTTATTACAATTATAATACAATTGAATTCAAATAAAATAAATTTATATACATTTAGCTATTAAATAAAACATCAAACTCTATATATCATAGACTATGTTGTATTGATGCAAATACAACAACAACAACAACAACATCGATATCGCTATCAATTTCAACAACAATAATATATACTACATAAGATAACATATATCTTGTTTTATAAAAAGTAAAGTTAATTACCTATCTTTTACTTATMAAACAACAACATTGAGGCACACACACACACACACATAGTATGAAAAAATATTTTTTTTATTGTATACAGAATATTCTGTTAATACATAATGTCAAATATAAACAATAATAAAAACTTGTTTCTAATATTAGTTGACAAATATAATATTGTGTATAACACAACAATACACATACAAATAATAATATAAAATGTAAAAAACACAAACACACACACAATATATACTGTACACACAATTCTATAAATTATGTATTGAATGCTATACCATAAATAAATAAATAATTTWAAAAAATTTTATAATAAATAATTTTTTCTTTCTTTTATTCTTTCGCTTTCATGACTACAGTATTACTACCGAAACAACAAAAAATGTTTATAGAATTAAATTGAATTGAAGTTAGATTCAAAAAATAAATAAATAATATATATATATATATATACCAATATATAAAAATTCAAAAACATTGAACATTACTATAGGAAAACTGGGGAAAAATTGTTTTGTTTTCTCTAGACTTACAATGAGCTCCAGTAGTAAGCAATCGATTTTCTTGATAACCAACACATATGTCAGGATCAGGACTATCAGGCAATAGTTCACAGTTAAGCTCCTGAGGCCATTGCAGGGTAAACACAGCCAGAAAAAAGTTGCACCGAAGCTGAGTCTCTGTTTTATATAATATTTGAATGTTTTAAATGAGGCATTCATTGAGTCACAAATTATAATAACAAAAATATTTAGTTATAGTAATAAACCAACAAAAATATATAAAGTGATTTTCAACATTCAAGATAAATAAATTTATAAACATATTAATCGATTCATATTCTACATGTTTGTCTGTTATGTGTAATTATTATTTAATTATTAATATCTTTATGTTATTAAATAATTTAGACATTTCTATTATTAATTACTTTTTTGAAAAATTCTTAATTAAAATATATACTACATTTACAAATAAATTTCATAATTTTCTTAAAAATCTTAAATCAATTACTTTAATTTTTGTAATAACAATTAAAATTTTTGGAAATATTTTGTTTAATAAAATACATATATAAATATTGCCATTAAAAAGCTAATTTTAATTTTTACAGTAAAAGACAGGGCTATTGTTAGCTCATCCTAATTGGCATTTATTAGTGAGTTAGACATATGGCTCACGAAAACTASTAGTGCATTGTAAGCGCAGTCCAACTGTTATACTGTTAAAGTGAATGTCATATTATTGTCAAAAGCAAAATCTTTTTGTGCTAACAATTTGGAAAATATATAATTCCCTCATCTGTTATATTGTACTATAAATTATATATTAGTATCTGTCATACCATTATTGACCAAATAAAATACCATAGTTTGGTATACAATAGCAAAATATCCGCACAAATACTAATAATAGCAATAATAATAATAATAATGAGTGGATAACAAACCTCTACATAATGTTTTACAGGGAGGAACTGGATATCCACTTGAGTTGCATTTGGGAGCAAATTGTGAGCACAAGAATAATGGTAACAATGCATAACATTTGACACTTATGATAGGCTCGTAGTCAATCAATTGTTGACTTATCTCCGATTGATCGGTTTGGCCTAATTTGTTGGGTAGTGTCATATAGGCGTAAGGTATCCGATATTTTTGACAGACCGTCACTTTCAGTGGAATACATTTTCCTAAATAAAATAAATATAATTTCGATAAATTGTAATGTTTTATAATTAATAATAATAAACATAAGATAATGTGAAATAGTAACACGTTTTCATTTTTTATTCTCAATTTACTTAATAYAATAATAACTATAAATAAAATCTATTTATAAATACATAAAGATTTTTAGTAAAAATATCTAAATAATTAAGTGATAAAAGTTTATTTTTATTGTTATGATATAACGCACATAATACTCATTTATTGAAAAAAATTTCAATACTGTACTTGTTTTGGATATAATTAAATTAGTTTTTATATGTCTATCTTAACATTTGAAAATATTATAATAATTGGCCAGAATATTCTTTAGCACACATACTATTCATTTATTTATCTCTCTCGCTCTCTCTCTCTCTCTCTCTCTCTCTCTCTCTCTCTCTCTCTCTCTCTCTCTCTTCTCTCTGAATATAGCTATATATGTATTTACATATACTTTTTATTAAAATAATTCATGTGAATAAAATGTAAATTTTTATGTTAATTTACTGATTACAAAATATATACACTAATTTATTTATACATCGCTTTTCATATTTTTAAATAAAACACAAAGTGTCTCATTAATTTTATCATAAATATAATTCAATTTAATAATTTTCATTGGATTAATAGGGAAACAACAACTGAAACAACTGATCGTAAATGTGTACTAATCATCATAAGCTAGAATTGCCATTCATTTGTATGTATGTCTGAGTTGTAACCATTAACTATAACCCGTTCCCCACATGACATTCAATTTCTTTCTCCTATTTGTTTTCACTATAATATCCTAAATATATAACATTATCTGTACTTTGATTAGTTCAGCCCTTATTGTGTTAAATAATATCTACTTATATACTATATATAGATATAAATAATTTTTCTCGCTTTCAGTATTTTTCTCATTTTTTATACAATATATATTTCTATGAACACAAAAATCTTTGGCTATAATTGTTGGCATTTTTATGCCAATAATTCATTTGACACACAAATAAATCCCAAATGAATTTTCAAAATACACAAACATTTTTCATTGGTTTTGCATTTGTGTTATTTGTGAAACAATGCTATTATTTTTCTCATTTTACATTACACTATACTACTACTACTACTACTACTACTACTACTACTACTACTACTACTACTACTACTACTACTACTACTACTACTACACCTCTATCTTATGACATAATAAAACATATTGATAAATACTGTTAGTATGAAATAAATTTATATAATATTATAAATGATTAAATGTGATATCTAAAATAATAACAAATAAATTATACTATTAATAAACTATTTATATTATATAAAGTCAACATAAAGTACTGTATCATCTAATATAAATAATTAATTATTATATTAAATAATTCAAAATAATATTTCAAACTATCAAAATAATATATCAAGTTTACTGCATTAAAATAATAAATTAAATATGAATTTTCACTTTAACATTTGTCAATTTTAACTATATTTTACTCAAACAAAGAAATAAATTTAATGTCAAATTTTAATGTCTATTCAAATATATATGATATATAAATATTTGTTAATAAATTATAAATACTGTAAATTATTATGGTATCCATTAAAGTTAATAGGTTTTCACAGACTAAATATAATTAGATTAAGTAATTTACTTTTATTTCATTTAAGAATCTTTTTATTGGTTTTTATTATATAATACAATATATAAATATAAATATAAATAGTGTTAATTTTTGGCAATTTAATTTTCGATTGCGGAAATTGTGTTTAATTGTAATATTATTATTAAATATACTATAAAAACATTTAATTAAAAAAGTTCTCAAAATATTATAATAATAATTTTATCTAATTTAAACTTTTATAATTTATTCAACAATAAAAATAAATAAAAACAAGTTATTTGATTCAATTGAATCAACAATTTTGTTGTTAGTAAACTTAAATTTTCTAAATAATTTTTTTAATGTAAATCAAATTACGATTTTTTGCAATTATATTAAGAGAGTCTTAAACAGCGGCGGCGATGCTATTAATTACAATTATCCGATAACAATATATTGGATTTAAAAGTGAGCAATGGTAAAGTTATAGATAATTTTGAACTAAATAAAATTGTTATTGGTCATTTTTTAATTTGCAGTATGATTGGCCAGATAATTACAGTCGACTATAAATTATCTGACCAATCATACAATTAATTAAAAAATGATCAATTACAATTTTAGTAAGTTTAAAATAATTTAAAAATTTGCTATTGGTCACTTTAAAATCCAATATATTGCTAAACATATAATTGTAAAATTAGCAATCATATCATTAGTAACAACACTAAATATATCATGTAAAACATCCTATACAGTATATATATATATATATATAATCTGCAAATTTTAAAATATACATTATTTCAAAACAAAATAGCAAAAGCAAAAAAATATATATAAATAAAGTTATGAGTAAAAGGTATTAAAATTGTCATTATTTTGACAAATGAATTGAACAAAACCTGACACAACATATACTTTCCTAAGAACAACGCCTTTACTGGGAATTGAAACCACAATTATTAGGAAATTGGTTTTTGGTTTAATTAAGACAAGGGTTTATGTGCTGTGTATTAGTGATGATAACATATGTGTATTGGGCATAATCATCAAAATTTGCACATATGTTTTGCCAACACTACAATATAAACTTTTATATATATATATATATATCAGAAAGATTTCAAAACAATTATACTTAATCTTTAAGATCAGTAATTATTAGAGCATATGGACATAGGTATTACAAAATATTGTGCAGTATATATACACAGTATAGATCAGTACATAATAACTACAAAAAATAACTACTAAAATACAAACAATTGTGTTTAAATAAATATTTGATTTTCCTAGAAATGGCCTCAAGGGTATCGGTATTAGTCTAATGTTTTGGGTATTATTTAACCAACAATACAATACACACACAAATTGATGGCAAACATCGTATACATTATAATCCCATACAACACACAAACAGGAGTTAATCAAATGTATATTCTATTAGATATTATTTTGTTAGAAAAAGTTAAATTAAATTTTACATATTATTACCTAAATTATGTTTAGTCATAACTTTTTGACATTTCTATTTTTAGACTAATAATTATTCAATTTATTGAACAAAAGTTATTTGAAAAATACAGTTATTATACTAAATTATAAAGTATATTACATATAGCAAAATTAATAGTATCGCAATTAATGATTTATTTATATACTTTCAAATAAATAATAGTAATTAAAAATCAAATAATTAAAATAACTAAAATAATTTGCAATTTACATTGTAGTGCATAATATTATACACTTTGTATAATTTTGATATTTTCAAAACTAAAAATAATTATTATTATTGTTAGATATAAAGTCTAACGTTTTTAATATATAATCTTAATTTTTATTAATTAATTAATTTAATTGGTATAGAAAGTTGTTTAGATTTATATTATCAATAAAAATAATAATAATAAAATTAAATTAGTTATTGAAAAAATGATTCAATTTATATTCTTTAGTAATTTTCAGTAAAAGTTATTTACACAGAGTTTTGGCCAATAATTTTAAGTAAATACTTAATTTAATGTTTGTGTTTTAAATGTCTCGTTTAAAACGTGAATCCAAACAAATAGCTAATCGATAAATGTTTTTATATGTTTTGAAGGTTGTTATCATTAATGTTGAGATTGTGTTAGTGAATTAGGGGAGAGAAAGAGAGGGATCAATCAAATTAGAAATAATCATAAATTTTGTACATAAATATAATGTTAAACTTAATCTATAAATATTTGTCAAACGATAATTGTTGTTTTTCACCCTATAGTTTACTGTACCTTATAATAGTAAATTTATATAATTGATATATAAATTACCGCAAGCAATAAATACTTATTTTTACCAAATATATAGTCAACCAATAGTTTCAAACAATATATAATTCAATTTGAGTGACACTAACACAAGTTCATGTATACTACTATTACTACTGTACAGTATATACAGTACATTATACTATAGATATATATAAATTATATAATACAGTATATTTTGTGAGACATTTCATATATGAAAATCTATACCAAATTGTCAAGTATTATATATCATGAATTGTCAATAATAGTCTATATGTACAAATAAAACGCAGTATTTTATAATTAAATAAAATGCTAAACCAAAAAAATTGTTGACCAATAATGCTGTAAAAATAAACTTAAAACAAATAATATTTTCGTTTTTTTTGTAAAAATTGATAAATACAAAYATTTTAAGAATTTATTATATCATCGATATGTTTATTGATAATTCATATAATAAACTACAACTACAACTAYRTATATATACGGTATATATACTTAAAACAGATTTGCCATTTAGAGACTACTGTTAAGAACACTCATTACAATTCCGTGAATCTGTCTATCGTTGTGTTTGTAAGCATTTAGTCAATATATTCATTCAATTTTCAGTATTACAAACAATGATCAGTACCTCAATTCGTTGCCATCGACAGTGCGCTAACACATAGAGAATAGGTTTATAACTACTTTGATGTAAACTCTCGACTCGTTTGTGTGATATTTGCCATATTATAAGGTCTTTCTTAGAGATCACGTYTGCAATAATTCACAAAATGCTTGACTCAACTCATCTCAAAAACACCGTCTGAATTGAGTTTAGATGAGCTCAAGATATAGAAATAGTARTAATATTTGTAGTGATAGTTGTATGGAGTAGTTATAGATAAACTATATTTTCAAATCTTCTTTTAGTTAATATTTCTTATCTGCCCTAAAGTCAAATGATATAACCCTTATATACAATATATATAACATTTATATATGATATACACAGAAAAAATATTTTATTTTCTCTCAAAATGTTTTCTACTAAAAAATCGATTAAATTCATAGCATTCATAAAAATACATGTGTTTTTAGTATGTAATAACAGTTTATTTTATATATAAGATATTTCTAATGTTACCTTTTTGATACATAAGCAATTGAGTCTGTGTATGTGTGTGTATGTGTGTGTATGTGTGTGTATGTGTGTGTATGTGTGTGTATGTGTGTGTATGTGTGTGTATGTGTGTGTATGTGTGTGTATGTGTGTGTATGTGTGTGTATGTGTGTGTGTGTGTGTGTGTGTGTGTGTGTGTGTGTGTGTGTGTGTGTGTGTGTGTGTGTGTGTGTGTGTTTTATTCAATAGTTCATTCAATATATCAATATAATACATGCCTAAAAAATAAATACAATTTTGATTTATATCTAATTTTTGTTTCTCACAAATAACTTCTAATAATAAATATCAATATATTTCTATATTTAATGTTAAGCTATATAAATGTTAGTTATAAAAGTGTTTAATGCATAAATATAAAAACAATTATTGTATTGTGCAAAACATAATATGAATATATAATAATAAATACATTATTTTTAAGACTACTATTATTAGTATTTCACTTGTAATACACTTGAAAATAGACTTTTAGATAATAAATACTTCACTCAATTTTTGACAAATAACTACTAACAATACTGCTTAGTACTACCAGTGCGTCACTATTAGTTGTCATCAAATATAATATTATACAACATTTGTATTTTAAATATATAATAATAAAAATAAATTCTGTATTATTTTTGCATTCAGTATATCAATATCTTTCAATTTTTACAGTATTATAATATAAATACGTGTAATATATTATTTAATAACAAATTGAAAACAAAATTATGTTATACTAAATTAAAAAGTTTTATGTAAATTAGTATTAAAATTAATAAAATATTTTCAAAAAATGCATAATAAGAAAAAGTGTTGAAAAAGAAGTCAAAAAATATTGTTAATATAAATTATTGCACTAATTTAATAATTATATATAACAAATGTATTATTGTTTTACATACTAATTAATTTTTAATTTCAATAATATTCAATATTCAAAAATTATTTGTTTATAAATGCACTTTTAAGTGAAAATTAATTACTTAATATTTATTTTTACTAGTTTATGCATTAGAAAATTGTTTAATTTAAAAATATTATTGAAAATTGTATGAAATGTACAATAAGCAGTAAATTATTATCTATAATAAAAATATTTTATTTTATTTATACATGCAATCAAGAATGCATATTACCATATATATATATATATATTATTTATTTGATTATTTAATTATATTTTTTATAGTAAAATTGTAGTCGAAAAATAATATTAAATCATTATAAAATATTTTCTTAGTTAAATAAAAACTTTATTAAATTTAATATACAATATTTTATATTTATTAATTTCAATAGGAATTTTGCAAATTTATTTTTATGCATACTTTAAATAATAGAAACAATAAAAATATTTCAATTATAATATTTTAGTTATATATTCCAATTGCTACTCAATATATATATACTAATATTCTAAATATCAGAAATAAAGTAATTATTTTTATTTGAAATTTTACTGCAAAATTTATAAAATATTTTATATTCATATATTTTAAATTAACAAGACAAAAAATTATAAATGTATTGCAAATTTATATAATTCTAAAAAAAATATTTAGTACTAAAATTATAGTATATATTTCTAAATGTACTGTATTTACCCGTATATACTTAKAAAAAATATTATAAAAATACAAAAAATATYGTATAAAAGATGTATATAATTATTTTTTCTATAAATAAACTAATAATTTTTGTTATATCAAAGCAACATAATTGCTTATCTTTATAAATAACATACAATGATGTGATGAAACAAATTAAGTGCTCCGGAAAAATTGATTGAAATCTCTTTTATATAACATCGACATAAATATTATATAATTTTTATGTTTTGTAAAAATGCATACGATTGAGTGAGTGAGTGAGTGAGTGAGTGAGTGAGTGAGAGAGAGAGAGAGAGAAACTATAATTCAAAAAATCATACATTTTATATTTATGAACTGACACATAAACAATAATATTATATTTACAAAGATTCAATATTTGTCATCACTTATCAAGATAATACATTGTATTAACTAATCAATCGTTTTTTCATTTCACACACACAGTGCTATACACTATATTAAAATAATGACAACAAATAAATAATATACAAACTGTTTGTATAGAGTCAACTGTYACCAAACACACACACACACACACACACACACACACACACACACACACACAYACAGAATATTCTTATTCATGAACATGAATGTGAAACCATTAATATTCTTAACCTTATTCACAACCAATATTTTTTAAAGTRTTTTTTAACTTTATGTGCAGTGAATTGTATGTTATGATAAACAATTAATTTATTACACATATGTATTAAAACATGAAAAAATTATATTTGCTTTAATGATCGGTGAAGATTAAGTTAGTGACAGTTTACTAAAGAAAAGATATGGTTTGTCTGATTACTGTTATCTAACTTTACTTTATTTTGCGTTAATCATAATTTCTATTTAATTATACTGTATATACTGTTTATCATTGATTATCTCATTTATTTGTCAAGAATCACAACAATTGAGTTCATAAAAATTATTTTTCTCTACTTTAATATTAATATTATAATTATTTTTTAGTTTAATTCAGCATTTAAATAATTTAATTATAAATAAATAAATATATGTATAAGCAAATTAAAAAATAATAACTGCATAATTTAAAGTTTAAAAAATCAAAAAAGTTTATACTCTACAAAAATTTTTATGTACCGTAATATCATAATATATATAATAAAGTACAGTATTATACATTCAATATACGCTACAGAATGCAGTCAATTTGATTTGTTATTTACAAGACTACAGTATTACAAACATACCGTCAAACACATACACATATATATACCGTAAAGATGTTAAAACTATAATGAAATAATTAATATGATTATTAACAACAAAAAAACGATACCTTTTTGCTGTCCATCGAGTGTTTGGTCAATAATAACAGCTTTGGTTATTGGCTTCCAATACAAGAATATAATAATAGCGATCAATATTAATATAAATAGCGATAAAAATGTTGTTATAAAATATATACAGCAAACCAAACGCGACTTAATCCGCAAATGTGATGAAAATTGCATCAAATATGATGACTGAGTCTGTTGTTGAGGTTGTGATTGTTGACCACCGATGCTCTGCTGTTTCAATAATAAAGCCGCCGCTCTGGCTGTTGGCTGCAGAGGCGATGACAACTGGTTGGCCTGAGTTTCCGATTTGGGAGACGCGGCCGATTGATCTCTGGCCATCTCATCACAAGTGATTGTCTTACTGTCGTTCGTCGCACCGCAATGTTTGTTGGCCACCACTGTTGTCGCCGATGACATGATATCTGGTGGCGATTCCGGTGATTCTAATATTGGCGACGATTGACCATCAGGTGCTGCTTTCACCGAACAATTATGTTTTATGTGGTCATCATCGGCATCCTTAATGGCCACCACTTCCCGATCCATTGTATCGTTAAAATTAGTGGTCACACCTGTCCATTACAGTACCCGATAATGGCATTCATTTTATTATTATTATTTGGCAAACGATTTTTGAAGTGACAATAATTTCATTGCAAACCAAAAAACATATGAATTTTTGTTCACAAAATTCTGTATTTTTTCTTTAATATAATAATTACTTGAAATAAAAAATAGTAAAAAAAAACTTTTTCAAAATAAAAACGAAATTTTTGAGGACATTAACTATGAAATCACATTTTCGAAGCAATTTCTTTACGAAATTTTTTATTGAATATATATTTTTTAAAACTTTTTTTTTATTTCACTTTACTTTTACTCTTCTATGTATCGGTTGTTTGATTGCTATATTGGATGTATCGATAGGTATGTGTCTGTGTGTGTGTTGTATACCGTAAACGATGTATTAGTGAGTACTGTGTGTTGTGTTGACTATACCTATGAAACAATTATATTGAGAGTTCTTATAGACTCTTATATACTGTATATATAGTTTGCGTTTAGAACAGTGAGAACCGTATGGATGGGAACACCGATAGATAAGTCTATTGCTAACTAAAAAGCATCGATTCCTTAACACAACTGTCTCTCCAAACATATAATATTCAATCGTGTGGTGCGATCTCAGGGAACGTCAATAGGAAAGCGCGCTTTTTTGCACCGGTATTACATTGGATTGACTGTAGAGGACACTACTGGATGCCTATAAGCTTATCGATGTAAGTGCAATGGTATGACATTATATATTACAAGACATGTTTGAGAAAATTGATAATTATATTATAAAAACTAACCAGGAACAATTTAATAATTAGATGATATTAGTATAAAATTAGTTTAATGTAAAACTAACCATGCTAAACTTTTTATTTGATACCTACTTTGTGTGGGAACAGTAGCTATTGAACAATACATGTGTCCGTAGTGTTAGATCTCTAGTGCTGTCCTCTACTAATCAAACACTGATTGATGGGACAGTTGTCGTGCAAAACAAAGTGCTTTACTATTAAAAGTCTATTCAATTGAATACTTTGGTATGTATTGAATGACTGAGCGATGGCTGCCGTCAACAATATTCTCGTTAAGCGCCGAAAAAGTGACCAAAAGTCGGCCAACAAACCACTGACACACTTACCGATTATTAAGGTAAGGACACAAAGTATTTATCTATGAAACAGACCCACAGATCCGCGACATACCAGTGCTGGCAAACTATGACATAACAAACCCAATGACCGCATGTGTCATCTCATCAAACAATGACTGACCCTTTGCTTTGCCTTTTCTCTTACCTGTCCTTTATGTTGACCAAACATAGCCGACGCCCAATAGCCAACCGATTCCCGTATTGGCCGACGACACGTCTAGCAGTCAGTTGTCGGCAATGATGACCTCATCTCCGTCAGCGTTGTCGCGCAACAATGCATTTGCTTCGTTAGTCGGTGCGGCCACCAATCAGTTTAACCAATTCAATATGCATGAGATGCGAGCCATTCCCGCCAAACGCCGCAAACAGGACCCGAAAACTGGTAAAGGATTGAGACATTTCTCGATGAAGGTATGGCCTAAATCTCTACACAAAACCAATACGTTTTATAAATCTGTTTTATTGTCGTCCGTCCGAACCGATCGATAGGTCTGCGAAAAAGTGAAGCTCAAGGGTTCGACCACTTATAATGAAGTGGCCGACGAACTCGTGGCCGAGTTCAGCAGTGACCCAATTGCTTCGCGGGCCGCCTTCCAGGGCGGATATATGCCTGGAGATCAGGAACCGTTTGACCAGAAGAATATTCGTCGGCGAGTATACGACGCACTCAATGTTTTGATGGCCATGAATATCATTTCCAAAGAGAAAAAGGAGATCAAATGGATCGGACTGCCGACCAATGCCGCACAGGAGTGCCTTGAATTGGAGTCGGAACGGGAAAAACGGCTCGAGAGGATCAACATTAAGAAGCAACAGCTCCGGGATCTGTTGCTCCAACAGATTGCCTTCAAACAGCTGGTCGATCGCAACAAGACTATGGGTCTCGTGCCCGCCAACAATGCTCTCATTTCTCTGCCGTTTATTATCGTTAACACAGAAAAGAAAACAGTAATCGATTGCAGCATTTCCAACGATAAGACAGAATACTTGTTCAACTTTGACAACACGTTTGAGATACACGACGACATCGAAGTACTCAAACGGATGGGTCTGGCCTTTCATTTGGAAAAATTGGAAAATGGCCAGTCCTTCGATAGACATGCACTCGAACGGGCCAAACATATATTGCCCGAAGCTCTGAGGCCCGAACTCGAGGAATTGATTGACGAAAAAGACATCAAATTGGTTCCAACGAGTCCTCAAAAGGCCAGAGCTGTTCACTGATTTGATTTGATGAGTGATTAAAACGATTTGTTTTTTTGGTGTTATTTTGATACTAAAATCAATGTTTGTTTTTATTATCAATATTTACTGATATCATATCCCATAAAAATCAATTCATTGAATGATATATTTATTATTATTATTATTATTATTATTATTATTATTATTATTATTATATGATATTATTTGTATAATAATATTATTTGTTTTAAACTATGAAATTTATTATTTTTTATTATATTTTTTGAAAAAGTAATAATAATTAATAATCATAATTAAGTACACAGTTTGACACACCAATTGTTATAATTGTCTACTAATTATCTAAGATATATATATATATATATATATAAGTCGATAAAAAAGCACAATTTTCCCCACTATTTAGATACATAATTATTATATTGTTTTTAATTAATTTCATTTCGAGTTCAACTTAATGATGTTTTTTTATAATTATTTGTGTCGATACTTATAAATAATAATGCTATGTTTATGCAAGTTTATATTTAAATTATAAAAAAAATGTATAAATTAATTATTAATATAAATTGTATAAGTTTATTATATAAATATTTTAATTTAGCCAACATATAATTTTTTCAATTATGACTCACCAAATAATTTGATTATTATTTTTTGCAATTTTTATTTGATTTCATCAAATAGTCATTTATACAATTAATTATTATAATATATAATTTATTGATTTGTTACTCACATTTTTCTTCAGTAAAAAATGTCGAGTTTATCTGTTTCATCACTAAATCATTTAATTTAATGTAAATTGAAAATGTATTTAATTTATGGGGACAACTATTAAAAAGTAATTTCTATATAATTTAATAATAATATTAAAATTGTTTTTTAATGTTTTGTTGATATTTATTAACAAAATAAATCCACTATGAATTGATATTTGATTTTGTCTACCAATATATTAACATTTTTAAAAATTTAGAATAAAAATAATAATTTTCATTGTTTTCAAAGAATATTTAAAAATATATAAAGTAATAGTATTATTATATTTACAAATTAGTATTGTAATTCAAAATAATAATTCAAAATAAATTGATGACACCATTTAATTATTAATAAAGTTTAATAATAACATATAAAATTTTTATTTATACAAAAATATCATTAAAATAAAATGTGTTGTTTAATATAAATAATATTTTTTATGAACTTTTTAAATATAATGTATATTCAATACTTTCAGTTTATTATTAATTTTAAAAATGAGATTTTTTATGTTTTTTAAACAAATTTGTAAGTTTTGAGTTTATTTATAATAACCTTTTAATTTTTTCTTATAGTTTACAAACGTATAATAAAATTTAGTAAAAACTAACTTTTATTTTTTATTTATATATTGTACTCTAAAAATATCATTTAATTTATTATATTTTTATTTATAATCTTATGGGGACTTTTTTAATTTATTATAAATAAAATAACACATTATATTTTAGTTTATATAATCAGTTATTATAATAAAAGTAATTTTTGTTTTTATGAATTTTGTTTGTACTCTCAAAACAAAAATACATAACTTTTAAAAATAACATTTATTTTGATGTTCCGTTAACACAGTTTTCAAGGTTTCCAGTAATTATGAAAACAAGTATTCAAAAAAAAACTTATTTCAATATTATTTATATATATCTTTTATTTTTCTATATATATATATATATCTTTGGTTATTTAAGAGTATTAAATAAAGTATATAAATATTAAATTATTCTATATATTAAATGTAATAATATATTTGTTTCTTAATTACAATATAAAATGCTTTTAATACTTTATTTATAAATTATAATGCAAATACATGATACTATTTTTGATTTATTTCATTTAATTTTTTTTTGAAAAATTAATTTTATTTATATAATATTTATTATTTTAATAATTAGAAATATAATTTAACATTTAATTAAATTTAGTTTGTTAGTTGTTTTGATATTATTAGTTTAATTTTATTTTTAATTTATATTAATTTATTAAAAAAATAAGTAATATTAACGATATTATTAAATATAATGTATACCATAATACATTAGTATACATTATACTAACTCTGATATGGATTTTTAGAAATATTTTTTTACATAATTTTTACTTAATATAAATTAATATTTTATTTTTTAAAACAAATTTGTTTATTAGTCGTTGACTATAAAAATGACATTTTAATATTTTGTTTAATATTTAGTTTTATAATTTATCAGACATTACTCAATAGATAATTTTCAATTACTATATGGATTATTAATGATTAATTAGTAATTACGTTATAAACCTAATTTAATTTAATGATAAAATAATTTGACTCTAATAATGATAAAATAAATAATAATAATAATAATAATAATTGATATTAAAAAAGAAAGCATTGACTAATTTGCAAAATTTTTCACAAACAATATTGCAAAATAAAATTGGGTTAAGATTACATTTAATAAGTATATAAATTGTATAATATATTTTTAGATTGATTATAGTAACACTATGTAAATATTAATATCTTATAAATTAGATTATTATTTTTTCAAATATTTTATTTGTTTAAAATGTAATTTATATTTACTTATATAATATTTATTAATTTAATTTAAGAATCGTTATCTTGTTGTAACAATATAAAGGTGTTAAATATAATTAAAACAATATATTATTTATTTAAAAAATTGATATGATATTATTTATTACAATTGTCTATAATAACATATTTAAATTTATTAAATTAATATTTTTTATTTGCTTAAATGAGTTTATATAATGTATTTCAATGAACTCTCAGCACACATCAAACTAACTGTTTTTATAATATAAAATTATAAATGTTTATATATTTTAGTGAAATTGTTTATAGTTTTTGTCAAAATAGTCAAAAATTAATAAAATATAATCTTATTTGTCATACAATTGAAATGAAAATTTTTAACAACAAAAAATATTAATGATTTGTTAGATGAAAAATTTTGACTTTTTTAGAGGTTATAGATTAATAAAATTATTATTATATTAACTAATTACTAGATATACAGAGCGTAACAACTAATAAAATGTTAATTTAAGTGTTACAATAAATTCCAACAAATAAACTATAATAATAATAATATTAAAATAATAACAATAATAATATTGTAGTTATTTTCATTACATATTTTGAAAAACCTGTTTTAATGATTATTATTAACTATTGTTATTTAATTTCAGTAAAATTTTTAACGAATATAATTAACAAATAAATAAATAAATGAATGAATGACTGCATTGGCAGACAAACTATAATCAAATTAACGGCAATAACAGGGCTCAGGTATATTGGATTCATGTGTTCAGTGGTACGGTTGACTTTTAGTAGACATCCGCACATTTACACCATTCACTTAAGTTCACTATACAATAATATAACGACTCCACCAAATGATATATTGCAATGTCAATCATTTTTCATCACATAAATAGCATTAAATATGATATTTTTATTAAATTTCATTTATTCAATTATAATAATAATAAAAATGATTATAAATAAATAGAGTGAGAGAAAACAAATTTTTATTTTAGTTAATTTGATAAATAGTGTAATAAGTAAAACCAGTTTTTAGACGTTTATTGAAATTATCGCGATTACAGTGTCTTTTAATTTTAATTTTTAACTTTAAAAACTGTTAGTCCAGAGATTGAATCTTCAAAAAACTCAATACAAAATTTAGTTCATTGTGTGAATGATTGAATGAGAGAGCAGAGAGAAAGAGAGAAAGAGAGAGAGAGAGAAAGAAAGAGAGAAAGAAAGAGAGAAAGAAAGAGAGAGAGAAAGAAAGAGAGAGAAAGAAAGAAAGAAAGAAAGAGAGAGAGAGAGAAAGAAAGAAAGAAGAGAGAGAGAGAGAGAGAGAGACCGATTACTTCATAAGACATTTTTATAAAATATATGGTACAGTATATATTATACAAATACAGTATAATATACCGTATTTAAGTTGTGTACAGTTAGGTTAGTGTTGTCATACCGGTATTCAACACACAAACTTTGATTTAAGAAAAGCTTTATTTTTTATTATGATTTTTGTTATGCCTGTTATTTGCATCACATTTAGCGGTTATCGCACTTTACTTATGATTATAGAAGTACTTAATAAATAATATAAAAATTACTTACTCTTCGTGTTATAAAAACTTTTTTACTCTTATTTTAATATAATTAGTGAAAAGTAAGTCAAAGTTTGTTACTTTTGATATTTAAAAAAAAGTTGTCTCATTTGTGGTTCACTTCCAATAAGTGACTGAATCTTTCTCTCTGAAGTCAAAAGTGTTTGAATCTTTCAAAGTGTCGGTGTGTATGATCTCTCTTACACTTCTAGTTTTAGTTTCATTTCATATCTTCAGTTGCGAACAGTTAGCTTTGAAATCATCTCTCAAAATACTGTGTCATTGCAATTGACATAATATTATTGACCAAATTCTTGATTTATTAGAATGATTGTTAAATGGTATGTCATATCATTAAATATCATCTTTAAAATAATATAAAATATATATTTAAAAAATTTAAAAATAAATCACTATGTTTTATGTAAACAGCAATTACCTGTCAATTATTGTGTTACTATTATATTGTACATCATTGACGGTATCTCAAGAGGACTATCAAACTGTCCACTGCGGGCCACCCGACTATTATCTCTGTCGTAACGGCAATTGTTTGCCCGAAAGTATGTGTTTTGTAATATAAAATTTATTTTTTATAACTCTAAACTAATTAATTTTATAATGAATTTATTTTTTCAAACCATACTATCCTATATCTAAAAAATTATTTTATTTATTTTATAATTAAATGTGGAACATCTAGTGATTATTCTTATTATAATATATTGCATAAACTTTTGCAATTTTTATCAAATAAAATATATTGAATTTTCTCTTTAATTTTCTATTTTTGAATACCAGAAGTGAATTTATAATTTTTGATTTTCTATAAAAAAAATCTTTGATATTTTTGTTAAGATAAATTATTTTTTGTAAGTATTTATAAGTATTTGTTACTAAATATAATTATAACTTATAATTTATAAATACGACAGTAAACAATAATTGTCCTATTTTTGGTTAAACAAAATAATTATAATTACTTGAATTACAAATATAGGCCTTGTATGTGATGGAGACAATGATTGCGGAGACGGATCTGATGAGCACCCGATGATGTGCTGTATGTCCTAATATTCTATAAGTTATATAAATATATAATATATTTATGTCACTAATCTTATTGGGAAAAAATATCTTTTAAAAGCTGATGTCAAGTGTGATGAAGAAAACGAGTTCCGATGCGATTCGGGTCGTTGTGTGACTAAAGCGGCTAAATGTGACCGACAGAAGCAATGTAGAGATGGCTCAGATGAAAGAGGATGTGGTTTGTTATCTTAAACATGTATTCAATTTATAATTGATTTGTTTCTATACTTGTATATCTGATATGTATATTACCCAGACTACCCTCCCTGTCCCGATAACATGTTTTCTTGTGCTAACAATAGTATGTGTTTACCAATGGAGGAGGTTTGCGATGGAACTATTGATTGTAAAGATGGTAAGAAATATATTTCAGATGTAAATCATTTTAATAACATTTAAAAAAAAACATAGGATTAGCATCGGATGAAATGCACCCGAATCCCTGTCCACGAAACGTGACATGTCCTTCATATGCATTCAAGTGCACCAATACTAATGTGTGCGCTCTTCCCAATTGGATGTAATGGATATAAATTTCATTTAATCATTAATTAATTGATATAATTTTTTTAATAAAAACATGTTTTATATAATTAAAAGGTGTGACGGAGAGAATGATTGCGGTGACAATTCAGATGAAGACGTCAACAATTGCAAGAACTTTGACTGTCCTGAGGATTGGTTTAGATGTGCTGACAATAGGTTTGCCAATAATTATGTATATAATATAAAAAACTAGTTATCTAAAACCATACATTTTTATATACATTTATTATAGATGTATACCAATGAATACTGTATGCAATGGTGTGATTGACTGCAAGGACGGACTGGCGTCCGATGAGAGACACCCGAACCCGTGTCCCCGAAACGTGACCTGTCCGCACGATTTCTTTAGTTGTGATGAGACCAACATATGTGCGCACCCACACTGGGTATAAGATTATATGTATTTTTTCAATATATGACAGTTAATTACAAACAACAAATTTCTCTTTAGTTATGCGATGGTAGCGATGATTGTGGCGACAAATCAGATGAAGTAAATAAATAATATTTTTTTAATTATATTAATTGTAAAAATATTTCATTGTTGACATACAGAATCCTGAGCGCTGTGCAGCACAGGTGTGTCCAGAAGGTTGGTTTCGATGCTCTAATAACCGATGTATTCCTCCCAACTGGCGGTGCGATGGAGGTGTCGATTGTCGTAATGGCGAAGACGAGGCTCAATGTGATAGTATTGAATCATTAAGCGAAACAACAAATGGTACACAACCAATAGTACCGGTGCCATCGGCACCAGTAGCTAATAGTCCAGTTACCAACCGAACGGTGCTCAAGTCAGCTCAAAAAGCACCGGTAGCTTCACAAGCATCAGCCCAGTCAGCCGCCAAAAGCAGCCAATCAATGCTCGAACCGCCCACTTCTGGTTCGGCGTCATTCCACCCGAGACGCCGGTGAACACCCTATTAAGTACTAAAACAAACATAATTTTCTATTATTTTTTAATTAAATTTGTATTTTTTAGGTAATTTTGTTTAATAATATTGTTTAATAATATTGTTTAATAATAATGATAAATATAATTTTTGAACTTTTAAAAGTTCTATATAATAAAAGTACTTATAATTATAAATATTTTAAATTTCTAATATAAATATTATGTTCAGTAATTGATGTTATATTTAAATTTATCATAAATTTTATATACAGTTAATAAAAGATTTAATCAATTGTTAAATGTATTAATTAATAAAGATTTTATTTTTAAATTAACTAGTAATTTGAGTTATAATTTATAACTTATAAAGCATTTTAAAAAATTTTTATTGATTATTTTAATCAATCATTTTTATTTTTAACGAGTAAATACTGTTTATATTAATAGTAGATTATAATCTCATAATATTGAATATTATTTTATAAAGTTGTGATTATTACTATCAATTATTAGTAATCATTTGTTGTAATATAAATTAAAGCACTTAACGAAAAATTAATATTTAACCAGTTGAGAATGCTAGAAATCCCCTATATCTTAATTTTGATGCTTTATTCAAATTTATACTCTAAAAATTATTTTTACATTTTTTTACATTGACCGCCATTTTCTCTATGTTCCTGAAAAGATATCAAAATTTTAATGCTGATCTCCTATACCTTATTTTTTATGTCTAATCCAAATCTGAAGTTTAAATTTTAAAATTCAATAAAAATGCGGACACATGAACGGAATGACATATAGAATTCAGATACGCACTCCTTTCAGTAGTTCGTGAAAACGTTTTTATCTAATCTAATGTCAATTTAAGTCAAATATAGTGTCATTTGTGACATATATATATAATCATAGCTTAAATTTGTTAATATTTATAAAACTAATATAGTCTGTACTCTATATACACTTTATTAAGAAATAAAAAAATTGTTATTTAATTTAGTCTCTTTTGGACACTGTTTTTATTAAGCATTCTCTCAAAGTATTTTCAAAATTTCTTAATATAAACATTTATATAATTAATTTGATTTAAAATATCTAAATAATTGCTTAAAATGGATATGACTTGCTTTTCAAATTTAATGTATTGTTTTCATAGTTTATAAACTTGTCATAAGTTTTGTATATTATTGATGTAATTTATATTTATGATTATTTTTAAGCTTATGTGTGTTTATATGTTATATCTCCGAAAAAAGACTCTTTAGTCTACACTACTATAGAAATGTGATTAATAAACTGTATATAAATTTAAGATTAATATAATTATCTATTTATAATTATTTTTTTTTTGTAAAACTATCATTCAAATATATTTTTATTATTTTTTTTACTTTTTAAATGTTAATTAAAATACTAATATTAATATTTAGTTATTTGTAATTATAATGAGATAAGAAAATTAACATGGGGATCCCATAGACATAAATTTATTTTAGAAAATTTTAGAAATTATTTTTTTTAATTCTATTTGTAATAAATATTTCATAATAACCTAATTATTTAATATATGATATATAATTAAATTGACTAAATATGAATATAATAAATGTTTATTAAAAAACAATAAGTGATCAAACCGTAAGGGGCGATTCACTTATTACGTTTGCACTTATTAAGAAATCTAGACCCTCTCTCTCTCCCCTATGTTCGCAATTGTTCACATGAAGTCATTTAAAAAATTACCCCCACATACACCACAAAAAATAAAATATTATCTAAATGTGAAAGTTCTTAAAGTCTCTACCCTTTCCCCTCGTTTGCAAAAGTTCGTTTTGGCCAACCCCACCCCTTCCCTCAAGTGCGAACGTAATATGTCAACCACCCCCTAAAAACTATTGTATTTTATACAAAAATTTAGCTCATTTTTTCTACAGCATTTGCAATAGAGATTATATCAATATATATAAGATATAATATCAATAGTATAAATTTTAAAAAGATTAATTTGTATAATGATATATTTATTACATATAAATGGCCATTCAAAATATTTTTATAACTTATAAAATATTTATATGATATAATTTAAATCATTATTTATTGGTCAAGCTTTAATAATAATAATATAAATAGTTAATACTTTTATGTAATATTTAGATAAATAACAAATAAAATATCATTTATTATACTATAAATAACACATTTTATTTTATATCGCAATGATATATAATTCATAAACTATAAAATTTTAGTTATTTTGACATTAATATAAAAATTTTATAGATATGTTATTTAATATTTTGATAATGTATTATTTTATTGTGTTTATATAAAGTTTACTGAAATTAAAATAACTTATTATATAAGCATTATATAACAAGTAATGACCGTAAGTAATGTAATGACTAAACATATATTAGTTTAAATATAACGTTTAAAATAAGTAATTATCAAATAAAATTAAAATTTCATACTAATTTATAAAATAATTTCATAATTAAATAAAATTTTTAAAAAATTGTGTAAATGTGCTTGATAATTGAATATATTTTATAGCATTATATCTTTATAAAACATTAAATCTATTGTTGTACAGTAAATAATACAATGATGTAATTGGACAACATATTAAAAAAAGTTTATATTTACAACAAAATTTAATTAACCAAATAACAATCAATAGCATAATAAATGTCAGTAACAACATAATTAACATTATTTAATACTTTAATACTTTATCACTAAATTTTTCTAATATATTTAAAGTTTTATTCATCAAAAAAAACAATCAATTTACTGTTACATTTAATTTCTGATCAACGTTTATATTATATAGATTAAACTTATGAGGAAATGTATTGTAAATTATGTTTGCACTGTTAGTAGTCGTCTATGTCATAATATATTTACTTATAAAATGACTAAAAAGTAATATTTAATAATTAATGAATAGGTTTGGGTGGAGTGCACCACAGTTCTTGAGCACTTCAATGATGGTATACCTACCTGTCCACACAGTTTAGTACAAGTCATGCAATTTCCACAACATTGTTGTCAAAATTGAGAGAAATAATAACATTATTTTTATTAATTCTGTTGTATTATATATATATATTTATATGTATGTAAACATAAATTCATGAATTGAAATAAAATATATTTTGCTTTTAACAGAATATTCTTTTTATGTGTCAAACACTACAACAATATTCAGAATATTCTATTAATATATATATCGTATTATCATTATATGATATCTACTTATAGTTTTATCATATATTTTATAGCTAATATATTGTTGTCATAAATGTTTATTATTATTATATTACTAACATTGTTATAGCATTTGTATATACACACACATCCTACAGTATTATTAATTTTAATTACATCACTATTTTATATAAAATTTTATAATAAAAAACATTGTAATAGTGTATGTATACAAGTTTACTAATAAATAAGATAAAATAAATTGCTAAACAAATAGCCAATTGATGGCCGAAGTGCTATATGTGTCGGTCCGCCCAACTGTTTATATAAATCCAAGCCATTCTCCACTTTAAATATTATCATCAAATGTCTTACAATTATTATATTTGTCACATTATATGACACAATGCTTATTGTATTTTATATAAAACAATTAATATTTAGTTGCCATCAAAAGTTTACATATCTTATTAAAATAAATTATAATATTAATAATTATTATTATTTCATTAAATTGCTATTGATTATGATTAATAGTTATAAGCATACAGTTTGTTGTTTAATTTTCATATGTCACTTAATTACCTATAACTATCTGTGCCTGGCTAATGATTCAAATATTAACATATCATCAACTACTCCATCAACTACTACTACTCCATCAACTACTACTACTCCATCAACTACTACTACTCCATCAACTACTACTACTTCACCAACTACTACTCCATCTACAACTACTATTATTGCTACTAATACTACTACAACAACTACTACTACTACTAGTGGACCACTGAGCACTTCTAATACATCTACCAAGGTCCATTATCAAAAGTTTAAATTTCTTATTTTGACAATGTTTTTAAATTATAGTTACCTCCCTGTGAGGAAAGGCCTAACGAGGTTGTACCAGAAGAGCCATGGTTGGAACAGTATGTGATCGGTGTATTCAAAGTATGGCACATCATATTTTCTGGACTATTCTCTGGACTGGCAATAGGTTTTTCAATAATTAAATCCTTAATTAATATCTTTCGTATACTTAAAAAATGTTTTTTTAACTTTTATAATATTAGTTATAGTACTTTGTTGTCTATTTCGATGTCGAATACCGCGAACCAAACAGGAGATCGAAGCAGATTTTGTTCGCCGAAGAATCACAAAAGTTTTTAGGACTCATCTCAATAAAATCAAAGTCGAAGATCTCGAGGCTCAGCCTAACAATCTGGTTCCAGGTCTGCATCAACATTGTTAACATTAAATTAAACATTTTAGTATGAATTTACAAATATTTCTTTTAATATAATCTACCAGTGCTTCAAAAAGTAGAGAAAATGGAAATCAGTCGAATCAATAAACAGGTGTCCTTCGAGGCCGGTAAGCAAACCTGGCGTCAAAAGCTACGGGCATTGTTTGCTATGGAACGGGAGATGACTCATAGCTCATCCATCGATGACGACACGTTGGGAAATAAATTTGAAGACGAAGACGAAATAATTCTGCCTGAAGAGGACCGTGCGATTAGAAAACAAAAAGAGACTGAAAGGAGAGTAGAGGACGAAAAACGTATGAAAGAGATCAGCAAAACTGTGGACAACGCAAAGATTGACAGCTCTTCTTTCAACGGTATTAACAAACATTTTGTTGAATTTTAATTTATTATATTTAGCAAATAAATAAATAATATAATTATTATTATTTATATTTCTATAGTGATTACGGATCAGTTTACGATTCTAATGGGCTTTGAGTCGGACAAAGACCGCAAGAAAAGAGAGAAAATAGAGAAAAAACAAAAACAAATTGAAGAAAAACAGAGAGAATTAGATGAAAAACAGGAAAAAAAAGAAAGAGAAAAGACAGAGAAATTTGAAAAAAAGAAAAAAGAATTGGAAGAAAAACTAATGAAAGAAGAGACGAAAATTAAAGCAAAGAAAGACAAACTATTTGGTAAATATAGTGAAGAAACAGACAAAGAGCACAACAAAGTCGCCGATGAAATCACTATTGAAGTGAATGGCAAAGTAGAGGATACGATGGATGAAAATAATGAATACATTAAAGAACAGAAGGTAGCGGACAGTGAGCAAAGTGTGACCGGTTTGGTTGATGTCGAGAGCATAAGTACTATTAAAACACAAGAACCTGAAGTCGAGATATTGAGTCCAAAAGCAAAGAAACAGAAAGAAAAAGAAGAGAAGAAACTAAAAGAAAAAGAACGCAAAGAAAGAGAAAAAGAGGAGAAAAAGGCTAAAGAAGAGAAAAAATTGAGAGAAAAGGAGGAAAAGAAAGAACTGGAGTTAAGAATGAAGAAAGAGAAAGAAATGCAAAAATTAAAAGAGAAAGAAGAGAAAGACAAACAAAAAATGAAATCAAAAGATGGAAAACAAAACAAAAAACAAATTGATGAAAATGATGCAAAACTGAATGAGATGTCACCTACAGATGTCATAGATAAAGAAGTCAATCGCAAAACTGATAGTGTAAGTGATATACACGTTAATGAAGAGACCGGTGTTGAGAGGAAATCATCAAAAATTGATGACAAAAGCAATGAACAACAGAAAGATATTAAAGTACAGAAAGAGGGGTCTAAGGGTAGGAAAGAGAAATCGAAGGATAGGGAGAGGAAAGTGCGAGTTATAGAGGATACGGAGAGAAAAGAGAGGTCAAAGGTTATCGAAATAAAGGAAAACTTTGAGAACAAGGAGAGGAAAGAGAACTCTAAGGGTAGGGAAAGAGACGTTAAACCTAAAGAAATAAAGGAAAAAAAGTCAAAACATGGGGAACAGGAAGAGAAGAAATCAAAAAATAAGGAAACGGAAGACAAAGAGTCAAAACATGTTTCTAAAGAGTCGAAAGAAAGCTCACAATCGAGACATAAATATGAAGAAAGAGAATCTAAGGACAGGGATCATAAAAAATCTTTAAAGACGGATATGGAGTGCACTAAAGGTCAAGAAAAATCAACAAAAAAGGATAAGAAGTCTAAGGATAGGTCAGAGTCGAGGGATAAGAGGCAGCGGGACAACTGTGTCACAGACATGGTTGTCAACAGTGATAAACATAGAGATAAAAAACATGAGAAACAGAGTGATGGCAAACAACACAAACATAAAGAAGATGTCAGTGGTATTAGACACAAGAAGTTGGCGAAACAAAAACGAAGTCAAGAAGAAGTGTTTGATGAGATGATTCAAATTGAAATCAATGAAAACGTAGTCAATATCCGTAGGGAAAGCCTTACAAACACTAATAAACATAATAATAATAATAACATATTACCAAATGAACCAATTGATGAACAAATTATAGACATTGAAAATTTTGACAAACAATCGGTGGCCACCACCACAACCAGTGGCACCAGTACTACAACAAACACTCATCGTATGAGTCGTGAAGAGAAAACCAAAAAATTAGTTGATATTCAGCGGAGTAAGAGTCGTGACTCAACTCGCAGTGCGGATATCAAGATTGAAATCGAGGACGAGTTCGGCAATCTGTCCACCGATACTGAGTTTCCCGATAATAGTTTTGTCTCCTGATATGAGGCCAAATCGTGTCTTCAAATCTGTATTGAAATGAGTAAAACAGAGTCATCCTTATCTATCAATCAACAAGATATACATCCAAATTGATTCCCAACTTTTAATCACTTTTTATACTTATTGATAAATACTGTATTAATTTATTTAATATTTAAAAAACAAATGTCAAGCAAAATATTTTGTAATCACTTTAATACAATTTGTAATTTAAGTTATCTATTATGAGCTTAAAATGTATAATAAGATATTTATCATAAAATTTAAATTATAAATATTAATTTTTAAAAATATACTGTATATACAATCATATTATTTGTTAAATCAAAAGTTATTGTTAAAGTTTGAATTTGTATGTTTGAAGTTTAATTATAAATTATAATCTTTATCTAGAAATAATAATGTATACATAATTAAATAATTTAATTTAATCAATAATAAACTCAGATTAATAAATCATGTAATATTTTATATTAACAACATTTTATTATTTGTATTAATTTGATATAAATTACTGTATTATTATAAATTATTAATAAAAAAACAAAGACTTGAATCAATAAAGTTAATAAAAGTTAATATAAAGTACAGTATAACTGCGTATATACTGTACCCACAGGTCATCTGTGGCTATATGTGAAAATATGGGGCAATAAGTAAGATATACCCCCTACCAAAAGTTTAATTTTAAATTTCAAAAATTTGTTACATTTGTCTATATATGCGGTTATACGGTACTACTAAAAGTAAAATAATAAGTTTAGTTGAAATATTTTATTTATTATTCTATTTAATATCATTTCAATTAAATATTTTTTAAATAGTATAAAATTTGATAATAATTGATTATATTTTATAATTTTTAGTTTAAATTGATTATATACTAACAATTAAAAATCTTTATCATTAACTAGTAATTATAAATTGTTTTATGGGTAAAATATGATATAATGAAAAAAATAATAAAAATTTAATATACAGTATAATGTTAGACAAAAAATATATAATTTAATTATTCTAAACAAAAACAATATTTTATTAACAATTAATGCAAAATTGCATTTATGTTTAGATAAACAAAAATTATAAATATTTTCCTTTTCACATTTTTTACCACATAAAACATTAATTTATATATAAGTTATTTATATTTATGTTACTTAATGTTTATACGAATTAAAAAACATTATTGTGAAACGTTTAGGATATATAAATGTTAAGTTTATCTATTTAAAAATACAGTTATTATTACTACATGTTATTATTAAATACAAAATTTATTATTAATAATTAATAAAAAAATCAACTGCCCCGGGTGAGGATCGAACTCACGACCTTAAGATTATGAGACTTACGCGCTACCTACTGCGCTACCGAGGCTGCCGATACCGGTCCATAGATATAGTCACTTATTTATATATATTATTTTTTATATATAAGCAAATAAAATTAATTACTTAAGTTATACATTAAATATATATATAAATTATTTATTGTTATTAGAAATTATATATTTTCTAATTTTTTTATGATTACAGTCATATCGTGTATATCATTGAAATTTTATTTTATTTAAAAATATTCAATTTCTTTAAAAATACATTATTATGTAATATATGTATATACCTAATAGGTATTACCTATGTATTACATAATACATTGTAATGTATGTTCCGATATATATTCCGATATATAAATTATTATGAATCATACCATAACTGTAAAGTGGGTGTGTGTTAGTGTAGGCACCGGCATGTTATGCATTTTATGTACTAATTTAACATATTATGTCTAACCTAAATAAAATTATACTTATTTTATACTAATTATAGCTAGATTAAATTACCAATAATAATCATTGTAAAATGTTTAGTTATATTATAAACTTTGTAAAACCATTGGACAACTTATTAAATGAAACCGTTGGTAGTGTCGGTTAACTGCATACTCCCCGTCCACTCAATTTAATAGGACAACTGAGAGCTATTTACTCACTAACTCAATGTTTCACATATATTAATGACTTGTAAGTGTGTTGTGAGGTGTGTGTGTGTGTGTGTGTGTGTGTGTGTGTGTGTGTGTGTGTGTGTGTGTGTGTGTGTGTGTGTGTGTGTGTGTGTGTGTGTGTGTGTGTGTGTGTGTGTGTGTGTGTGTGTGTGTGTGTGTGTGTGTGTGTGTGTGTGTGTGTGTGTGTGTGTGTGTGTGTGTGTGTGTGTGTGTGTGTGTGTGTGTGTGTGTGTGTGTGTGTATGTGTGTGTGTGTGTGTATGTGTGTGTGTGTGTGTGTATGTGCTGTGTGTTTGCGCAAGCATTTCAACAATACATTGAATGCATTATTCAATACATTAATTATTATACGAAAAGGAAATATTCATTTGAAATACATATAGAGGTCTCTGACTAATAGTGAGAGAGAGTGAGAGTCAGTCTAATACACAACAGTCTAATCAAGTATTCATTACTGACTTGAAGTTAGAATACATTTGATATGCAATAGAAAAAAGTGTTTTATTTATGTGTTATTATTATTATAGACTGTAATAGTCATTGAAATTAATTGATTCAATGAAACACAAGTCATTAAAATATTAAAAAACAATAATTTAATTATTAATTGATTTAAAAACGACAACAAATTAAAGAAATCATTTGAAAGACACTGTTGTGTGTGAGTGTGTGTCCATCACAAGCACCGGCATCACACCATCGGCGGCAAAATGTCCGGCACTTTGACGTCTGTTCGGCAATGGTTTTGGTCAGAGCCGGTATGGATACCACCCAACACCACATGGAGTCTCTATGAAGATAATTACCGACACTTCAATGATATCTATTATTCACTTATAACCGCTGTTTTCTTGATTGGCATCAGATTCACACTCGAGAGGTATTTTTAATCGACAATTTGTTAATCATTAATATCATAATTGTTTAACTGATCCATAGGTATATCTACGCACCGGTCGGCATATATTTAGGTTTACGGCCAACACATGGCAAGAGTCCGCCCCATAACGCCATCCTTGAACAGGCGTTTCGCGCCTCAAAAGGAAAGCTAAGTCACAAACAGGTCAGTGGTTTGATCGACACTGTTGGACATCGTTATCAATATTAAACACCAATTGGTTATAAAAACTGTTTTCAAATATTATTTTTCTTTTAAATCCTATCTTCAGATTCAAGGCTTATCCAAACAGTTGGATTGGACTGAAAGGCAGGTGCAGAGATGGGTGCGCCTAAAGACGGCATGTAATAGACCGACAGTGCTCTCCAAGTTCACTGAAAGCGCGTATGTATTGATTCAAATGATATTTTATCATTATCTCAATGGATATAAGCAATCAATTGTGGGATGTTTTGTGTGTATTTGATTTAAATCTTAGATTATTAGAGAAGTAATGACATCTCATGTTTAGATACTATTAGTAGTCACTGTTATTTGATTATAACAATAGTTGTCTACTTAATTATATCATATTTAGTACTCAAGCACTATTACAGTAGTTTTAATCAATTGTGTAATTATAATATTATTTTTTAAAAATAATATACAATTTATGAAAATACTTAGCAATATTAGTTAAATATCATGAGTCATATTTTTATTACTGCTATTTAATATCTATGTTTAGTTACCGTTATTGTTACCCATAAAATATAATTGAAAAAATAGCTCAAATAAATTTGATGATTTGTATTTTCAATTCAATATTTGTGTAAATATTGCCTACATTTGCAATCTTTAGTATCAAAGTATATCATTGAACTCAAAAGTTTTAATTTTTGATATCATTACCGATTGATATGCATTTTGCTATACATGTGACTCTATGACACCCATCCAATCAATAAAACACTTTATAAACAGTATATAAAATAGTTTATCAAAAATGTGTTTTATTTTTAAATAATATTTATATCAAACTTTTAATTGCATTTTATTATCTAATCTAATGATTTGTTAATCATGTTTCAGATGGCGATGTAATTTCTATTTTGTATCATTTGTTTATGGAGTTTATGTACTTTGGGACGTAAGTATAGTTTTATGTATAACAAAATTAATCACTTATTTTATCAAAATCACTGTAGTTGTACAGTATTTGTCTATTTTTTAATTAACAATTTATCGATTTTTATTTTTTTTTTGTTTATTTTGTTTTATGTGATTAATTACACATTTGGGACATTACAGAAGCCATGGATGTGGGACTCAATGTATTGTTTCATCGATTATCCACATCATGTAAAGTGAAACCATATAATTAATGTGGAAATAGTTTTATTTTTATTTCATTTGCTTTTATTTAATGGACAGTCCATATCAAGTGGTGAATGGTTTTACTATAACTTTGAAACAGCTTTCTATTTGGCATTACTTTTCTCGCAATTCATTGACGTTCAGAGAAAAGTTAGTAAAATTTATATTACCGTAAATTAAATTGTAAAACAAACTTTAAATTCATGGTTAGATAAAAAAAATTATTTACCGGTAATTGTATTTGAAATTATAATTGAGCAAGCTAGTTTTTATGCACAATTTTCTAAATTATTTTAGTTTAATCATTTTAAAATAGACTTAAAATACAACTTATCGGTTGTTGATTTACTATAAACTATATTAAAAATACTGTTTGAAAATTATAAATAACGGATTGAATGATATATTGTATTTTGAAATTCAAGGAACCGATTTAATAGATTTTTATTTTATTAATACTTTAATTGATATATTGAGCAAAAATTTGTTGCATTTTTAGACAAAAGAAAATTTTCCGTTACAAACCTACCGGTAATTATATTGACTAAAATTAATGAAATTAAAAATGTATATACGTATCAATATATTATATAAACTCTATATTGTAGATTTAAATTTAGACACATTTATAAAAATACATAAATTAGAGATTTATTAGTTTCGCTTACTCTTTATAAACAAGATTATACTATACATGAATTTTATGTAGATTTTAACACTTATTATGATTATTTAAATTTAATGAAATTATAATAGATTTTGTTATCTAATAAATGCTGTAAAATTATAATTTATCATTAAATACTGTAATATATAATTTTTGTTATTAGATTACCGGTAATATAAAATATAGATACCGGTAGTTAGATAATAATCTAAGACTCTAATTCATGGATATCAAGTTTGACAGATATTTTTTTTAAATTTAATATTTAAATATAATATTTGATAGGATTTTTGGGCGATGTTTATCCACCACGTGGTAAGTCTTTGTTTACTAGGCTTTTCGTGGGCCTGTAATCTGGTCAGAATCGGTACACTTGTTCTACTAATACACGACTTTGCAGACATACCTTTAGAGGTTTGAAAATTATCTATCAATTTTTAAAACCGTTTTTTTCAATTAAGTGGACTTTTTTGTTGAACATTTCTAAAGGGTGCAAAAATGATGGTTTATGTGAAGAAACAGCGTCTGGCAGACGGAATATTTGTCGTATTTACCGTTTGCTGGATTGTCTCCCGTATCGGTCTACTCCCGTACCGAATATTATATTACTCATTATATAAGGCATTGGATGTCGTGCCTATGTTTGCAGCATATTATATATTCAATGGACTTTTATGTGCCCTCCAAGCGCTTCATATTGTGTGGACCTGGTTTATAGTGAGGATAGCCATACATGCTGTCAACAATAATGGAGTGAATTATTAATATAATAATATATATTTATATTTGTAATGAATTAATTAATTTTTATTGTTTTAATGTGTTTTCAGATCAAAGATTTACGTTCTGACGATGAATCGAGTGAAGGATCACTAAAAGACTCGTCGGATGAACTGTTGAACGGAGCCATCGATGGCAGTAATGTCTTGAATAAGAACTATTCTAATGGCGGTTTGAAAACAGTCACAAATTCATCGATTAATTTAATAACAAATAATCACAATAAGAGTCAGAGACGGCATTCAAATGATGACAACTTGTGATTATTCATTTCATAGACTTTATTAATACATAAACTAAAATCATTAGCCTTTTTAAATAATTATGAAATTTATTATTTGCTTGTATTGTATATCTCTAAACATATACTGAATATTATAGTTCTCTAAATGACAAAAAGTGACCAAATTTTGGAATATTTTTGATTCTTTACTATTATTTATTGATATTTTTAAAAAACAAAACATGTTTATAAGTTTGCAATCTCGATGCCTATATTATAAGTGAGTTAAATAACGATAAAATTATAATCATATACATAATTAACTAATTAATAACTTAATGAATAGATTATATAAAATTATATTACGGTAATGTCACGAAAGCCATCTTTAATTATAAATAAGCGTTAATTTAATTAAAAAAATAAGTTAATTATCCGGCAATGTGTAAATTTTTTATTCATTTTTTAAAAATAATTGTTATTTTATTAAACTGTAAAAGTTGAAAATTACGAATATAACGATTAGTTTATATATGTGTCCGGTAATTATTTTTGTTTTTATGATRAAAATTTATTTTTTAATAATCAAAATATAATTTTACAAAAGCAATTATAAATTTGTAAAAATCTCATTTTTATAATGTATTATTACTGTACGCTGATTGATTATAATAATTTTATTATATGCATTATACTGTAAATGTTTTATGTTTATTTGTTTATTACGAAAATTTGTTTATCTAATTTATTTTCAATTAAATAAATTTAAATATAATTCATACTTTTGTTTTTCTTTGTATTAGTTTCTAATTTACCCAAATATTTCTAAAAAAATTTTATTAATTTTCTTTTTTAGTTGTAAACAAATTTTTAATATTTTGCTACGAAAACCAAATGAACTAATAAACAACACATTTTTAAATTATACTCATTGTTTAGAAATATGATCAGAAATATTAGAAATAACAATTTAATTATAAATCAAAGATACTTGAGATATATCAAAATTATATACTTAATATAAATATATTTATTTAATTCAATTCATTACTAACAATGTTTTTTTTGTATGTTTTTAAAATATTTTTTAAGATAACGGCGTGAAATGAAATAGTTTTTTATTTTCACGAACTCCTGAAAGGAGATCGTATATGAATTCTACAAGTCTGTCCGGTGTCCCACGAGTACATAGGTTCGAATCCACACTCTGCTACAATTTTTTTTGATTTTTTTTCTTTTTTCAGTTAATGAGTTCGTATGGAAATGCTTTTATAGCATTCTCAACTGGTTTAGATTATTTTCTTAAGTATCTTACATATAAACTATAATTGCATACATACATAGTTAAAATTATGTTTTTAATATAATAATATATATATATATATATATATATATGAATATATATTATAATATAATGTTATTAATAATATAATGAATTTTTAATATCGACAGTTTTCTCAAATTTTTAATACGCGCTTTTTAAAAATTACAATAATTAGAAAAATATAAAATAGCTTTGAAAAAATGTTAAAAATTTGTTTAATTTATGAGAAACATTATTATTTTAAAAAAAACATATTTTTTACATTAACTTATTAATTAACACAAAAGTTAATTTCTCGTTAGCTTTTAGTTTTTAATAAATAAATTATTATTCATTCATTTAATAAAAAATATTTTATATAAAATAATGTATCTAAACATGTTTTTCTGTATCTGTATACCATAAATATGTGTATAACTATCATATTGTATTATAGTATTATATGTTTGATAGTAAAATGCAATATTTATATAGTAATATACTATATTTTTATATGACATATTGTGTTAATATAAAATCAATGATAACTTTAATCCACGCAATCGATTGTCAGTCAATAGTATATAAACTAAATTAATAATTCAAAATCTATATTCAAAGTCTTTAATATTATTTATTGTATAATATTATGAACATTTAAAAACTAATGCAATCTTCTGTATAACATGTGTGTGTGTGTGTGTGTGTGTGTGTGTGTGTGTGTGTGTGTGTGTGTGTGTATTACATTGTATAACAATAATTCAATACATAACATATTTTAGGTAACACACAGTACAGAATGTATATCATAGATACAGAATATTCTATACTTAAGTACCATATAGTAAATATCGTATTATTGATCGGACAGTTGTCTTAATGGCTTAACATAACCAAACGGTTTTACTATTTTTTCTTTATATAACTTTTCTCATATTTATTACAAACGAAAGAATCGCTATTTTTCTATTGTCTTTCGTTATATTTATTTAACACATAATGTGTACAATATTTTCTATATTTTTCTTTATCATATTATTTATTATTGAAATATACCGTACAGTAGGGCTGTTAGATTCCGGCAAAATATATAAATGAACATTGATTTATTATATACAGTATTAAAAAATATTATGCATACAAAATTTTATATATATAAAAAATAATATAATACATTGTTTATTATTATAATTATAAAAAATAACACAACAATGTTGCTGAATTTCAATGAAATATTTATAATTATCCACTGTTTAGTTATATATATATATTAATCATTTTTTAAATAACACAATTTAATTATAAATTAATTGTAATTATTAATTTATTTATTGTTATTTATAATTTACTAAAGTAAATAAAAACATATAATATTGAAAATATGAATACATATAAATAAATACTTTAAAATAACTAAATAACAAATTTAAAGTTAAATCATATAACTGTTTGATGTGTTTTTAAAATGTTTAACAAAAACAATATATTAAATGTACTATTTTTGTGGTAAACAATTCAAGCAATTATGTAGATATTTAGTATACAATATATGTAGACAACAGTAACTAAAAATTATAAATAATAAATTAATAATTACAATTAGTTTACAATTAATTTATAATTAAATTGTTATTTAAAGTGATTAAAATAAATAAATAATTAAACAGTGGATAATTATATATACTTTGTTGAAATTCAACAACATTGTTGTGTTAATTTTTTTATAATTATAATAATAAATAATATAATATATTATTTTTTGTATATATAAAATTTTGTATGCATAATATTTTTTAATACTGTATATAATAAATCAATGTTCATTTATATATTTTGCCGGAATCTAACAGCCCTACCGTACAGTATATACAATATATTATATAAAGTAATATATTATACAATATTATATCAAATTTAATTTTGATACATACTTTATACAATAAAATTATATATAATTTACATACAAATATTAATTTATAGGGGCACTTATAATATCATTGTTATAAATTATATTAAATTATATATTATATTTATGTGCAAATGTGTGCCTAAAAAGATGCATTTTATTACAATCACTACAATAGTATACAGTATATATTGTACAATATTACTAAAAATTTATGGATTATTTAATTGTTTGAATGGAAAACCTTTATATATATATATATACAGTATATAACTGAATACTTTGGAAGTAAGACTGTATTTGACACTCAAATCAATTTATATATACTTCATATACTTATTGAAAATTACATTAACTAATAAATAATAATTTTTTAATATAGAGTTAAATATAATATTTAGAATAATTATTCATAAATTATCAATAAATTTAAAAATTTTATGATTTAAATTAGTTTAACAAATACTTTCTACAGCTTTTTCATATTTATAAATCACAATATAAAATAATGATATAGATTTCACAATATTTCACAAAATTGTACTTGTATAGTGTATATAAATAATATTTTATATAAAAATTTTATATATTATTTATATTTATATACAATATATTATACTGTAGTTTAAATTAACGGTAAGGATTCTAACAACTTTCATGTCTACTGTCTCTTTAAGATACAAACGATACACAAAACCATCAATTTATAAAATCAATTCCTAAAATGATATTCAAACAAAATTTGAAAAAATTGTTTTCTGGAATGCATATGTATGTATGTGTGTGTCTGTGTATGTGTTCCCAAAACATGTATCTATTAATTATGTATCTAATATATTATGCTTTTTATATAATTTCAATATCTCTTATTGATATAGTTTTAGAGATATAATACATGTCCGTATCCCGGAGCTGTAATATAAAAAATGTGCTAATGTTAAAACATACTTTCAATGATTCCATAGTACGAAAATTTTTTATTTTACTTGAACTTCTTTGTCTTTAAAATTTATAGACAAAAAACCTCGTCAAGCATTTTTGAAATCGATTTTATAAACTATTGGTATAAAGCAATGAATATATTTGTGATTATAAGACGAATAGATACTAAAAAAATATCATTTATACGGACTATTTTATTTTAGTAATGCATATGTCGGGTATTTTGCTATTATGTAATTATGTTAAAATTTGTTTCTGGGCAATGCTTTCTAGCATTCTCAACTTGTTTTATTTTGTTTTTATTCAATAGTACGTATAATACATGTATACGATTGCATATTAAACACTTTCAAGTTTCAACACACTGTAAGCCCTAACAATTTGCTGCTAATAATAATTTCCGCTAATTATACATCAATTTAAACATAAAAATCTTTTTATATTATTCACTGTATTTATGAATAAACTGAATATTATATTTTTGACAGAAGTTTAATCTAATAAACATAAAATTGTTATATTTTTACAAATAATACTAGAAATACAATATTAAAAAAGTTTTCTCTTTATTTTCCCCAATGTCTATACATTACATTTTATAGTTTTATTATTATTATATATTTATAGTGTTGTGAATTATTTCTAAATTAACACAAATTTTGTAAAAATAAAAAAGAGGAAAAGTTGTTATGTTATATATTTATTGTACAGCAAAATATAATTTGTAACATAAAAATATATTATACAATTTTTGTTAGACAAATATAAAAAATAAATTTATTTTATTTTATAAATATTAAGCATTAATAATATATAGATAAATGTTATCATAATTAATGAAAGTAATAAAATTAATGAAATAATTTTTTGTCGCATCAATTAAGTAATAAACAAATACTGTATAAAAACAAATATAAAAAGGTATGACTTGTTTATTATAATAATAGTTAGGGTGTCATTGGTTTATCAAAATATTTGTTTTATAAAATTTAATTATATTACAGTATATTCAATAGTTAATGATATACAGTATAGACAACAATTATAGTACAATCAAATCAATTTAGGTTATTCTAAGTCATTATTATTGTTTAATTTAAAATCAAATTTCAAAACTAATATATTGTAAATACATTTTTACAAAATTCTATATTATATATTGTAGATTACAAGATAATTAAAAAATATATTTTTTTAATTGACAGTTACAAATAGAAAAATTCTATAAAGTTAATATGGTTTATACAATATATATCATATGACCCCTGTACAATTGCCCCTGTACAATTGCCCCTGTACAATTGCCCCTGTACAATTGCCCCTGTACAATTGCCCCTGTACAATTGCCCCTGTACAATTGCCCCTGTACAATTGTCCTGTACAATATACCTTGACACTTTAACAATTGACACTTTAGCGCTGTGCCCGCAATTCGAACAAAATTCTAGTGTTGTTATGGCGACCGCGCGATCACATGACTGACTCGTCTCTCTAAATAATAATGATTTTGAGTGATATTTATCAACAAAAATCTGTATAACTAGTGATACACACAATAATAACACATCGAAACACACAAACAATCGGACCATTGATTGTGTGATATGTTTGCAACGATTCATGTGTTGAATAGTTTAAACATTTGATTGAATACATGAATCAATAGATAGGACAACACGTGTAATGCAAACATCAATCAGTGGTTACGATATATGCGACAAAATGACGGCTTTTGGTCGATAATAACAACAATAACAAGACATCCACTTGTGATCGACAATCCATTGATTTATTATTATCATTATATTAGCATTTTTCCAGAAGTAATCAATTAAATGCTCGATAAGAGTCCCGTGAATCGCGCGGACAACAAGAGTGGCCGTCAATATATTGCCACAATTGGATCAGTCATCGGGTGTGTGTTTTGTGATCACAAACGACTGAATTGATATATCGGGAAGTGTTTGACAAGTGATTTGTTTGATTGATTGTGTGTGCGATCCCTTCAACCGATGGCCTCCTCATCGCAACAGCCGTCCTCTTCAGGCCACAGCTCGTCCTCACATCAATACGCGTCCCATTCGGCTAACGCTGGCGGCCATCATTCGGGTCATAGTTCCGAAGGTCATCACTCGGGTCACTCGTCCCGAGAGTCGGTGTCATCGTCGCGCGGGTCGCGACATTCGTCCTCTTCATTATCGACTGGTATTATACGCAGTCCGACGGCTTGGTTTCAAAAGAAAGTTCACTTAAGGCCAGTACTGCGCGGATGTCATTTGGTGACCGACGAACTGACCAAACAAATACCAGAATTAAGTGAATTCCAGTGCGGGATCTGTCATATCCACAGTAAGTGTCGACACCTGAGTATCAAAAATAAGTTTTTTGTTCATATTTTTAAAATTATTTAAAATTGTTTTCTTGTTAGTAATGCACACTTCGGCGAGTCTGGCCATCAATGAAGTAATAGATTTATTATATAATACTATAGTGTTTAAACTTTTAATGAAATTTTGTGTTTTATTTATTTGCCAGAACTGGGATCCCGACGTCAGAGAAGATATGGAAATGTTTCTCTCAAGACTTATTCCTGAAGTATATTATTATTATTATTGATAACATAATTAATTTATTACCGCTAATCATCTCTATATCATTTCACGCTTTTTATAGACTACTCCTTTTAGACATTCCTGTGAAGGACCCGATGATATGCCGGCGCACATCAAAGTAAGTACACTTAGAATATTTTAATTACTATTACAGTATTTAAAATCAAATTAATTATGTAATTATAGGCTTGTTTTTTGGGCTCATCGTTGACGATACCAGTTAGTGACGGCAAACTAAACTTAGGCACGTGGCAGGGCGTATGGCTATGCGAACATCGTAACCGTGCCGGCAGTCGCAAAGTGACGGTCACTATTACGGGTGCACTCAAGCCGGGAGCGTGATAACAATTGTCCAATAAATAAATATATATATATAATACTTATATATATATAAGTGAGATCATATACATTATCGACAAACACACGACGAATTTCTAGTTAATCAGTTAAACAGCTTTTATTCAACCAAACTAATGAAAAACAGTGAAGTGATTGTAGTTACCGGTAATATCAAAATATTTTTAAAAATGGAAAAATGACATCAAATCTGTTATAAATCAAATTGTTTTTTTTTGTAAAAACTAATCATTTATTGATTATTATGTGATTCCAACTCTATTGTAAAGCGCCAACACCTCGGATACACTGTTGGTCCTAATCGTCAATTCATACTTGAATAACATAGTTTTAGAAACAAAATAATATATATTATTCATTTGATTAACAAATGATTTTATAACATTAGTTAAACATAAATTTATTGCAATTGAAATGAAATTAGTTTTAGTTATTTGTCTTATATTACACAAAAATAACACTATTTTTATTATTATTATTATTATTAATACTGTAATTAAATTACTAATTGATTTCTGGAGAATCAAACCACAAGACGTCAACAAGTTTTCGTGTCTTTACTTTTCAATTGAATCATTTTAATTGATATCAACATTCCTTCCAAATATTGCAAACAACTTAAAATTGAAGATAAGACATACTATTATTAATATATTTATTATATATAATTATAATTTATATAATTTTATTTTTAAAAAACATACACATAATTGCAATGATTATTAATGAAATTTTGTTTTGTTGTTTCTATTGCTTAATTCAAGAGAAAAATGCCATTTAATTGATGTAAATATAATAATAATTATTATTATTATTATTATAAAATCTAATTAATTAACTTCAAGACTGTAAACAATTCTTTAACACTTAAACTTAAATACTAAAAATGTAGAATCAATTGCTTATAATAACTTAATTGTTTTAATACAGTAATAATTATTAAAAATGAAAATCAAGAGTAACTGCCATTAAAAAGCAGAAATACATTCAATGATGATTTTTAAGACAATGTAAATAATATTGAATGTTTAAAAACCATTTATATGAATATATCAGGGTTAAGCAAGGTTTTKGATTTTATGGGGAAGGGTAGACTGGGGCAAAATTTACAAAATTTACAAAAAATCTTGGGGGGGGTATTGGGTGGGGTAAGATTTTTATTGCATTTTTAAACGGCAATTTTTTCAAAAATCCAAAATCAAGGGGGGGGGGGGGGGTCTAGAGAAAATTCCCTAAAAATTCCTTAAGTTCCCGAATATTCCCATGTAAATTCAATAAAATTCCCACAAGTTCCCGTATAAATTCCCGGGAAAATAGGTAAAATTTCCAAAAATATAAAAAAAAACTAAAAAAACTTAAAAATTAACAAAAATTTAAATTTTAACAAAAAATAAATATTTTTTAAAAAATTTTTTTAAAATTAATAAAAACTTAAATTTTAACAAAAAAAATAAAATAATGTATTTAAGATTTAAAAATAGTTGATAAAAGCATTAATGATACACTATGAGTTATTTTTAGTATTTTAATAATTTTTAACTTTTAACATAATTAATTTTTTAAACAATACTTAATGTTTATAGTTTGTTATATATTTTTATTTTTATACAAATACTGACTGAATACTACTTATTTAACTCAAATTTCGTTAAAGTTTAATTATATTAAGTACAAAATTGAAAATATTTTTAAATTTTTTATTTAAAATTTAAAAATTATTAATAAAAACATAAGTATTTATTGTTTTATTAACTTCTTAAACTTATATTTAAATTGTAATATGATTACTCTTTTCAACAAATAGGTAATTTTTAATTTTTTAGTTTATTTTAATTAAAATAATGTTATTTTTTGATGACTTTTAACGTTATTTTAACTATTTTTAATCAATAATTAGATTTTTATAAATATTAAAAACATAAAAACACTTACTAAAATAGTATCAACTAAAATTAAAATTTTTATAAATTTCAAAAAAATTTTCGGCGCCTTCGGCGCCGAAATTTTAGGGGGGGGGGGGGTCATTTCTCCTCGTTTTTAAGCGACAATTTTTTCAATTTGGTCAAAAAGTCTCGGGGGTAAAATCCCAATTTCTCGATCTTAGGGGGGGTATTTTGGCCTTACCCCCCCTACCCCCCTTACTTAACCCTGGAATATATATATATAAACAACTTTATAGCTACCGGTAATTTAGGGACATTAAAATTGATGGTTTAGTTGAGAATAAAACTAAACTTAAACACCAAATAAAGCAAAAGCAATGCTTTTGTTAAAACCAAATAAAAACACTGATTTGTATATAAGTTATATACACTATATTTACTACAATATAAAATATATCATTGTTTAACATCCCATTTCTATGCAATCATTATCATCATTAAGATTGATATTATAAATAGTAGATGTATTTGTCTTAATATTTATAAGACAAGTCTTGCAACAACAATAATAACAACAAAATTGTAAATTATATACTTATTTCTCTATTAATATATATATATTACTTGACAAAAATGACAAAAATATTTTGTGTTTTTAAATCACTTTTATTATTGAATATAAAAATAATTATATGCTAAATTTGCCTGTTTAGATTTTTAAATATATATATATATATATATATATACTTAATATATATATTATTTTGTAATTAATTGTATAATAAGAAACACAAAATATGTGACAAAATCACAAATATCTTTTTTGTTATAAATTGTTTATTAAGTTTAAATAATTAATTATTAACTAGAAATTGCTAGTCGTGTGTTTGATATTTGATTTTATATTATGTTTGATTTAGTTAATTGGGGTAAATATTATATTAATTAATAAAATATCATTTTGAGTTAATTATTAATAGTTATGAATGATATTATAAATAATAATAATAATATTAAACATTAGATTTGAGTGAATGAGACATTTTATTGTATAATATTAATAACTTTAATTATAAACAAATTATATAATGATTTTCAATGTATGAACTTTTTATATACACTTTTCTTTTTTCACACAAAAAATCAATATTTTGTTACAACTATAAACTTAATATTTGAATTAATTTTATTAGAAATATTTTAAATTTGAATCAAATTTTGAATTTATATTATTTCTAAAATCTAATTTTTAATTTCACTTTTTAAAACTAATTTGCATTAAATTACAATTTAAGTGATTAATGCGTTTATTTCTAATTCACACACGAATTATTTCAAGTAAAAGTTGTTTAAAACTTATTAAATTTATTGTAAAATTAAATTAACAATATTTAGACTTAACAACAAAAAATCTTTATGAAATGTAAATTAAATTATATGCTTATTATAATTATTAATTTTATTAAAACTGTTTTCTAAAAGACTTAACACTACTTTTTAAAAAATTATTTTCTATTTTGACCAATATTACAGTTTAATAAACATTGTACAATTAAAAATATAAATATAATTGATTATTGTGATTATACCCGTTACAATATAAATTAAATTTTTATATTAATATTTAACATTCATTATGAATAACAATCTGTGAAAGTTTGACTAAAATCGGAGATATTTTTAAAGTAGTGTTAAGTCCTTTAATTTCTTTTAATATAAAATTTTATATATAAATAGTTATTAACTCAAAGCTCAATATTTCATGTTTTATTTCACTCATGCATTTTACACGCATTTCAATTGATTATTAAGATTACTTTATTATTAGTTATAATTGTTTATTGATTTTATTTTTTGTTTATTATTTATATTATTGTTATATCTCTAAATAAATATTTTTGGTTTTTTTCATTGAATACAATTTAAGCAATTTGTTAATTACTGGTTAATCAATACTTATTATTTTGTATCTATAAATATAAATATGTAACTTTATATATAAATATAAAGATATATACTGTATAATCGGGATTATTCATGATATAATGTATAAAATTAAAACAAAATGTACACAATAATTATTATACCTGTATAATTTGAAATTTATATTTTATAAATACAATTGTTTGTTAAGATTATACTATTATTTAATGAATTCTATAATCTATTAAACTTATTAAACTATTGATTACTATATTATTGCAATAAAATATTAAAAATTTAAATATTAGTACAAAAAAATAATAAATAAAAGATTGAAAATTGAAGATTTTGTTTATTTATTCGATATTGTCATAAAATTAGTAAATATATACAAAAATTATCTATAATTAAAATTAATAAATTAATGTCACATAATATAACTTATATATGATTTGAAATTTTTATAAACTGATATAAAATATACAAAACAATTGAAGCATTGATTTAGCACTGATTGGGTCATCATTTCTTACGTCGCGAACCGGACGGTCGATCAAAGACCTGTCTCATACCGGCCGCGTGTTGTGAATAAAATTTCGACGATTGAGTGGTCTCTTGATTCCAGCCGCCATCGAAAGCAGTGGTGTCCTGATCGACCAAATGAGTATACTTAGTACGACCGGATCGACCAAAGTTCTTGACCTGCATGACCTGCGGCAGTACTGTTCGGTCGAAATGGTCTTCCAGTGTTGGCTGTGCGAAGTCACGTGTAAAAACTTCGTCTTCTTTATCGAGAAAGAAGACGCCTCTGTGGTAATACTTCTGAAGAAATTTGTATTTTCCTTTTTGTTGTGCATTCGTTACGACCTTCGGATTCTTCTTGAGCTCTTCCAGTCGCTCCTCTTCAGTCATATTTCTGAGTCGTTCGACTTCTTGTTGTTCCCTAACAAAAGAGTCGGATTCATCTTTATCTCTCTTAACTCTCTTTAATTCTCTCAATTTCCAGATTTCATAGGCTGTTTCATCGTCTTCATCATCAGTGAGAACACTGATAATTCCTTGTTTAATGGCTTCCTCTTCCTTCTGTTCTTCTTTTTCCAATTCTTCCCGACGAATGTCTTCTTCAATCATTTTTAATGTTTGTCTCTTTCTCTCTTCTGCCGCACGTTTTTCCATTTCTTTCTGTTGTCGTTCCCTTTGTTCTTCCTTATCCTTCTCCATAACTGTCATTCTTTCTTTTTTTCGGACAAATACCGGCTTCAGTCGCGGTCCGGTCTCATCCTCAGAATCAGTATATTCCTCATATTCTGATTCTTCTTCCTCATCGTCATCTTCATCATCATCTTTATCCAACAGCTCTACCTCTTCAATCTCTTTCCTCATTCTAATCGCTTCATGTCTTTGTTCAACATTCTCATCGTCCATCTCTTCATCATTGGACTCGTCTTCAACTTCGCGTCGACCGCGACGTCTCTTAGGTTCTTCGGTGACCTCTCTGTCCATAGCTTCAGATCCAATCTCCAATATCTGTGGTTGAAGAACATGTCGCCTCACGTGTCGTCTATCAGTTTCTTCATCGTCTTCGTCTTCAGTTTTAACACTGCGTTGAGCCAAACGACGCAATCGTCGGTCATCTGTCGGTATTAAAATATCTTCTTCTTCCATGTCTTCAGTTTTAATGTCTGATTGGAAATCCATATATTGTTGGTCTTTACGTGAATTTGCGGCCGAAATTTTGCGATAATTGGCGGTCAACTCGACATCGGATTCATCGCTCGATTCCGATTCGGAAGACATGCGACGGTCGTCATCATCGGCATAACGAGGTCTACATAAAGACAAATAAAATATTATCAAATAAGTTATAACTAAAAGATATCCGACACATACTTTCTTCCGGTGATATATCTCTGAACTTTCACCTTTTGCATCGTCCGTTCGCCCTTATCATTGGTCACGGCTACGGCACCCGCCGTCGGCAACGACTGATAGTATGTAGAGTTGTTCAATGAAGACATTATTGGTGTCCAAATTGCCACTGTTTTATGTCCTCACAGTTGTGTTAACCACTGGATCTGTTGGTTGTCTTTTTTATGGCAAACAAATAGTTGTTTTTTAATTAGTGTTTGTGTTTAACAACAACACTGTTATTGACTTCAATGTATTTGTTATACACTAGAGGTCTCCCATTGTTTGGTTAATGTATTGGTTAGTGCAATACATTTGATGAGAACCGTTCATTGAGTCCACAAACTTATTGATTACAATTATTTTTATAATTTAATTATTAAATTTAATAAAATTTTAATAAAAATAAATTATTTATTTATTTTTAAAAAACTTGATAATTATAATATACAAGTGATTTGCTAGTAATCGACAATTGATTTTCCAATGTTAACGGGTAAACGGGTCGGACAATACATAGATTGAGACAAACATATCTATTATATTATTTATATTGGGATTCAATGCGCGAGTGAAAGCATTTTGAAGACATGTATTCATATTATTATTATTATTATCAATACATTCACACATAGAGTGTGTTGTTATGCTTTGACTGTCACTCAAGTGTTCATTCAATACACGACTGCATTGACAGAGGAGTTGTCTGTGAAGTGCTGTTAAAGTCTTAATAATAATAATAATAATAAATTAATGTCAATAATGCCATACAATGTTGTAGTTGTGGCCAAAAGTGATGGTATGGTAGACGTGTGACACCAAAAATCGGGTGACAATATCACAACAATGAGTGTATCGATGACCTCATCGCCGTCGTTGTCGACCGATCTGAACACCAGCGGTATTAACGACTCGAGTTTCTTTGGTCGCGACCCGTTCTCGTTGGCGCTGACCAAACGACAGACATATAAAGATCGCCGAAAGAATTACAGAATCGAAAAGAAGAAGGTGGCCGACGAACTCATGTCCACATTGAAAGATCCGACTGTTGTCGTGATGACTGATTGGCTGAAAGTACGGTCAACATTGAAACAGTGGAACAAATTCTGGTGTGAACTAAGACCCGGGTTGTTGTTGTTGCATAAGTCGGCCAATACTGAGAAGTCTGGCGCGTGGGTCGGCACTATCATCATCAATGTCTGCGAAGTTATCGAAAGACCCTCCAAGAAGAACGGCTTCTGCTTTAAACTGTTTCATCCATTAGAGCACCCGATTTGGGCGCCAAAGGTTTGGACACACATTGCATACCATTTGTCCTCTTTTTTTTGCATACCTTTCTCTGATGGCATTTCTCACTATATTCTGTTATTTTCTCATTTAATTAGTTATTTATTTACTGAATATTCCGATGATTTGCATACCGTTAATACATTATTATTATTATTCATTATTAATAATAACAACATTATTGACATAAATTTTTATGATATACAATATCACTGTAATTAGTAATTAATTCATTGAGTCATAAAAACTTAATTACATTACTAATACAATATTGATAAAACCATTAATAGATTTAATTGTAGTATAATTGCAATAATAATAATTATTATTATTACAGCCGTAATCAGCACTTATTTATACACTTAAATGATATATAGTGTACTATATATTGTATTTATTACTTATTTTTCCTTTAAAAATTCAATATTTAATTGCCGTTAAAAACCACATAATAATTAAAGTTTTATATAATCTATTTTTATTATTTGTTTCTATAATTGTTTTATTTATTTCGATATTTTTTGTTAATAATTAATATTTGCATTTTCCCTTTCCTTTCCTTTCCTTTTTTTAACTTCACTGACATTAGGGACCACACGGCGAGTCGTTTGCATCGATAATGTTTCCGTTGCCGATGTCTTATGTGATATTCAGAGCGCCATCAGAGGCCGCGGGCAAGAAGTGGATGGAAGCTATAGAGTTATCGCTTCAGTGCTCGACTCTATTGCTGAGGGGTCAGTCACATAGAGAATCAGTCCCTACAACGCCAGCAGCGCTGACATCGATGCCGGAAATTTGTCCCACATTTCCCGATCCTTTAACCACTGGAATGTCGCATAATTTAAATGAATCGGAAATTGAAAAACACTTTGGAGATCATGGTTTGTGAAATAGTTACCAACATTTTTAATGATGGTTTATAATTATCGTAATTGAATTTTATGGACAGATCTCGACGATGAAATCCATACGGATCACGGAGGAGACTCACAGGACCACCATTCTAGCGATGAGAGTGATTCCGATGAGCAAACACATCGTGATATGAATGACATCGATAGTTACAACACCAAAGTCTGTGAAACCCACTATGCATTTGATGGCGCCATTGAAGAGTTTGGTATTGCGGGTGACGCCGGTCAGACTGAGGAGATTGCTGATGAAAACAAGAGTTTAATATGGATTCTACTGAAACAAGTGAGACCAGGAATGGATTTGTCGAAAGTAGTGTTACCCACATTTATTCTGGAGCCGCGATCTTTTCTCGATAAACTTACCGATTATTACTATCACTCGGACATTATTTCCAAGTAATTATTTTATTGTTTACTAATTACCGATAATTAAATTTACTAAAAAAAATATTTGTATAATCTGTTAGAGCTGTTATAGAAGATGATCCATTGCTTCGTATGAAGCTAATAGTGAAGTGGTATTTATCGGGTTTCTATAAGAAACCTAAGGGACTAAAGAAACCTTATAATCCGATTCTCGGCGAAACGTTTCGATGCTATTGGTCTCATCCGGATACTGATTCGCGTACTTTCTATATTGCCGAACAAGTATCACATCATCCACCGATTTCAGCATTTTATGTTACCAATCGTAAGGATGGTTTTTGTATTAGTGGCTCGATTTTAGCCAAATCCAAGTTTTATGGGAACAGTATTTCGGCAATATTGGAGGGAACGGCTCGTTTAAAACTGCTGTCACGCGGTGAAGACTATTTTGTTACCTTTCCCTACGCTCATTGTAAAGGTATACTATTGGGTACTCTGGCTCTTGAATTGGGTGGTAAAGTAAACATTAGATGCGAAAAAACTGGTTATAATACGGAACTGGAGTTTAAATTGAAGCCATTTCTCGGTTCGTCAGATATGTGTAATTACGTGAACGGAAGAATCCGTTTGGGAAATGAAACTTTGGGTACCATTGAAGGTCATTGGGATTCCGATATCTTTTATAAGGATAAGCGTATCGGCGAATCGGAATTGTTTTGGTCGCCGACTCCAATCATCAAACAAAGTCGTCTCAAAAGATCTCTCGTACCACTCAGTCATCAGAAAGAATTTGAGTCGGAAAGATTGTGGCTCAAAGTGACTCAAGCCATCCAAAGACAAGATCAAATTGAAGCCACTGTCCAAAAGTCTATCCTCGAAGAGGAACAGCGAAATGCAGCCAAAGATCGTTTGAGTAAAATGGAGAAATGGATACCAAAGTTGTTTGTTTTTGACGCCCATAATAGCGATTGGAATTACATTCCGGCTGATGTCAGACCATGGGATCCGCGAACTGATGTCAAACAATATGAATTCGATTATGTAATTCAAACAATTACCAGACATCGGACACCAAATATAGGCGTTGTATCGGCTAATAGCGTCAATGTCGAGCAAAATAAGTTATCGCTTGACGTCCCTATGCGCTCACCAAAGAAACACTTCCGTAAATACCAAAGAAGTGGTTCGTGTGCTTCGGAAGAGTCATCCAGTGTTGGTCTTGACGGTCATGAGTCGAGTGAAAGTGAAGGCCTCACACCAAATGATATACCAAATGAGTCTAATGTTAAGTCACTTAAGAAATTGTTTGAATCAATCGATGAATTTCATAAACAAACAAACATTCAGTTGAATACATTGCATAACAACATGAATATATTGTTAGAGACACAGACAAAGTTATACCGTCAGTCGTGCTCAGGTAGGAACAGGAGTGCCGACACACACTCACCACTTGCTGGTCGCCGATCGTTAAGTGATTTGTCAATAATTGTTGTGATAATTGTTACGCAATTGGTTTTCAATTGGCTATTAAAGTAAATGTATCTATCATTGTATTAAAAAAAACATTCAACATTTGGAAAGGACATGAATTATTTGGTCGTTTAATCCAATAATGGTTATACCATATGTTGCTTTTTAATGGCATTCCTCATAACATAAGCAGTACATTATATACACATAGAGAGTGATAACTTGTTTTGTTTTATATGTTGTTTCAATTTTTCAAATCATAGTTTTAGATGATATATTGAATGAACCATATAATGAAACATGAAGTTTGAATTATTATTTTAAAAATGGTATTCAATATTACAGTATTTGTGATAAAACCATTAATATATACAATTAATACTAATAACTATGTTATTATACCTAGTGTATAATCTTTATATATATGTATAATAACACAAAACCATTGAGTTTATATGTAATTGATTTTAATTTAATTTTTTAAAACAATTTTTATTATAATCTAGTCTAGCGGTTATGTTTTAAGAGTCCAGATATTATATACATATTTCTATAAATTATTTTAAATTAAAATTATTTGTCTGTCATATGTTTTATACAAATTCACAAAATATTTATTTTTTAATTTAAATATTTTTATTTTGAATTAATGATTAATTATATATTTTTGTCTAAACTATTTTTATTTTCACGGTTTATTTATTGCATATTTTCAAATTAATTTAATTAATCATAAATGAATTTTTTTTTCATAAAAAATGTTAAAATAAATATAAATTGCAGAAATGTTAATCAATATTTAAATATATATTTAACTTAATTTTTAAATTTTTAAAATATTATGTTTTGACAATTTTTCTAATATTTTTTCTAAATCTTTTCACTAAATTTCATAAAACAAATCATTATAAATATAAATTTTGTATTATTAGTTAAATGTTATTATATTTATTTGACAATTATATAATTAATTATTTTATTTTTCACAACAAAAATATTAATTAAAAATAATGTTATGTTTGTAATTAACTTTAATTTATTATACAGTTTTAGACAATATTTAAAATGTTATATACATTGCGTATAAATGAACGATATTCTAGCAATTGATGATAAATTTTATGACTAAACCATATGACTAGTTGTAGGCAACGAAAAAAATGATCAGAAAAATAAAAATATAATTTATATTTTAAATAAAGAATTTATTAGACAGTATTAGGGTTTGCAGATAATTAGGCCCTTAATAGCATTGAAAACAAATGAATCGATATTTTAGTTGATATAGTCGTCGATGAAATACAAACACTATTTTATAGTAACTTAACATAAGAGGAAAGGGAGAGAGAGTACGACTCACTACTTACTCTTCACAGGCGATCAATAATTTAATGGCTTATACCGTAGTTAACTGATTGATAGGTCAGATGCGCGACACTTACCGGACAACACAAACACACACAACATATACCTTATAATCAAAACATATTTTTGTTATTTTATATATTTATAAAAATATTTTAGACAATTGATTATATAATTTTAGTTTAGTTTTAATAAATAATTTCAAGTAAACATATTTTTTAGTATATTGAATGACATATTAAGGAAAGTGATAATTGATAAGAAAAAATGAGTTACATATTGAAAGTCAAGTCTCAATTGAATGACGTATTCTCTCAATTTGGTAAATATATAGCACCGACCTATTATCACGACAGGTGTGAAAGGTATGACCACATCATTTCATATCTTGATTATTCAATTAGTAATTTTTTAGACATATAAAACATATAATATTGTTATATATGATAACTTATTATACTGTATTATATATAAAATAATAGGATATCAATTACAGAATATTCTTTGATTATAATTATTGACAATAAGTTTTAAGCTATGATTGGTAACAGTTGTCTGTCTAAAACATACTACTTGTAGGTCATTGCAAATGTATTTGTATGTTATGCACAAACGGGAGATTCTGTTATCACTGTTAGCCCTGATATCTGCGTACATATTGTTATTATTCATTGGTTTCGCCGGTCCTAACGTACACAAAGAAAACCAGATAACAGCCAAACAGATTTTCGACGATTCGAGCATTAATGAGACCTACAGAAGCGGTCTCATGTCTTCGGGACCATTTGTGGTCACAACAACATCTCTCAACACTTACTCTCAACAGCTCTGTTTGTTTCTGACATTCCATCTGAAGAACGAAGAAGCGTCGGAAGCATTTCATAAGGAGATCGGTGTCGACATACAGTTGGACGGTATTGATGAAAGCAATCGCAATACCACAATCATCAGCGATGGTCGACTTGTGTATCAGCTCTACTGTGGCGGTCGTCAGTGCGAACCCATACAAGTGATTCACTTGACATACATAGCGTACAAACACTATAGAGTTCACATCACATTTGAAAAACTCGAATCAGTCAACAACAAGTACACCATCGAAGACATCACATTCACCTTTCAGTCAATTAACACATCATTTACCACTCTATCCATTTGGTTTCGCTTCTTCTTCCTGTTGATCGCTTTTTGTGTTATGTTTTGGTTTACTCATAGTCTCTATCGATTCCCAATTGCCGACTGGTCTCTGGAGCAAAAGTGGACCTCACTATTGCTATCGTTGTTGTTGGTAACCAACAATCCCTTTTATCCGATGCAGTTTCTATTGGGCTCATCCCTACCGCGTGTTATGGAAGTACTATTTCAGTGTTCACTCATGAGTGCAGTCCTGTTGTTTTGGTTGTGCTTTTATCACGGCATCCGACAGAATAACCGTTTGCTTTCAACGTTTTATGCGCCAAAAGTCGGTCTCATTTTTGTTCTCTGGATTACAATGATCTCAGTTATGGCCGGTTCGGTGACCAATCAATTAGAGAATCCTATTTACGATGAGACCAAACATTTTCAGAGCTCAACCTTTTTGCAGGTAATGTCAGACAAACGTATAATATTAAGCTTTTTATAATTAATAAAAAATGTGACTAACAATTGATATACCATTTCTATAAATATTAATTGATATGATATTTCTTTTTTTTGCCAATAGTTTTCAAATGCAATTTTCTATATTCTCTTAATCGGTTATTTCATATACTTATCACTGCTGATGATGTCGGCGTTTACTGAGCTCCGATCGATGCCATACTTCGACATACGACTAAAATTACAGTCATTTTTGATGATTTTTGTGTTGACAGTATCGTTGTTGACAATAGTATTATCTTCGTCGTCATCAGCCATCAGTCGAATACCATTTCTTCAGATTCTTCCCTTTAGCTATTATTACGGCTCTTCGGCTTCATTTTTATCACTTTTCTCGATAGTAAACCTATATATATGTATCTGTGCTTATTATTACAGACCGTCACACAATCAGCACAATAATGGTTAGTCTTTCCTCTTCTGAAAACAAATAAATTAATTTACTATAGATTTATATTTATATATTTATATAAATATATTTTTGTTTTTGATTAGACTGTCGTGTTGTACGCGACAATCCCACGCTTTCGATGATCAATGACTCCGATGAAGATGTCATATATGGTTCCGACACTGAAGAGCCACTTCAACCTCAGCCCAAACTTATTGATACCAAGAATGACGACGAAGAGAGCGATTGATAATTACTGTGCCATTACTTGAGGAGCTGTTTGTTGTGGTTAACAATTATTTAACTTAAAAGAGACTATATTTCAACAATTTTACTATCAATTATTGATTATATTTTTAATTAATATTTATGAGTATTATTGAGAATTTATTTTTAAATTTTAAACATTTAGTCAAAAATGTAAAATTATAATAATTAAGATAATTTTACATTTTATTTACATACTAAATGGTAAAAAATAAATACTCATGTTTTACAATAAGTTAATTTATGTTGTTTTTTGCAATCATCATCTTTTTTTTAGTTCAATTCATTATTATTTGTTGTTTATGATAATTGAATTATTTAATACTGTATATTATATTATAAAATAAATATAATATAACGTTTTTAATTATATTTTTTTATCTGTTTACCATTTGCCATGTTTAATATTTATATGTTTTAACAATTGTGTCTATAAATTGATATTAATTGAATTTTTAAGCATGTTAAATTAATAATAATAAAAAACAATTAAAGATTGAGTGTTTGAATGTTTTTTTTATCAAAATTAATTTCCGATTCATAAATTGATAAAATAGTTAAAATGTTTGAATTGCACAAAATATTTAAATATTTAAAATTACATCATTATATTAGATTTAATGATTTCCAAAACTTATTAAATTTACAGCACATAAACTCATAAAAAATAATAATGACAACAAAATTATGTATATTTAAACTAAGCAAATGTTGTCAAAAAATTATTATCAAAAAGTTTTGGATGTCATCCAAAATACAACAGTATTTTTACACAATTGATAGTATTTGCTATTATTAGACGATACTCTCGGCAAAAGGGATTGAKTTTTTTTTTGGAGGAAAGTTAGAGTTTATAATGAGGAATGTCTGACGAGAAAGAAAACACAACTAATTAATGAACTATTTTTGTTTGGTTTGATCTCTTATTGACAAAAAGTTTTTAACATAACATCAAATCTCTTTGAGTTGTTGTTATTGATGTGCTATCAACATACCGGTGCAAATGATAACTTAGTGATTAAATAGTCATTTCAATCGATATACTAATCATAGAGTATATAAGTCATGAATGTTAGCAAAGGTATAGCCATCGCGTCCAAGAAATACTCTCCGGGAGATGTTATAGTCAAATGTATGCCATTATTACATATTGTTAAGTATGAGTATAGAGACCGGTGTTGTGACTATTGTCTTCGGTTTAGTAATCATTTGAAGAAATGTAGTAAATGTGGAAAATTAAACTATTGTGACCAGACTTGCCAACGACACGACTGGCCATTTCATAAGCTCGAGTGTCCCGTTATTTCAAAGTATAAACTATTGAATTTTGAAAAACAAGGCTATGATTATATGCAACGAATGGTACTTCGCTTATATCTAATGTGTGTCTCAAAGCCTGAACTATTGAACCGTCAATTTCCGTTGCATAATGGTTTATACCGTTCCCTTAATAATATGGAAAGTCATTCAAAAGAGATCGAACCGACCAAAGCTTTTGAAGGAATTGTCAACTATTTTAAGTTGTATTCAATCAATGGTTATGACAGACAATTGTTGCTTAAACTTTACGGTATTTTGCAAATCAACGCGTTTGGTATCGACAGCTATGATGAGGAAAGAGGTATTTGTCACTGCGCTTCGGGACTCTATATCGAAGGTTCGGTATTTGATCACAACTGTCAGTCTAACGCCTGTGCGTCGGGCGAGGGATTAATACTTGAAATACGGGCGCTTAGAGACATCAATATCGATGAAGTGATTACAATAGATTATATACAAAATATATTACCAAAAGAAGAAAGACATTCAATACTGATGGACAGGTATTACTTCAAGTGTCAGTGTTTCAAATGTCAATCGGATTTCGACGAAAAGTTTGATTTTCAAAAGTTTAATAAATTACAAAAAGAAAGCGAAATCATTGATTCATCTATCAGTGCCGTCAACTGTCGTACGCGTCACGAGTTTGTCCGCCAATATTATCCTCACTTTCATCCAAACTATACTTACTTTCTCTACGAATCACTTAAATATAAGCTATCTTTGCTCAGAACTAATCATAACTTAAATGCCAACAAAATTCAACACAAAAAACTTGTTAAAGAAGTTAAGGATAATATGAAAGTAACGCATGGATTGAATCATACTTTCTATAAAATGCTGGTTTCAGTCATTAAACAAGACTTTTAATTTGGTTTTTCAATGCTTTTATATGAATACTATTTTATTGTCTCTTTTATCTAATTTTATTTATATTTGAATTGTAAGTTACAATAAATATATTAATAAAATGCAGAAAAAATAGTATATACAGCATAATAATTGTTAAATTTGAGTTAAATATTTTTTGTGTGTAACAATTTTGGTAATTTTTTTTAATTATTAATCTAAACTTAATAGCAATGTAATCAATAAACGATAAAAATGAATAATCAAAAAAATTTAATAAAATAGTAAACAAGTTATCAAATCTGAAGTCAAACATATGCTTTTCTATTGTTTAAAAAGTTATTTAATCAGTTAAACCTTTAACAATTCAGATCAAATATTAACACTTTATGAATATACCGGTATATACGATATTTTATGATTAAATTTTTCTATTATATTGAATAACAAGTCAAAAGTACAATATGTTATTAATTTTTTGGCAAAATGTCAATTAAGAAGATTATATTAAGAAAATTAAAACATGTTTTAATTGATTCCGGATTAAACTATAGACACATTAGTAATCTTAGTGTAATTATAATAATAATTGTTAAGATATTTTGAACATATACTGTATGTTAACTTATTTTAGATGCGTTACTGTTTTATTAAATAAATACTAATTATAGCTAATTATTAGTTGAGTTAATATTATTAGTTATGAAATACTACTAATTTATATGATAATTTTTTTACAGTTATCTATTATCTATTAAAAAGCTATTGAATATATATCTAAATTAAATGTCATTGCCAGCTAATTAATGTGTAATTGATTAATTATAATAAAAAAATGACATAACAATAGACACTGAAATTATGTATCCCATGATACTGTATATGTAGCAAAAGATGAGATAATCAATTATTTGGATCCAAAAGTTTAGTACAAAATAAAATCAATAAATAGCTTAAGTTTTTAATGAAAAATGCTTTTATTTAGTAATCAAAGAGTATTAATAAAATATAGACAAACAAAATGAAGATAATTTTAGTATTAGTTTTAGTTCAATACTACATAACCAATGTTTATACGGCAACTGTCAATAAAGTGGTCAGTGCTGATGAAAATGGTTTGATATTTTTTTATTGAGTTCATTTTATCATAGATTGAAATTATTGTTTATCTGTTTAGGTATCTTTGAGGTGACATATCCAGGAATAGGACATTTCACACTAAAGGACTTTTATGACCCTATATGGCGACCATTGGTTTTGTTGCCGCAAAGTCCCGAACATATAAACACCAAATTCTTGCTCCACACCCGACAGAATTTGAAGACAGCTCAGGTACTCAAACAGGGAGATCTGGACGCCATCAAGAACTCATATTTTGATGGCAACAAACCGACCAAATTTATTATTCACGGATTTCTTGATAACCAATTATTTGGCGAATGGATGAGAAAAATGAAGGATACATTTCTTGAATCAAATGATTACAATGTCTTTATTGTTGATTGGAGTGGTGGTAATGGTCTGCCATATACTCAGGTATGGTTTATTCAAAATAACTTTTGATAAAAATTTATTTTTATTTTATTTTTAGGCAACGGCTAACACCAAAGTTGTTGGACCAGTCATTGGATTATTTATTAATGATCTTAAGGTATAATCTATTAGTTGTTCGATTTTTTTTTTTTTAATAATATACAGTATTTAAGTTAAATTTTTTTATTGAATAAAATTATATATAGACTACTAAAAATCTGAAAGTCAGTGATGTCCATATATTGGGTCATTCATTGGGCTCACATGTGGCCGGTTATGCGGGTGAGAAACTTAATGGAACAGTTGGTCGTATAACAGGTCTAGACCCGGCCGGACCCTATTACGAGGGACTGACCTTTCCCGCCGCCAAATTAGATCCAACTGATGTAAATAATTGTTACACTAAAACTAAATATTGAAAATTCAATTTTATTATTATTAACAAATTTTTATTATCAGGCCGTCTTTGTCGATGCCATACATACAGATGCTCGACATCTGATCCCAGATCTGGGCTTTGGTATGTATGAGACTTCTGGTCATTTGGACTTTTATCCCAATGGAGGACACGATCAAACGGGATGCGACACTCAGAGATGGTTATCAATTATTACTGATGGTATTTATTTTATTTATATTTAATATTATTATATTGAATATATTTATTATAAAGTTTTTCACTCGTATCCTATCCTATAGGTCTTATGGAGGGTGTGCGCCGTATGGTGGCTTGTAATCATCAAAGGGCTGTCGACTTTTACTTGGCATCTATAGACCGAAAAAATATAAAAGGTGTGAGTTATCAGTGCAAGGATTTCGATACATTCAACAATGGTTTGTGCGTTGATTGTGGACCTAATAACGACAAGTGCGCTGTTTTGGGTGATGAAGCCATTCAGTCACAGAAATACGAGAAGAGCATAGTTGGCACCCGATTCTTCCTCACCACTGATGGAAAATCTCCGTATTTTAGTTAGTTTTTAACTAATTTTTAAAAAATAATTATTAACTCATAAATAATTTTCTAAAATTTTATTTTAATTGATTTTTTCTTTAGAATATGAATACGAAGTTCAAATAAAAATGGCCGACGATGGCGTCGACAATCACGGTGTGGTCACTCTCACACTTCATGGTAATAACGCTCAGACACAGATCCAGTTGAATGACAAGTAAATTATAAAAATTGTTAATAAAAATTAATGTATTTTAAAAATGTAATTTTATAATTTTTAATTTATTAAGAGACCAGATATTTCATTTGGGCCAAACCTATACGTTTATAGTTAGATCCGATGCCAATATCGGTGACATTACAAAAATGACATTCAAATGGCACCGAACTCTCGGATCAATTATCCATCAGAAGATGTGGATCGACAGCATTACTGTGGATCCAATTTCATCGGACAATATTATGGACAAACAGTCAGTATTTATAATTTTTTACAATAAAAAATGATTAATTTATTTGTTTGATCCCAGAAAACATATGAAAGAAATTAGGACTTTCTGTGCTCCGGTCAAAGGGGAAGGCATTCAAAATGAGAAAGAAATCGATCTTTTGGACAGTTGTTAATAGTAAAGCAATTATAAATAGCCGACAATAAATCATTTAATATAATAAAAATTAAATTAATTTCCATAATTTTCAACACTTATACAATTATTTTTTTAAATACAAAATTTTTATACGCGTTGTTAGATAATAGATATATATATTATTTACCGCGTCTACGACCTCCACCTAATTGGCCGCCAAATAATCGGCGAATGGTTCGTCCAACGCCTCCAACTACACCTCTTCTTCTACCTCTCCTTCTGCGAGCTGTCTGTGCTATAATAAGATGACATATAATTGCAGAGTTAATAATTTAAAAAAAACTACAATCTCTTGCCTCCACCATAAGCACCATTGACGCCACCGTAACCATACCCATAGCCATATCCATTACCGTAACCATACGGATATAGAGCACTGCCAAGTAATAGATAATAGAGACCCAACTTTTTTATTATTGGCGATGATTTTTTCACAGCAAATCTATTACCATTTGTAACATTATTTCTCATATAATTAGCCCAATATTTCTTGTTTTTATTGAGTCGATATCTATTGATTATATTGGTTTGTCTATCTCTGAATAACTGTTGTTCAGTATGACTATCCTCCCGGCGCTGATGTTGTTGATTGACTAGATTGACGGCACCACACGATTCCTTTAATAGAAATTCTATAATTATACTAAAACTAACAATTATAAGACATAATAAAGTCATTTGATTTGTTTTTTAAAATTAAATTATTATATATTTTTAAAAATCAGTGTTTTATTATATAATTTGAAAACTGAATTTCAATATAGATTTGACACATTTTCAAGAAGAAATATCAATACCAAGTAATTAACATTAAAAATTGAGTATTAATTTATGTATTTACTAACAATACATGTGTGACATATATCTATGATATAACAGCAGATATTAGGTCATTGATTATATTTTCATCAAAATATATTTATTCATAATTAAGTTCACATTAACATTAAATATTGAAATATTTATTATTTGCATTGTTTGAGTAACAGTTTATGTAAATAATAAATATACATTTATATACATTAGCCCAAAAAATATATAATTAAAATTTATTTTAACAAATCAAACATTTATTGAACTAATGGTTTTCTTATTACTATTGTATTGATTAGTCGACTGTCCCGTTGTTTTCTTTGAATTAATACTTTCCGACAGACTATTGGTTTCTCTGCCCATTATTTCCGACATATCTGTGATATGATTGCTTTCTTGACTTAAAAAGTGTACAAAATTTTCTGAATAATATCGATCTATATTTTTTCTACCGACACACTTATGGGTATAACATAATAATAAACCAATTAGTATACCGATTGCCATTGTCTCACAGTAGACATAAACCAGACATCTTGTGTAATATTTTGTATTCTCAATAATGTCTGATAGGTATGATTGAGCTGACATTGTGATAGCCATTGTCATCAATAACATGACAATCACTGATAACCAAATATATCTGATTGCAAGCCATGAGGTTCTGTTGATAACTCTTTTATTGTAATTCTTTGCCATTTTGTAGTAAATGTATAGCAATACCAATGCTATGGCCAATGAAATTGTATTTATCACTAAACCCGTTGACAAACATAATAATATATTATTTAGTGATCTCTTATCTGAACATGCAATACATGTATAGGGCTTTTCAAGATTTAAATGAAAATATTGCATAAGGAATGGGATCAAATTGATTACACCCAACAAAAATACCATAAACTCAAACCAACGCATTTCAGGTGCTGGCAATAAATTTGCAATTTTGACTTTTTCTTTGCACTTATTTAATGGTAACATTTGATAGTTCATATTAATCATATCGACAACATTTATAGGTTTTATCAATAACTTTACTTTAGCTTCTAATCCATCGGCTGTTTTCATGTCTCTCATCTCAAACCTACCAATTCCTGCGTTTGCATTGTAGGAGTTGTGATTGAGACGAATATAATGGACTTCATTAAGAGGTTGGTCCCGGTTTAGGATAAACCTAATGCCTTTAGTATGCGAACTCACATAATAACTGTTTCTAATCAGCACTTTAGGCGGTGTCGAGAATCGGGTTATCAGACGCTTCCTGTGATTATACAATGAATAGTTAAAAGTTGTTGATTTTGAAAATGTTTGACTCAGCTTTTCGTATGACATTGTGATCAGGTATTGATATTTTGGTCGATCTATACACTTGTCTTTGACTTGTGGTAACTCATATTCACGTTTACTAAAATAGCAAATAACTAAACAAATGACAATAGTTGTCATCCAAATCAAACTTATTATAATAAATGGCCCAAAAAGATAAACTTTTTCATATATAAACATCATTCATACAGTGATGTCAAGTAATTGCAAATTTTATTACTGTTAATATAGCAATTTAAAATAAATCTATTAATTGTTTTTGAATGTTACTTCAATTATTTATCCAAATAATTTCATATCGTTAATAACGAGCCCAACAAAATATTATGTTATCAATCATTATTATTCATTATTTTACAGTTAATTTTAATGACAGTTAATTAATCATATGTTTTCAAAACAAAAGTTTATAGGTTTTGTCAAAGTATTGTTGCGATTGAGATTGAATTTCAAGTCTTTCAAAACTTTTCACTTTAGCTTATCTTATGACCAAAACATTACCCAAACATCACATTAAACTAACCAACTGATCATTCAAACAGTTATCCCCAGAGAGTCTTATACAGCGGCGATGATAACGGCGATGCTATTAATTACAATTATTTGGTCAACAATACGTTGAATTAAATAGTGACCAAGGACAATGTTGTAGATAATTTTAAACTAAATAAAATTGTAATTGGTAAATTTTTTAACTAATTGTATTATATGCCAGATAATTTACAGTCGACTGTTTCAAAAATTTATAAATGATAGTCGACTGTAATTATCTAGCAAATCATACAACTAATAACCAATTACAAAATTATCCAGTTTAAAATTACCTATAACACTGCCCTTGGTTACTTTTTAATTCAACGTATTGTTGACCAGATAATTGTAATTAATAGCATCGCCGTTATCATAACCGCCGCTTTAAGATTATCTCTTTATCCTTACTTAGACTAACCTAACTATAAGAAAAATTAATATATAAACGAAATTAACAGTTTATATACTCATAATAAACTAGATATAAATATTATTAATTGATACTAAAAGTAGTAAAATTATAGATATATTTTAAAGACTTAATTGTATATATTTTTATTGATTTTTGACGAAAGATTACTAAAAACATTAAACAGTGTTCAGCTATTCAAGAATATTCTTAGCAAAATATAATTGACTTATAATAATTGACACTTTTATTATCTGTTTAAATAGTTATAAATACATGTACTATGAATATAAAATTATAAAAATTGATTATTTTTCTAACAATCATTAAATTTCTAATCAAATATTCAATATTTGATGAAATAGATAAAGATTTATGATTCAAATAATGGAAAATATGTTAAAACATATTAATACATTCAATAAAAAGTTAATTTAAAACTTGTAAAAATTAGTATAAATAGTTGAAAATATTTTGAAAGAAATATTAGTAGCAATAGTATTGTTGGTCACATATCATATCAATTTTTACTATAACTAATAATTTTTAAATTTCATTTGTTATTTTGTGAGTTTTTATTTAAATTTGATAAATTCGAGTTTTTACCACCAATTTTATATGTGACCAAAAAATGGCACAAATTTATAGCAAAGAATCGTTTGATCGTTTCGGTGATGATTTGTGTGAACTATTGCTAAGCTATTTACCGTTTGACGACAAGTTTCGCTACGAATGTGTGTCCAAACAGTGGCAAAGAGTTGTGTTCATCAAACAGGAGGAACTGATAATCGGTGACTCTATCTTAGCAAAGATTATGTCACGACTGGTACCACAAGACAAAGCTTTGAAGATATTTCAATCGGTACTCACAAAGTGTCCGAATATTAAGCGAATTGAATTAACTTTCGGTTTAAACGATTCTATCATTGAATTAATAGTAAACTGTTGTCATTATTTGCGTGAATTTTATTGGGAGTCGTATGGAATCAGTGAAGAATCCATCGAAAACTTCTTCCGGACCTTCTCTTCCCGTCTCTCAAGACTCAAATTTTCGTCATTTTTTACAAACGATGAGAGATTTCCGCAAACTCTTCAATTGTGCAAAAACTTGTCAATTGTCGATTTCAAGCACTTCGATGGACTGTCGTATTTGTTGACCGATGAAGAAAGTCCAAGAAAAGGACTTCTAAAGAATCTTCAATTATTGCGCTTCACTTATGGTGAGGGAGACCAACCATACTTTAAGTCATTTGTACGAAACTATCGAAAGTCCCTGAAGTCAGTTGATGTGACAATTCATGACTCGTGCAGTCAAACAGATATCAATGACCTCATCAATGGTTTGTCACAAATGAATTCATTGAATTCGTTGTTTCTGACTTTCGATGAGCAGACGCCACCATTAATGGCAATTCATGTGAAACAAATCGGTCTCAACTGTCCGCACATCAAATGTTTAAGTCTTATCTTTGATCACAATTCTGTGGATGAGTTTTATCATATAATTAATACCATAAATAGACATTTCCCACGATTACAGCGTTTGACAATCAATGTACAAATCGACGATATCTTTGAAATAATGACCGATTGGTTGAAAAATTGCAAACGATTGACACACATAGAGATCAATAATTTTTCCGACAGTTTTTATCGATACTTCGTTAACAACAAATTCTTTGACAAAATTGACGACAATTTTCCTAATCTTCAGGTGATTATTGGATCACAAGTTAAAGTGACGGATAAATCACTTGAGTTGTTGTCGAAACTCACAAAATTACAAACTATTAGACTCTATGGTATTAAAGACATCACCGAAAGTGCCGCCAAATATCTAATAGAGAATTGCTGTAAATTACAAGAATTCAGTATTAATGACAAACATCTCATTTAACCATTTTTTTTGTGACTAACATTTTTGTTTATATTTGTTACCTTGATAATTTTGATAATTTTTATACTTTTATACTTTTTATACTTTTTATACTTTTTATACCTTTTATACCTTTTATATTTGCTTATTTTAAAACTTATTTTATGCGACATTTTTTTGTTAATCAACTGATTTTTTTGTCAATTTTATAGATTGTTTCCAATATATTATTATATGCTAATAGTATTTATATTGTATTTTATTGTTAATTTATTATTATTAGCTAAACTAAACATTAGTTTATTGCTTTTTATTGAGTTTAAAAAATTGACCAATTTTAATGTTAATCAATTTCAATATTGACAAATAAAATATTTTGTTAATGTTATTGATTTAACTGAAACAATGTTATACAAAGAAATCAAAGTACAAAATAAATTTATTAATTTGAATTAAATTTTATCTCAATTTTTAATTTGAATAGCGATTAATATTTTTGCGAAATATTAAAATTGTTTGTGTATTGCGTTAAGATATTATAACTAATTTATACATAAAAATTACATAATTTGTTAAATCAGAAATTATGATAAAAAGTTATGTAAAAAATATTTCAATATTACCGTAAATATAATTATATTAATATTAAAATTTTAATACTCTATTAATAGGATATTAGAGATTAAAATAGTAGTCAATTGATAGCACATTCTAGTGTTGAATACAATAAACAATTGATTAAATAAATAGCAGTTGTGTTGACAACACTAAACATTTTTAGTATTAATATTAATACTAATATACAGTATATAAACAATACGTGTATTTAATTTACTATAAATTAAATAATAACTGTTTGTTGACTGCAGTGGTCATCACAACTGAAAGTATAATTCAGATAATAACTGATAACCACTTCTTTGACCACATTTTTGTATATAAATGGCTGTAAGTATTGATATAAATACTGCTAGAAATTTGTGATGTGTCACACAAAACACACATTATTGATGATCACCTCAATTGATCCATAAGTCTGATATGAATGAGTGGTAATATCTTATAGGTTCAAAAGGGAAAGGCGGCCACAAAAGGCCAGAAACAGATCGTAGAGGACAACAAAGCGACGCTCAAGTTTTACTCAATTATGTCCATCACATCCATGGCAAGAGTTTTAGTCGTTTAATACAATTAGTGATTCATTTTAATGATTGTTTGTTTTTATCTTTAATTACAGTTAATATACATCTTAACAATGCATTTATTTTTCAGCCAATTATTGACTTTTAAATATTTGGTAAAAAGACGTAATCTTACCACTGATTGTCACAATAAATGTTTATTTTAGTTTATATCAGTACTTTCGGGTTCAATATATTTAACGGCATTTTCAGTAATGAAATATATGGCAAAAGCTGTCTATTCAAGTACTGGTGCTCTGGTCGACGGTGGCATTGATCTCAATATGGAGAGTGGTTTCGCTGAGTATATATACTATAAATATATCTTATAATCGTTTGATGAGATTTGAATAATTGATAATCACTTGAATCTGATTCAGACATATGAAGGACTTAATAATCTTAACGACTGGAATACAATTACTATCACTACTTTCAAACTACTTTTGGCTGTTATGGCTTTTGGTGACTTAATTTCATCAACTAATTAGTATCCGACAATTGATTGATATATATTTTTATTATCGGTAATTGCAATCAGGCTCCGGGTCGTGGTCTCTACATGTTATGGGTCAATGTGTTGTCTCCTTGGTTTTTCCAACAGCCAACTGAGCAACAGGAAGAAGTGGCCGACAAAAAACAACGAAAGTTAGAGCGCCGTATGAAACGAATGCAGTGATTTGTCGGACGGCATACACTTAGGGGTCGGGTGTACACTGCGACCCATTATTTGATACATCATTGAAACACATCAAACAATAACTTAGTTATCACATTGCATCACATTTTTGTTATTAATAAGAATAAATTATTTTACCGCTAATTATAGTATGTTTTTTGGATTAATTTTTCAATATTAGGGTATAGTCTATACTATAGACACACAAATAGACTAATGCCGATAAACAGTGATTTAGCAATTGTTTGTTATATAATAAAAAATGTTAATATGTTTATTAAGTTATAAAAAATGACAGAATTTGATACCGCAGTAATTATGTCATAATAATAATATATTTATAAATGAAACCACATTTACTAAAAAATAGTGTTTGAATTGTTTTTTTTAACGAGAAAGTCATTTAAATAAGAATAGCAAAAGACTAGCGCTATATATATGCCAATCATCCGAGTCATCGGCTAAATGCCGCGATTTGGTAAGTCTTTAACTTTGTAGATACGGACCAACCAATGTTCAGTAGTGTACGCCTCCTCTAATACTTGAAGTTCAAAGTCCTTAATGCCAATCTCTGCGCCCCTCACTCTATCATAACCGGGAGGTTTGCCTACAAACAATACATTACCGGTAAATGTCAATAGTTTTAGTGAAATTACTGTATTATATAAAACAAAAATCATTACCTCCTTCAGTATAAACGGAACCGAATCGATAGTAAGACATTTTATACATTAAACAATTAAGAAGTGTTTGCGAGCCTTCCTTATCGACTCTAAACTCTCCCGAAGGCGTATAATAATCTGTTTCTTTAATATGAGTTCCCCTATCAGTACTGCCACCGATACGAACCATCCATAAGAACTTATTAATGTCATCGGACGAGTAGCCGGTGAGACCACCGAATATTACTAAAACATAATTGACATCTAATTCTCTCATTATTTCATATGCTTTATCTTCAGGTGAGGCCATTGCTTGACCGACGCGTGATATATGAGTGTTATTCCAAGTATTGTTATCCACTAATATAGTACGGTTGGCCATTGCGGTTATTTGATAACCATAATCCCACCTAAACATTGAAAAAAAGTACCGGTAATTAAAATGAAAAAATTATGTTACGTTAAATGACTAACCATGACATGACTTTGGCATCGGGAGCTGTATTTTGTCGCAACCAATAATAGGCTTCTCTAAAATCATCAAATATAATACGAGATCCGTCATGACTTCTCGCTGATAATACAATAGACGGCGAAGAATACGCCTCAGAAGTAACCCAAATACAATGATAAGTATATGATAGCAGAAGACCAGTGGCCACGAGTACGAACATTGAGGCCACTTCGTGACGCATCACAAAATTAGTTTCGTGTCGACGCAATTTCTTTTCGGACACTTGTTTAACATTAGATTGGGAGCCATGAGTACCGTGATTATGGGTCGATGTGGTCGTACCAGAACTCGTAGCCAATGTTGACGGTTCAAGTTGTTTACAATAACGTGTCAACATTTGCGATATACCAATACCCGAGAGAATGCACATAACCGGTGCTAAAACTAACATTAAACGAACCATAACTCCCTAATAAAAGAGCGACTGTTGATAATATCTTGTTTATTGAATCCATTATCAAATAACTTACCGCAAAATAAATACTGGTAACACCATAGAGAATGATAAAGATATTGGCATCAGTCAGACGCGAGAAACAAAAGTATAGACCGACGGGAAATAAAAAGACCAACAATTGGAGGTCAAAGTAGAATGAAGACCAAGAGGTCGGCTGATGTTCAGATACCGATGCTATAATTGGAATGTTATTCTTAGCGTACGACGGGTCCAACAATGAGTAGAACCGTCCGGTCCACGGACTTATCTCTATCAGTAAATATTTTTTTACAATTTATACTAACTATGATAACCAATGAATAATACGAATTGGTATTCGTTTGTAAACATACTTCCAATGATTGTCAAGAATATTCCGCCACTGAGTGCCACAATACCGATGAGTAAAACGATTGATCGGAAAAGTGTGTCATAAGATTGTTGCGAAAGTTTGGATTTGATGTAATCGTTGAATGCGTACAATTGGCATAAMCCGAACACACCGAACGCGGCCATGTGTTCCGATGAGGTTACCGGTTGGAAACCAACAAATGGGATCTGCATCGACAATAACGTTCCCAAACAGTACACCTAATTAACAAACAATAAATAAAAATTATGGAAACAAACAAAATGATCACTTTTTCTTACCGTTGAATATGCGATATAAATTCTATGACTAAATCGGCCGGTTATCATAAGTGCCAGGACATGAAGTGGTATCAAATTAATAAGAAATACATAACCACCCCACGATGAGACCATATAAAAGTAGGCCAATGCACAGAGACACGACCAGTAAACCGATCCCGACTTTACTGATTTGATCCACAGGTAATATGTAAGAAGCATACAGAATATTGCTATGCCTTCGTTATCGTAAGAACCGGCCACCGATCGCGATATATAGCCGGGTACTATCGATATCATAGCGGCGGCCACAAGCCCCGAGCCGTCATCGCTAAGCTCGCGGGTCAACAAAAATGTCACAATCGTTGTCAGCGACGAAAATAGCGGCGCGAGAAAAACACAGACATTGCGGATATCGATCGGAATGTTGATGTAATGTAACGCATGATATAATGTGGCCGATGTCACCATCAGACCAGGATATATAGTGCCGCCGATGATACGGCCCAACGGATACCACGCGCCCGCATCAAACCAATTGAGAAATGAATAGAAACCCTCTTCGGTCAAGAATCGGGTCGTCCGGTAGTTGAAGTACGGATCAAATTCATGTATAACCGACTCAAACCTTAGCACAGAGAATAGTCGAACCGAGAAAGCTGTTCAAACAATGGTGACAAATGACGATTAGTGGTCAGTCACGGCAAATGAACTGTCAGTTTGATAATCAAATTATCGCTTACAGAGAATTGCTGTCAACAATAGGATTGTGATCTTCAACAGATTGTCCTTCGAGTCGTCGGCCAGAAAGCGTGACCACCAGTTTCGGGTCGTCGTCCCGGTGTTGGTTGCGGTCATAGTTGGTGTCCACCGATAAAGTGTTTGTTTTGACAACACGTGTACTGCTATTTGATATCACAAACAATTCATTTCAATAATAAATACATTGAATACCGGCTTAAAGTACTGTATATTATAATACAGTGATTGTCATTACATAACATTACAATCAATAACGTTAGACACATATAGTCATCAATGGCATTGAATTTAGTTATTAATATGAAATTTAGTATTTATTGAATAATTTAAAAACATAGTAATAATTATTATATAATAAATCATTAAATTTATTAAAAAATGTTTAATTTTTAGTATTAAATATATTTTTAAAATTTCTTAAAATAATATGTATTGATATTTAAAAATATATTTTATTAACTAATGTGAAAACATTTTGTATAATTTGAAAGCTAATATTTAAAAGCTAACTGAGCTTTAATTGATTATTAATATTTATATAATACATTGTCTATAGTTATTGTCAGCTATAGATCCCATCATAGGTTTCCTCTGAGCTGTTGTTGTGCTTCTACGGCCTCGAAGAGTGCCTTTATATTTCCGGCGCCGAACCCGTTATAGTTGTGTCTCTCAATTAACTCGAAAAATAGCGTAGGCCTGTCCTCAACGGGTTTAGTAAATATTTGCAACAGATATCCATTGTTGTCAAAGTCCATCAATATATTTAATTTTTTCAATCTATCGATATCGTGGTCTATAATATTAAGATTACATTTGCGGAGACGCTCTCGTAGTTGTATGTAATAAGTGTCGGGAGTCGACAGGAACTCCACTCCTAACAAATAAAAAACGGGAATTTCGGGTTAAACACATAATTAGGTGTTCAAACAAATTCAAACACAACTTCTGGCCCTAATTGCTAAATATGTTGTGTTTTAGAGTAACATTTAATTGTCATTAGCATTGTGTGACTATTAGTGTAGAAAAACAACAATAAAAGTAAAAACATTTAGTTTTAAAAAAAGACATTTATTTGTTAATTAAATATCTAAACTTTTATAAATTATTATTTACTACTATATAAAGTATTATTTAAATTAAATGATTTCATACAAAATCATTTAACTTAACAAATATATGTACAGACATTTAAATAATTTTTTATTATTTTCAATGCCACGGGTTATATAAAATGTGAGAAAATAACTCTTTGCAACTAAAAATAATGTCATTTATATAATTAGTACATTAATTAAACAAAAAACTGCTGTCAAAGTTATAAGTCATTTAAGTTTTTTATGAGAAACATAAGATACAATGAAATATATGCATTTATATACTGAAAATTATGATATAAAATAATAAACTGTTTTTTAGTTATTTGTATTGTTAATCTCTAATCTAATCTTTTTAGACTAATATTTAATGTGTCACTGAAAAACAAGTCTAGTCTGAGACAAAATAGCAATTATTATATATATATATAATTTTAATCAATTTAGTACCTCTGTGTCTGAGTTTAGCCACTGTATCGCAAATATCACTCGTATTGAAGGCAATGTGTTGAACGCCCGGTCCGTAGTTATAGTCGAGAAACTCTTGAATCTGTGACCGTCGGGGCCCGGGCTTGGCCTCGACCACCGGAATCTTAATTTGTTGGTTGGCATTCGTGACAAATACCGATTTGAGTCCCGATAGTTGTGTCTCAATAATTGTGTCATCGGCTGACCAGTATCGCCGAAATCCCAAAACTCTCTCATACCTATCGGGCAATCAATTTGTATGTTTAGGACACATAAAACATGTTTTCTATGTTAACATCAAATATCTAACACATTTTGTTAAAAAAAATAGTTTTAAACACAACCGGATTATTTTAATGTATAATACAAATAACAGTTTATTTCTCAATACTTAATACAGTATAAATTTATGTATAAACTGTATATTCATATATTTTACAATATATTAATATTAAATTTATATTTAGACTTGTTTTTTATATATCAAATAGATAAACATTACTAGATTTAAATATATGATTAGTTTAGGAATAAAATATAAATAATTTTATTATATAAAGCATACAATTAAGTAAATCTTTAAGATTTATAAACTATGGATTTGGATTTCAAGAGCACCGGGCTTTGGGTTAGTCGTGTTATATTTTTTTGTGAGTTTTTTATTTATAATATCAATCAGTCAATTAACATTAAAATCAAATTATTTATCTTTCACTAAGCTATCTATAAAAAATGTTTTTATATATAATTACGATATAAAATAATTATATACAATAAATTTAATGAATTAGTTTTGCTTTAATTAACATGACTTTTATGTCTGTCTATCTATTCATCTCAATCTACCTGTCCATCTATCTATTCATCTATTCTAATCTTAAATAATTAGAGCAAAAAAATATAATGAAAAAACAACATTTATATAATATCAATAACAGCTAAATAATTAGTTCCCACTTTTTTACTTTATTTTAAAAATTAAATAAATTGATAATTATAGACAAATACAGTGTATCATCATCTACTGTACAAGTTTTTAGATAACCACCAAACATGTAAATGAGTTTATGCCAGAAAAAACAATTTATTGGCAAACAAAACAAAACAATCAAACAAAGTATTACATTTGAAAATTAGGCTAAAAGTCTATTATAAAGTAACCGATAATTAATTGTTGACTCACACATGCAGTTATAACTACCGTTTTAATTAGAAATTTAATGTGTGCTAACTGTTTACAGAAATAATTTTATTTGCATTATATGCTATATTTACTATTTAAAAAATCATTGATTTAATGGTTGTGTTTAATACTATTTAAAGATATGATAAATCGATTTTGTTATGAGAATAAAGATTTATATTGGATTAATATATCATAATAAAGTGTGAAAACATCAATTAGTTAAGTATGCTTTTAAATAAAATTATTCTCAATTTATTTTTAAACTTTAATTTATTGTAAATTAATAAATATTAATAATGATTAGACCAATTTTTGAAAATCCAATAAATCTCATTTGAAATATACTACTGATATAATTGTAATAAAAATATTAAAATACACATTTAGTTAACAAATATTAATACAAATATTGTAATATCTATATTTATTCAGTTTAAAAGTTTATCGCCGATAGCTATAGTTTTCGCAACAATATATATTCATATATGATATATAAATAATATTTATTATACTTTACATTATATTTGGGTTACAAATGTGCTGTTTTATACAATAATTTTATACATAAAATTTGAATTTTTAATATTCTATTTAAACACTACTAGTATTATTGATTTCAAATACATAAATATTATCGTTAAATAGATTTTTTAAAATAATAAATAGATAGATAGATAGATAGATAGATAGATAGATAGACAGATAGACAGACAGATAGACAGACAGAGACAACATGTGATAATTTTTAAAAAATTATTTGTAGTATTTTATAAATAGTTAATTTTTAATATAATTTAATTTATCAAAGATATATATTATAAAAAAATTGATTTTTATCAATACCTTTTGTCAATTTGCATAAACCTTTTAATAAAATTTATATTAAAATCATTTAAATATAATATATCGTTAATGTAAATGTAAATAGAAAGCTAACTACACTGTAATGTAATTTAATAAATTAAGTTTAGTGTTTTAAAGTAAATATCGAAGATATATTTTATAAAATAATTATTACTTAAATTACTTTATATCTTATTTCAAAAACTTATTATTTAAAAATATTTTAGATAAATATAAAAATATTTTTTTAATAAATATTGATTTTAATTAATCAGGATTTGTAATTTAGCGTATAATGCATAGAAAACTATTATTTTCAATTAAATTTTAAAAACAAAGTTTTTAGCTCTTAATATAATAACTCATAATAACTCGAGTAATTATTATATGAAAATTTAATATATAAATAAATAACTTATAAAGTATTTGAGTTAGATTTTAAATATAATTGAAAATACTTTATAATTTATATGAATACTAAATATTCATTATAATTTACCAATATTTCTATTATTTAAAATTAAAATAAATTTGAAAAAACAATTATTATTTTTGTTCAAATTATACTAAAATTGATAGATAATAAACTAATAGTTAAGTTCTTAATTAATTTACTTAAAAAAACATTTACTAATATCAGATTTTCAATTAAAAACTAAATAATTTTCTGATATAATTTTATAATAATTTAAAAATAGATAAATGATTTAATGTTTAATTAATTAACTGCTAGATTTCAAAATAAATGATTAAAACTAAATTATATGGTATATAAATTAAGCATAAAATTAGAGCAAATTTTCAATATCTAGTCATCAAAACAAATTAAAAGTTTGTGTCACTTACTATATATAGTTTAGATTTTTTATAATTAATATTATAAGTCAAATATTAATAATGCATATATAAAAAAATATTAGATTACCATTTGACTACTTTAGACATTTGACCATAAATTTGATTTGCGGCCAAATGATCAATAAATTGTAAGTCAATTGAACTCAGTTCAGACCAAATACTGTTTTTTAATGCCGACTCTAATGGTGATGATTGCCAACCGGGAAGAAATAGGTTTCGCGGATAACCATTGCGTTCAATAAGTGTGTGAGTGGTGTCACCAAAAGCCGATACATTGACATACTTGACGGTCCCATTGGCGTCCGATTCAGACCATTGTCTCACTGGTTGATCACTGGTCTGTTGGATTTGTCGGACCATTTCATCGACTGACTCTACATTAAAAGCTTTTTGATCCCATCGTTAAGTGCCAGACCATGTAATATATATAAATGTTAAACAAATTAATTAAATATCGTAATTAAGTATATTTTATATACCCATAAACAAACCAAAATTAATGTTAATTTACATTTCAATAAATTGCTTACAATTAACATACATGTGCAGTAAATGTAGTGATTATATTTTTTGTATTTACATATTTTTAATTTATCTATTATGAAATAGTTATACATATTCTTAAAAATTAAATATAGTGAGAAAATGTGCTTTTATTATTTAAAATATATTATCCATTTTACATAATTAAGATAAGTATTGCAAACAAAGTTTGAAAATAAGCCGAGTTTTCAACATACAGTACTAGACTCTAAAAAAATGTTTGCATCAAATAAACATTGAGATTATAAAATGATAAAATATTATGTAATGTAAAAATAGTTGAGATATAAAGTCAAAAAAGCAATAAACAATAGGTTTATAATGTTATATAAAACTTTTTTTTAGGACAGCACATGAAAAATCAAGGCTAAGATTAGGCTCAACGATCGATAGATGAAATTTATTGAGAAACTCATTGCTATACATAAACATTAGACAATAAAAAAATGTATGACTTTTTATGTGAACTGAGATTTTCAAAAGTTTGGAAAAATTAACACTACTTTTTGTTTGGAAAACTCTTCATTCAATACTTTAAATTTTATGAAAAAAAAACTTTATGTTCAGTTTGTTAATACAAACATAGTGTCAAAAATTTTTGTCAACTTTTGTATGAAAATATATTTAAAGTTTTTTTTCATTTAAAAAAGAGTTGAGAAAACTCCTAACAAATAGTCCATAAGATTGATTGTGAAAGAGCCGGTTCATAGACTAGTCAAACGTCAATATTATAAGTTAAACGACCTGTCCTTTTTTGCAATAATCACCATATCATTAAATACCCCCTCCCCCTCCCCCAATAACATTAATATCAAATAAAGGGTTTTATTTTGCAAAATAATAATAATGTGGTGAAAATACCTATATCTTTGACTGCATCGCCATGTGTTGCGATGTGATGGTTGATGTGGTCATTAAGTTTAGAGTAAATGAGTGGTGAAGTAAACACAAGAACCACATCGTTGTTGATGACGGCGTGTGACGCTTGTAGTCGATCACCACTTTCGAGGCCCCGGTATCTGAATGGTCTGAACCCGTATTGAAAACAATAATTAAGGGCCGCTTGTCTTGCATTCGATACGTAAAGCGTGATATGAGATATGGATAAGCATTTAGATAACATGTTGTGTTAAATAAAATGATTATTTATATTATTGAATCATAAAAAGTGATAATAGATTTTACACAATACACAACATTTCAATAAAAATAAAATTAAATATCAAAATTTTTATAGATTTCATTTAAATAATATCAATAATTAAATTAACGTTTATTTTTTAATCAAACAATAAAAATTGTAATTTAATACTGAATACTATTTAAATTACAATATTTTTGCTTTAAATGTCTACTTTTACATTAATATCCATTAATATACGAATATTGTATCCAACATACAGTACTGCATCCTAACATCAATGAAAAGTTATTTTAAACTTCGCCTCTCTCTCTCTCTCTCTCTCTCTCTCTCCTCTCTCTCTCTCTCTCTCTAAGTAATAATTCAATATATAATATCATAATTACTTGTATTTTCTATATGACAAATATTTGGTTTAAAATATTTAAAATGATGCTAAAATAACCTTCAAATTGTATGACATTTACTAAAATAGTATAATTTACCAGAAATAGGTGCTAATTATGTTATGAATAAGGTTGGAAAAATACAATGTTTTTAATTTTGGCTTTGTATAATACAGTATAATATAATGTATTGAATATATTATACATTTTTAAAAACTACTATATATTATGTTTAAAAATTTATAAAAAATATTTAATAAGAATATAATTGTTAGAAAACTAATTATTTTTATATTAATAGTTGTTTTCTAAGAATAAAAATAAAATAAATTAAGAAAAAATATAGAAATATCATTAAAAGTTAATATCATATGTATATTTATTTTTGCTTTATCAATGACTTTGATACTAGCTAACTAACTAGCTAACTTTTGCTTTGTATGCAAATATTGGTCATGTATTATATATTGTATTATACTTTATTATACGTTTTGTATTATACAAACATTTTGTTTCTGCCAACACTAGTTATGAATGCTTAATATTTAATATATTTTTATGCTTTAAGTATTGTTATAAAAATGTTATGAAAATATTAATATGCTCTACATATTTGTGAAATATGAATCAATTGTTTAATATTATTGTTATTAATGAAAATTTAGATTTTATGAAACTATTTAGAGGTTAAATTAATGTTCAAATAAATGGTCCAAACATTATATTCAGTAAAATAATGTGAATGTATCGATAAAATTATTTGTTTTAACAATTTTCAATTCAAATTAACAATCAAATGATTATATTGTAAATTATAATCTTTAATTCTATCTCTAATTATAGTTGTTGAAAGTCCAATATTTACCTGGATAATCCAATATTTACCTGGATAATCCAATATTTACCTGGATAATCCAATATTTACCTGGATAATCCAATATTTACCTGGATAATCCAATATTTACCTGGATAATCCAATATTTACCTGGATAATCCAATATTTACCTGGATAATCCAATATTTACCTGGATAATCCAATATTTACCTGGATAATCCAATATTTACCTGGATAATCCAATATTTACCTGGATAATCCAATATTTACCTGGATAATCCAATATTTACCTGGATAATCTAATATTTACCTGGATAATCCAATATTTTAAATTTAAAAATTAATGTCTAGTATTTTTGTGACAAATTTAGTAAATATATAACTTATATACTGTATATTCAGTTTTATTTTTGATAAAAGTCCAGTATTTAATGTATTCCCTAAACATAGTCTAACACCCAATCCATTACCCATTGTCTCATTTCATATCAAATACAATAAAAATTGTTTGTGGAGTTTAATCAACTTATTGAAGTTGGAGAGCACAGGGGGTGTAAAACTATAAGTGCATAGAGACTGGAAAAGGGAGAGTAAGTATTGTAAGTGTTGTCCACAGTATTTCTATGTGAAAACCTGTGCCAAACTAAATGTATATTTATTACTATGTATTAGACTAAACATATGTGAGATGTAGTGTTGATTTCATGTCAGGTCCCGTCAGTTGCCAATTGATTTCAAGGCTAACCACTTAATAGTCAACCGTTTTTTCTATTTCTCTAAAAACCTTCACTATATGTATGATATGTTGGGCTCAGAGACCACTGGTAGGGAAGGATCAAGAAATTGGTCACCAGATTGTCTCTATAACTATCATTATTTTGACGATTCAAACAAAACAGTCGACTATTATATACACTAAAGCAGACAATAATCCTTTCAATCAACACAAACAACTGTACCACAAGTTTTCGTCCACAACAGCACCGGCTGGTAATGGATTCAATCAGACAACGCCTCCAATGATGACTCATATCTTTTGATTATCTAAACATCTTTCTCTCTCTCTCTCTCTCTCTCTCTCTCTCTCTCTCTCTCTCTCTCTCTCTCTCTCTCTCTCTCTCTCTCTCTCTCCCTTTCTCTCCAAATATTGTTTATTTATTAATAATACAGTATTAATACATTAGTAAATTTGTTGAAAGTTAGCTAAAAAACGAGTCATTCATTGAATTTTATTTGTTTTTAAATTACCAGACATTTGAAATTTTAATAATTACCGGAAATATACATAACATATATAAATATAGACATAAATATGGTATATATTACATGTTTTTAACTCTCATTTGTGTCATCGTTAAAAAAATACATACTATGAATTAATTTACTTATTATTATCAAAAAATTATATATTAAAATATTATTTGTTTGACTTTTATTAAAAATGTTTTAAAACACAATTTAATATGAATTATAAATCCCAAAAAAAACAGTTATTTTAAACGCTTGTCTCCGGCGGTCTTTCCTTTCTGAAGACAAAAATGAAAAAATTGTCGTTTAATAAAATAATACTAAATATGAAGTTTGAATTTCCTCTTAAACTTTCCTATTAATGAAATTGATTTTAAAATAAAGTGATATATTATTATTTAAAAAATAATAATAATTGCAATTTTGCAATCAACACAACAATTATCGTTATATACAGTATAATAATAAATCCTTTTTGTAGGTTATGTCAAATAAATGTTTTAATTGATATACATTTTGAATGACAAATTTATGGGAATGCTATTTATAACTAAACTTAATGTTACAATTACTAAACCAAGTTTGTCTTATCAAATCATATCAATCATATAATCATTAAATTAGTTTAAATTGTATTTTTTTATTTGAAATATACTTTTAATAACAAATTTATTTCTTGTAATTAGTTTTTAGAGTCTTTCATATTATAAAAAAAATAATTATAATAAGACTTATAAAAAAATCAAAACAAAAAATAAAAAAATGTTTTTACACAATATTTTGTTAAATTTATGTTAAATTAAAAATGTTAACAAACAATAATTATAATAATAATAATTAGTTATTATTATTATTATTATTTTACTATATTATCTTATAAACAGAATGCTCTCAATTCATGAGCCTTTCCTTAATTTTTTTTTTAAATTTACACATATTTTACAATTATTGTAATAACATATTGTAATTACAATATTTTACACATCATTGTAATGAAAACCTAAAACTGATATTTTCATAGTTTTTCCTTTTTTACAATATATATATATAATCAAAATGTAAAAATTAATTTCAGCTATGGTTTGATACAATTTTTCTCAATTAAATAAATCATAAAACATTTATTTATGTATCCAATGAATCAGTAAAACTACAATATATTTATTTTTATTATTATTAAATAAAAAACCCTTTAATAAAATAATGTTTGAAATATTTATAAAAAAAAGCTTTATCTCAACTATTTATATACAGTACATCATATAACTGATAAAATAGATATTAAAAATATAAATATAATTAAACTAAAAAAAAAGTTGAACCAAATAGTGTTTAAAAATGCTAAGTCTGTGTAAAAATTATAATTTATCAAAAAATATAACTATAAATGTTATATACATTTATTATAGTACTATATTATGATTTGATTAAATTGATTAATATATATAGCATTTATTATATTACTTGTAAAAAATGCGTTTATAATATTATTTTTGTAATAATAAATTGTTTATTATTAATAATTATTAATTAGAAAAAATAATAATATAGTCATAAAATTTATGAGAAAATATGCGACAATTTGTTTGTTTGCTTTAATTAATAATTAGTTTTTTCAAGTAATGATTACTAACATTGTTAATGATTATTATTATTATTATTATTATTATTATTATTATTATTATTATTATTATTATTATTATTAATGCAATTATGATTATTAGTGCAATTATAACAAAAAGTTTTATTACTATTTTTAGTTGTTTTATGAATTATTATTTTGTTTAAAGTTAAAGAAGTTTTTGTAAATTAAAAACAAAGTTTTCTCAAAAGTTTTTTTTACTTAAAAATTATGTATAAAAAAGTTTGAAAAACTTTTTTCAACGACAAAAACATTTGCATTAAAAAAGTGAATCAAAACTATATTTTTGACTCATTTTTCATTCAAAATATAAATCTATTGATTATATCGTTCACTGATTGGTTGGTCACTCAAAGTCTATAGAAAATTGAAAATCAATTCATTGATAAAAAAATTGAAAATCAATTAAATAATGTTCACAAACACTATGACATTAAAGTCAATGTGTGGGACATTCTATGATAGAAAACAGTGAGTGACTCAACACTGAGATAATAATAATTAATTGTTGACTCAAATTAGGGGTCAATTAGTTATTTGAATGTAAAGTAGGTGTGACTTATTGGCACAACTCATATAAACAGTGCAGTCATACAAGTCATACGTTTTGTATGATTGGAGCAAACAATCAAATCGAATACACATTTCGGCATTTTTTAGGGCTTTTATTGCAAAACCTTGAATATTGTCACCGAAATATACGATCCATTTTAGATTACAAAGATTACACAATATTTAGATATTAATGTTATAGATATAAAAAGTACTAGAATTGAGTGGAATAGTTATAGTGAATGTGTGTAAATGTTAGTCGAATGTTTCAACATTACCATATATGGTCATGTTTTAGAACACACTACGTCACACACCAGTGCCGGTCAATACAGCCAATCAACGATCGACTTAGATATGCATTCATTCATTGTATACGTCTATAATAGTATACACTTGAGTGACCCCACACTGTGTCTACTTATTGGTTAACATTGTTTGAGCCAATGAGCCACTCATGACGTAATTGTTGACTCAAATATTTTCAACACTAATATTGAGTCTATTGTGTGTCTAATAGTTATATATATATAGCTCTGAGTATAGCATTCATTGTGCACTTCATTGCAGTTGTCATTCAAACTCTGATATCTTGTTTGAGACAAACATTGAAATCCATTTAAAACACTATTTATTTGTAAATTTTAAATCCATTTGATTTGATTGTCAGTCACTTTAAATACATTGTGTTTGACATTCATACCAATCATTTCATATTTATTACTAATTTATCGGTAAGTGATTGTCATTATTAATGTTTATAATTATAATTAATTTATAAAAATTATTTCAAAGACACCATTGAATCGATTTTTCGGCTTTTTATCGTTTTTATGGCTTTTTGTGTCTAAAATATATATTTAGTTTTCAATTGATTTTCTAATGTATTGGCCGTTAATGTCACTGATTGTCGACCAATGCTATTGACTAATGTTGCAGTGATTTAGTGTTAAAATAGTTTATGATTTTGAATATCAGTTAATTTAGTGCCGAAAAATCGGTTGAATTAAGTGAATGACTGGTATGTGAGCTGAGGAAAGGCAGTGAGTGCAGAGATCCGCCCTTTTTTTTGCTAACAGTGCTAACAGTAGTAGTAGTAGTACTACAGCTTATACATACATAGAGAGAGAGAGAGAGAGGTATAGGTATTGCAAAGTTTGACACAAATGTCATTCACTATATATTAGGTGTTAATTATGATTCAAATAAAACAGACATACAATTAGTTTGTCAATTGATTTTGTTAACTGTTATTAAAATTTTGAATACATTTTGATTTTTAATAGTATTCTTTGAAAACAAACCAAAATCTCAAGCAATATGTGTGACGACGACGTGGCGGCACTTGTTATCGACAACGGCTCCGGTATGTGTAAGGCTGGCTTCGCTGGCGATGACGCGCCCAGAGCTGTCTTCCCATCAATTGTCGGCCGACCCCGACATCAGGTCAGTAAACAAAATAAAAATTATGAAATCAATTTTGTATGACATTATAGAAAATACTTTTATTTAATTTATGTTAATTGAAAGTAGTTTTATTGATGGACAGGTAGTTTAGAAATAGATATAAATAAAGCTATTATAAAATATAATTTAAATATTAAAATGTTGTTTGTTTTTAATTGAGTTTATATAACGAAATGAATATTTATGAAATTTATAGGGAGTTATGGTTGGAATGGGTCAGAAGGACTCGTACGTCGGCGATGAGGCCCAGTCTAAGAGAGGTATATTGACATTAAAGTATCCGATTGAACACGGAATTGTTACCAATTGGGATGACATGGAAAAGATATGGCACCACACCTTCTACAATGAACTCCGAGTGGCACCCGAAGAGCACCCGGTTCTCTTGACTGAGGCTCCACTCAACCCCAAAGCCAATCGCGAAAAAATGACTCAGGTATGTGTATGTATGTATGTATGGATGTGTCTGTATGTATGTATGTATGGGTACATCATTATCATTAGCCACTACTCGTAATTCATAACAGTATGTAAGCACTCATGAATTGCATACCTGAGCTCTGGAACTGTTGTTTCAATTCATTGTCTCTAATGAACTCATTTATTATATAATTATTCAAACGGAGCACTTGTAGTGGTGTTTTGACCCAAATATCTAAAATTCATGACTTGTATTTATAATTAGTTAATTAAAAATATTTATGTCCACGAAATGTATAGATTATGTTCGAGACGTTTAACACGCCAGCCATGTATGTGGCCATTCAGGCCGTCCTATCGTTGTACGCATCTGGACGTACCACCGGTATTGTGTTGGACAGCGGTGACGGTGTCTCGCATACCGTACCCATCTATGAGGGTTACGCACTGCCACACGCTATCTTACGTCTCGATTTGGCCGGACGTGACTTAACTGATTATTTGATGAAAATTTTGACCGAAAGAGGTTATTCATTCACCACAACAGCCGAGAGAGAAATTGTTCGCGACATCAAAGAGAAGTTGTGTTACGTCGCCCTTGACTTTGAACAAGAGATGGCTACCGCTGCCTCTTCATCGTCATTGGAGAAGTCATATGAGTTACCCGACGGACAGGTGATTACCATCGGTAACGAACGATTCCGTTGTCCCGAAGCCCTATTCCAGCCCTCATTCTTGGGTATGGAGTCGTGCGGTATTCACGAGACCACATATAACTCGATCATGAAGTGTGACGTCGATATCCGAAAGGACTTATACGCCAATACCGTACTCTCTGGCGGTACCACTATGTATCCGGGTATGGATTATCACTCTTTAGATTTATTTAATGTTTTTAATATTGTTTCTAATAATTATAATTATAGGAATTGCTGACAGAATGCAAAAAGAAATAACAGCATTAGCGCCGTCGACAATGAAGATTAAGATTATAGCACCGCCTGAGCGCAAGTACTCAGTTTGGATCGGAGGTTCAATCCTGGCCTCACTGTCCACTTTCCAACAAATGTGGATCTCTAAGCAAGAATACGACGAATCGGGCCCTTCGATAGTCCACCGAAAATGCTTTTAATTGTGCGGCCAATGGTCTCAACTCAATGTCTACTTTCTTCTCTTTATCTCTACTTTTCTCAAATGTTTTTAATAATTCCGATTCACATTCGATATGAAAAAACAATACAAAAACAACACTTAATTATTACTTTTACAAAACGATTCCGTGTTTTTGATTCCATATTTAGTATTTTATTATATATGTATTACTATTTCTATGAAAATAATTCCCATTTTATATACATACCATTGTATCATAAATAATGGTTATTTAATATATACAGTATATTGAAAAAACAAGAATTAGTAAAAATAATTTGTAATTAAAAGTTAAAATTGTTTTTATAGTAATCGCGCGTAAAATAATTACTGTTTATTAAGTCTTAATGTATGTCTTTTTGTTTGTTATTGAAAATATATTTTCATTTTTTGTCGATTTATGTTTTATCATATAATTAAAAGAAATCACAATTTGCTTGATGTGAGACAAATTGATTTTATTTTTAAAATAAAATACTTTTTTGATGAAACAGTGAAATCACTTTATTTTGATTACCGTATACCGCGATCTTATCGGACCTGTCCTAAATTCGATTTTGGAAAATTACCGTGTATCTATGGTCCTATATGATGACAAAATAGGACCCCCTGTCCAATGTATGACAAAATAGGACCTCCCGGTCCTATTTTGTTAACAATTCATATAATCATTAAATAAATAATAATTACCGGGACTCAAATTATAGATGTCAACACAAATAAAATATAATATAACCGATACATCAATAGTGGTCCTAAATTTAGTAACTATAAAAAACAACCGGTTACCATGGTCCTATTTCGTGACATTTAAGGACACGTTTTACTTTATAGGACCTGGTCCGATAAGATCGCGGTATACGGTAATTAAAATACGATTTTAATGTGAAAAATGCTTAAATAAATTTTACACTTAATTTACTTTAAAAGGATTGACTCATTGGAGTTGAAGTCACACCTAATTTATAATAATATTTAATGAATGAAAAAATATTCAAAACTAAATGATTTGAATGACAGACATGTGGGCACCTGAAGGCCAAACAGCACCCAATTAATAACATTTATTTTCTTATTATTATTATTAAAGTATTTTATTTGTTATAATTTCCTTATTACCTAAATTGTTGACTGTTTTGACTGATTTGTTGTTTATTTGAAAAATGTCAAGAAATTGTTTAAAAATAGTTATATAAATTTAAATATCATATTGTATTTATAAATACATTATATATAGATTTTTTATTTTTGCATAATTAGCATTTATTGAAATTATATAGTAAATTATTTAATTGCTTAATATATAAAATTAAAAATTTAATTTAAATGCTCACGACTTTCAATTGTGTGTATGAATATCATATAATTATAACTATTTTGTTTTATTAATACACGTATATTTGATTAATTGTTTGTAAATTATCAACAATTACATCATTTAATAGTATATTATATATTAGACAACATTATTATATCAATTTGTTTGTCATCTTTTATAGTATTTTAATAATATCTTAAAATATTCTATTAATACAATGATTAAGTGATTTTGTATTTTGATTGATTAAGTGACAAAAATTTATGCAAATATTAATTAATAAAATAATTTTTCAAACCTACTATTTGTACAGTATATACAGTATTATACTGTATAAGTATTTTAATATTTGTATTATATTTTTAGTAAAACATTTTAAATTTAATAAATTTAGTAAAACAAATTAAAATTTAATACATAAAATGATCATTGTTAAAAAAAATGGTAAGCTATATATGTAAAACTAGAAAATAATTTCAACAAATTTAGAGGTAGTTATAAGTTAGTAATGAACTTTTTGATTAAAATTTAAACAAATATGCATTTAATTAATAAATATTATACTGTTTTAACATTTATTATTTGTTGTAATATATAGTAGATTTTTAATACAGATATCTATTATTAATTTTATTTTTAAAAACAATTTTTTGACAATAATGATAAAATTTTAATTAATAAATATAAATACATATTTTATTACTTTAATTTTTTCATAAAGTTATTAAGTATCTATAAAATAGATTTTAAATAATTTAAATAGATTCTTAAAATATCAAATATTTGCATAGTAATCAAAATTGTAAAATCAAGTTTCTATTGATATTGTATTATTAGTTTTATAATAAACAGAACCAAAATATCTCAGTTTACATATAATTTGAAACTATTTGATTGATGTTTTATACAAAATATAATTGTATATCAAATAATCATATTATTTACAATAATGTGCCAAATAATGTGACATTCAGTAAATAAACATTTTTTATATTACCGGTTTTGTATTATATTATTTCGTATTTTATATTGTTATTAAATAAAATTAATGTAATAAATCAACATTTAAAATAAACAATAATTCAATACAACTCGCTATTATATATTTTATTAAACTTAATCAAAAAATTTTAATAACATTTTTTTGTGTTTTTAATTAAATAGTAGTAATCATCATAAAACTAGAATTTTGTCTAATATTATCCAAATAGCAAATTATAATAAATTTAAATAGTAATTATTACAATAATATTCATAAATATAAATTTTACCCCCAAATAAAATATACGTTCATTTTAAACGGCTATTAAATATAATATTAATTATAATTATTAATGCATATAATTGTCAATTTCTCACTCTCGCTAAACAAATTCAAAAATTCAGTTTCAAAAATCAAAAAATCCTAATAATAAAATAGTTATTATATATAATATATATTTTATACCACATATCAATTAGCTTGCTTTTAATTGTATACCATTTTGTGGCCCATTTATTAACAGCTGTGAATTATAATAAAGGTTATTCTCAATTGTTTTGTATATTTTTGCAAAAAAATATAACAAAATTATTATTTAGTTATAAACTATACAAACAATTATATTTTTATTATATAATTAATTATCAAACATACACATTAAACACGTAAATATGTACGGTATATATATATATATAAACAACACGTTTCATAATAGCATAAGTAATTCATTTTTATAAATATTTTAAATTATGTATTGTTAAACGTTTTACTAAAAGTAAACAATTATTACAAGTCGAAACATTCTGTGATTTTTTAATTAGATAAATTCAAAATTAATTGCATAAACCAACATTACAATAGATTATAGCTACAAATATTATAATATAGTCAATCTTTATACACAAAAAAAAATTATTAGTCTAAAAATTCAAATTAAATAACTATTAAACAATTCAAGTTATTATCCAAATAATTCAATTATCGATTTACCATAATTATCATTGTATCAAATCTATTGATTAGGACTTCAATTCCTAAATACTTAATAAATATACAGTATATATATATATATAGAGTAATATATGTTGAGCTTATATATCGAGATATAACCGAATTATATAAATATATCCTAAATGTATATATAATTTGAATATATATATATATATATAAAAATGAATCAGATAAATTGTATATAATATATATAAAATATATAATTTGGGCAATTGGTTAATGGCACTCAATTAAAAGCAAGCTAAATGAAATCTTTAATAATATTAATATCAATAATAAATGACAAATAATTCAATAATTAATTAAAAAGTCTTCACTTTAACATAAGACCCTCTCTCTCCTCTTTGGACTCAAAATTGGATGGCATATCATATTCATTGTCCTTATTGAGGACTGTCGGCAATTGACTGAGTCTTGTCGTTGAGCAGCGCCGCTGAAGATGACATGTCATCGACTTTTTGTTTAGAGACTACAGTTGCTTCAAGTCTCACACCTGTGCCATAAATTAAACACATTTTCGTTAATAATAATAATATATAAGTTGTAATTAAATATTTTTTATAAATAACTAATTATCAGAAATAAAAGCAGCCATTGGTTAGAGTTATCATTGGTTTAAATCAAACGGTAATTCCAATTGTTTCATCATTTGAATCACTAATATAATCAATAAATACATTCCTAACACACAAAACATACCATTAGTTAAATCTTCGTTTATAAGACTTGTTAAGCTCTTAGAATTGTCGTCATTGTCCGCCTCATTATCGGCATCATTGGCCCCTTCCTCACCATAAGGACTGTGCGGTGAGTCATCACCGTATCCATAGCCGTAAGACTGTCCGGGAATGAAAGCCGGAACGTTTGGTTGCAATCCGGCACCACTTGAGTTCAAATTGTCACTCTATTAACAAAAACAATTTGCTTAAGTATAAGACTTAAGTATAAGACTCATTATCATTAAAGACTCACGAGTGGCCATTTTAAGGGTTCAACTCTTGATCTAACTTTAATTCCATCGAGAATTTCAACAGTTTTGGAATCAAGAAGTGAATCGATCACCATTTGGACGTCTTGTGTGAGCGCCTGTACTCTATGAAAGGATGCAATCAAAGATATCGGCAAAGACCCGGAAGCGTCCATTTTGCGTCTCAGGAAAAAGTCTCTCTGAAGGTTCTCATCACTAAAGTAATACTCGATCTGTTTTCTAATGCAATCTTTCAGTGCTTCCGTGTCCATTGTCATCGAAAAAGTATTGATCGGGTAAAAGGGCTGATATAAAGGTGCCATAAGACTTGTCAGATCCAAACTATAGGGATAGTAGATAATATCTGCCGGATAATCATCGTGATGATCGGCTACAGATCGGGAACGCGGTAAGTGTGGATGTGTTGGTGTACGCGAACCGCGTCCACGACCCCGATAGCGTCGATTGGAAGTTCCTGAATGTCGCGAATCATAATAAGTGCCGCCGCCATCACTATCGTGTCCGCGGTGGTGACTGCCTTTTGTGTGGTCGTCGGAGTAATGATTATTTTCATTGCCCGACGAGTGATAATCGTAACGACTATCGTGATTGTCTCGTTTGTCGCGATGTCTTCGTTCACCACTAGTCTGGTCTCTGGTCACACGTTCTCGTGGTTCGTCGTGTCGTTCGCGATGATCCCGTCTATCAGTCGCTAACTTATTCCGGTGCGGAGGCTTTGCTTGTGGTGGCGGTCCTATCTCTAATGGCACCCAACGTTTATGACCTAATGGTGTGGCAAACAACTCGTGTTAAACAAGCGGATGGACAGTCAGGTTATGGGAAAGGGAAGTATGAATGCAATGTATTTATAGTTAAACTTAACATATTTGCCGCCACTTATCATGTGCTGACACCTATCAAACTGTCATACATTTACTAATCACTTATCAATTATATAGTATTCAATAAATTTATACACTATTTACTCATAATTAATCTAATTGTTTGTCAAATTAATATTTTACTTAATAATTATTAATTTTTTATTATAAGATATAAATGATATAATATTAATATTAATTGTTTAAACAAATGTTTAGAAATTATTTCTCATATTATCTTACAAATTATATGTTCCCTCTAACGGAATAAATGTCATATAATACGGGAACTTCCCTCTCCGCTAAAAAGTAGACGAACTCTCCATTAAAATTTGTGACATTAAACTAATTATTTTTTAAAATTAATTTTCTAGACATTTAAAACTTAAACTTTTCATAACCTGAACTATAAATGTGTTTATCTTTGATAAGATGTTAAGTAGTCTGCAATTGCACTCACATTTCATTTTTAGATAACATTAGAAAAGTTTTCTTTTAAAGTGTCTGTTTAATGAGGAAAGGGATCTCAAAATGGGAAACATAATCACATGTATATGTTATTATTTATTGTATCTTTTGAAAGTAATTGAAAAATAGGTAAATTTGATCCAGTATATTTATATTAATTATATCATTTCCATTATTCTAATATATATATATATTATATGTATATATCATACACGTGCTATTTATGATAAATACAAATAAATAACAACAAATGTGTAATAAAATGTTTAGCATTGTCGACAAAAATTCATTGAATTTATATATAACTATATATTTTTAAATAAGAATTTTTGTTACAAAATTGTTATAACAAAATGTTTAGAAATGACATAAATAAGTGCCAAAAGTGATGGCAATAAAAGTCTAGTTAGTGTTAAATATATAAAATATTTTTAAAAATAATATAAAGATCTTGGATTTTAATATATTTAAGAAATTATAATTAATTTCATTATATGGCAATTGTTTAGCCAATAGTTAATTAATTTTTGTTTTGTTTGTTTTGATTCCACAAATAATTTCAATACAAAGAAATTAATATAAAAATTGTTGCATTCGTTTCGTGAGTTAATTATAACTCTCTATTTCTATCGTTTTTACGACTAGTTTGCGACAAAAAACATGAACTAAATTCCGTTATTTATATTTATATTTACATATATTATCTAAATTGTTAATCAATTTTATAAAATGCAAATCAAAACTATATTCATCATATTGTTTATATTTATTAAATAAACGATCATTTTATTTATGTTAATATATCGTCATATCTATGCTAATAATGTATTAACAACACACATAGTAATGAAAACAATTAAACTATTTATATATTTGTATTAATAAAAATACCTTTCTTTTTGGTCGATTTGGGTGTATTAGTGGTCGAGTCAGTTCCCGGTCCCGATGAGTGTCCGCCGTCTCTATCATTGAGCGAATCGTTAGCCGAATCTTCTTCGTCTTGTGAAGAGTGGGTCTGAGAGCTGTCAGGTTTAGGAGTGCTATGGTTTGATGGATTGGACATCGATTGCTGTGAAGGAGGGGTTGTGTCGTTCATCTGATTATTGGCTATTTTGTTGAGATTGGAAGGCACTGTCGGTTCACTACTTGATGTCGGAGCCGATGAATCACTATTATTTAGGATTTCCTCTGAGTTGCGTTTTGAGGTCTAAAAATACAAATATAACAATTTATTATTGAAAAACACCATTTTATTCAATAGTTTTCAGTGCTAACCTCTGGTTTATGTACTTCCCCGAGTGTCGGCCAATCATTTATATCATTTATTGGTGCAACCTTTGTCTATATATAAATGTCAAAATATATAATTTGATATATAATTATTATATTATAAATAATTTAGAAAAAATAAATTAAAAATAATTTAACTATTTAAAAAATTATTATTATTAGATAATTAGAGTTGATTTATAAAAAACATGAATGTTTAAACAATTTAATATTTAATTAAATACAGTATATACTATCGACATCAACATACTATATATTGATATAACAATGTTGTGTGATATACATGAAAATCAAACAAACTATTTAACAAATGTATTTGTTTTAAAACTCGTGTATTATTAATAAAAATATATATATATACACAATATATATTATACAGACCTTTGATGAGTGTTTCTGAACATTAGGGCTGTGTTGAGATGAAACTGCATTGACTGTCGACTTATTATTATTACTACTATTATTAATAATAATAGTATTATTTGTATTGACCACTGTATTAGCTGACCACAAGTTTGTTGTGTTGCTTGAAGTCCCTGTTATGATCACAAAGAAATTATCAAATAATTAATAATATAAAAAAAATTAAATACGTCGACTAAACAACTAAATACAGACAATATAACAAATATGTTTAACGAAGAAAGTTATGTGTTGTATGGCTTACAGTAAAAACGGAAACTTTTTTTTAATAATTACTTTCAATATAAATGTATAATTTTAGAAAAATATATTAATTAACAAAAATATATAAAGAGTTTTTTTTATTAATAAAAATATAAATTAAAATTCAGTGAATGATAGTATAGCATATAGTAGTTATGTGTCATGTTTTAAATGTTATTGGATCTGTTAGTTAGTGATGGCAGCAGTATTTGGCATCATATGTGAGACTCCATATGGATAACACATACACATTATATTGTAGACCCCCTAACACCCCACCCCATCCCTAGCATATCGGGTCCTACGAATAATACAAGATTGCATTTATTTTGTACAACAATTTTGCTTATATGTACACTATGTATATGTTGTTACCACTGTTTCCATTGTGTATGTCTATTATATAATATAAATCACCTAAAATATAGCCGTAATTAAAATAATCATTAGTCAGAAAAAATAGTGAAAGATAGTGTACTAACAAAACTCACTTTAAATATAATGTTATAAACTGTTGTGATGTAATATAGTAGTTAAATATACTAATACTACCTGACATTACATAATAATTACAAAACTACTGGATATACATTTATATAACCATGTCATAGACTGTATAGAAAAACAAAGTTTACAAAAACTCAATTTTAAGTTGTTTTTTAATATTATATAACAACATCAAAACTGTATAATATTAGTTGGTATATATATATATATATATATATATATAAATTTATGTTTGTATGTATTTATAAAGTACTGTATATTTATTAGCTTATCATTGTGTGCCTCATAGCTTACACCTCTACTTTGTTGAAATAAAATTATTTTATTTTTTTTGGTGAAAAATATAATTTTATTTATATAAATGTTTTCTATCCCTCTGAATAACATCTGTTATTATTGAGTGTAATAGTTAATTACAAATTATAGGCAAAATATACCGCAAAAATGCATTAAATAAAAAAAACTATCAAAACTCGTATCCCTTCGCAACAGTATTTAAAAATTTATAACATTTCTAATACTTCTTAAGTAAACCATAATTATTGTGTCTTTGATAACAATTTTTCTATCGAGTCATACAATAGTTTTGAAAATATTATTATATAACTTTATTTTATAAACATTTAAACTGAATTCAATTGACAACTATGTGTTTTAACGTCTGACTTTATAATTTGTATTTTAATTAATCATTTTAACTTATTTATTACAGTAATTTGTTATTTTTGTTAAAATTTAATATCATATTTATATATAAACTAATATATAAACGTCACTAAAATAATATGTACAACATTAGCAATAAATTGTATGCATAATTATTGGACAATTTGTAATTTTAATTAAAACTTAACAAATTATTGTCTCGTTTGCTTAGATTTATTTAATCACGATTTACGAGTTATTTTTTATATGTTATGATTAGAAATCTAATAACACTTGAAATATTATCAATAAACATCTAAACCAAATTAAATATCTATAAATGATGTTTTTTCAACTAAATTATTATAAACTTAAATAAAATAAAGCAACAAAAAATATACGATAATTATAGACAATTGCAAATAAGTTTACTTTAATGAATTTAATAAAAGAAATTATATCATAATAAAATAATTTATGCCTCTTATTAAATGTTAATTAAGTTGAATTATAATTTTAAAAAACGTGCGAATTTCTAAATAAATATATAATTTCAATTTACCAATTATTTTGACATCACTTAAATAAATAAGCGATATCTCAAAATTTTTAAAAATTAATAAACATATTAACACTTATGAAAAATATTAAAATTATATAAACAATATATATATATATATATATAATAAAAATATACTATCACTAAGAATTACTATTTCAAGCTAAAAATGACATAACGTTTGAATAAATTAGTATTTAAAATACATAAATTAAAAGTAAGTTTGAAACTATTCACTTAAACACACATATTGTATAATATATAGTGTATCTGTCATTATTTTGTAGTCAATTTAAAAATAGTCAAAATTAACTATTTAACTAAATCTTTTCAGTATTTTAACAAAATCTTAGTTAATAAATAATGTGATTATAAGTAAAAAATGAGTGACAAGAGAGAGAGAGAGAGAGAGAGACCATATTATTAATACGAGCATTATTTCACCATAAATAAGATCGGGTAACTCAACCTAATATATTTATTTATCGTTAGCACGAGTTAACGTATAAATAAATATATTTATTATATTTTAAGTGAAAATAAAACAACATATATAAAAACGAGTGTAATCTAATATCTAAAAAGATTTTACAGTATATCTCATAAAATTTTTTTTAAAAACTAATCAATAAAGTAAATTATTTAAAAAAATAATATTGAAGATCTTTTACAAAATAGGCAAATGTTTTCAATAATAATTGCTTTGAACAAACATTTGTTAAACTTATTAGTTAACCATAACAAGTGATAGGCATACAAATAATATGATATAATCATCAATCATTCAATAAGTTTATAACTACAATACAGTACTAAAGTTATGGTTTTAATACTATTTTCAATTTTTTTAAAATTACAATCATTAGAACAATATATTAAATTTCAATGACAATATTTAATTAATAGATTTTATAATCTTTTAATAAAATTACGGTAAATTGTATTTTCAGTAAAAACTACTACTTCCCGGAATTCATTTACAAATAACTAATGAAATATAGACCAGAAGTTAACAATAATATCAATATTTAACAAACTAGCATTATCATCATAACTATTGCAATAGTATTTGTGAACAATTAAAAACAATATATAGTTTTTCATAATAAAAACATAAATTATAAATCATAATATATTATTAAAAAAACTAATTTTAAAGTAAAACAAACTCAAAAGTAAAATGTTTGTAATTATGAGAATAAATTCATAATGTTGTCTACATTACAGACATATGTTTTTTATCATCAATCCTTAGAAAAGCTTAGCATTTCATAAATACAATTGTAAGGCAAATATAATAAAAATAATATAATTTAATTTATATGATAAGTCAAATAAGTCATAAGGAACTTAAATAATAGATATTTATTTATTATTTTTGATATACATATATTGGGAGATAAAAAATGTCTATTATATAGGTATAATAATATATAGAGATTTTCAATATATGACAACTGTTGTTGGCGTTTCAAAAACTTCTGTTTTTTACCAAAAATAATAATAATAAAAACTTATGAAAACATTTTTTCAACAAAATAATAAATAAGTCATTGATTTGTATATTTTGCAAAAAAATGTTATAAGCTTTCAATACATTTAAAAAGCTATGAATATGGTGTGCAACTTTATTATCATAATTAGCATAAATTAACATAATTACTATCAATTTTTAAATATTATTATAATATATCATTTAAAAATAAATAGCTTAATTTTATATTGTCTTTAAATTTTTTTTAATTCTAACCACTATACAGTCAACATTAATAAACAAAACAATTTGTAAACACAACGATATATGAATATCAAGTAACAAATCAAATAATTGTGTGCAAAATTAAATATATTTTTATATTGCATAATGCATAAATTATAATGTATTATATAATTAGACATTACTGTATAATGCAATAATACTAACTGATTAAATAAAATTTTGATACAATTCACCGACATATACGAAACAAACAAATTTTTTAATATTGATTCATCAAATATGAATTTAACCAATAAATAGCATAAGTTATACATAATCATTGATAAAATTATTTATTAATCAAATCAAATATAATTCTTTTATATATATTTATCAATCATATTTCAACCCAACTATAAAATTAAATAATTATTTTTAAAAATTAATTTACAAAAACTAAATAATTTAGTATAAAATAATCATTAAATGGCGTATATAAGGATATTTATAAAGTTGCAACAAAAAAATGTGTTAATTGAAAAAAATTTATGGTAAGTTAAAAAGGGAAACTAAATTTTATATAATGTACAGTATATGCTTTATTATTATCAAATTTAATTAAATTAAAAACTTGAAATAAAAATAAATAATTTCTCTTACCGTTAAGTTGTGTTTTTATTCCCATATGGAAATGTCTGAGTCATGGGAAATAATGCGAGTTTTTCCCCATATGAAAAAATAGTTTTTTAACTTTTAAAAATAATTTCCCACCCCCTGATTTTAATACATTTTAAAATTTCCCACCCCTTATATTTGGATGTCTCAAAAAGTTTCAATCCTATTAATATGCCATCTATTGACCGATTTATGATTTTAACTGTATATGTTTTTATATTAATATAACTAACGTTAATAAAAAACTGTAAATTATTTTATAAATGTTTTAAAAAACGTGTTTTTAATACAAATCAATATATCATTTATTTTTAAAAAGTTTTTAATTTATATACCCGTAAAAACCGTTTAATAACTATCAAACATATAATTACCGATAATTGTTTGTAATTAATGGCCACAAATCGGCGGCTATTAACCACAATCGGTACCAGTTATCAATAGCGCTGAACCTGATGACCGATGTTTGACACCAATGTCTGCTCAGACAACACCGATATCAGTGATCAATGACATACAAACAGATTACCGATATCTGACACAAATGTCATCAGACAACATCGGTACACTAATCAATGGCCATCAATCAGATTACCGATATTTGACACAAATGTATTGCCCGACAACACCGTACCAGTTCTCTATGGCCATCAATCAGATTACCGATATTTGACACAAATGTATTGCCCGACAACACCGTACCAGTTCTCTATGGCCATCAATCAGATTACCGATATTTGACACAAATGTATTGCCCGACAACACCGTACCAGTTCTCTATGGCCATCAATCAGATTACCGATATTTGACACAAATGTATTGCCCGACAACACCGTACCAGTTCTCTATACCCATCAATCAGATTACCGATATTTGACACAAATGTATTGCCCGACAACACAGGTACCAGTTCTCAACAGTCAACAACCAGATTACCGATTATTTACTCTACCGATAGTTATTTTTAAATAAAATATAAATGAATAGTTTTTATTGAATATTAGTTACCGGTAATACCTGTCATTACAGCTCCCTATTCCCCCAATTTTGCTTTTCCCTATAGACTCGTTTAATTTACCAGGGGTGGTAAAAAATACGAGTTTTTTCCCATATGAAAAATTTTTTTTTCATTTTTTTTTAATTCCTTATGGGAATAAAAACACGATTTTACGGTAAGTGTGTTTTGTCTTAAAAGACTAGTGAGTGAGGAGTGAGACAGAGAAAGAAAGTGAGGTTTAATTGATAGCTAAAAACAAGTTCACAATTGCTTTAAGATAAATAAAGTTTATATAATGAGTGAACACAAAGAGGGGAGAAAAATACAGACAATAATAGTCAATAAATAGTTTTAATAACTTTATAAAAAGGCAATCATTTTTTTGCCATTTAGCAGTGTATGACAATTGTCATCAATAATGGTATAATAATAGTAACAATTGAAATATTGTTGTTTGAATCAATAGCTAAAATATTCAATAAAATTTTAAAAATCATGTGCTAAATAAATTTATTATAATTTAAAACAATAATATTAAACCTAAATTTATATCTAATAATCTGAAATAGTGAATGAAATAAAAATACCATTTATTTAAGTATCTGAATGAATGGCAATATAATATAAGATAAACTTATGTTATAAGATAAACACTAAAATTATATTAAACATATAACCATTACATTATAGAGAAAAAATGGGAACAAAACAACAAAAAACTAATTCAAGTAAAATATAATATTATAAAGTATTAAGAGTTTGAAAACCTTGCAACTACTTGAAAATATGCAACTATATTACAAAAAATAAAACTTGCGGTAAAAATATATTATAAATATTTAAACAATTAAAATATATAAAATTATCAAATTTTAATCAAATTATGGCATGAAAAATTGTTATGCTATTTTAACAAATTGATTAACAATTATATGGTGACCATCAACAATCATGTAGACATCACATATCATATTATGACATCGATTAGTGGCAAATGTATATCAAACATACAAAACTAATTAAGGTTTGGCTTCAAGACATTCACAACTACTCTCTCTCTCTCTCTCTTCAATAACTTATTACTTTGGATAAGTACTCTTTATTAGTGAACAAACATATCTTTTAAGAAATTAATTAATTAGATAAATTTGCGACAAATAAAATCTCAAATATATTAAATAAATTTGACGAAATATTGTATAAATACTATACAATATATTATATAGAGTATCATTTATACATTGAAAAGTATATACAAATTAAATATATGTAATCTTATAGACAGTGTCTATAATCTTTTTATAAGTTTTCTTATTAAAGTGTTATACAATATATAGTATACAGTACTACCCAATGATACCAATGTTGATCATTCGGTACTCTCAAAGATTGTCTAATTTATCAAATCATTTCTATAAATATATAGATTATTTTTGGGGCAAACATATCAATTGAGAGACAAATGTATTTATTTTCACTTTAAACTATATATTGGTTTTTAAAACTATGTTTTTATATTCAAAAAAAAAATCTAATTATGAAAATAATTGATCGGTTTTATGAAATCGCATATTTACTATAAATTATACGTTTGCAGTAACAAATTATTTCAATAAATCAAATATGTATTAAAAATGTTAAATTGCCAATAAATACATGAATATAATATTTAAATCGTTAGTTAAATGATCAATTAATTCAAGATAAATATTATTATTTCATTAAATAATTTAAAACCAACAACAAAAAACAATGAAATTAATTTAAATGTAATAAAATTTAATATATTATGCAGTAAATTGCAGTCAAGATATAAACACACATTAATAATAATAATAATAAACAGTTTAGAGGAAAAGTTGTAAATTATATAAATGTTATTTTTATAATTTAAATAATAAAATAAATTATTATCACTTAAATAAAAAACATGTTTACCATTAATCTCATGTGTGGCACTATTGACTGAGTGCTGACTATTAGTTGAATTACTAGCACTGTTACTACCGGTGCTATTGGCGATTATCCTGGCCACATTGCTTTTATGCCATACATTGGTGGTCACGCCGGTTACCGAACCATTACTTGCTGTAGAGGACGACCTGTTGCCACCAACACCAGCACTGATAGTGTTATCATTTGTATTTGTATTACAGTTTGTATTACTATTGTTTGCCAAAACATTATTACAACTATTATTCTTAATATTATTTACATTTAAATTATTTGAATCGTTATTTGCATTGCTTTTTAACATATCATCACTAATACTATGATTTGTCTCAATATTATGATTATTACTATTATTGATACCATTATTTGATTCAATAGTACTGTTATTTAAGAGATGATTATTAACGTCTTTACTATTATGACAATCACCCGAAGCAGTGCTATTGTTCATCAATTGATTGGCGTTTGTCTGATTGGTGGTGACGGGTGTGTTATGTTCATTGTTGAGACCGTCGCTGTTGGTCATCGTGTGGTTCATTTGCTTTAGTTTCTGAGCGTATGATGGCGAGCATGAATTGGTCACATTGTTGGCCGCAGTCACAGTTGTCGGCGACCACGACGTGCTTGCAGTGGTCGATACGGGATACACGTGTTGTTGCTGATGACCACCATTAGGCTTACCGGTTGGCTGACTTGCGCCGGCCATCGGTGTCTTTGTGGTCGTAACGGGCATTGCTTTAGAGGTTTGCGATGAACTCAAGGCTTTAGTAGTTATTGTTTTAACTGTTGGGCTGTCCTCATGTGCGGCCATACAATAGATGGTATAACCAATTGATGCGATCAGTAGGTGTTGGATATGTTTGGTCTCTCAATGCACACAACAAACTGGTGGTCAATAAGTTGAGTATTAGTTAATAATATTATTATAACTACTAATAGTATTATTATTATTATATTTAGATAACGAATAAATAAATGATAAATACATATATAAATAAAAATTGCATTCAATTTGTATTATAATAATAATGAATATCTAGTGAACCCAAGCAATGCTTGTGTTGTGTTTAAAAACATATACAGTATTACAGTGTGTTTAATGTGTTTAATGTATTTAATGTGTTTTCAACAGTCATTTCATCCAATTTAATGGCCGGCACTGTATGTCAAACCTATCAACTGATAGGAGGGATCAGTACTGTGTGTACAAACATGTAATGGTGTTTCTATTTGTGAACGCATGGCTAACATATACAATGCACACAACAACACATACATGCAGTCATACAGTCATACATACAGACAACACGACACAAGCAGACAGACATCCCTTTAAACAATTACTACAACATTGCCTTATATTGTATTATCATTTAGTAATGGCGTTCACAGCTTATACTGTACTACACATGCATTGCCACTAATAATATACAATACAGACAACCAGTATTGCATTGCAATACCATTTTTACGTAACCATACATACACTCCCTTTAAACAAAAGTCAAACATCACTGACACCTACCGTCACATTACATACAACTATATAACCAAACAGTAGTCAATAGTTATGCATTTCATCACATTTGGCGCTATTGACTGTTAATTACATTACTATTACTATAGTATTCATCAATTATTTAGTAATACATAAAATTGTCAAATTATGTACTGTTCATGAATTACGTCAATTATATATAAGTTGTGACCTTCGAGGTAACTAATAGTCAATTACGTCATTTAAATTAAACTAAACTACAGTACATTAGACAATGTTAGGTACAGTATTAAGATTAATACAGTTTATATTACCGATTACCGATTACCGATTACCGATTACCGATTACCGATTACCGATTACCGATTACCGATTACCTTGGACAACTAATCTTTTTTGATTTTCTATCAAATTTTAATATTTTATAATAAATTTTATTTTGTTTAATTTTATTAATTAATTGATCATATTATTTATTTATTTATTTATATGAAAATATGTGTAAATTACCTTGATATTGATATTGGTATTTGTTAATTGAAAAATATTTTATGTAAAAATCCCTAATTATATGACATAACAAAAAATATGTACAAAAAATGTGCATGGTAACAAAATACTAATTATAAGTTATATCTAGCTATAAAATCGATTGAATTTTTTCATTAGTGATAACTAAAGATATAATTCTATTATAATATAGCAATCAATATATACTTTTTTATTACATTATTTTAAAGCAATTAATTTATCATTTATATAGAAACAGTTTGATTAAAAAATTGTATTGGTCATTTCAAATTCTAATTTTAATTACTTGTATTAGTATTAACAAATTATATGGTTTAAGATAATTAATCACATTATTATTTTTTATTTTTTAATATTTTAAAAGTTATGCAAAAAATTATTTAAATAAATTTAATATTTAAATGTCATTAAATATAAATTTACATATATTGATTAAAAACAATTTATAATACAGTATATAAATATTTATTAACACATGTTATGTCTATTTGAATAAAATTAGATTTATAACTTATAAATATTGTTAATACAATTTATTTAGTTAAAAATTAAATGTAAGCATGCTTATTTAATTGATTTCCAGAAATAATTTTATTGTATTATTAAATAACCTGTTTAATTAACTTTTCATTAAATAAATTAACCTGGCCAATATTTTGTATTGGAGTAATGTCCAATGTAGATTTTTAATTAATACAGTATACAAACTATTAAATAAGTGACTTTGTATTTTTGTCATAATAATAGTCTAATAAAATTTATTATATAAAAAATTATATATAAAATTGTAAAGTGCTATATAAAAGAAATAATAATTGTTATAATAATTGTTATAATAAAGTAGTTATTATATTGAAAATGCTATAACTGTTTTAATATTAATATTATGCTGTATTATAATGACTCACAAATATTAATGAATGGCAATCAATGAGAGAATTTTTTATTGAAAACTAAAGAGAAATCAAAATCAAAAATTTACTTTCAATATTAATGACTAATATTTGTGCCTTTTTCATACAACAATAAAAAGTATAAAGAGTGTGTGCAAATCGATATGATTAATAGCAATGTCAAAAAGTACTTAATTGACGGAAATAGCTGTTAATAGTGTTTGTATTACTGTAAAGGCATTTAATATTGTATTGACTGACTCTATGTCTGTCTCCACACACTAACAGCACTACTGTATAGTTAAGTACTGTTGTATTATCAGTGACTTAATGTGTCCTTCAAGCAGATGGTCTCTCTCTATATCTCTCTCTCTCTGAACCAAACAAATGGATGACCACTTGATATAGTGATCGACAAACACAAACATAAACTAACATCAAATCGGACACCACTTAACACAACTGCAACAGTCATACAACAACAACAACAACAACATTAACTACCAGTGCTTAGACACCGATAGTACAGTTACGGGCTTTTAAATGTTGTTTTTGTTTGTTTGTCAACCAAATTGTGTGCTAAACCAACAATGTTTGACAGTCTAACCCTTTAATTATCATTTACTATCACTGATAGCATATTTCAAGTGTTGTTCACTAAAAATTAGCCCATAGTTTGCCAAAATAACGGCACAATCATTAAGAGGACACCCGTTATATATATACCGCAACATATTTTTTCTATGTTTACTATTGTAAGTATAAATCATATGTTTTTTCATTATATAGTTTTTTAAATAATAGTAATAATAGTATATTTCTAAAACGATAGTCAACTAAAATTTAATAAATTATTTTAGCTATAAATGGATGTTAGACTTTATAATAGACCTTTAAGATTGATTTTTGACAACATTTTTCTCAGTGTATATCATATTTTTTTTATTTCAATATATTATAAACTACAGTATAGTATTAATATATCATTTTCAAACTTAATATAATATATCACTACTATTTTTTGATACTTTAAATTCATTGCTTATGTTTTGTGATTAAATAAATGATTAGTTTTTATGAAATGATATCTCTTAAACATTAGTTAATAATAATAAAAAGTTTTATTTAATTACTGTTTGTCTGACTTAAACGAATTTATGATAGAAATAATAATTTATAATAATTAAGTATATTATATATAATATCATATATATATATATATATATAATACTTATTTATACGCTATTAATGACATTACATTAATTAAACATTTTTTTATTTATGCATTTATTTATACTAATCAATTGTTTTATATATTTTTTAGACAATAATAATAAAAAGTATAATAATTTTATATGGATTTTATTAAATTTGTGTAATGTTTAAAAATTGAATACCGGATATATTGAAATACCTACAAAAAAATTGGTCAAAAATATTGTTTACATAATAATATTGTTGAGAGAAGATATTACTGATAATATTAGTTACTGTATATAAATTATGTGAAATTAGTTATATATTATAGTTATTCATTTAAATGCCCATATATTTTATGTATTGAAACGAAAGTGCAATTTCTAAATAAATATATATAAAAATTATCATTGTTTTCGTCGATTACTTGTCATTATAATAATATATATATAATTCAAGTCTCGGCCATCCAATAGACGACACAATCAAATGTCTCAGTTATCACCACATCATCCGATGAGTGAAACTTTTCAAGATTTTTCAATTATGATTATTACATAAAATTGAAAGTACAAAAAAAAGAAATCAAAATTTTTAATTATATTTTTCGACATTAAAAGAGTGACATTAATAAAAAAGGCTAAATTAAATTGTGATCAAAAATAGTGATTAAATTATCTTTTATGAAGACATCGACACTTATTATTGTTTTAAATATATGTTGTTTTATATTATTGTTGAAATAGTTGTTTGCTATTATAATTAATATTTAATTGTGTTTATATATATATATAAGTGATTGATTAACTTATGTATCGGAAGTCAAAAAGTGATACAAATGAAGTCATTGCTATTATCTATGGTTGAGAAACAATTTTCCATAATTTTATCATTTATTTGTTGTTTAATAAGTTGTTAATAATAAGTATATGTTTATGAATTTTATTGCTAAAAGTAAAGATAAATTTATTATAAAAGTCAAAGACTTTATTATAAGTCAAAAGTCATCGTTTGTGTGATTTGTCATAAATGGAATCTTCATCCCCAGTGGTTCCGCAATTGGCGCCTACAGTCACCGGTTCCACATCTGATTTGACCACAACAAGTATGGGTCCGAGTCCTGGTCAACAGCAACTAACCGAAACTGCGACCAACTCTGCAGTCATCGAAATCAATACAAGTATCGGTGCTGTCAATGATCCCTACAATAGTCTCAATTGCGAAACAACAAACACAATGAATATATTTAATCAAAATCAGACTCAACTATTAAATTCATTGATTGCGGACAACAATTATAAACCCCAAAGTGAAACAAATACATTCATTGATAGGCCGCCCACTGAACTCACGTTTTCCGATCTGACACCTCCTGTACCAAACGTATCGTCTCTGGAATCTAATCTACAAGTTTTAGGATCAGTTGCCGGCGATCCATCTCAACCTACATTTGATGGTGTGTCAGGTGCTGTACCGGCTGAGCAAACTGTGCAACAGGTCTGAAGTTTATAATTACAGTATTATAAAACTATTATACAGTATATTAGATTTGTTGTAAATATTAGATTTGTAAATTTAAAAAAAAATTTACATTTAGATAAATCTATTTATTAATAATTTTGACATTGAATTTAATAGTTTTTTTATAATTCAATGAAAAAAGTATGTAATTTAAGCGAAATTGTTTCCGTGTATTTGAAAATCAATAGAAAAGATGTCTTAGAAATTTAATTCCTTATTTATTCATTTATTATATTAGTATTTTAATTGTTGAGATTATTATATTACTACAAGTATTAAGTTATTTAATTAACATTTTTTAGAATCAAATGATAAAAATTAATGTTTATATGACATTAGATGACATCGATAAACACTGAATCGCCACAAATTGAGATACCTATTACTGAGACGATTATACCATCGATTGCTCCAAACAATGATATCCAACAATCATCAGCAGCACAGCACCAACTAATGGATTCAGTTAATGATAGTCAATATTCAAATATATTTCAGCCGGTAATCAATGGTCCGTCTGGATCTGCACCACAAACACCGGCCGCTTCTCCTATAGAAGTGAATGAACCGCAACAGTCAGTGATCAATACGTCCAATAGTGCTGTTAATCAGATGACCAATCTTTCTTCATTTGGTTCAAACAGCACTAATACTACTAATAATTTTGTCAATACAACTGTTTCTACTGATCTATTTAATGTGCCCATGAATTCAATGGTTCCAGTTTTGAACAACAACAACAACAACACTGTAGTGTCTCAAAGGCCCACCGATGGTCCGCTACCAGCATTAGGTTTAGAACGGGCACTACAAGAGCAACTTCTTGACGCCATTCCACCTCCAAGTGTTAACTTTCCTCCCGGTCCAGTGCCAATGGATGAAAAAGGCATACCATCAGCTCTACCAGGAGAATTCCCTCTAAGTATTGAATTACTTTTTCTCATTTTTATAATTAAATAAATATTTGCTAATTAATTAAATTTAATTATACTCCATTTTAATTTACAAATATTATATAAACAAATAATATTAATAACATTTAAAAAAAAATAATTTAGTTTATAAATATGATGAACACTTGCGATGTTTGTGAAAAGCTATCATTAAGTTATTATATAATTTATTTAATACTTATTAACCGTATTTTAAAACTCTTTTAATATATATATATATATATTGTATTTGATTATATAAATAATTTTGTTTTAAAAATTTATTTCATTAAATATAATCTGCAAAAACAGTTTATAAAATATTGTACAATTAATTTGGTTTTATATGATAGTAATGAACTCATGAAATATGTTTTAATAATAATAATAATTTCAATCGATTTTTATTTAAATCTCTTTTCGTTTGAACACCAGGTCTGCTTCCCGTTGAAGAAGATAAAACTGGTGGCATTGGATTAGTATCCGTATCGTTGGACAAGATTGAGGCCACCATTAATATGAACAGCAAGTCATCGGCTACCGTGACAAACGCTGTTGCATTGTCTCAATCACAGGTCAACATCATTCACTCATTACAACATCCCATACCAGCCCAACAACAGTCCATTGCTATCACTGCGACCACTAATTGCTTAGATAATAGACCACAACAACAACAGGGGTTTAATCTTAATTATACCAATCAACTTACTGTTGCTACCACTCCATTAGTGGATCAGACGGTATATTCTTCGACCACTATTGACGTTCAACCATCATCGACATCAATACAGACATCTCAAGACCAACAACAACCGATAGTCACACCTCATTCACAATCAATGCCACAAAATATTGAAGCATTACAACCACTTCAGCCTCAACAACACCAACAACAACAACCATCCCAACAGATTCTTACACCTGAATCCACAGTACAACAAGCAGTTGTGAGCACTTCTTTGGGTAACGTTCCTGAAGTTCAGTTACCTCCAGCACCTGCACCACCATCAGCTACATCAATAACGGTATTTGAGTCGTCGCCCAACGATTTAATGCCCGAAATGGTATCTCAAAATCAATTATCAAATGGTTTGCCACCACCACCACCACTACAACCCGTTCAAAATATCAATCAAACTGTTCTCACACCGATGACAGAGATGAACACATTAACTAATTTGGTGCCCGTTGTAGAGCCCACCGATCCATCCATACATCTACAACAACAACGACATCAACAACAATCTTGTAGTCAACCGCTATCTATAGTCATTAAAAGCGAACCACAATCTTATAACGAGCAACAAGTTGTTGTCAACAACACCACAATCAGCAACAATAACAACAACAATAATAACAATAATAATACTTCTGAACAATTGCTCGGTATTAGTAAAGTTAATGATAACAATAACAATCCGATTCTTAACAATCGCGAAAGCAAACCATTAAATATGTTGAACAATGCCCGGACACAGGCGATGGCCAACAGTCAAGTGAGAAGTTTCCCACTATGTGTCATATCAGCTACACCGACAACATTTTCTGCGTCCAAAAGTAACACATCTTTCGGTGCTCATAATCTACCACTGCCTCCCAAAAAGGCAAAGTTGACTGTGTCTGGTGTGCCTCAAGCTGTTGTGTCGCTCTCGTCGAAAGCGCCTCAGATGTCGGCCGTCCCGTCCACTGCTATGATATATGATCTGCCACTCCATCAGACACAACATCCTTTTACAACTGCGACCACTTTTAGAGTACAACCAGAACTGACACAGACCTCAAAATTACAGCACAGTATGTTTTACTTTTACATTTTACTCATTTATTTTAATTATTTATTTTTCATGTTAAAGATATACTAATATTGTTATTTTATTTGTATTATAGATATGACGCCAACATTTACTACTGTGGCTCCAATTTTATTGTCAGGTCTGACACTTGATGGACCTCTATCTCTGGTCAAAAGTGAAGACAAGATGCGTCAGTTAGCGGCCACCACTTCAATAGCCAATCATCCCGACTATCCGGCCATCTCTGGTCTTTTGTCATTTATTAATCCAATACATAGACAAACCAATTCATCGGTGACCACATGTATTGAAACTCCTCTATCACTTAATGTTAAGTCCAATTTAACTTCGGCGCCTATAGTGGCCAATTCATTAATTCACAGCCATTCAGTGGCTCACACGTCACACGTGCCTTCATTGACTCGTCCATCACAACATCACAATCAAAGCATAACATCTGCCACAATAGTGTCCACATCTCCAACTGCCGTACCCGTGTCGGTAGTGACCAGTGTTGCCGACCAGACCAGAGGGGCTCTTCAACAGAGAATTAAATCTATTGGTCAATCAAATAACAAAAATAGAGTTAATTTAGAGAACACAAGCGGTAATTAAATAATTGAAATATATAATTGATTTATCAGATTATTTAGTATTATATTATTTGTCACTAATTAGGATCCTCAGGAATGAAGCTTCAATTGGCACCATTACTATCTGGAGATCCGGCCAAACCATTTCAATGTTCATTGTGTGGCAAACATTTGGCCTCAAAGAATGTCTATCAATTACATCTGCGCTCTCATTCCGGCGAAAAGCCATTTACTTGTAATTTATGCGGTCATTCGTTCTCACAAAAGACATCACTCACTAGACATATGAGGTCACACACTGGTGAACGTCCTTTTCCCTGTCAGGTCTGCCATTTTTGCAAATTTATTGATAACAAAATTATGAATATAAAAATAAATTTTTTAAAAAAAATAGTTTATATTTTTATTATTGTTTTATTTTATTGTTTAGATTTGTGGAAAAAGGTTTGCCGATAAAGAAAGGATTAAAATTCATATGCGGACGCATACCGGCGAAAAACCATTTTCGTGTGAAGTTTGCGGTAAACAGTTTTCACAGGTTATTGATTACTACTTTTTAACAAATTTGGCTTTAATTTGCTAAACAATGCCTAATTTTTTTAAATTTAAATCTACAGAAGTCGACAGTTAAACGCCATATGTCTGTTCATACGGGAGAGAAACCCTACAAATGTGAGGCCTGTGGTAAAGGGTTTGCCAATCGGGGGAATCTGACGGCACACACAAAGACACATTCAAATTCTTAACAATCACTTTGAAGTGATCTCTATATTTGATGTGATGTTTATATTATTGATTTGTCTTATCATTTGTTTAATTAATGTGAAGGTTTGAGTTTTGTTTGTTATAATTAAAAGTGACCTCAAAATTTTTTTATTATTATTATTAAGTTAACAATGATTATATATACCGGTATTAATTACGATAGTTTTTTTTGGAAATTTAATTATTATTTTTTATAAAAGCAGTCATATTTTCAAAATATTAAGTCATTAACTATTTTAAATAATTATTTAATATTAGATATAAATACTTATTGTATGGAAATATATATATACTGTAATATACTGTATATATATTGGAAAATATAAATATATAAATGAGATTTAATCGTTATGACTCTGATTTTTTAATTTAATTTACTGTAAAATTTAGTAAAAAGCAGTTTTTAATTTGGAATAATGTTTAAAATAATTCTTATAAAAAACAGTATAGAATAAAATTTGTACTTTAAAAAATAATCCAGGATAAATTAATAAATATTATTTAATAAGAAAATTAATCAGAATTGAATTTAATTTGTTTTTGGAAATAAAGAAAAATTATTGATTTATTAAATTAACTGTTAATTAAAATTGAAACAAAATCCAGTCCAAAGCTTAATGTAACAAATGATTTGGTAATTGAAAAGTGAGAAACAAATTGAATGGTTTTTTATTTAGTAATAAATCCGAATTTTGCCTTCAATTTCATTTAAAATGCGAGCGTTGAGTGTTTTAATTCACATATTTTCAATCATATATAAAAATTTATTAATATCTGGTATTTTAAAAATTAATCAATAAATCAAAGTGTTATTTATGTAAAAAAAAATCCTTAAAAAAGATTAATTTCACTCAAATTCGTATTTTTACTTTTTAAACATTTCAAACACTTCACACTAAAAGTAACTAAACATTAAATCATAAATTATATATATATATATATGACATGCATGACTTATTTTAACTAAATAAATTATTTACTATTAAGAAAATTACATATTTGCTATTATAATATAGTTAATAATAATAATAATAAATAAATAATTAAGTTAAATATATTTATAATATTGTGAAATATATAAAATATATACAGTATATATTGTTGCCTAATTCATGGAATGTCTTTAATAATATTAATCATATATATATAAATATATTTACTATATTATATACAGTATATTGAAATATATTACATAATATTGTTATTTTTAATTACATAATTTTTTGAGAATACATTACTTTATATTAGTTAACTAATTGAATATAATTATAATTAAAACTTTTTAAATAACAAAATAAATTACAAAAATTTTATATAAGATATAATATATATATATATATATATATATATAAACTGTAAGTGCCGTAAATTATACTAAACAAGAAAATTGTAAACTTAATATTCAGTAATTTTTAATATTATTATTATTTACAAGTTCGTCTTTCCCGCTGCGCACCACAATATATATATAATATATATTAATTAACTGTTAATTGTAACAACTATTTACACAATATGACCTATATTTTTAAAATTAAAAGTAAATTTGAAGTAATTGTTTTATCACACATACATAACATACTAAACACACACTAAGAGAATTTTTTTAAATAGTATTATATTATTTTAAAGGAAAAATTTTGTATATTCTGTGTTTTGTTATATACTGTAATATGTGTTAAAAATTCCATTTATATGAATGTTATGTTTATAATTATGTTATGTATAATATATTGTAAATTACAATTTGTAATTAACTAATATTATATACAAATGACAGTTACTAATTACACGTTTATACAGTATAGACGATAATATAGATGTTAATTAATAAGTCATAATTGTTTTATTTTTAATTAAAAAATTATTCTATGTTTTTGATTAATAAGAGTTTAATGGATTATATTATATGAAATATTTGATTGTTAATATACATATAAATAAATATATAAAAGATTATATATATGTACACTACATAATATAGCTTATTATTTTCATTATTAATTATAATTGTAGAGTTATTACTATAATGATTAACAAAATGTTATCATTTAATTTTTAAGACGAAAATATAATTGTATTCATTGTTTTATTTTTATAACAATTCCTAGTCTTGATTATTATTATTAATATTATTAATAAATAAGAATAAAAGTGAAAACATGTTATATTATTATTAAATGTATAAATATGTTGGAAATTTATATAATTTTAAATGCATTTCCCATAAAAATAATTATTTTTGTGCATATTTTAAATTGATATTAGTTAAATAAATTATACCTCATTTGTTAAATTTAATAAAATAAACAATTATTTTATGAAATATAATAAAATAAATGTTTTATATATAATTGAATTCTTGTTTATATTTTATTGTTGAAAAATTGATTTGTTTTTATAATTAGTTATTGATATAAATGATTTTTATTTATAATAATATTATTATTATAATAAAAAATTGCTATTAAATATAAGTATAAATGGAAATAAAAATAATCCCTTACTTAACCATTAATATTATTGAATTAACAATTACCAACTGTGCAAACAAATAGCAATTTATATTTTATTATTATTAGATAAAATGTAGTATTTATTAAATAGTTTTAAGTTAGCAAATATCTATTGATTGTACTGATAAATTGATTAATAAATTTGCATAGTTGATAATTGCTAATTCAAAAAATATTAATAGTTAAGTATTTTTATTTTTATATCAAATATTTTTTATTTATTGAATAAATAACATTATAATTTATTAACAAATTTTGGTAAAACCATTTTGAAGCAACTAATATTCAGTTATATTTGTATTAAATGTAAGATCACAATATTGTGTGTTTATTTAACACTTTATATTGAGTACTACATCCACACACACACACACACACACACACACACACACACACACACACACACACACACACACACACACACACACACACACACACACACACACACACACACACACACACACACACACACACACACACACACACACACACACACACACACACACACACACACACACACACACACACACACACACACACACACACACACACACACACACACACACACACACACACACTTTTTTTCTCTCTTTCTTTTTTTTCTTTCTTTCTTTTTATTAATAGTTGAAACAAATGCTTGAAAAAATAATTAAATTTTATTTGAACCACACATTAATAAATTATATTAATTACAAATTATTTAACTTTACTATAAAAATAAATATACTGTATAATGGGTTAATAATAGTAATGCGATTAAATATTTGATATTATATATTACAACAAATTTACTTACATAATAAATAACAATCAAAATTAGTTTATAATAATTAAATGATAGGCAGAGGTATTAAAATATTATAGATCTTCGTTTGCGCCCCGGATTACGGATACCTGACCTCATAAGCTTCTGTGCCTTTGCCTCCTCTCCCATCTCATTCCACATACAGTCAGCTCCGGGAAGACCACCAATAGGTGAACAATCGACACCCCTTTTCACTGTTTCTGATTCACTCGATTTACTGACAAATTAAATCATATTTTGAAATAAATAAATTTTTACAATATATTATACATTAATAAACAATTTACAGTATATGTTAGTAATTAATATATAAGAAATTATACTAACTTTTAATAATTAATATTTAGTTGTTATATCGCCATATTTTAAACACATGCATAGTTCAAATTGGCGTTAATTTAATTAATACAAAAAAGATTATATATTATGAAAATTATTATTAATATAAAATTTTAAAAAAGTTTGCTTAAAATACATTAATTGTTAAAATGCAATATTGTTAAAAAATCATAAACAAAAATAATATAATATAATATTAATATTTAATTTAATACTGTAGCTCAACATTATAATTTAAAGTACTATTTATTTAATATACTGTAGTTTTGATTATATAATAATTGTATGAAAATAGATGTTTAAATTGAAACAAATTTTGATTGTTTTAAATATCCAAATAACTTAATGAATCAATCATTTAGCACCGGGCTATTTATCAAAAGTATATCTTATATTAATTGATGTTCTCATCACTGTCGGGACAGTTGGCACCAAACATCAAGCATTTAACGGAACGTTTACCCGGATTGCGGTGCGATTCGGTCACTGGCGGCCCAATATCGTGGTCACAGTCAGCACCGGGAATACCAGTAATACAGCCATCCTTTCCGACTTTAATAAAATTTTTGGAAATCTGTTGACGCCTTATATTTGATAAATTAATTTGTTGTCAAATCATGTTTTAAATTTCAGTAAAAAAATATAACAATAGATTTGCAAAGTGTGTGAGAGATATTGCAGGACATATAAGTAGTGTGCATTTTGTGTGGATATTATTATTATTTGTATTTCCATATAATAGTAATTACTATAAATTTAATACTGTATTAATGGTAACCATAAAGTGAGTATTTTAATAATATTATTATAATTGGATTCATAACTTATGATAATTTTTCATCATTTATTATAAGTTAAGTGTACTATAATTAAACAATTAATGCGATAATAATAGTGAAAGTGCTGTAAGTTTAATGTGATTAATGAGTGAGAGTCCGGTGAGAGTAATAAAAACGTATTGATATTATAGCACACCTTAGGCTCCGTTTGCCTGGATTTCTGTTGGGTAGATAAGCCCAGTCACCCAAATAGCCGGCACAGTCACCGCCGGGTAGTCCGCTCTGACATTTCTTAAGACTTCTCTTATAATTTGTTTTATAATTGATATTTTGAAGACTAATTATGACAATATATTCTTGTCTTATAGTGTACAGTATATGTACATTATTTATATATATTAGTAATTATCAATTTAGTAAATATTTATTATTTAGATATTTATATTAAGAATAATTTAGATAATATTATTTATAAACAAAAAAATAGGATGTTTACTTAAATAATTATATGAAAGCTATATTTGTTAATAAATGCTTAATACAGTTATAATATAGTTATTGTAATGAGAGTAGAATAGTGTTAATTGTTATTATTTATAAATAATTTTAAATTAGAAATAAAAAGTATCAAATAAATAAATTAGAGTTATAATGTAATAAATAGATTAATAATAAAAATATCTTTAAATAAATATATATTTATTAATGTAATACTTTTAATTTTTGTTAATAAAATGTTAATAAAATCAAATTATTATAAATACTTACTCCATATTTTCCAAGTTATGGTCCAATCGGTTCAATACATTCATCACATATTTAATACTATGTCTCCGATTATTAATGTCTTGTAGCGCATCATCACTAATGATAAGACAAAAATGTTATAATTTTTTTAAAAAATATATACAAATATATTTAAAAACATTAATTAATACCGATTCTTATCGGATTCTTGCGAATCAACCACTTGTGCCGATATAAAGCCCACAAATAATACTAATATAGAAATACTCAACAATTGGGAAATCGTTAAAAACATTTTAAAAATTGCCAGGAATTTGATTCACACTTCAAAAGTACAGTTTTATATTTGTATAACAGTTTCAACTAAAAACTAAACTTATAGGAAGAAATAAAATTAAATAAAAAATTATTGACAAATATTTTTTTTATTGTGGAAACAACTATTTATAGTTGACTTTCAAAGTATTAATAAAAAATAATTAAAAACAACAATTTTGTTATAATTTTTTTAATCAAACACACTATTAGTTTTAACACAACATTTATACAATTTATGACTTATTAATTGTTGAATTAGTTCTTTATATATGTAGTGATATATATTGGATCTGAAACCACGTCATTGAATGTCATTTACAGTAAATAAAATCTATAGCACAACAGTCTAATACTGTTTTCATAATTTATATCCTAATATCATATATAGTTAGTATTTAACACTATATGACACATCATTTTATTATATGACATATTCAAACTTATTCTGAGATCGATATTTGATAATAAAATTTCAGAGCATTTAATTATATACTGTATATGAAACTTAAAGTGTCGGCTATAAGTTAAGTGCCAATAAAAATATCCTAAATTGACCAATAGATTAGTCGGAAATACCATTTATAATCAAAATCTTAATTGAAATATCAATTTTTATTTATCACTCAAAGCACCAATAGGTTCATTTAAAATCATACACAATAATTAATTGATTTTTTATGATAGCAACTATAATCTCTAATTTTATTATTGAAAATTCATTCAAATCATATCAAAAATAGTCATTAAATTTTTATATAAATTTATGAAAAGTTATAATGAGAAAATTAAAATAAATTTTTTGTATATGTATTAATAATTAATATTTACAAAAAATGGGATTTGAGAGTAATTTAGGAAAAATTTTATTTTCATTATTAACAAATAAATAGATTAACAAAAGTATTGTGATTTTAAGTGAAATATTCTTACAGTTAAAATCATATTAATATTTACAATAGATATAACTGTCATACAATTTGATGGACAGGTTCTTACACTTTCAGGTGATTTACACTCTTTTATTGTTAAATAATAATTTTTGTGATAAAATTACAGACAAAATAAGTTATTTATATAATATTTTATTAATATATAATTATATTTAAATTTATATACTGTTTATATAAGTATGATAATGTATGTTAATAAATGGTATGCACTATACAGTACAGTTTACTACTAATTTATAATAGTATATAATCTTATTAAACAAATAATTTGTTTAAAAATTTAATAATATAGAATTTCATTTTATTTTTAAATTTATTTACAATAATTATTTGTATCAAGTTCAAATTGCATTTTTCTAAGTTAAGTAAATATTTTTTTGGATATCATTATACTAATGATAATAATTGTGAATAATGATTGACATAATTATCATTTTAGTTTATTAATTGTTTGATTCTGAAATTGATTTATATTACTAATACAGTATTAGTTAAAAATTGCTATAATATTAATTTTTATAAGATAATTGTAATCGTTATATAATAGACATTGAATTTTCTTTGATGTTATGGTCTAAAATAATAATCAGGTGCTAATTCATTGTACCTGTAATTTAACAGTTTTTCAATTCATGCTTATTGTAATCTATCATTAAGTATTGATAAAACTGTATTATTTAGTATAATAATACTATATTGGGTAATACCTGTGGTATTTGTAAATTTTATACATAAAAATATTATATTGTAATACAAATACATAATAAATTTTACAAAACTATCGTCTAGTCCTAATAGATATCTAGTAAATGATTAAATCAAATTACATTCAATTCTATAAAAAAAAACTATTTTACAGTAAACTGGACACAAATATCTTGTAAATAAACTAAAAACATAAGTAAAAGTAATTTATAAAATAAAATAATTAATTAAAATTTTCATAATAAAATACTTCAACTTACATTACAGTATAATTAAAGTAATCGAATTATAAACCAGTTGAGAATGCTTCAAAAGCTTCAAAATATACCGTATATTCAATAATATAGATTTTATGATATTCTGTTTATTATTATTTAATTATTGTTTTTAAATCTCTAAATAAGTACTATTTTTTCTATTATATATAATAATTTTTACTAAATAAAAAAGTGTAAAAGTAAAAAAAAATCATTTGTTAAATTTTACAACAAAATATTATTTTTTTATTGTTTAACATTACTTAAAAATCTTATACAGGTATTCTAACAGAGCCTATAATAGTGCCTTTTAATAAGTCTATAGCCTATAATAATTATAAAAACTAAAAATATACTAAATATAATTAACTATTTTAATAATATTGATAATTTTTTTTATTAAAATAACTACAGTACTATATTTTACGTTACTTTTAAAATAATATACTTTAATAAACTACTAATTTGTAAATAATAGAGTAATTCAGTATAGAGTAGACTCTACTCAGTAGAGTATCTATTTTAAGCTTATTGTTGAATAAATATTAGTATTATAGGATTTCTTAACAAAGAAAATATGTAACTTATTGTAAATAGTAATCATTAAATTGAAAACATTACTGATATTTATTAAGTAAAAATGCAATCATTATATTATTTTTATGTGCAAATAATATACTAAACTTAATATAGAAATCACTGGAGGATATAAATTTTATTATTGTATATAAAATCTTCAGATAGTTCTTATAATAATAAAATTAAAATAATGTTCAAAAAATATTTTTTTGGTCCTTTAACTGCACGATATTTATCAAAAAACTATTTCAAATATTGTTTAAACCCTTAAACTTTATAATATTAAGTAACAGAACCCATAGGAATCCAATGGCACAAAAAACAATATTTATAAATTATATACATTTAGATAATAAAAATTTATTTAATAATTGTAATGCATTTACTAAAAAAATGATATATAAAAATATAATTGAAATTTAAGTTATATAAGGAATGGAAAATCTGGTACTAAGTATCAGTCGTCTTTAAACTTGATTTCTAACCAAAACATCTATTTTAATAAAAAAAAAACTTTATTTAAATTCAACTTAAATTGTAAATTATTGTAAAATATATTGAAATAATAAAAATGTATTTCAAATCAACTTTAATATGTTTTTTAGTCATTTTAATCATTTTATGTGAGAGCAAACAAATCGCTAATCAAGAATGCAATCAATTTTGGGTTCATTTGCCACAATTATTGGCTAATAGTATGTATTTATTTATTGTCATAAAATTGAAATCAAATTCTAATATATATATATATATATTATATTATATTTTTTATAACTAATATTTTGATTTCTATCTCAAGAGTCTGCCATAAAAAACAATGAATATTCTTCAGCAACGAATCAACAGATAATAAAAGATGTATACATTGATTGCTATTACAAAATCATTGATAGCTTACAATCACCGATGAAGAGGACTATTAATGATAGAGAGATTGACAACTCGTTGAATCAGTTGATGACCGATAAGGACTTCAGTGATGACTTGAGACGAAAACGAAATCGACAAAATCGTTTCGCAGGAATTCTTACCAAATAATTATCAATTTAATCAAAAAATATTAACACTTTATAATCAATGTTTAATTTGTTTAATTTAGATCTTAATATTAATTTTAATCATTATTGTATTATACTAATACTGTATTAAATTTACTACTGTACAATGTTAACGCATTAATTACCAAGCTTAAAATTAAACCTATGATCAAATAATTTTTATCTATCAAATAAAAACGTTTATTTTTGTTGAAAAAATACAATTGATACAAATATTTATAATATTTGATAAAATAATATATATATATATTTATAATATATTTTAATTGTGTAAATGTAATTGTTTTGTAATTTGAGATGAAGTGTGAAAGCATATCAAATAGTTAATTGAATGTTGAAATATAGGAATAACATCAAAAAAATAGGCAAAACTTTCTTATTATTTAACAATTAACTTATGAATTGAAAATCGTTTTATTATTATATAGTTATACTGTATTGTCGTTATGTAATAATCATTTATTGTATTATAGCACAAATTTATACAATGAATACAATACTTATTATTATTATTATAGTGCGGATCAATATATAAGTAATGATAACATAATAAAACTGTTAATTTGATTCAATTTAATCAAATTTTCGTATTTTAACTACTATTTCAATCAATAGTAGTCACTAGTAATGGTAAAATCAAATAATTTTTTCATAACTACCGGTAAATCAAATTAATAAAAACCTATAAGAAAATCAATAATATTAACTGAAATTATTATACCGGTTAAATAATTAAAAATCAATGCTTTCAAACATCACATTTAAAATAACACGTTATATATAAACAATAAAAAGGGAATTCTTATAAGTTTTAATTAATAATGAATTTGACGATTAAAATGCTTGTTTTATACATTTGATTCGTGTCTTATTATTTTAATTATTATTACAAATATATATATATATAACTAATTAATTAATTAATAAAAATTTTGTTTGATGGACACTAAATCGTAATAAAAAACACTAAATCATAGACTAATTAAATTTATTTGTCCTCTAATTCGGGCAAATCTCCGTCATCGCTGTCGGGCTCATCATCTTTATCCTGAAAAAAACGAGATATAAATCAATTGTCAAAAAAAAACTACTGGATCTAATGAGAACTCACATCCAAATCACCCAAATCAGGCATACCGGCACCACCCATTCCTCCGAGTCCACCCATTTGTCTCATCATCTAAAAATAGACCATTAAATTATTAAATACACAAATTTTTGTATTTGCAGGTAATTTAAAACATAACATTAGTATTGACAAACCTCTTCAAAGTCTCCGCCTCCCTGTCCGGGTGCACCGCCTTCATCATCGGTGTCATCTTCGTCTTTCCACTTATTAAAGTCCACTTTAAGCCAATGAAACTTTGAGTCCGATTTGAGTAGTCGTTTCCAATAAGGACCGACATTTGCTTTGATGAGTACAAACTCAGTGCCTCTGTCTCTAACTATGAATTTCGATTCTTCGGTATTTATCTCATCGAATAACTCGAGGTCGGCCTCATATTCCTGTTTACCGCTACCGACAGCTCTATACAAATCAATTATATAAGTAATACATCAGTCAATTGTCAAACAGTGAGATCAGGCATGTAGTGGACAGTTAGCACACAAATGACATCATACTTGAAATATATTTTATTTTTGTCGACCTTGACTTCGGGTGACTTGACATCTTCGACTCCGATCTTAACATAGACTAAATTGCTTCGTTGAGCCCAATATACCGGTGCAGACAATACTCTATTGTTTTTATCAAATCATAGAAAATAACATAACGTGAGAAACGTGTGCACTATTATCATAACATTAATACTTACTTAGACTGTGTTTCTGGCATTGGATCCGTTTAAGTGATGGCTTGTGTGACACAATCTTTAAATGGACTAAACTGTATGTCAAACCAATTGGTGACACAATTTGTTTGCGGATCAGAAACGATGGCAACAAATGAAGACAATATCAATCAATAGATTTGTGTTTCAATAGAATTGAAGTCACAATACATTTACAGTCAATACATATAACACTATATTTCTATTCATTTACTATTGAAAACCTATTGCTGTTGTGCTTAACGTCTATAGTCTTCTATTACATTGTATTACAAACACTACACACATATCACGTGATTAATGATTCATCGAGAATCGAGTCATTCATAAACAACATTACACTTACTTTTATAATATTATATAAATGTTATGCAAATAGAAATACAATGTTTTCTATAGAAATAAGGGAAACATTTAACAGTGTATTCAAAGTTTGTGAAAAGTTATAAATAAATTTAATTATATGTTTCAAGATTTAGATATAAAATTAGTATTTAATCCATAAATATATATATATTTTGATTACAAATCCAATTGAAAATAGCATATAATTATTGCTATTATTAAATGTTTAATAAAAATATTGTTTATTCATGTAATTTACAGCGTATTTATGTTTAAATTGAAAGTTATTTTTTTAACATTATCTAACATAACATAAAATATGTATTATTTTTATATAACAAAAAGTACCAAACGGTTAGTTTAGTTGAAAAAATGATTGCATTTTGTTTGTATTGATAGTGTGTTGACATCTATTGAATGATTAATACAATTAAAAGTCAAAAACCAAAGCATACAACACGTGATCGACAATTAAATAACAATTAAATAAAACTTTTGTTTACATTTTTGTTTATCATTTAGTCATTAATAGTAATTAACAGCAGAGTTATGACAGAATCGGCGGTCAGGACTTTGCCCTCAGGTCCGCAACCGGGCGTCAAATACCCGATTAAAGTTCTATATTGCGGCGGTAAATGACAGTTAAATTGGTCGACCAATTGGTTGACAAAACAAACAATTTTTTGTATAATTTTATTTAATATTATGTTTTTGTTTGTCCGCTGATCTGTCTTACGGTTGGCCACTAACAGAGTGTTCACTTCCCGTCGAGTACTGCGAATTCTATCCAAATAACGCCAAATGCAAGGAATGGCTGGAGAGGTCGTTACCCGAAGTTTTCGAGTTAATGATGAAAACATGTATTTATCATAGATTTTGAAATCAAACAAATGGTTTGATGTTTTCCGACTTTTTAGCCAACGGGACAAACTCACAGACGACTACCAAAACTGTCACCAGTGATGCTGGAGATGACAAATCATCGGATACGGCTGTTGACGATGAATCAGGCGCTGGTGGCGGTGGAACTGTCGGAGAGAAAAGAGGACGACAGAAAAGAGGCGGAAAAGCATTGGTTAAAACTAAAAGTAAAGGAAACGTCGAGAGATATGTCAAATTGGCCCGAAGTAATCGGGGAAAGAAAAAATATGTCACCGGTATTGACAACAATATAAGATTTACAACTTTGGTGTTGTATTACCGTACCATTAGGTTAATTAATATTTTATATCATGATTAGTGGTCACCGGTTTATCCACATATGACATCGATTTGAAAGACGCGGCCAAATTTTTCGCTTCCAAATTTGCGTGCGGCTCGTCTGTGACCGGAGCCGATGAAATTGTCATTCAAGGAGACGTCAAGGACGACATGTTTGATCTTTTGACCGAAAAATGGCCAGAAATCGATGAGGACTCGATCGACGACTTGGGGGACATTAAGAAGTAATGATGGCTTGTTTTTGAGTCTATTTATGAAACATTTGTTTTTTATTATTTAAATAAATATCGATTTATCTGTTTTTATATAAATAAATTAAAATCAATGATAATTTTTTAATAACAAGTTTATGGTAAACATTAAGTAAGTTAATGACAAAAATCTCTTAAATTGTTAAAAATATGTATAAAAATAATTTGTAACAAATGTCAATACAGTTTGAGATGACCGGTCACTTTGTCGACTAATTGTTGAGGACCGGGACCTACACCTAAAACCGTTTTAGATCCCGACGGCACCTGTGTATGGCCCGCATCGCGTATAAGACTTGTTATAAGACCGGCCCGTTTGGCCTCTTTTTCAATTTCTAACAGCTCTGCTTCGGTGTCTACTTTGACCACAACTTTTCGTTGACCCGACAGTTCCCATAGCTTTAACAATGATTTTTGTTTACGTATTTGCTGATAGGCGAACACCTGTCCAATTGGAGAGACCAACAAATGTTATTATTTGTCATAAATTAAAAGTAATATTCATTGAAACAATGCCGAAGTGGCCAAACATACGGCTGCGTGTGAACACTGGGCACAGGCCTTGCCTTTACCCATCTTTAAGTCATTTCTGATGACAATCACTAGTTTACAGTCGGGTCCCAAACATTGATCGTTGAATATTTGATCGCCCGTAGCATTGGCCGACCGGTTGGCCATTAATTGTTTGGTAAGTGACCGGTGCAGTCGTGACCTCAACAGCCAGCCTAACACTAAACCAATGCCAACACCAGCAGTAAGTGTCGCCAAATGACTGCTATTAACCGTACGATCCATACGTTTATATGATTTATCAGTGCTTTAGAAATAGTTTTTTATCACAATTAGCGGCACATGTAGTCAACAGAGACAGCACAGGGACTCTCAGGGAGTATACGTATAATAAACGTCAATCAAAGTTACAGATAAAGTACGTAATAATACTATTCTTTAATATTATAATTAATTAATGAAATAATTGTAAATATTATGTCATTTTACTACTGTATTACCAAAAATGTTTAATAATTAAAATATTAATAATTATTTTTTATTATATCTAATTGTATATTAAATATCTATAATATTATATTAATTATACATTTTTATAATTGTATTTATGATTTTACGAATAGTCCAGTTTCCGGTCAAATTCTGTGACTCGTTTTATTTTTCCAAAAGTTGCCTATTTTTCTGCTTCCTTCCCATTCCCAGGGAATCTAAATCTATTTCCTTGTGTTACACCTCCTATTGAACCCTAAACAACAAATTTTATTATAAGATTTGAATAACAAATGTTTTATTAAACTATATTTTGAGTTTTATTATTAAATAGTATCATTAAATTCACTAAATTCTTTATTTTTAAATATTTCACTGAAATTTTATGAAAAAATTTAGATTTGGTATTATTTATTGTAAAATCATAAAATATTTTTCCCTTTCTAGGGAAGGAAAATAAAATATAACTACAGAAATACTAAATGTATTTAATTTATAATTTATTTCAATACAAATTGTAATATTTAAAATACAAGTGATAGTTATTTTTAAATATTAAATCTTTTTATTTTTTTGAAAATAATTCAAAAGGTGTTAAAAATATTTATTTCACAAATTATTTGTTTAGTATTTTTAGAATATTTACATAAAACATAAGTTAATAAACTTTTTAAATGTTTTTTTTTCAAAAAATATTCACAGAGAGTCATAAAAATTGATAATCAAAAATAAATTCTTAAAATAATGTTTGTGAATAACTTTATCTAATTTACAGGTAAATACTCTATAAGTCATATAAAAATTTGCAAATCAATGTCAAAAAAAATTATTATTGTTTGCTAACATTTTCACTATTGATGTCACTTTTTAAAATTCATTTCATATACTTTATTATAATAATAAAATAATTTTTTTGTTTGAAAAGTTAATTACAAAACACTCTTTCTTTCTTTCTTTCTTTCTTTCTTTCTTTATCTCATTTTCTCAATTATTATTATTTTAAAGAACCGGTTATTAATGAAATTATTAACTAAATGCTTCACATTTCATTTGTTTAAAGCAATTATTTTATTATAATCATCACAACTACTCATCTCAACACATGTTTATATAATCAAATGTAATGCAATTTTTTATATAGAAGTTTCTCAGTATTTTCATAGTCAATGAATAATTACTTAATACTAATAATATCCAAAACTATTTAAACATTGCTATCAAACTAGTCATCTCTAAACTGCTTATATAACCAAAAATAATATTTTTGCTTATTTTATTAAATATACTTCTATTAAATGTATTGTTTCTGTAAATATATTGTTAAAAGTAATAATTTTATCAATAATTGATATATAATTTTGATAATTGTGTTTTAATTGTAATTATTATAACTTAAAGCAAATCTACACTATTGCCACAATTGTGTTCATTTTCATCAAATTAGTTTCACTTTTTTTTATTTAATTTTATTTATTAAAAAACTTGTTTTTCGTGAATCAATTAAAAAAAGTTTATTTTGGTTTAAAAATTGAATCGTTTGTCTCATTGTTAAAAAGCATTGGCATTCAAGCATTACTTAAATATTGCTTAAATATATAATAAAAGTTAAATATTATTATTATTATTATATTATTATTAAATACTTTATAATGATGAGGAAGTGATCCGACACATCCTGACAAACAAAATAATAATTTACTTAAAAAAATCTTTATATGGTATTATTATTTGAAATATAATATATGAAAATTTTATAAAATTAATTCTTTAATTTATTATAACTACAAATCATTCATGAATTGTAATTATTATTATATTTTATAGATATAGTTAAGTCAATTATAAAAGAAAAAAAGTTATGTCAGTTATAAATAATAATAATATCATATTTATTAGTGACAAATGTCTAGTTTTGTTAAAAATAAAATATGTGTTACTGTTATTTGTGATTATAAATGTACTAACAATTAGTGGACATAATGACAGTTATGATTGGGACGTTAACCAGTGGTGGTCACAAAACCGTCTTTTTGATGACCAAACCATAAGCCCAGCAAATATAAAAAATTTAAAATTTTCATTAACTAATTCAAAGATCTCTGAGCTCAGGGATGAACAGTGGAGTGAACTGTGGTCTCCTTCGGACAATATGTTTGAGTTGTTTGAATCCCAGGAATCGCAAAATACTAGGAAAGGTGTGATACCTATGAGTTCAGTGGACAGTATTAAGGATACAATACTGAAGTACTTTAGTCACGTCCGGAGCTATAGAGGAGATCGAAGTTATTATCGCAAACTTAAGCGAACACTTAAAGATACTTTCCTGCAGTTGGGTCTGACCACTGCTTTACAGAGTTTTTGGCCAAAAGAGATGGTAAAATATTTTTTAACTTAATATACATATAATTTAAATGTATTTTTAATTATTTAATATAAGAGATAATGATTTTGTATATACTATTCAACCGTTAATATTAAAAGCCGAAAGTCAATAGCCGTGACAAAGCGCACAACATTATAGGCATTTGGCCGGGCACTCAACGGGGAACACCTAAAGATAAAATCATTGTCATCGGTGCCCACTATGACACCGTTAGTTCATCGCCCGGAGTCGATGACAATGGTTCGGGATCGGCAGCTGTCCTCGAAATTGCCAAACTTGTTGCGCAAAATAATTGTAAATTAGATAAGACACTGATGTTTGTATTGTTTGATATGGAAGAAGATGTTTGTTATTATTATTATTATTTATCAATAGATTCATAAATTTATTAATTTATATTTTTTTTATAACATATAGGGTCTTAAAGGAAGCAAATATTTTGTCAAAGACTATTTGATTCCCATTGAAGTCATCAAAAATGGTGCGCAAGTAATGGCTGTTATTGTGATGGATATGATCTTAGAGCACGACTCCACCCGAAACAGTCAATCGTTGGGAACAATAGCTGTAACTAAAAACTATAAAAAATGAATTAAAATATAATTTTTATAAATAATTTTAATTTCTTTATTATTGAAGAATGTATTGCCTGATTGGGGGACAGAAATCAAACAAAACGGATATCGGGGTGACTTTGCAGCCGTTTGGGCCCGAAAAGGGGTCGACACCAAAATATTTGATAAATTGCAACAAAATTGGCTCAATAGTGACAAATACGGACTATCATTAATGGCACCGGCATTGCCTGAGTTGGGCTCACAAGTGGTCGGACGATCGGATCGACGACTATTGAAATACCAAACATTTCTTCGTTCAGATCACGCCTCCTTCTGGTATCCGCCACAGAAATATATGACATTTCCAGCCATTTTGATCACTGATTTGGGTCCGTGGAGACGGAATATGAAAAATAAATATCACCGATCGGGTGACGACACACGCAGTCTCAGCGATGATAATCTGGCGTTTCTCAAGAATACCATCGATAGTGTTATTAATACAATATTTGATTTAAGTAAAGGAAAGTGCGATAAATAATATATTTAAGACATTTCCAAATTGATTATATTGTAGACAATAAAATCTGTAGTTATGATATAAATTTAAGTTAATATGTTATGTTGTTATTAATGTAATTATAAAATGTGATTTTCGTAATTAAATTATTTATTCAATAAAGTGTGTTATATTATGTAAATAAAGAAATAATTAAATATTATATAAATAATTTATAGTAGAGTTTTGTTTAATTGATAAAGTAATTTGTTTTAAAAATTCAAATAATTTATAATAACTTTAAAATGTTAGTGTTTTTCATTCATTACTGAAAATAACTAAATTATAGGCTATATCTTACAATCAGACCGCATCAGACTCCCGACTCATAATGTTTTGTGAATATCTATTAAACTATATTTTTAATATAAAAATGACCAATGGCAAAGTTATAGATAATTTTAGACTGGATATATTTATAATTAATTATTTTTTATTTACTCTTATGATTGGCCAGATAATTGCATCAGACCTCTTTTAACTGGTCTGATGCAATTATCTGGCCAATCATAAGAGTAAATAAAAAATAATTAATTATAAATATATCCAGTCTAAAATTATCTATAACTTTGCCATTGGTCATTTTTTAATTAAAAATATAGTTTAATAGTTATTCACAAAACATTATGAGTCGGGAGTCTGATGCTGGTCTGATTTTAAGATAGAGCCTAAATTATACAGTAGTTATAGTTTTAGAGAGTCTTCAACAGTGGAGATACTATTAATTTCAATTATCTGGTCAACAATACATTGGATTTAAAAGTAACCAAGAGCAATGTTGTAAATAATTTTTAAATAAATAAGATTCTAATTGGTCATTTTTTAATTAATTGTATAATTGGCCATATAATATACAGTCGACTGTTAAAAAATTGTAAAAATGATAGTCGACTGCAATTATCTTCACAATCATGCAATTAATTAAAAATGACTTATTACAATTTATTTAGTTTAAAATTATCTACAACATTGCCCATGGTCACTTTTAAATCTAACATATTGTTGACCAGGCAATTGAAATTAAAAGCATCGCCGCAGTTTAAGACTGTTTAAGATAGTTTTATAAAAGTTTACATTATATCAATTTCAAATTACAACATTAGTTTTTTTTATTTATAATTTATTTATAAAAAATGTATTTATTAAATAAGTATAATTATTTATAATAATAATTCATTTTTTAGCAATCATATTGACCTATATTATAAAAATATAAAAAATATTCTTACTATATAATTAGCCTAAAATTTAATTTTATCTTATCTAACAATAAATTATTTTAATTTAGCTTCAATATGTGTTGCAATGATGGGGTCGTCCACTTTTGGCCAGTTATTGACAAAAATATCTGCCTCTCCCTTGGAGTTGACAACAATTGTTCGATTCGTGCATTTGTTATCTAATATTTAAGATAATAGTAAAACCAATTAAAATAAAAACAATTAAAATATAACCAAAACATAACTAAAATTAGTGAATAAATTTTAAATATTATTACCGATTAAATTGCCTAAAATGATATCACAATAAGTTCCGGCGGGAAGACCCGTTTGGACGGCTTTCCAATCAAGTGGTTTGTCATCGTTGTTGATGGCAATGAACGCTTTAGAGCCGCGACTAAACGCAATTTGATTATTATCGTTGTCTCTCCAGTTGCCAATTGGTTCAAAACCGGCAACGTTTCGGAAGTTAACCATATTATAGATTTGTCGCCATCGGTGCTCACAGATCCATGTCTGACGATCGCAGGCCAATGAGTCGAGTCGTTTGACTGGAACTATGTCCCACTTGTCGTCATGAGGTGGTCCGTACCAATCATTGGTGTCGACTAAATGATGGTCTTTATCCTCGACAATATGTCTGGGCCACATATATGAGCTCATAATCCTCGGTATAGAGTATGGCCAGGCCAACATAAATGCAGTGGCCATCTTCAACAGTGTTGACTCAAAGAACGTAATGGTGATGTCAAGAGTGCCGGTGTGTCCTCTTTGCAAGTCATGACTGTCAACCATAATGAATGAGTCATCCGATGGTAATAAACCCCAACCATCTTTACCAGTACCCGGTCCGTAGTTCTTCAGATATTTCAGTTTTTGATTATTCTTTTTGCGGAAAACTTCTCCCATATTCTGGAAGTTTTTAAATTCAATTACTCGACCCAATGGCGTATATTCTGTGGCTTTAATTTTATCGCCGCCGATGTATTCGTGATAGAAGAATGGCTTACTATTGGCAGCAAAGTAAGAGGTGTTCAGATTGTGAAGACGCGACTGAATGGCGGCAATATCTTTAGGCCACTGATGTTTGGATGCGTCCGATCGAAAACCGGCGACACCGATGTCGATCAGTTTGTTGAGGAACTCGGCCTGCTTTTCCTGGACATACGGTTTTGCCTGATTCAGATCCCTGAGTCCACCCAATTGGCAATTACGTGCCTCATCCGGATCGTCATAATTACTAATATCGAGACTATCAGTATTACATTTTGGTTGTGAGTCGTGACTATGAAAGTCATTATAACTGAAGAATGGATATTTGAAGTCTTTGCCATTGAACTCACTTCCAGCCGTTCCCTTTCCTATAAGAAAAAACAAATAACAATATTCTATAATTATATGTCATTTTGATGGTCAATCCAGTGATGCCTACCGGCAACGTTAAACATAGACATATGGTTGAGAACAATGTCTACATATATGCGAACACCGACTTTGTTACATCTATGAACCATTTCAGCAAACTGTTGCTCATTACCACTTCTGCCAGCAATTTGATATGTAATGGGTTGATACCGTTCCCACCATGGTCGGTTAGGTAAGACAGCGCATTCGGCTACAGGTGACACCTGAACGGCACCGAAACCATATTTACCGAGAAATATCTCACATTCTTTAGCGATCTCATCGTAACGCCATTCCATTAGATGTACGACCACTGACCGGTTGTCCTTAAACCAGGGATTACTGTACGGACTGTTGGCTTGGGTGCCAACTATAGACAGCAATACTATTGTTAATATAACTAAACTCATTGTTAATAAAAAATTGCTAAAACTTTTTTGTTGTTGAATAATATTTTAAAGTTTAAAGCTTTTCTTTTATTTGAAAAATTTATTGAATTGACTACAATTTGGTTCTCGATTTATATACTCCTTGTCTACCAGTGCTTAACAACTGATAAAATTCAATAATTGTCATACAGTGTACCCTATAATCCAATTACCATTAATCATAAGTGGTTTCTGAATGTGAAAAACAAACTATTGTATTGATATTTTAAAGATAATATAACTGTTTGGAAATAATTGTTAAACAAAATACTGTATTATTAATATTATATCAATTTTACTTTATATCAATCATTTATAGACTATTAATTAGTTTATTAAGCGACAAAAGTTGCACAATCATTGTTTTCAATGCATTTGGCTMAGGTATATGACAAATACAACCGTCTATTGATTGCTAAACATAATTATTTTCAAATATCTGTAACTATTATTAATAATTGATAAATGTTAATTATCGTATTAATACTTTCTAACATTAATCAGAAATATTTAAATACCATTTAAGATAAAATTATTTATTTTTAAAATTTAAATCTAAAAAAATAATTTTTATATTAAAAATACACGAATACAAAAATATTTTTTAATTATATATATATTTGTTGTGAAAATTATGATAATTCATATTATGTGAAAATTACAATTAGACGTATGATTTTAATTTTTGCAATTAATTTGTTTAAATTTGAGTAAAATTGGATATCGAGTCCATAAATGTCTTTTTCGATATGTATTTAATACCACTCTTTTGTGTATTGGGTAATCCAATGGCTTCACTGATAACAATCAACTTATTTGCGTCAGTTTTACGTTTATTTCGTTCAAACTGGTCATCTGAGTCGACAATAGTTCCACCGCCTATTGATATGAATTGTTTCAACTCTTCAAAAAATGAAGTCTCTTTGAGATCTTTAAATAAAAACATTTGTTTGGCGAACAACTTCTGTCCACTGATTCGCGATTTGTTAGCCACTCTTTGCTCAGTAGCCGATCTGTCGGCACTTATTTCGTAATTACTTTCGTCGACAAATCTATTGAACTTATCCGAGTCAACGATCCAATTGAATGTTACAATCCATTTGTTTGCTAATTCATTATAACAAATAAATATATATATATATTATAATTATAATCTCTAATAAAACATTTAAAGTATTGTTTGAATTACTAACCCAACAATGCTTTCATATATTTAGCATTTCGAGGACATATCATATCTTTCACGTCTCTATCGCTGGCCTTTATAATAACCAAATGAGTCACTCTATCGGTCCAGTCATCCACTACTTCAGCGTCCAAACGATGGCAAATAGTTTGAATCTTTTTGCGCTGTGAATCGTCTAAACCGGACGATATAATAACAAACTTTTTGTTAGACCGTTCAGATGATGACGTTCTGTGTCGAGAAGATGTCGACGAAGCAACAGATATCTCTGAAGGTGTGGGAGAAGCCGGACGTTTGAATGTATTATCATTATCCGGACTCTTTGTTTTTGTTGTTTTCGTGACCTTTAAACATATTATCAATTAATAAATCAAAATATAATTAATTTTTACCTTTAATTTATCCATCAAAACAATAGGAATAGTTTTACTGTTAGTCAAAGACGACAAATCGCTATCAATTAAAATTCTTTTTCTCGAATTTTTTGTTTTCACTTCAGAAGTTGCAATCGTTTCTTCTCTCAATTGTTTATTTCTATTATTTCTTTTTGCCGATGGTTTGGCTTTCAATTTGACCGACTCTTCATTTGTGCCATCATTTTGATTATCAAAATTGAAAACATCTTCATTGATATCATCCTTGTTATTGTTATCCGAAACAGAAACCGATTCCTTATTTGTCTCTATTTTATTATTATTAATATTACAAATAACAGTATCTTTACGAGTCTTTCGATTTTTGTTTGCCACACGTTTGGTAATATTATTATCGTTTGCATCACTTGTAACTTCTTTATCAACAATATTTACTTCATTGTCATCAATAACCTCTTTGGTTGTCGGCTTCGGTTTGTTTTGTTTTCGACCTGAACTCCTGTTTTGTTGTTTCTTAGATGTTGTTGAAGAGACGACTTCTTCGATTTCAACATTCATTTCTTTATCTTTTTCTAATTCTTTGATTTGTTCTGTATCTTCATTTGATTCGCCTGTGCTTATAATGTCAACCGTTTCATTAGTCTTTAGTTTTTTGCTATTTGCATCATTTGTATCACTCAGCGATCTCTTAGAATCTATTTTTTTAGTAATACCAACAGCTTTGCTCCGATTACGTGTTGTCCTCTTATTATTCAAACCATTGTTTTCCTTTTGTTCAGCATTGATAACATTGGAAACTACTTCTTCAGTAATTGTTGTTGTCTTTAGATTTGTGGATTCACTTGTTGTTTGTTGAATATTATTATTATCAACTTTAATAATACCTGATAATAATAATAACAATTTTAAATTTATTAAATAATGACAAACATTGCGACAATAAAAATGTTAAAAACCTTTTTTATCATCTGTTGATTTATTATTGGAAAACTCGACTAATTGTTTAAGAAAAGTCTTCAATGAATGACAGCCACAACTATTGATGAACTCATGAAAACAGCAATTATTTGATTCGCAATTTCTGTTGTCATTGTTATCGACAATATGGCTATTGTTTGTATGATTATTGTTGACCACAACTTCAATAGTTTGAACAGACTGTTCCTCTGTTTGCATGACTTCAGATTGAGTGGAGACTGATTTAAATACATTATTCATTACTTCATACTGTGTTGCCATTGACTTAACGTTTTTCTTCGGTGTTTCGTATTGTGTCGACACTGATCTGAGCACATGTTTGTTGGTTTGTATTTCTTTGTGTGACATTTCTTGTTCTGATTGACAGCTTTTTGAATCATAAACTTTGACCTTTTCGCTTGACTTTACTTTCATTTGGTCTTCATTTATCGTCTAAATATAATATCATATGATATAATAATTAAACATTACTATAAAAATAATTCAATTTATAAATCAATACAAAACATACTCCAAAGTTGTTGGAAATGTCGTCCGGACTGGAACTGCTTGCTTCGAGTCCCTTAAGAACCATTGAAAGCACTTCTGTATTATCGTCGTCGACATTATCTTTTGAGAATGACTTTCGATTTGTAACAACTGTGTCATCAAATGAGTCGGGAATAGAATCAATGGACTCATCGTCTGAAACGTATTCAAATGACTTTTTTAACGCTTCAACTGTTTTGTTCTTCACAGAAGTAGTGGTCATTGTCTCGGGTTTCGAAGTGGTCACAGATTTTGGTTTAGGCTTATTGTCGGCAATCTTCACTTCTGTCGTCGATGAAGAAGAAGTTTTCGATTCAATTTTATCCGATTCTTTGCTTTTGATACACAATTTGAGACTATTGTATGACAATTGATGCAATCAATCAATGATTTAAAATAAATCTCAATACAAACCTATCGATTACTCTTTGTTTTTGACTTTCATTATCTTTATTTATTTTCATTTCTTGTTTGGCCACAGATTTTCCTTCAATTTGTCTGCAAAAGACAATCATATAGTAATTATCAATGTATTACATCAATGGTAAGCAATTATGATAAACAAACCGGATTTCAATCACTTTAATGATTCTGTTGGCAATCTTAAGTAGAGAAGTCATGGTTTGATCCTCTTTACAATCGCTTCGGTAGTTAATAGCGTAACATTTTGGACACTTGTTGTCGGCGCTAATCACATACGTGTCCACACATTTGGCACACAAATAGTGGCCACAACTGGACAGTGATTCGAGTTTGCGGTCAGTTTTGCCACAAAGCGGACAACTGATGAGTGATGTCAACGCCTGTATCTTTTGGACGGTCTTCTGGCTTATAGGCATAGCTTCTCTGGTGATGACTGATCCAAACTCTTGTGGTCTCAATAATCATCAAAAGTCTATTCAATCAATGGATCAATTGATGGCAAAACAAATGTATTATTGTTTGCAAAGTAATAGAAAATTAATGATTATTTCAAACAACTATTTATTGACAAAATTGCGCCAAATTTGTCAATCAATATCTTATAGTTAATACTCGTTATAATAAACAATATTATATTATTAATGATTAATCGCTAATAACTATCAATTAATTTATTAAATATCTTTATATTTATATTTTAATTGTTAATATAACTTATTTTTCTTATTACATAATTACTGGAATTGTCATTAAATATTTGTTATCTTAACTAAGTTTAACTGTATATTAATATTAAACTTAAGTGTCATTGAAAGCGCTATCTATTGGATTGTATGCAAAACAATGACAAACGTATGACTCAATCATTAATGTTTGATTTGAAACACAAAACGTACGGTTAGTTCATATTTATTGCAATATTAATAGTACTAATGATTGGCTAAAGTTATGCTATAATTACAATAATAAAACAAACTTTAAATAACTACACATAAACTTTATATTCTAAATACTGTTTATCTTTAGAGTTATATATTAGGAATACTATATATATAATATATAAATACTATATGACCTAGGATATATTTATTGAAAAAAATGATAAATAATATATAATTAGCATGGTCATTTGTAATGTTGGCTATAAAAGTGTTATGAAAACAACAATATATTACTACTGTATGACCTAATCTAACCTAAACTGACCATGCTCAATCAATTGAATGGTTAATGTTAACAAACAATAACATTGACCACACATTAGTGGTCAACACACGTGTATGTAATCTACTGTATAATACTGTATGACTAATGCTATTAAATATGAAATACTGTATTAAAAGTTCATTAAAACGATAGCCAAACGCATTGCTAACGAAACGCTTACGTCTATTACATAATCTGTTTGAATGACTAATATATATATTGTTTGAACACACAGTGTGTATGCATTGCATTACACTCTTAAATATAGTGCACTTCAAGACGTATAAGTCTATACAGTATATGAGTTAAAACTTTTAAAACTATTATTTAATTAATTAAAGAATAATTAATTATTTTATTTAATTATTATTAATAATAATAAAGTTTGTGATTTGATTTAAATGTTTCAATAAGTTTTAACAATTTCTTTATAAAGTTTTTCAATATTTAATTAATAAGTGATTTGCTTTCAATTCATACATAAGCTTAAGATTTTTAAATTATTAATTTGATTCAATAGTTTGTATTATTGTTTGCCATCAAAATGATTATGAGAAACACATCAATGACTACCAGTTCTTCAATGGTAACGGATCCCCACAAACGGCTTCTCATACGCAACCAATTGGTTTTAATCTTACACTGCAAACAATGTCGTAACCCTTTTTGTTCACAAGACAACTGTCTGACAATGAAACAAGTGATCCAACACTTGACCACTTGTACGACAGGTTAGTATTTGTCACATGAAATACTTGTGCCAAACATTTGATTAACACTATACTGAAGACACCTTAATCTCAATTGTTTTGTTTTGACAGTCAAGTTATGTCCGATAACTCATTGTGTGAGTACTCGACAGATACTAAGCCATTGGTATCAATGCTTCCGAAGTGAACGTTCGTGTGACGTCTGTTCGCCATTTAAAGAGCAGATCCAATGGCAACGGAAGATGGAGTTCAATCAAGAGGTTCGAGATTTGATTCAACTGTTGGCCAAAGAGATTAATTGAGACACCGATAGATAAAATCCCACATTTTTCATATGATATATGAAATCTCAAAGGCCTTACGGTTGATATTACTAAATATTAAACAAACTCAGACTTATTTATTTTATCTATGATAGCAATCAGTCATCAAAAGAGAGGCGACATCCGATGCTGAGACCACTGATGACAATGGATATTGGCATCAGTGGGTCACACCTAATGTGCGCTACAATATGATAGACAAATTAGTACACACATTGGTTACCAATTCAAACACCGATAACTTGGAGGACATGACTGTACGCAATGTCTTTTCTTATTGTTTTGCTTTGGAGGCCGATATCTATAACAAGGCTCAGAGTTTGGTTCAATACCATCACATGTTTGGTCAAAAACGTGTCCAAATTGAGACAAATGGCGTACAATTGGATCAATTAAATGACTGGTTTAATACACTCATCAATGATTTGACTACAGGTTCTGATTGTTTCAGTTTGAACTCAAATGTTAAGCAAGAAGTCAATGATGAACATGAAGTCAATTGATTTATTTGAAATAATTCAATGTATAAAATACAGTATAATTTACGATAATATAAATTTTCAAAGGTTTCATATCTCCAAACATTTCTTTTACTTATATTATTGAATAATATTTATATACAGTATATATTGTATTGAATGTTTAATAGCTAACATAACCTATCAGTTATTATTATGTATTTTATTTAATTTTTCTCAAATTTAAACAAATTCTTAATTTTTCCTTTCTTTACATTATTGTATTTATGGTATATTAAAAGTTTGTTAAGTTGTTATTAAAAGTTCATTTGTTTTTCTCTAAAAATATAAATTATTATATTTTTTTGTAAATTATTAAATATTATGATCTGCAAAAATTTACTGTATTATTGATACCGATATATTTAATAATTTTTTTCAATAATGATGTTTTTTGTTCGTTACAATCACTGTAATCCTGTTTCACTGATTTTAATACAATAAATTTGACAATTTATTAACCTATAGAGAAAAAATAAATAACAATTAGTCAACTTTAAATAATTTATTTACCGGTAGTTATAATAGTATTTTTATACAATTTATATATTGTAATAGTATAGCATAAGACAGTAACTGTATATTATTTTACAATTTATCCATGATAATTTTACAAAATCCATAATAATAATTATTAATTATACAGGTAGATTATCAATACCGGTAATTATATTCACTAAATAGTATTTAAAGTATGTAACAAATACAGTATGAAGTCGGAAGACATGATAATAATACACAATATTTTAATTAAAAATATATTACCGTTAAATGTTGATTAATTACCCGTATTATCAACATATGTAAGTCATGGTTAATAATACGAGTTTTTAACCATATGAACAAATGTTTTGTGACTTTAAATTTTAATATTCCCCTGGTTTTATAAATTATAAATAAAGTTTTAATCCCATTTTTGCTTTCCCCACACCCTCGTTTAATTTATAAGGGGTAAAAATGCGAGTTTTTAACGTATGAAAATGTCAAATTTCATGTTTTTATGATTTTCATACGGGAAATTAAGCAAGGAAATACAGTAAATAAAATTCAAATTATTTATTAAAAATGTATAATTTTATAACAATTTTAAAATTCTCTTCTAAAATTAAAAAAACAAAAATAACTATTTAAATCTCAACAAAAATTATCAAAATGTAAAAGTCTGACTATTTTTAATTTTATGATATACTATACATTTAGGTATATCTTTATATAGACTATATATATATATATATGATATGTTGATATAATTGTACCAATAATTAACTACCGGCGCCATTCATTTGTCAGGTAATTGTGTGACCTCTATAGGTCCCAAAACATAGTTATCGAGAGTCAGTTTATACTTACGCGCCCCGAATATAGCGGTGCCGACTCTCACTTGAGTACTGCCCAAAGCAATTGCCTGTTCAAAGTCAGCAGTCATACCAAAGCTCAGTTCTAGTGAATCGAGAGGTATATCCAGAGTCTCGCATATATTATTGCGGGAATCGATGAAAGTTAAAAAGTCCGGATTGGTTCCAGTGGTCCAATCGTGACCAAAACGACCGATAGTCATCAGACCCGTCAGTTTCAGATGAGGACATTCGTCACGAACATAGCGGACGAGTTCGATGACATCTGAGGGCAAAACACCGGTCTTAACGTCTTCTTCACCAGAGTTTATCTGAACCATAGCTTCGAGTGTCTTGTTTCGTGCCGTCAATGCTTTCTCCAATGTTTGTGCTATTTTGATGGAGTCTATCGTTTCGATGGCCACTAATCGGTCGACTCTTAAAACTTGATTAACTTTATTGCTCTGAATGTGACCAATAAGTCGCCACTCAATGTCGGGACAGGAAGAGATAACAACTGGATCAGCGCTTTTGTGACACATTTCCTGGATGTAGTTCTCGGCAAATATCCGCTGACCGGCTCGATAGGCCTCTATTATGGCTTCGGCTGGTTGTGACTTGGATGCGGCCACCAATTTAACGGGTCTTCCGACAGTACCGGCGCTACTGTCGCGAAGTTTGACTGCTTGGGCAACTCTCTGGCGAATACAGTCCAAACATCGATCAATTGAATCGCCGGTAGTGGCCATGACCTGAGTTTATTGTATTTGTCGATATATTTATAGTCAGTTGTGATATTAAATAATTAAATACTAAATATTATGTATAAAATTGTTTAACAATTTGTTAGTTTTTAAGACAAATGAATTACACAATCAATTGATATGATATCACAAAAAATCAAATGTTTAGATCACGTGATGCAAAATGATTGGTCCATTGAAAGCACCGGTAGATTGAAGTACTGAAGTAGTTATACTCTATTGAATGAAATTTATTGTAAAAAAGTTGTCGTAAAATATAGACTCAACTACTGTACAATATATACTACTGTATACAGTATTTTAGTATACTTGAGATAATGGGTACAGTTATTATCAATATGTTTATCAAAATTGTTTTTAATTCAAATATTATTAAATTAATTAATGATCAGATCATTAAAAAACAATTTTTTAGTTTGTTATAAATAATTTCAATAATAAAAACAATTTTCAGCTCAGTTTAGATAATTGTTTCAAAATTTCAATTCAAATCTTTATCACTATATTTGAAATTTATTGAAATTAATAGCAAATTTACTAAATAAATCAATTATTTAATATACTATATTTAAACTTTAATAAAATTAAATTTTTATAATAAAAGCATTCATTAAATATTTAATATAAAAGAAATAAAAAAAAATCATTCAACACATGTCTACACATGTCTTAATTTATGACTAAAGATAAGGGTTAGGAAAATATAAGGTTTAAAATTTTTGTAATGTATTTCTTATATAGTATTATAGAAGTCTATAATATAGACTATAATTTATATGTATAAATATTTTTTAAAAAAATGAAAATGTTTTATTAAGAATATTAAAACTTAATTATTCAAGATTTATTGCATTTTTCAATATTATTATTACAATTGTTTTTTATCCTCATCACTATAAATCCAAAAAATGTATGTAAATTAAAAAAAAAAATTAAATAAGAAAAATACAGAAAAGTTACTGTAAGTATTTATACTGTATCTTTAATATTAGAAATTTGAATTTTATAAAATTTTAATATGTATGGTAAGATTAATTAAGTATTGGATAATATGTATAAATATAACAATAGTATTGATGAATAGCAATGATAATACTAAAAATATATATAAACAACTTATTAGTACTGTATAACTGTTAACACTATTACTGTAAAAACTAATTTAAACCATAATCTTATAAATGAGCGCCAAATTGACTGAAAAAAAGTCACACATTTGACATGTGATTACAAATACACGACAATAGCTTAGCATACGATTAGTCAGTGAATGAACGATACGTTTGGTTTAAATTATTGAAACCATTGTTTAAAAAACTGATTGTTATTATCATTGATTACAATGAGTGATATCGGTATGTATTAAATGAGTTGATGATAATGACTGACCATTTTGTTGATTAGTCAATACAGGAAGTCTGTCGTCGACAGAAACAACCAGTAATGGCGAACCAAATGATTTGAACAACAATTGCCAAATATTGGCCACTGGAGACATTGTCTCATCGACGGCGGACAAGTCTATAGTTTGTCAAACCATTGATGGTTCTGGCGATGATGTCACACAAATTGCACGATCATTGACCAAAACGTTGACAATAGAGTCTCGAAGACGTTTCGCCAAACGGCCGGCGCCGAAACAATTGGCCACAAATGATAAATTGCTAACTTTGGTGTCCAATTGTTTTCCACTAATACTGAAAGACATGGTTTTCTATCACTACGATATCGATATAATACTTGTCGACCAATCGGACACTGGGTATGTGGCCATTACTGATGCATCGTTGGCCAAAAAGATGCGAAAGTTGGGTCAAAAAGATAATATGGAAATTATTGAAAAGTTTGCTGAAGAATGTCCCGAAGTGTTTGACAAAAAACCATTTGTTTTTGACGGACTCAAGAATTTGTACACCAATTTACAGCTTAATCTGAAAGGAAAACAATTGGTACGGAAAGTAACGATAGCGCTGAAAGGTTTCGCTGAACAGTGCTTTCAAGTGGCCATTCAATTGACAAATGAAAAGAGTGGACTCATCCGAGAAATCAAAATGTCTACAATTGGCGACTATTTGAACAATAAGTTAGAAGACATACCGGAAGATGCTTTACATGTTTTGGAAATCATTTTGAGATATAATGTGACCAAAAGTTGTATTCCCGTCGGCCGATCGCTATATCCAATTGTTTCCGAAACCGAAGATATTGGTCAAAATGCTTGTGTTGCTTACGGTCATTACCAATCGGTTCATATGACCGAATCGGGTCCAGCACTGGTCATTGACCGCACTGCTACACTATTTCGTACGGCGGGAAAGTTGACAAAATTTGTTATGGGTTTAATGGCAAAGAAAGTGAAATCTATTGACGAAATTGATTTCAATCCCGAAATGATAACTAAATTGAGTAAACAATTGTCAGGAATTCGTATTTCAACGCAACATACGGGCGGCAAAAGACATTCAGTGATCGACAGTTTGAGTGATTTGCGGCCAAAAGATATTGAATTTAATTTGATAATCAAGAAAAATAAAGTCAAAACTAATGTTTTGGATTACTTTGAAAACCAATACAACACAACATTGAAATACCCGAACCTGCCGTGCGTTCAAATAAAAGGTGGTGTCGCTCGTTATTTGCCCATTGAATTGTGCGATGTATCCAGTAATCAACCTATACTTCGTCGTCACACTACACCATCGATGACGGCGTCGTTGATTCGTAAATGTGGACAACAAAGACCCGAACAACGATTTGAATTTGTTGAACACACAACTAATAGTATTGTTGATAAAAGCAGTGATCTGTTGACAGCAATGGGTATTTCATTGTCAACTATACCAATACAAGTGAAAGGAAGAGTGTTGCGGAAGCCCGAGTGCAGTGGTAGTGACAGACGTGTTCTCAATGGTAAACAACTATCGCAATGGTATTTGATATCAATGGCTTATAATTTTTGTGCCGATTATGACTGGAAAGTCAAAGCATTTGTCTTGGATTTGCAAAATGAGGCAAAACGTATGGGACTAATAGTGGCGAATCCACAGATTGAAAAGCATCGGTACAGCAATGATCAAACACAGGTCAAGAATATATTACAAGAAAAAGTGTCGCTAAAACTCTGTCCTCAACTCATACTTTTCGCTATTCCTTACGGCGACGGAACGTATCATAAGATCAAACTCTTGGCTGATAATAGGTTTGGTTTAATGACACAATGTGTCAAAATAGATCACATTATGCGTACACCAAGAGGTTGTCTCACAAATTTATTGCTTAAAATCAATGCCAAACTGAGCGGTCAGAATTGTATTGTCATGGAAAAGGAATGGCCATCAAGTATGAAGAAAATGATGATCATTGGCGCTGATGTCACACATCCGGCACCGGCTGATGCAATGCATTCATCAGTGGCAGCGGTTGTTGCCAGTTATGATCCTTTTCATACCAAATATATGACTTCACTCCGTGTTCAGCGCCGAAGTAAGGATGAAATGATAAATAGATTTCAGGAAATGATTGAAGAAATGCTTAATCATTATAAGCAAACAAACAAACAATTGCCCGAAGGTTTAATATTGTTTCGCGATGGTGTTTCTCAGGGACAGTTTCGACAGGTCCTCGACCATGAGTTCCAACAAATGAGAGCTGCCTGTGCTCAGGTCCAACAAAACTATGCACCAAAGATTACATTTATTATTGTTCAGAAACGACATCACATGCGTTTCAAACCATTAGATCCAAACAATGATTTAGTTAGAAATATGAAATCGGGTAATATACCCGCCGGTACTGTTGTCGATACCACAGTTGTCGATCCCATTATGTTTGAGTACTATTTGTGTAGTCATACTGGACTTATGGTATGTATATTACAAATATTTACCGATAATGAATTTAATTGATTTGTAATTGTTTGACAACTTTAGGGAACTTCTCGTCCAGCAAAGTATGTGGTCCTTCACGACGACCACGAGTTTTCATTTAATCAAATGGAGCGCTTGTCTTACCAATTGTGTTACTCATACGTGCGCTCGAGTAACTCTATATCGGTGCCGATACCTGTAATGTACGCTCATTTGGCCGCTAAGCGCGCTAAAGACCACATAATCGCTATTAATAGACAGTCGGTTAATACGCGTTACTTAAACGAGACGATTGAGGACAGAGAGGATGGGATTGCAAAAAGATTGAACGATAAGATCAAAGTTATGGATAGTCTTTCCAATCAATTTTATTATTGTTAAGAATTGTTTTAATTGACTCTTTTTCTCATTTGGATACAAATTGAAATATACCGGTAGTTTATATTAATATTTTACATTAAGAAAGCTTTAATTTACTTAAATTAAAATTAAAATCAGCATTTTATAAAATATATAATTTAACTGATTGTAAGTTATGTTAATAGCATATTACTACCTAATACTATGGTAATAATTTATATTTTGTATGATTACAGTACAGATAATGAAATAATTTAGATTAATCAAATTTTAAGTTAATTTAAATCTAAACTTATTTAATATTTTTGTTATATTTTGATTTAACAGATATAATATATTTGACAATTTACCGGTAATTAGCTTAACTTTTGCTAATGTATGACAATATTTGAAATAAACTCATTAATATTTAATAATAATAATTTTTAATGAAATTATAATTACTAATAAAATATTATATAATAATATATGTGGGTAATTGATTTTACTTGACGCAAATTTATTAATAAATATATAATTTTAGTTCAAAGTTTTATTTCATAATGTTTTTGAATAATAGAATAGTTTTATTTGTGACTATTTTTAATTGTCTTTTAATTGAGACAATATATAGTGGATATCATGACCACAATCATCACAATGAGAGTACCACTAAATCCGTTACAATCACTGTAACTAATAAATGTTTGGCTAATTTGTTGCTTAAATGCGATGTCTATGATGAGCATGAGTTGGCATCCAATCAAATGTTTGGCTTTAATTTGGAGTCAACCGGTGCTTCAATTCAATGTCAGGCCAGGTGTCGGAATAAGTCAACAACGACTACATTCTATGTTTATGGAGGTCGGGCACCGGTTGAAGATAATGACTGGGAAGTCACTGATGATGGCATTTATCTTATTAAACGTATTAAATACTACTCATAAGGATAGATATTGTTTATAATAATTTTTTAAAGAGTACTGAGTAGTGATTTAATCTAAAAGTTGAGATTATTTGTTATTTATTGGTATTTTTCATATCATGTTAAATAAAAAAAATTAATGCACTTTAGTGCACAATTAAATAAAACGTTATCTTCATTTGTGTTATTTATGTTAATTTTGTTATCAAATTTATTAAATATTTAAAAAAAAATTATTGATAAGTCTAGTAATTATACCTAATTGTTAATTAATTATCTATTAGATCCAATAAGACTCAGTATAACAGGTAAAAACACGAGTCCATGGAGTGCACCAATCAATACAATACCCAAATACATACGGAAATAGAAAATCTGGAATATCTTGGATGAGGCGAAACCCAATACTATTATACCCCAAAATTTTGTGAATGTTATGCCCGACAATACTGATGACCCAATCCTTGCCAACGAATCCTGGGCTCTCTCGACACGTGTCAGGCCTTCGCTCTTAACATATGCACGGGTTATATGCGAACAAAATTCTACGGATATTCCCACTGACTATAAAAGTCATAATAAAATTGTTATTATTTTTGTTTTTATTATATTGTATTAGTTATCTTAACCATACCATTACAAGGTTGACCAATGATATTGCATTGAGTGATACATTCCACCAAAACATTAGTCCCATTAGATTAATAACAATACACTCGATGGTGACAATTATGATAAGTGACGAAATCAAATCAAAACCCAAGAATATGAAAGTGACCACAAATATGACGGAACTTGTGATCACCAAATTGATAACAGTGTCTCTCCAACTGTCCAAATATTGTTCAAAAAACACATGAAATATACTATAAGGAAATACTTCAACGTGTGTCTCGTTGTTCTTGTTTTCAGCATTGATAGCATCGGTTAAACTCTCAGCTAAAGCTCGTGATGTCCTCAAAGCTGATATAAAGTCATGCGATGTCCGCAAAACTGTATGATATGTATTAAAATAGGAGGCTATGGTTTAAATGAAAAACATTAATTAATTAATAAAAATATTATTTGAAATATAATAATATGAAAACCTTTAACAGGAATATCATTTTTATTGCTATAATCAAGTTTTAATGCCGACGAATATCTTGGTCCACCACTAATTGACAAACAAACAAAATTAACGACAAATTTAATAAAAAAAACATTAAAATTCAATATAATTACCCGACAGGACAATCAGCATTTGGTATATCATTGAGAAAAAATTTCAGATATTTATCGTAATACATATTTTTGTTAACAATATCGATGTTTTGATCATACATTGTTAAATTGCACGGGGTACATTTAGTCTTATTATGATCAACTAAATTAATTTAATAATTTAACATAATTATTATTTATTAATTAAACTTAATATTATTATTATTAATAAATTTATACATACACGTTTTTGAATCACAAAATTGTGATTGATTATCTTTAAAAAGATGACAACATTTATCATTACTCGCCCAACTCATGTAGTCCTGGACCCAATTGGTTACACCCATATCTGATATATATGACTGGTTAGGATATTTGGATGCGCCATCCATTATAGTCATCAATGAGTTGTTAGCGCATCCGGAACCGCTACAAAATAGTGGTTGTTTTTGGGCGTAATCGTAGTTAGATTTGACCACAAAATAGAGAGGAGGACCCACTCGTAGATCATTTATCTGTGACTCAAAATATGGTAAAACATATGAATCTGATGGAACTGATAGTGTCTGACTGAGGCCGACGTCAATACGGCTGATGACAGCTATAGATGTAAACAACCAACTGATAAACACAATTAACTGTAAATATTTAGTGAATAACAAATTAGTTGAACATTTCATTAGTGGTTATGTTTATGACTTACAACAGATACTCTGGTATATGTTTTCATAAGGAATGGCGCATATATTCGCTCAAAAAATCGATAAAGAAATCCTATTTTGTCATAATTATCTTCATTTGTATTTTTTGATTGTTTGAAACAACAAAACAATTCGTATCTGTTATCCAATTGTCTGTGAGTGTCGAGTACTAGAAGTGGTATAAAGACAATCATTTGCAGTATAAAAGCCATGAAAAGTGCGAGACCGGCGTTCAGTGCAAACACTCGGACGGCTGGCATCGGTGTGAGCGCACCAAAGAAAAAACACGACGACTCTGCTATAGTGGCCAACAATATTGACGGCGCAATACTTTGCATTACTGTACCGATACGCTCAGTCATCGGCACCTCTTTGGCAAACTTCTGGCGCTGAAAACTTTGGACCAAAATAAATATGTTGTCCACACCGACAGCCAATACCAAGAACGGTATGACTTCAACAATGATAAGCGTTGACTTAACTCCACAAAAACTTAACAAACCTATTGAAGCGGTTACTGATAACAATACAATAACTACTCCACACAATCCTAATACGATTTTTGAGTCAATCTATTAACAATCAATAATTTCAATGTAAAAAACAATTTATTATAATAACTATAATAATTAAAATAACTTACAAATAGTCTCTTAATTGTAGTGAACCGACCCAACGATATAGAAATATAGACAAACATAACGGCATAACTGATGACAATTGTTATTAAACTTGATTTGCTTTGTCTGTCCAACTCGTCTTCAAGAGACCTCTAATATGATTTAAACAAAAAACTAAAACTAAATGTTTTAAAAAAATTAATTTATTTTCAATACCTCAGAATAATATACTATATGTAGATCTGGATCATCATAATTATGAAGCAAATCGAGATACTCTTTCTCCCAGTCCAGTGCTTGACTACGGTATAGACTATCTTCATAATTGTTTAGCAACAGAGACAGTGATACACCTCTGGCAGTGGTATAGTCGGTGCCATCATAGTCGACAAGTACTACATTAGACAACATGGGTCCACCAAAATTGCCGGCACAACTCAAGTCAAAATCTGTGTCTTTTTGAAGATAGTTATTAGACATACATTTTGTCATATGATCCAAATAATTCTTGTTATCTATAATTCTATTAACATTTTCGATTTTACTCTGAAACCAACCCAATGGTGTCTGCAGAGCACAGATACCATTATTCATGGGTGCAAAACATAGTTGTGTAATATCGACTGTTTTTTTACCCACTTTGACGGTTATATTCATTATGTTTTGCTCCAATTGTAGCACTTTTAACAAAAATAGTTTATCAAATGCCGGTCCATATCTTATAGTAGTTATATTTGTTGGATCAGACAAATCCATGTGAAGAACTGTTGTGCCATTTTTCGGTCGAATTATTACTTGATTTATTCGATAATAAGGATTGAAATGTTTGTCAAAAAACTCCTTTTCTAATCGGGCTCTACTTCCAGGTGCTGACCATAGGTCAACTGGATCTGTCATTGCGACAAAATGGGTTAACATACCAATTGATAAACCTATAGCTATAATAACGCCCAGCACTGGTAAGACAAACACATATGGCTTTTGACAACATATTGTTCCATAACTTTTAAATCCTTTACCAATGAATTCATCAAACTTAAGACCAGAATTATGTAATGATTGTGAAATTTTGCTAAAAATTTTCAATTTTGTTGTTTTTTGTGTCTCATTGTTGAATCTAAGTCTATCTGATACTAGAAATTAAATGAAAATAATATTTAAAAATTAACTTAAATATATATACAGTATATAATATACCTTTACGCAAATGGTTATAAAAATTAATGAATGAAATGCCAAATATAACAATAAGAGAGATGTAATAAATGAAAGCAACGCAAACCCATATGCCATCGATCTCCCAGACAAGCCATTGTGTTTCTGGGGGTGGGTATGTGTTTTTAGGAGGTTTTGTGGGACAGTCAAGAAAACTACAGGTGCGGTTTGAGAACGGTTTGGGAGCTTCGCTACACTTGAACAATGGCGCGTCGTTTGGTGTAATTCCTGATTTATTGACGCCATCGAAGATAAAATTGATGTGAAAAGGAGAGGGAGGACTTGTACCCATTGTGTCAAAAAAATAACGAGCCGAACAAACAGTGGACGACTTTTTGGCGGTACATAAAACATCCATTGCCATACCACCCGGCATATGGACGTTGACACACGAGTCAAACACTGTGTTTGCAAATCTGGGCGTCAAATAATAATTCAATGATTTGACCATATCTTTCGTGGGTTCATCTGTTGACGGTTCGCTTTCGGCTACTTCGACAAACTGGCGGTGATTGGGATTGCATGACATATGAACCATCACTCGCACAAAGTTGACATAACAAGAGGGACAGCCTTTAATGAATGGTTCGGCCTTTTTTAACTGATCATTGATCAGTGCAGCCGCTCCTTCGTCACTACAACAGACAACTGGATCTTTCACTTTTGATAAAAAATTATTTTATAAAAATTAATTTAATTTAAAATAACAGTAAAAATAATTAATTATCTATCTGTTATACCGTCAAACAAATCGGGAACCAATAGTTTCAATTGATTTTCAATTTTTTTATCAGTTAATTGTTTCGGTTCGACATCTTTGACAACACATGGAATCGGAAACCCCCAGCTATTATGACCACATGTGCCTCTATAGACACACTTAGACGCCGTTAAGCTATTCAACTACAGGTGTAAATCATAATAAATAATTGTATTTTTAATTATTTTAGTCATCAAATAAACTAATTTTAAAAAATCTAACCTCTATTATTAATATATAAATTATAATTAATAATTTAATCATTTTGTTAAAATATGTATAAACTGTGAACAAATTTTAACAAAAAAATCATTTAATTTACACAAATCAAATAATTTATTTATTTTATACATTGAAAATATAGACAATAAATGAAAAAAAAATATTTTAATGTTATAAGTATTATGTACCCAATGATCTTTCGTAACAATAGATATATTTTATAAAGAGTTTAACGTTTAATATAATTAGTTAAAATGTTAATTGATAAAAATAAGTCATTAAAGTGTGATATTATTGATTGTAACTAATATACCTAATATAATAGTTGAAAATAATTCATAAATAGCTCATAAGATAATTGAAAATATTAATTTATTATATAATACCTTTTGACTTTTGTAACATTTTTGATATATATATATCAGGGTTAAGCAAGGTTTTGGATTTTAGGGGGGGGTAGACCGGGGTAAAATTTACAAAATTCTCGAAAAATCTTGGGGGGGGTATTGGGTGGGGTAAGATTTTTATTGCATTTTTAAACGGCAATTTTTTCAAAAATCCAAAATCAAGGGGGGGGTCAAGAGAAAATTCCCTAATATTCCCTTAAATTCCCGAATATTCCCATGTAAATTCGATAAAATTCCCATAAGTTCCCGTATAAATTCCCAGGAAAATAGGTAAAATTTACAAAAATAAAAAAAAGTTAAATTTTAACAAAAATAAATATTTTTAAAAAAAAATTTTAAAAATTAATAAAAACTTAAATTTTAGCAAAAAATAAAATAATAATGTATTAAATACTTAAAAATAGGTGATAAAGGCATTAATGATACACTGAGTTTTTTAGTATTTTAGTAATTTTTAACTTTTAAAATAATTTTTTAAATAATACTTAATGCTTATAGTTTATAGATATATATTTTTATTTTTTAATGTTATTTTTATGTAAATACTGATTGAATACTAATTATAAAATTAAAAATATTTTAAATTTTTTAGTTAAAATTTTAAAAATTATTAATAAAAACCTTGTAATATAAGTATTTATTTTTTTATTAACTTCTTAAACTATCTCAAACTTCTATTTATATTGTAATATGATTATTCTTTTCAACAAATTGGTATTTTTTAACTTTTTAGTTTAATATTTTAAGTAAAATTATGTTATTTTTTGATGAGTTTTAACGTTATTTTAACTTTTTTACTTATTTTTAATCAATAATTAGAATCATATAAATTTTAAAAACATAAAAACACTTACTAAAATAGTATTAACTAAAATTAAAATTTTTATAAATCTCAAAAAAATTTTCGGCGCCTTCGGCGCCGAAATTTTAGGGGGGTCATTTCTCCTCGTTTTTAAGCGACAATTTTTCCCATTTGGTCAAAAAGTCTGGGGGGGGGGTAAAATCCCAATTTCTCGATCTTAGGGGGGTATTTTGGCCTTACCCCCCCCCCCTACCCCCCTTACTTAACCCTGATATATATATATTATAACATATTATTATATTAAATACCTGTACTATATTGAAATTATAACAATTTATATATTTATTAAACATTAAATTAATATTAAAATTATATAATATCTATTTTGTAAATATTTTATTATTGTACAGAAGATCATTGTTTATGCATTGATTTAATTAATGATAATCAATAATTATTAAAAACTTATTACTACAATATAATACAGTTTATATTGTATGATAATTTATTGTATTGTATGGTAACTGATAATCAAATACTTTTAATCAACATTTTTAATTGTTATCAATTGTTGTATTCAATGACATTTAAAATTGATATAAATTTTTCAAATTATATATAACATAACTGAAGTATTATAACTAAAACTCAATTTATAAATCTATAATATGTAACATAAAATAAAAAAGTTTAAATTATTAGTTACTAAGCTTAATTGTTTAATCATTGTTGAATAATAATTTATTATGCAGTATTAAGTAGATACATTATAATTTTAATAATTACTATTTTACTATAAATTAACATTACAAGAACATTAAATCTATATAATATTTTGTATTTATATTTTAAAAAATAATATACATATGTATGTCATAAATTTTTTACAAATTAAATAAAATACATTATATTTTAATAAAACTCAATTTAATATAATAGAATAATAATATATAAATATATAAATTATTAAATACTATATTTATAATACATTATAAATTTTATCGATATTTTCTATAAAGTATTTTCACTTCATTAGTACAAATCCTTAGCAAAGAAATAAAGGCCAATATATTTGCAGCGATAACCATATAAAACACATTACGCCAACCGTAGCCTTCAACATAACCGGCCATTGCTGGACCTACAGCAGCACCTATAGACCCCATACCATCTATAATGGCTGACACAGTGGCCAATGCTGTCTTTGATTTGACTCTTATGGCCAGATCGGCCGATACGGCAGTTGTAATCAAATTGTAAGGTCCGTTGACAAAGAAACCGGCAATAAATTGTAAACATTGATGGGATACCATTGATAATGGACCCCATTCATAATAGGCCAATAACTATAAATAATTTTTCAATAATAATTACAATTACAGTAATCGACGCTACAGTTTATTTCTATGCTTACCGATGGTATCGTGAGTATAAAAAATACATTACAAGTGATGGCACTGGCATTGGTAATATCGGCCAAATAACCGGCCAAAATAGCACCAAAAGTACCGCCGATGTCAAATGATATGGACAGATATGCGGACTCAGATGGAGATACTTTAACTATACATTAATATTATAATTTATAAAATATTATTAGTAATAATTATTAGCATTATTCTTGAATTATATAGTAGACAACAAACTTGAATTGCTTATATAAAGTGGTAACCAAAACATGAATGTATAGGTAACCAGTTTGGAGAAAAATAGACAAATTGAATACTCTATGACACCCTTTTCAATAAAATAATAATAAAATTATAATTTTGTTTTTAAAAATCATTAATTATTTCAGATATTCAATTACAGGTATCTTAAGAGCACCGATAAAAGATATGGCAGTATTTTTGTCATCATTTCTATCATTTTCCTCATCATTGGCTGAGTCCTTAAAGTTAATTACCGGAAGTTCAACATAATTAGGATCTATGTATTGACAGAAATTATTATTTTTATGAATGCTATTATATTTATTAATAATGTACCTGAGACTAGAAATAAAAAACATATCAATGCCATTCCTATTAATATTAAACCCGGCACAATAAATGACAGTCCCCAATTTGATTCAACAAATGCACCTGTATGAAAGTTAGGAATATCTATGAATCAATTCATAATTTTTGAAAAAATATAAATACCAGCAACGAGTGCACCCAATATATTGCCTAATGTAGTATGAAATCCCCAAACACCAAACAATAATCCCTTTTTCTCGTTGTGATACCAATTGCTGACAGCCGTGACTACCGCAGGCCAAGGACCGGTCTGTACAATACCGGTAAACACTTGAATAATAATAAAATACCATAAATAGTGAATATTTAATGAATAGGGAAGTCCAGCCATTATCGAGAAAACACCACAAAGTAAGAGACAAGCGGTCAGAAATAATCTCAAATTTAGTCTTTCGGCAACATAACCGGCCACAAACATACACACAGCATATGATATAAGAAAACTGGTATCCAACCACCCGAGCAATACTTCAGCATTATTATTGTCAAATGGAGACCAATCGCACCAATATGGGTGCTCCTCATACCAACTGTCTGGATGGCGATGTCCATCATCACTGATATGTTTGGTACAGTTATCTTTATGTAACTGTGCCTTCACTACCGATAGTGGCCGTCGGGCCAAATGTGACACACAGTAAATCATAAATGTCACAATCAATACCAGTATTTGATAGCATTTTCGCCGATTAATTGAATATTTGTTGCTTATGTATTCAATTAACAAAACACCCAGTGATAGCTTCATTATTACTTAGTATTTTATTTTCAATAAATGGTTTAATTCATTAAATTGTTTATTATTATATAACATGTGTGTCAAAAAATTTCAAGAGTTAAACAATGCAATTAAGGTTTACAGTAATTATCAACAAAAATATCTTAAAATTAAGAAAATTAGAATTTTCATCATTCATTAAATAAATAATTTGCTTAATCATTATAATTTGAATTTATACTCTTTAAATGTTTTGAAAAAATAATTAATTTATAGTTATAAATAAATTAAATACCAAACTAATTATGATATAAGTGCTTATATTTTATATTTTTTGACAAATAAATGTTATCATTAAATGATAGTCCATTTTAGCAATCAGTAATAATAGATAAAATATTTACGATTATAGAACAATACTACATTATATTAACTATATTAATGACAATTATTAAGATATAATAAAAATTATCAAAATATTAAACAAAAAATGTTCAATTATCATATATATACTAAATTTATATGTATATTATACAGTATATAGTAATAATTGATAATAATTAACTGTAATTTATATTAATATTATAAAGCATACAAACAACACAATTGACAATTTTATTTATCTGACGTTTAACTTCTGAAGTTAAAAACCTATTAAAACATACACATTATATACAAATAAAAAATACAGTAAAAACTATAACACTATACAATGTAATCGCACAAATATTATAAGATTATCATTTAGTGTATTAAATGTGATTGTTGATGATTAAGTGATATTTTTAATTTTATTATATCCATTAATACTACACCACTATCTGATATTTGACAAATCACTAACCCTTTCGGATGACACCATCAATAGGTGTTGTCTGGCGACTGACAACTCATACAAAAAGTTTGTCAATACAGTCAGTCTCTTGGCGTTGATATACCTTTCCATATAATGTTGCGGACAGTTTGAATCTGTGATAAAATTTTGCCAAAACTCTTGCGATGATTTTCTAATAGTCATAAACTGATGATAAGTATTGACCAGTTTTTGTATGCCATCTTCGGTCATATAACTAATAAGATTAATATGTTTGACCAGATTTTCGATGTCTTTATCGCTCAAATGTTTCATATATTCACCATTTCTTTGTCTGTAAGCCTTTCCAGAGATGAGATATTTAATGATAAGACGTTCGTCTTGTAGTCTATTGTTTTGAAACTGTTGTTTCTCTGGTCTGACTATAAATTGTTTAATTAATTTTAACAATGAATTTATCATATAATCTCCTTTACTGTTATTATTATTGTTAATCATTATTAGTTAATTAATTAACATATAAATTTAAATCATGAAATAACTGAAAATATTTTAATAAGTAAATTATGACAATTACAGAGTTAATGTAACTGTAAGTTTTCATATCATATATTAAAATTTTAAGTATAATATTTTAACAATAATTATTTTAGCAGTTTTATCACAAAGTTTCTAATCTAATGGTTGTTTATTGTATGACTTATAAATCATTATTTGCATTAAAATTTTAAAAGAGTTCAACTAATCAGTGATTTTATAGAAAGTTTTCTGTTTGTATTTCTACATTTATACAATACTATTTATATATTTTATTAGTGTGTCTAAAAAAGTATCAATATTTATGGGATTCCTGTGGATTTTCCATTGAGGAATCGGATATAAGACTACAATGAAATTGGGGGGTAAATAGATTCTTAACAATTAATTGTTTCATTTATGGTTAATGATGTCTCTTATTGAATTAAATTCAAAAGTTTTTGCACATAAATAGGTTGACAGGTATTTGATGAGCAATAAATATAGTGAAAATGAAATACATGCTAAATATGACAAAAATGTTAATTTTCTAAATACTGGTATTTTGTCAATTAAATGATTGCTTATTTTAGTTGAAATGTCTATAACAGGACTGACAATGATAGGGAATGGGACTAAATATTTGTTTACCCATTCCTATCTAATCGCACTATAAATCATACAATTTGTCGATTTTAAACTTATGACGAAATACTATATAAATTAAAATATATTGAGTCTAAAAGTAAAATCAAAATAATTCACTCTTAAAAAGTGTTAATATTAATTTATTGATAATATATCAATTTATCAATAGTTAATTTTAAAATAAGATACAAAAATCATAACTTTTAAAAATAAAAATATATTTATAAACAAAAAACTTTAATATTATTAAATTAATACATAATTACAACAAAATACAATATAAATGTTTACACTATTATGTATTGACTAATAGCATTTACTGTACATATTAGGGTTTTTATGTTAAACAAACTATTGTTATATAAAAATAAATAAATAAAGTAATAATTGTTACGATATAGTAATTATAAACAAATATTTTTTTTAATAGTTTTAATAATATACATATTTGTTTAATACTGTATATTAATTATTATTTATACTAAAAACCTTTGATTTGTTAATAAAAAACAATTGTTTAAAATCCTTAAAACCAATCCTTATTATACATAAGATTCCCAAAATCTCTGCGATTATAACCATTAAAAATACATAATTCCAACCAAATTCTGATACATAACCGGACAGAGATGGTCCTACCGCTGAACCCAGACTGCCGGTGGCGTCTATAATAGCTGTAACTGTGGACAGGGCTGACTGTGATTGAGACTTTAGACCTAACTCAGCTGAGACGGCAGTGATTATTAAAGAGTAGGGAGCGTTCACAAAGAGACCGACAAAAAATTGAAGCGATTCGTTGCTGGCATAAGATATGTTTCCGTATAGTCGATAAATAACTAACTGTTGAATAAAAAATTAAATAATAATAATTAATAAAAAAAATGATTAATCATATTATATGATTGAAAAATATGATACCAAAGGAATTGAAAATATTAACATAAAAATACAGGTCAGAGCACTGGCATTGGTCTTGTCTTTAATATAACCGACAATTATAGCGCCAGCAATACCTCCCACATCAAACATCATTGTCATATATGCAGAATTAGACATTGATATGTTGGCATTGGTTTGACTGATATAATAGGGCAACCAATCGAGGAATGTATAGCTGACCAGTTTGACAAAGAATAGGCTTAAGGCAAACTCAACCACACCCTTAATAATGTCATATAATTTTATGTAATTTAAAAAATACTTTAATTAAATCAATTATTAATTATTTTAAATTACCGATATTTTAAGAGCTCCAATAATACTAATAGCTTTACTATTAGTATCACTATTTAAATTATCGTTCATTTTATTACTGGTGTTTTGTTTGTCTGAAACCAATGTTATGCTCAGTTCAACAATTTCAGGTTCTTATCAATCATAGAGTAAAATATCTTATTTTATTAAATTGCATTTGAAAATAATTAAAAATAATTAAAAATAACATACTGTGTACAAGTGTTAAAAATACGACTATAGCTATGCCACATACGATAACACCGGGAACTATAAAGCTGAGTCCCCAATCATAACCAACAAATATACCGGCAATGGCTGAACCAACAATATTACCTAAAAACGAATGTGAATTCCAGATACCAAATACAAGACCCCTATTTGTGGGTCCAAACCAATTGCCCATCGATGACATTATAGCTTCAAATAAAATTCAATAAAGTTATTACAATTAATCGCAACATTTTTGAACATACCTGGCCAACAACTGGACTGTCCGATTCCAGTGAGCACTTGTATGACATAAAAATATTCCAAAGCATGGATATTCAATTTGTAAGCCAAACCAAACAATATATTTGCAATACCAGCGATCAACATACCAATGGTTAGGAAATATCGTAAATTCATGCGTTCAGCTATCATACCATTAATATACATACTAATTGAATACGATAACAAAAACACTAAATCCAATGTACCTTGATCATTTTTAAATATAACATTAATTGTTTTTTAAATTATTAATATAAAAATTATCTAAATTTATACCCATTAATGTTCTGGCATTTTGTCCAACAAATGGTTCCCAATCACACCAATAGGGATCAGTTGACGATTCATTTGAGTGATGTGTTGAAAGTCTATCACAGTTTGGATGATTCAGTGCTGGTTTGACTATACTTAACGAACGGCGCGCTGAATGCACCGATAGATATGACAAGTATGTGACCACTAGTATTAAAACTTTATAAACAACTTTTTTATTAACTGATGAATACTTTGTTAGTTTATTAATAACTAAACAGACAATTGGTTTATTATTATTGGACATTACTTTTAATTATTATATAAATACTTTATAATATTATTTATAATTATGAAGAAATTGATTTTTTTTATCAAATACCGGTATATATTACATTCAATAATATTTACCATAAAAACAAATTACATTAATTTGTGTGGCAATATCCTATTTTTTGTTAGTCTAAACTAAATAACAAATATTATTTTTATATCGATGATTATTATTTTAAGTTCATAAATACATGTGTCATAGACACAGTTGTATCTATTGTTTTTATTATAGTTTTTATTTGTTTATTTCTTTATATATGATATATATTTCTGAATTATATTTAATAGTCTTGTATAATCAACACAATAAGGTTACAAAACAATAGTATAAACACACAAAAAACAAATCACTTTTATTCATTAATAGTTAGTAAATGATAATGATTAATTCAAATAATTGTTATTCTAACAATCATAAAAAATTTAATTCATTATGTATTTCAAAATCAGAAAATAAATATTAATAACATTACATCTATTAAAGACATTATTCCTTAGATATAAAAATACTATTCAATGACTTTTTAGTTGTTTTTAGTACAAATAAAATTATTTATTATAAAAAAGAAATTAAATTAAAACTTATTAATTTGAGACATTGTTGTTATTAATTGTTTATATTCTTTGGATTTACAGGTATTTTATTAATAAATATTCCAAAAATAATTATTTAATCATTCATTTACATTAACAGTTGTTTTAGATTTGGAAAAATATATAATTTTATTAATAAAATTCAGTATACAATAGTAATAATAAATGCCTATTGTTTCAAAAAATCATTGTCATCAATTACTTACACATTAAAATGTTTTATATTGTAGTGAGTAAATAGTAATTTTTATTAAATTTTTATAAGAAAATTTCTCTGATATAATAATTTTACAATAACTCTGAATTATATTACAATTATAAACGCTATTTCATTATTAATGTTTAAAATTAAAGTCTATTTTATTATACCGTTTGACTCCATCAGCAAATTCGGGCATTAAATGCGGTAATAATAGTCATCGCAATTAATTGGTTGTTGAGCTATAATAATGTCAATATTTTAAAATTATTTGAATAAACAGATCTCTCAATTATATATTCTATAAAATTATATAAATTAAATAATAATCATAAAATTAGTTAATACAAAAAAGTAATTTTTAAATGAACTTAAAACCAATTTATAATTAGTTTAAAAATTACTTTTAAAAACTTTACTGTTTACATGTTATAATATATTATATTTAAATGCAATATTAAAAATATTTATGTCTATTCATTATTCAAAAGAAAAATATTACTAAACATTTAAATTTTATTATATAAATTACAATTACACACAATATTATTACAAACATGCCTTTATGCCGATATTTATTACAGTTGAATAATAAACCCACAAATTAGTGATTGAATCATAAATTTTTATTTAAAAACTAAATAACACAAAATTTAATATATTAATATTATATTAATTAAAATTAAAAAAAAAATATTATAATAAATAATTGAATTTACAATTTATGTTTATGAAAAGTTATAATATACAGTATATACATTACTATTATGTATGAAAAATTATAATAAAATAAAAAATTAATTGATATTTAGGAAATAAATAAAATATTTAATAAGTAGTGACTGAAATGATATCCTGATTCATACTATTACTGTTTCGGGTCCTATGAGTCCTCCACTTAAATATTAATTGTTTTATATCGTTATAACCGACTCTTATTAATACCAATAATGCACACAAATCTGAGAGCATAACGACTATAAACACATAATTCCAGTCATACTCTGATACAAAACCAGCCAAAGAGGGTCCGACTGCCGATCCAATACTGCCGGTGGCATCGATTATGGCCGACACTGTGGCCATTGCCGACTTGGACGGCACTTTGGAGCCCAACTCGGCGGACACAGCGGTAGTTATTAAAGCATACGGTGCGTTGACAAATATGCCGGCTATAAATTGGAGGATTTCATTGACCACTTCAGAAGTGTTACCGTATAATCTATAAATACCCAACTATTTTGAAATAAATAGTGTAATTAATATATTTTATACTCTATATTATCGTAAAAATGTTTACTCACTGAAGGTATAGCAAATATGAGCATAACTATACAGCACAATGCACTGGCACCTGTCCTATCGGCCAGATATCCAGCGATAATACCACCGGCAATGCCTCCCACATCAAACACAATTGTCATGTAAGCAGACTTAGAGCTTGATATGCCCTCATTTGATGACACAATATATAGTGGCAACCAATCCAAGAATGTATAGCTCACCAGTTTGGCAAAGAACAGACAGATTGAGAACTCGATGACTCCCTGAAAACAATTCAAACCAATATGTTTACAACAATTGTTTTTATTTTTACTATTTTTCTAATCATTTACCGGTATCTTAAGTGCATCAATAATACTGATAGCCTTATGATTATTGAGCTGATCTGACTCGACATCAGAAGATGAACTAAACTGGATTTGAGTCTTAAGCTTATCATTGGCTTTTACAGGCGTTTGTTCCGCATTTGAATTCAGACTCAAACTCACTTCTTCTGGTTCTGTGTAGTGATAATAATAAAAATTAAAGATTAGATTATATATATATAATTTTATATCTAAAAATAATTGCAATTTAATAGCTAATCAATTTGTTTGTTTTATGATAACCAATAAGTTTTTAAATAAATTGAAATATCACTTAAATGTTATATTTTATATGTTAAACAACACTCTAATATAATTATCAATTATAATGATAAATGAAAGAAACAAATGATAACTTACTTTGAACTAAAAACAGAAACACCAGTATACCGGTGCCGGCAATAATAATACCGGGAACAATAAATGACATTCCCCATTTGTCATCAACAAATAGGCCAGCAATGGCAGCACCGGCTATGTTACCGAAATATAAGTGCGAATTCCAGATACCAAACATTAGACCTCTTTTGGATGACCCAAACCAATTGCCCACTGCGGCCAATACACCTATAAATAGTTTGTATATTAGTAATATTAATCAACAACAAAAAATGCTACCAATTGTATTTGAATACCTGGCCAACCAGTTGACTGACCGATGCCAGTAATGATTTGTACGAAATAGAAGTAACCCAACGAATGAATTCCGAGAAAGTAGGCCAAACCAAACAATATATTACAAATACCAGAGAACAACATACCAATTGTCAGAAAGTATCGCAAATTCATGCGCTCAGCTATCATACCATTGATATACATACTGACAGAGTATGATATAAGAAACACTAGATCCAACGTACCTGTCCATTATATATAATATATAATATAAGATTTAATTAATTAAACATTTAAATGTCTTGTTATAATTTTGTTTATGACTTACCCAACATTGTACGGGATGAAAAGGGTGCCCAATCGCACCAGTGCTCATCAATATCAGTATTATTTGAATCATACATATCGGGCAATATATCGGAACAATTTTTATGATTGAGTGCCGGCTTTACAATACTTAACGATCGTCGGGACATATGATACGTTAGATATACAAAAAATGTGAGCATCAGAACCAACACCCTATAGACCCGGAGCTCTTTGAGCGAAAAATAGTGCGAAAGCTTCGATACCAGACATATACTGAGAGGACGGCGAAACACCATTTTCTATACAATTAATTGTTTAATTATTATAATAACTTTTATAATACTTTAGTTAAAATAATATTTTTCAAAACGACTGTAAGATTGAATTTAATGAACAATTTTGACTAAAATTTGCTTAAATAGCTAATCAATAGGTTTCTTATCAGCGCACCGTTAGTTTGAAGCCAAACAAAAGTTAACTTAAGTGCCAGACCCATCAAATTTCATCATTTATTGCTATGCCTCTCAATTATGATTGGCTGATATTACTTATTGCTATATTTAACTATGAAATTGTACTGAATTTATTTAACTTATCATATCAATATCATTTATATAATGAGTTCAAATTTGACTATTGTAATGTTAAATATTGTAAAATGCAATAAACGATAGTTATCTAAAATATTTAAAAAAACAATATATATTTATATTTTATTGGTGTTTTCTACATGGGTACATTTTTATTTTTTGATTTTCTTTGTTTTTATAATAGATATTTAAAAGTAATTAACAAATAAATTGTAAGTAATTTTTGCTATGACATGCACTACTTTTATTTTATTAATAACTATATATAAAATATACAATTTTTATTTTAATACTTAATTAACTATTGATGAGACAATATTACAATTATTATTTATAAAATATATTATAAAATTCAATAATTATTACCAGTTTCTAATGTTAGGTATTATTGCCCATTTAATACTGTATTGACAATAATAATATTAGTTCAATATTTAACACTTAGTTGCAGTGATCTTACATTACAATACATGATAACAATAGATAATAAATAATTTTTAAAGTATATAACTATAAATATATATTTTTGATAAATACAAATCCTAATATTGACTGTTTAATAATAAAATAAACAAATTGTTACATTTATTAATATTGTTTTAATCTCATTTTACATATAGTGATCCTAATACTCAATATTGCTAAATGTAATTTGTTAATAAAAACACATGTTTATCTTTATTGCCAACAATAATGAAAATTATATTTAATTAATACTGTATAATATAATATATGAAAATTATGGAAAATTTATTAATAGTCAAAAAACATATAAATTATCAATTGTTTTATTAAATATAACTGTTAATAAGTATATTACAAAATAACACATAAAAAATGTCTATACAAATAAAATTAAGATTTAATTTCCTCGTGATTTTAATAAATCATTTGTAAATATCATAGTTTGTGAACAATCATATGAAAAATTAAAAATAATACACGTATGATATATTTTTATAAATTTGATAGCTAAATTAAATAATAAAAACAAACATAATCACAATTGCATCAAAACATGTATATAATCGATATACCCTTTTATTTGACTGATACTTCTATACTAATAATAATAAATTAATCCATCTAAAGTAAATTTATTTTAATAATAGTAAACTATTTTCAATTAAAATAATGATATTTTTATTACAAAATTACATTTTCTTATATGATATCTCTAAGCTAGTACTGTATATTTGTAGTCAACAAATTATACAAAAAGTTTTATTAAAATAATTTACGCTATTGTATTATTATGTACTTTACAATGATTAGACATAACTTCAAAAGTCAGTCATTGAACATAAAATATTATACAATCAAAAACTTAATGTAGATTTTAAATAGACTCAGAAAAATACAAAATATATAATAGATCTTATATGATAATAATATTAATTGATAATATGGTATTTATAATAATTATTATAAAATTCTACCACAAATTTTACTATACTAGGATTTTTTTTAAATGTTATATTCTTATTACATTATGTTATTAATTAATTTCTATAAAATTAAACATGGATATTTTAACAAAAAAAAACCAGTCATATTTATCAAATTTTTGTAGTTTAATCAAATTTTTTATTTATTTTATGGCACTGTTTTTATTATTATTATTGATATAATTGATGAGCATTTGGAGGCACGGCTATACCAACTCCTACCAAACACACTGTTCACGTGAATGCCATACACTGATTAAAACTGTATGTTTGCGATAAATACAGTTGCTTTCAAATATATTGATAAAAAATATCTTTTTTTAAAAAATTAATATTAAATATATTTAATTAAAAATTATCTATAATAAATATAATTACATATTTAAATACTATAAATTATTTGCCACCATATACCGTTACATTAAGCGGTATTACGCGGGATTTGGAACCGATAGAGCCCAACAATGTGGTCACCCATCGTCGGCATCAAGTTATGATGGGCGCCCACTTTGAGGAGCTCTATCGCCTCCCAATCATGCGTTGAACTGCTTGATGCAGCGGTAAACGATGGCCGGGGGTATTTTTGTTGCCAAAATGATATCATTATATCGGCATAACCCCCGCCTCCAGAACCAATGGAGTGTTTTTCGGGAATCTTATTCTCGACCATACTTATTTTTTACCATGCTTATTTTATAGATTTTGTTAACATTTGATATATCGTGTGATATACCAAATAAAAGATATATTAATCCTCTACTAAAATATACATTTATAATTTAAATACCTTTTATAAAATAAAAGTTAATCTATTTTTTAAAAAAGATATTTTTTATCAATATATATGAAAGAAACTGTAAATATTTCAATGATAGTTATTAAATTTAATAATAACTTATCATTATTAATATAAAGTACATTATTTCATGATTTGATAACATGTTTATTGTGTTTAAATTGTACTCTATTCATAGATTTAAACTATAAAATTGATATATTAACTAATAACAAGTTTTAATAACAATTTTTTATTACAATGAATTCCTCATAATTTAATATTGAATTAATTAAAATATAATCAATAAGATAAAATTATTGATAATTTCAATATAAGATTTGTAATTCACATTAAATAATCTGTAATTAATAACTTATGAAAATAAATATTTTTTGTAAATTATTTTTTGCGATAAATATCTAAAACCAGTATAACTTGGTTTTTGTATATTTTCTTATCAATAATTATTATCAATTATGATATTATTATTATTATATTGAATGATATTATAATCAAAATTAGTAAATATGTTTTCATTAAATATAATTACTTTTTGCTAAATTGTTAATAAAATATTTTAATAAATTAATTTAGATAATATTTTTAGCTAAGTTATTAGCTAGATATTTAATTTATTATTAGAACTAATTGAAATTTAGTATTAGTAAGCTTATCAACAAACCTTTAATGTTGTATTATTAAACTAGACAATTTTTTATTATCAACTACTGTATATATTAGATGTACACTATTTATTTAGCTTAAAAACTAATTTTGTAGTTTTTTTTACAAAATATTAGTATTATATATTTAAATATTTTAAAATAAAGTCACTATTAAGAAATTGTGAATATATTGCAATAAACACATAATATTGTAATGTAAATGTTTGAAAAATTGATTTACTTAAAATTAATTATTCAATAAATAAGTTAGTATTCAGTGCAATATAATTGTATTTATTGATAATAAGTAATTTAATAAACTGCTCAACAATTGTTACATTTTATAATATTTATATTAACGATAACGATATTAATTTTGTAATTATATTATTAATTTTAAATATTTTTTATTATTAAAAAGTTAAATAGAAAATCAATGTTTTTCTAAAAGAAAATAATTTATACTAATTCATAAATGACTTGACAACAATTTTTATATGATAATCGTTTTTTAAACTTTTTTTTTAAATTTTAGTTTATATATTAGTAAAACTAATCATAATTTATATATATTAATACATACTTTTAAAATAAATATAATTAAATTTGATCTCTAAAAATGTGATCACAAATTATAATAAGAAATTGTATAATATTTGTTAAGTAATTATCCAAAAGAGGGTATTAGTGATACAAAACAAAATTCAATAGAATATAATGTATTATAAAATTAATATGAATGTTGTTTTTTGCAAAAAATATGTTATATTTTGAAGTAATTACTAATTGTATTGTATGTAATGTATTGATTTTCAATTAAAATAATTATTTATTTCCGGTTTGGTTTTATTTAAGAACTTGTATTTTCACCAAACATTATAATAGAAACTGATTCTCGATATAATAATTATAAATAATTACAATTTTAATAATTGTTGTTAAAATGCAGTTGTTATTCAATAGTACATTATATTATACAATTAAGCATCAAATAGAGTAGATATTAAATTATTATTTAAAACTTTTAAAAATTCTAAATATTATATATTAACTCATGCTTTACATAATAAAGTACACGATTTAAATACACAACTAAACAAATTTTTTGTTTATTAAATAAAGTCATACTTTATGACAGAATTATAAAATAGTTTTTAAAAAAATTCAATAATATTTTAAGTAAAATCATAATCAAAAATTCAATATTTTTGACATACTTAGGATAAATCACACTTTCTATTATATATTCATTGCCATTAAATACTTGTTAACATATATACTATTTAAAATTTGTTTGTTTTAAATATAGATTAAATTAGTTGCTATAATATTAATGGGTCGACCTTTTTTATATGATCATACATTTTATTTATAACTTTTATAACATTTAACTAATAATTGAATTAAAAATTTAAATAAAATAATATTTCAAGTTATTCTATAAGTGAGTATAAAAAATAATATTTAAAATAAAAATAAATTTCGTAAAATTTTAATAAATGTATTTAGAAAGTCATTAATTATTAATTACATTTATCACAACAAAAAGTCAATATATTAATAATACGATCAAAACATTTAACTGTTATAACAATACTATTGATTCAATAGTGATTTTCTAAGTCATTGACAGTAATGTCCTATTCATACACTCTAAAGATGTAATAATAAAATAGAGTAAAGAAAATTAATATTAATTTTTTGTTTTGTTTTAAAAACAATTATGATTTATATATAAATTATTGATAATATTAGCTTTAAATGACCAATAGTGACAAAATACCTGTATTTCAAATACATATGAAATTTGATATA